TATTTCTTAACTTTCCTAATAAATTAATATGCCTTTATAAGGACTTATTTATATTTAATTCTCATTATTTATGTTTTTAAATAAAATTTTAAGGATATAAAGTTTATTTTTGCATTATATTTAATAATATTTAATAATCCTTAATATATATTAATTTAAAGTATTTATAATATTTATTATATAATTTTTATAAATATAAATTTTAAGAATTTTACTCCTTAAAAAGTAATGGCTTAATTTATAATATAAAGAATTAAATATTTATTTAAATATATTATATTAACTAAAATTTTATAATTAAATTTATAATTATATATATAATATAAACTTAAAATGCTTAAGCATAGGTTTATTTATTTAATAATAATAATATATCTTTTTAATCTTTATTATTGCTTATTTATTAATATTTAAATTACTAGCTTTTTTAAGTATTTAGTATAATTAATTTATTAATAAGTATTTAAAGCAATAATAAAGTTTCCTTATTTTTATTTTTAAAAGGAAATATATAATATTAATAATTTAGTTTAGGAAAAACTATAGGTAACTTTATTTTTTAAGTATTAATATAATAATTGCATTATTAAAGGAAATTATTTTATTTATAATATTATTATAATATACTTAAAGCTTATTTATATTTATTAAGTAAAATAGGAATAGGGTTTATGCTTAAATAATATAAAAGTTAATATAATTAATTAAGATAAAAACTTTTATTATATTAAGCAAATTAATAATTATCTTATTATTAAATTTAACTTTAACTTTTCTTATAATAATTATATTAATTTAATACTTTAAGTTTTTTTATTATAATATAAGAAATTGCTTATATTTAGCTATAAATATTAATAATGCTTTAATATTTAACAAAATTCCTTAAAAATAAATTTAATTATAATTATTTTTTAAGATAAATTAGCTAATTATAATAATTATCTTTATTTAAAAGATATTATTTCTTATAATTTAATGCATAAATACTTTATTAGCCAGGAAATTAATATTTATATAATAAACCTTCTTATTAAGTTTTACCTTTATAATATAAGTATTGCTATTATAATTATTATCTTAATTCTATTTATCTTTATATTTATAAAATTTATTTTTATTATTTATTTTATATTTTTTAAATTTACTTAAAAAAGTATTAAAATTATTATTATAATCTTTATATTTATATTATATTAAGTAGCTTTTTCTTATTAAATATTGCTTATTAGCTAAATATTTAATTAATTAATATCCTTTTTTTTATAAATATAATATCTTTTCTTTTAAAATTATTTTCTTCCTTTTTTATAAGCATTATTATTTTAAGCTTTATAGCTAGTATTATAAGATTTTAGCTATTTAAAGCTTAAATGGCTTAAATTTAATTAGCTAAATCTTTAATTTCCTTAAAATATTTAAAATTATAATTATTATTCTTTCCTTAACTTTTAATTATTATATTTATAATTAATATAATATTAATTTAAAACTTTATTTATAATATAAATTATAGTTATATAGCTAAGCTGCGTTTTTATTATAGATTTTAAGTTTAAAAATAATTCTTTGCATAATTAAGCTAATTTAAAAAGAGCTATTTTTAGCTTAAGAACTTTTTTATAAGCTTTAATTATTATTATTTTTAAGTTATCTTTTTTAATATAATTTTAGCTTAATACTTATTAATAAAATTATAACTTATTAAGCATTAAATATAAAATCTTATATAAGTTTTTATTTAAGTTTTATGCTTTTATTTTTATAAATATTATTATTATTTAATTTATATAATAATGCTAATAATTAAGGTTTATATTAAAATATATTTTAATTTTAAGGTATATTATTATAAATATATTAATTTAATTTATAAAATAAAGGTAATAAGCCTTAGCTTAATCTTTAAGTATTTAAGAAAAAATTATATGGAATTAACTTAGCTAAATTTTAATATAATAATAAATATTAAAAAATATTTTTATTTTATTATTTAATAAGTTATATAAATCCTTAATATACTTATAAAAGTTATTAAAGGTTTTTATAAATTATATTAACTTTATTAAATTTAAATATTTATTAAAAATATATTATAAAGAAAGAGTTTTATATAAGTTATACTTTTTATTTAATAAAGATATTTTTAAGGCAGCTTAAGGTTATGCTAAGTATAATATATATTTTTAATATAAGCTTTATTTTTATTTTTTTACTAATAATAATAGGCCTTACTAGCTATATTAATTTTTAATAAATTGCATTATTAAGTTTAAGTTTTATAATTATACACTTAAAGCTAACGGCAGTAATAAATATTATTTTAAGAATTATTTTCTTAATAATTATTATTATTTAAAGCTTATTTATAGCTTTTATAAGAGCTATGCTTATAATTATTATCTTTAAAGTTATATATAATATTTATTTATACTTAATTTTAAGGCTAATAAGGCATTATAAAGCTTATTATTAATTTATTTTAATTTTTCCTTAGCTTAAGCTATAATAATTAATTATAATATTATAAATTAATTATTATATTTTATATAAATACCTTATATTTAAAGAAAAACTTTTAAATATTATTAATAAGAATTTAGCAATGCTTTAAATATTACCTATATTTATATTATATAATCCTTATAATAAGTAATAAAAAGGTTATTATTATAAAGGTTTTATTATATATAGCTTGCTAAAGTACTTATTAAGTAAGTAATTAAATATTTTATTAATGCTTTTTATATAAAGGTTGTAAATTATAATTTTAAGTTAATATATTTATAATAAGCTAAGTTAATTAAAGTTTAAATAAGCATTTTATTAATTATATACTTTTTAATAAAAGCTAATAGCTTCTTAGCATTATTAGCTATATTTATAAGTTTTTATAATAAATATTATAAGGAGTAAGATTAATAAAATAAAGAAATATTAATAAAATAGGTAATATTTAGAAATAAATTAATAATAATAATTTAATAATAAGTAAGTTATAATTATTAAGAGAAAGAAGTTTTTAATTCTTTTAAGCCTTAAAAGCTAAGGCTTTTTTTTATTATTAAGTTTTTTTATATTAATTAAAAGTATAATATATAACTTATATTTACTTATAATATAATGTTATATTAGCTTTAATAATTATAATAATTATAAGTTTTATTTATTTAATAATTATAATAATTATAAGCTTTATTTATTTAATAAAATAAAGCTTTATTAAGTTTTATTAAATTTTAAAAAGGATTTAAAAATAGGTTTATTTTTAATAAAGTTTTATATATAATAAATATATATTTCTTAAATAATAATAAATATATATATAAATATTATAAGGAATATTACTTAATTTATTTAATCTTTATAATATTTACTTAAAAAGTTTAATAATATAAGGAGGCCTAAAGAAGTAGTTATTACTATATAGCGCTTATTAATAAAGAAGATATAATTTTTAAGTTAAGGAAATTCTTATAAGGTTGCCTTTTTTACCTTATTAAGTTATAATATTTATAATTATTAATTAATATTAATAAGTCTTTCATATGTATAATAATTATATAGAAAGCAATCATGTATTGGTATTATTCTGTTTAAGTTTTAAAAGGCTACGTGCTCCGGAGGGGATAACTAAAGTAGCCTTCCAAGTGACGAGGGTCGTACTTGCCAACAGTCTCTGCAATTTGAGATCCCCGGCGCCCGGGGTCGCCTTTGACGTCCACCCAGCCCACGCTCATTCCTTCTCTGCAAACTGATTAGTCCGATTGTCTGCACTTCAACCGGTCTGTTCAGCCGGGCCAAGACTGGCCACGAAGGTTCGCCTCAAATGTGAGAAGCCACTCACGGATCGTCGTAGGCCACATAGACTCTTTGACACCATCACTGCTGTATTTAGCTGTCCACGCATGCAATTTCCATCCATGTCAAACACAAATACGTCGAGACGTGGAAACTGACAGAGGAGACAGCCCCTATACGATTTTGAGATTTCTCGCACCGTGATTTGTATTGCTTGGAACGAAATTGCCCGTTGATTATTGTGCACAATGCTGCTTGACGGGGCTTCCCGTTGTGTGGTTTGCGTAACCGTTACCGATCCTGATCGGGTCAACTGCCGTCGCTTTCCGGGTGCATCTGCCGACAATATTTGGGGCCGTTCTGCATATCGTACGCACAAGTGCTGAACCGGACTTGCCGAACTAATGAGCTGCGGGATATTGGCACCTTGGATTTCGACATTTTTCCTTGGATGCTCCCATTCAGTCTGCCATGCCCGCCAGAGTACGGAAGGCAGCCTGCCTGTTTGTCTCCCTCTCCCGAGCTCGGGACGATGCTTATATGCGTGCACCTCGGCCATATACTAACGGGCCGCCAATCACAACAGCTCCATTCCAGATTCCTACAGCAAGACGGGACCCGCACGCGCATGCTTGCCGAATCGACGTCCTGGACGGATGCAAGTGAGCAGCACCGTAGGTCCCTCGGAAGTCGGGATTGCTTCAGTGGAGCCCGCCATCTCTCCGCCTTTTGGAGAGCGGATCGCTGCTGCACTCCGGATTTGAGCTTGTCCTCGTGACGTCAAAAGCGAGTCGGGCACTTGAGCACTTAAAGGACCTCGTGGTTCGCCTTGAGAATTCCAGTCAACGGTTCAAAGTGGGGATTGATATCTGGGCCTCATCCATTCATCCCTGGACCCTCGACAACGTCACGGCCCAAAGCCGTAGCCACTCGCATCAAGGGTGTTACATGAAGACCTCAACACTTGTTGACTAAAGAGGGATCATCACTGCTGCCCCGTGCCCCAAGGGACCTTGCCAGAAGTGGAGACGCTACTTGATATTTAGGGACAGAGGAGACAAACCTTCTTCAGCTCGAGCTTAAACACCATCGATTTCCCACCCCTCTCAAACCTTGGCTTGTCCGGGAATGAGATAGCCACTACATACCATAACAAGCCCGCCACGCCCGTCCATCTCACACTCACATAACACGTCAACATGTCGCCCACAAAGCCTGTGCCGTCCATCGCCATTGTGGGTGGTGGCATTGCAGGCCTGACGCTCGCTCTCAATCTCATTAATCGCTCCAAGTCCCCGTCCTCACAACAGCCCAAGTATACCGTCACAATATACGAGTCCGCCCACGCGTTCGCCGAGATCGGAGCTGGAGTGTCCTTCGGGCCAAATGCCTCCCGCGCGATGAAGGCCATCGGGCCAGAGGTGCATGCCGCGTTCGAGAGGACGCAGACCAGGAACCAGTTCGAGTCCAAGCAGGACGTGTGGTTCGACTTCCGGTACGGCGAGAGCGTCGACGGCAGGTACAGGGTCGAGGGAGAGGAGGGCGAGGACGCCAACGGAGAGCTCATCGCCACGGTCAAGTGCCCGGGGGGCCAGCGGGGCGTCAAGAGGAGTGACTTCCTCGACGAGCTGATCAAGCACGTCCCCGACGGTATCGCCAAGTTCGGCCGGAGGGTCACCCATTACACCGAGAGCGAGGACGGCAAAGTGACGCTGCACTTCAAGGAAGGAGACGACGAGATCCATGACGCGGTCATCGGCTGCGACGGCATCAAGTCCAACATCCGGAAGGCGCTGTTGGCTGAGACCTCGAAACCGGAGAACGCGAATGCAACATTCAGCGGCAAGTTCTGCTACCGTGGTTTGATCCCGATGGACGAGGCTGTGTCTCTGCTGGGCGAGGAGATGGCCAAGAATGCTCAGATGTACCTCGGCCGTCACGGCCACATTCTCACGTTCGCCATCGAGAAGGGCAAGCTGATGAATGGTAAGTTACGGATGAGGCCCCACCTGGATCTTGGGTTTTTGTCCCCTATGAATGTTGACCGACACAAAGATCTGCAGTTGTCGCATTTGCCTCAGCAAAAGAATGGCATGACGACCGCTGGGTGGTGGAAGCCAACCAGGACCAGATGAGGGCAGACTTTGAAGGCTGGTCGCCCACCGTCACCAAGATCATCTCGCTGATGCGAAAGAACGACATATGGGCGCTCTTCAACCACCCGCCGGCACCAAGGTACGTGTCTGACCGCGGACGCGTATGTCTCGTTGGCGACGCGGCGCACGCAACCACACCGCACAAGGGTTCGGGCGCAGGCATGGCTATCGAGGACTCGCTGGTCATGGGCCAGCTTATCTCGGAGGCCCTCGCGGGCGAGAACGTGGATGCTGGCAGGGCGATTCCTGCGGCCTTCAGAGTGTTCGATGCCACCAGGCGGGAGAGGACGCTGCGGTTGGTGGAGGACTCGAGGGAGACGGGCCAGCTGTACGACCTTGAGCACCCGGTGATTGGCGCGGACAAGGACAAGATCAAAGAGATGCTGCTGACGAGGATGGACTGGGTATGGGAGAAGGATCTGGAGGCCGAAGTGAACAACTCCCTGGACAAGCTGAGGAACAGCCTGCTCGGCCACGAGACATAATAAGATGGTGCTGCAGACTTGGGGGTCATTTTGTGCTTTCCTAAGACATGAACATACCTTGGAGATGGACTGTTCTTTAATTCATTCTTACCACACATGTCAGCTTTGAACATTGCCGGTGGGAAACGCAGCCTGTCGAGTAGAGCATCCATATTCGTCCGTTTTCCTGGCCATTTCGATTAGCAGCGGCAGCTTCAAGGTCAACCATCACTGGACTTACAGCGTGATGCTTTGAGCGAGTGAGACCTTTTGATGAATCAAATATATCAGAGCCCAAGTAGAACACAAAATCAGACGGCCTTGTTCTAAGGCTCATGATCTCGAGGAGGCTGTTGAGCACAACTACGTGGTTGTCGAGGACGGCCGAGAAGTGACGCAACATCCATTTGACCCTCGATATCGCCGAGCTCTTGCGCTTCGCGGCAGTTCTTGACGCGAATAAGATTTGGAACGACTTCAAGTTCGAGACCTGAAGTTTGCAGCCTCGTCAGCAATCGGGCGAGAGATATCGAGAAAAAGGTCACAAGCACTGAGGCCACAGCGTTGGAAACCACGAAATTCTGGAACAGGAGCAGAACGAGATTGATGCGAAGAACTAGTCTACCTGGACTCCACGGAGAGGCGTGGCAGGCTGAGGTGACCCGTGATAATGAATAGCTACCCCTTCACAAGGGGAACCTACACGGAAAAGTCTTTCCGCCCATGCCCTATCAAGTAGGCACTGGCACGAGTTCATCGCTACAGAGACAGTCCAATTTTTACCAATCACTAGAAGTATATATCGAACTCGCCGCTGCCTTAGTAAGGAACACTTGTGTCGAACTGCGCTTCCCACCAAAGCGTTCTCACGGGCTTCTTGTCCGGCAAGCTGATTACCTTGGGCTCTACAGTTCTCTTCCACTGCTCGCCACTGCGCACCGCGGTCCTCTTCAGCTTGTCCTCGCCAGTTCCCAGCGAGCCGGCGACACAGTCTCCTCCTCCCCAGGCTGCTTCCGCCACCTGCCGCCATTGCTCCTCGGGGTCGATTATGCTCTTGGGCGTGTAGAAGAGCCTACAGTCGGTCGGCTCATAGATAAATTGCGCGGGCACACCATCGTCCAGGTTGTCCCTGAGGATATTGTCACGGACGTTGATGCTTGTCCCCGTGCTGCGGTTGGCCGCGTATGTGTCCAGGTTGAGCTCCAGCAGCGAGACCTCTTCAGCGGACAATGGCCCCACCGGCGCGGATGTCGTGTTCACCGGGTTGCCCTGGATGGCCAGGGAGAGGTCCGCGAGCTGGTTGAAGTAGCTGTAGCCGACGTTGTTGCTCCCCTTGACGCCACCGTAGTTCTGGATGATGGGGATTTCTCCCGAGTCATCCAGCCCGGGGCGGCCACCGAACGTGGCGGATCGCACATTGGCCTGCACTCGAAGGAATTCTGAGAACAGCGTGCATGTTGAGGCGCAGTAGCCATCATAAAGGAGGATGATGTCCTCGGCTGCGAAGGGCTGTGTGAAGTTGTTCGCTCGGGAGCGGTAACCTGTCACGTCAAAGCCGATGCCATAGGTCTCGTTGATGGTCAACAGGGGGTCGTCGAAGTTCCACCGGTGGATGGGGGTGAATTCGTCGCCGTTGATCGTCTCTGGGGAGAACTTGTCTTCAACTGACATAAATGACTGGTTCGTCAAGTTCAGATCGAAGCGGAAGTTCTGATATGACTCCCAGATACTGATCAGGGTGTCGTTGTCACTCGTCTCGGGGTTGAAACCAGGCGGAATAGCTGCCGAGAACTGCTTGCCGGCGATCTGCAAGAGCTCGTTGGAGCGGAAGCGGTTGAAGCCATCTTGCTGGATCTGGGGGAATAGTTGCCTGAAGGTGTCATGGCCTTGGAAAATGTAACCTCCACCGTTGGCCGACACGTCTACTATCAGCTTTGTCTTGCCGGCCGCTTTGGCGTCCTCGATGAGGGTCTGCACAGCGAGCTGGAACTCGGCCGGGATAGCTGGCGAATAGGTAAGCAGCGCGAGGACTGCGACGTCGCTGTCTGGGAGGAAGTAGCCGCCTGCAGACCCATCCGAGGCTATGACAACCGGAGTCGGATATCCCAGTGGTGCTGTGCCTGTCAGATTACCACCAGGCGCGGGCGTGGGGACAGGAGTAGGCGTGGCCACACTTGTGACTGGGACCGTGCCCGAGCAGTACTTTGCGTAGAAAGACTCTCCGTCCGTGATGTTGGAGAAGTCGCCCACGACCCGCGCAACAGTGGGGATGTCGATTGTGGTGCCGTTCTCAAAAGTCAAAGAAGTCGATGCATTTGGGTAAATGTTGCCATAGCGGCCTGTGCCACCAAAGTAACCCTGCCAGTCGCCCTTGTTGGAGGCGTAGAAAGCGGGCGAGTAGAACAGCGTGTTGTATAGAGCGTCGCGATCCTGCAGGGCACCTAGAAGAGACAGGTCCTCTAAAACTTGGACCGCATCCTCGCCGTTTATCTGGGTCACTGGAGACGGGTTCGTGAAAGTGCCATTGTTATAAGCCCGTAGATCGGCTGTCATAGGATCAGTTCACATCTTTGTCCATCGATATCAACAGTGAATAGCATATATTTATGCTTATACTTACAAACCGTATAGATTTGAGGAACAGCAACCCCGTCGAGGCTCACCGAGGCCAGAGCAATGTCCTGCCTTCGGAATTGAATGGCTGCACCAATGAGATCCGGAATGAATCTGAAGTGGCCATCCTTGGCCAGGTTGAAAGCTGCGTAGAGGTCTGCCTGGAACTCATACTCATTGGCATACAAGCCGCTCTTGACGTTGCTGATGATCTCCTCGAAGGCGGCCGGAATGTCATATGCAGGAAACTGAAAAGACGCCGGTGGATCCTTCAGGTACGATATAGCTATTCGATGCTTGCATCAGCACTGGTCGAATCATCAATAATGCAAGCATTCACATCGGTATAGCAACTAACTTGACTGCCATTCCAAGTATGGCTGGATAGACTGAACCAGTCGAACAGCATCATCCGCGTGCAGCGGAACTGAGTTTAGGCAGTCGTATGCCAGTTGGCCGTCTACTACTGGTACTCCTGTTCGTGGGCAATGGTAAGCTTACTGTGGCCGTTGGTTCTGGACATGAGCTTGAAAGCCGCGCTTACCGGAAACATTGGCTGCCTTCTGAGCGGCCCACTCATGGCTGACAACAGCACATGGCTCACTTGAATTTTGTCGAGCGTGAAGACCACTGTTGCCACGGGGATGAATGGTCGCAGCCAGCGATATTGCCGGCACCAGCGACGCAAGTGAGAGCTGGGCTAACATTGCTGAATGTTATACGGCTGCTTCACCGACGCAACAATCTCACGCGGCGTGTTGTGATCTTGTTAAACGGGCCACCTCAAGACCAGAGGTGATCCAAGGGGAGAGCCACTAATCTGAGCATAGCTGGGGGTATGGTGTATATATATACATATATGTATATTCGCCGCGGGCATTGACATTGGGATCTAATTCCAAGTCTACTCGTGTGGCCGGGGGGCCAAATGCTTCTCAAAGGTGCTCCCGCCCATCGATCATGCCATCGCTAGGCGACAGAAACCAAATGGTGTGATGCAGACGTCCAATAACGTGGGTGTACTTTCTTATCTATTAAGTCATCACTCCCCGGTGGATGCAATGCAATGTACAGCTCCCCCTACACCTGCTACAACGAGTTTAGTCCTGCGGGCTCTGATATTCTAGGCTTCTGTTTCCGATGCGCTAGTGATTGACTCCTCAGGAACACACCCCAAAGCCCCCGGCAGGGTGGTATTCTCATCCGAACCGCTCCCAACGGGCTGACGGACCGGCACAGCGAGACGCGCAGCGTTCGTATCGGCGTGGCACTGAGGGGCAGAGTGAGTCTGGGCTAGGAATCATTTTGACGGCCCGTTTTGGTAGAGACTCCGCATTTACACCACCACGAGTTCAAAATCTCGGGGAATGAGCTAGGAGCGATCTCTCGCTCCAGGATGTCCTTCTCAGGTTCCCAATGGGAGTTGAACTGCGAATAGGACAAGAGAAACGTTAGAAAAGCAAGAATCGATTGGCGTAGAGGCTGATGGGTACGAAAAGGAAGAAGGGAAAATATAGATGCGTTCTATACCTGGCCCAGAGAATGAGTGTGTCTTGCGCAATGTAGTTGTCCAATACGGAGGAATCCGCCCATGAAACGCAGCCAGTCTTGTCCACCACACCATAATTCATTGACCTAGACTCAAATAATTCAATACAAAAAAAACAAAAATCCACTGCATTTAAGGCTACCAGCAAGTAGACAATGATTCTATACAGTTAGGGGACGTTGGTGATATACCTAGGTGTTGATATAAAACTGGAAGATCTGCAGAAGAAAACACAATGTTAAATTAAGTCTTCTGGATCAGACTATTACATATGGATTGAAATGCATCTTCATCGCCTCTTGGTAGATGTTTCTTGGACTTTTCAGTGTTGATCTTGACTGTCATGGAGTGTGGCTCTGGTTTGCCTTTGCCTATATGCGGTTGTCACCTTGAACAGCCAGCCTTTCAAGTCACATTCATCCCTGTCTGACCCCACTTGGCCTGGACTTGCCCCCTCTCAACCCTAACCCCACACAGCTGTCCACACCATGATACTCTGAACTTGGACCTAAGTCGGCTTTGTCATGGTGGTGGCAGATCCTGCAAGGGGACAGCTTCCCGGTGCTTCCCATGACACGAAGATATCCTGTGTATATGTAGCCTCGAGCTGGGATGTGTTTCCTCTTGTCTTTTGCCACCAGCCTGTGAGTGCCACCTGTGTTGTTCTATGTTCGAAGCAGTAGTGCTTGCCCCTGGTGTTTCCGGTCACCTGACCCCAGCAGCTGTAGGCAGGCATGGGAAACCTCGAGCCAACTCCAATCTCCCTTCTCCGAGTCATCCTCATCCTCAACCTCAACCTCAATCACACCGCTCATCAGCCCAAGCCAGCTCAACACAGCCAACCTGCCAATCCTGGATAACTGACCAGCGCCCAGCATCTTATGAGAAAGAATCCGTCTCATCCATGTGACCCATCGAATTGAACCGTGTGCGTCGAACGGAACCGGCATGGAATGTGCCCATACGGAAGACTGGGGGGGGGGGGCGCGCAAACACTGGGTGCAGGGCATGAGGTGAAGGCCTATTCGAGACCATGAACGCCCCTTCTCTCGCTCTGCTGGGGAGGAATGCCAAGGCGCGCATTGAGACGTGCCAGCACATCATCGGCTACACATTCAGGAACACCAAATATATCAGGCAAGCCCTGATGCCCCTTCACCCCATCCACCAGCGCCTGGCCCTGGTTGGAGACAAGGTCGCCGACGCCCAGCTAGTAGGCCGCTGGTACGAGAGCAAGAAGCGGCCCCTCCCGGACCAGTGGGCACCTATAAGAAACTCCTTGGTCAGCAATAGGAACCTCGCCGAGGTTGGCGTCCGCTTGCGCATCCAAGACTGTACGTTCCCGCGCTGTGGCCCTGGCAAGAGCATGGCCAACACCATGGAGGCCATAATTGGTGCTGTCTGGCTGGACTCAAAACGTGACTTTGGAGCAGTCAATGCGGTCATGGAGAGGCTTGGCCTCACAAAACACGCCCTAATCCGCTCCCCCAACACCACCTTCACCACCTTCCAGCCACGATGCGACACGCAGCACATCCAGTCAAGCCGCTCCTTGCCCGACCGCTTCTTTGTCGGACACCACGTGGGCCTGCTTCAGCTTTTGTTCAAGCATGGCCAGTCCTTCATCGTCCAGCAGCGCGCAGGCCAGCACGCTAACCTGTCGCCCCACAAGCCGGCGAAGGAGGCAGGAACAATGAATATTATGTCCGAAACGGCCCAGAAGCGGACTGCAGCCCCAGTCGCAAGGAAACACAAACATCGTGGCCACGACCCGGGTCATTCCTCCGACACCACCAACCCTCCCAAGCGACAGGCCCCAGAGCACGTGCTCACCGCTGGCGAGCAAACAAATGCAGAACGCAACGACTCCGCGCTGGACAGCGCTCTGCCTGAACAGCAACCGGTGACCCTGGGCGACCACGGTAGCAGTCTTGCCGGCCGGCATGACGGACCTACGGGCTGGTACCGCGAAGACACTGAGTGGAACCGACTCTACTATTTCATATGGGCTGTCAAAAAAGATAGAAGCCGACATCCTGCTGACCAAAACAGAATGCTCGATCGACTGAGAGCCCATAATCGAGTACTGCTCAAGCTCCCAGGGAAGTCGCTGAAAAACATGCCCGATGACTTTGCGGCTGACGGGGTCTTCTTAAGGACTCACTGCAGGGATCCCAAGGCCGACAGATCAGTGGCACTCCAAGCTCTGGCTTTGCTACGGCCGTATAAACGGCTGTGCGAAATACGTCACAAGGGCACTCTCCATCCGGAAGAAGAGAAGCAGTTGCTGCTCGTTAGAAACCAACTCATCAGGGTTTTCATGGCGAGATTGAAGCTTTGGCTTCCGTCCTCTTTGCCCAAATCAGGCCAAACGTCCCCCTGTTCATCCGAGACAACAGAGTCGGACTTACCAGCGACAGCTGCGGTCAATTCGACGAGGGTTTCGACTGCTGAACCATGCGAACACAAAAGTCCTCACGGGCCGGGCTCGGTCCTGTGGACAACTCACACAACCCAACACAAATCAGTCGATTGGAAGCACTGTCTGAGCAAACCCGCGAGCGAGAATCAGGACATCACCTAAGATACACCATTGGCCGCTGCGCAGCACTTTCATAGAGACTACGGGATTAGCCGACCCTTTCCACACAATGGAAGAAAACCATCACTCTCCGGCGGAGTCTTCGACACGGGAATTGCTTTAAGCTCATGACAGTACTCTCGCGAGGACGTGTCACAAGTTATGAATTTCTATCGACTACGCTTTATGCACCAGAACACCGAAAGTCCCCTAGACACACATGCGAAACAACGCCTGACGCCTGCTCGATGCCGTCCTTGAGAGTTCCCCTGCCATGAAGTTCTCCGTCGTCAATATCAGAACCACTATATGGAAACTAGTCAGTCACAGTCGGCACAAGGCAAGCGGTATATGATTGTGTGACTCATAACAGATCAAGGAAACATCGGCTTGGGGGATTGACTCACAACTTCGGTGAATTCCTCTTCGCCGATGCCGCTCCTCTCACACATGCCCCTGAACACGCCACCCAACTCCCAAAGCTCCTTCGGGGTGCCGAGCTCGATGATCTGGCCCTGGTGCATGACGCATATCCGGTCATAATTGATGATGGTGCGTATTCGGTGCGCAATTGTCAGCACCGTCTTGCCCTTGAAGGCCTGGAGCATCGTGCTCTGGATCTTCTCGTCCGTTTCCAGGTCCACGTTGGAGGTAGCTTCGTCGCACACGACAATCCTGCTTCCCCTGACCAGCACCCGGGCGAGTGCGAGGAGCTGCCGCTGGCCGAGTGAGAAGTTCAAACCCTCCTCCTCGACCTTATCGTCCAGGTTGAGCGAGCCCAGGTAGGCTTGTTGCAGAGCATGTATGAGCTGCCATTCGGAGCAGTTGTTGAACGGGTCGAGGTTCGACCTGACAGTGCCGCGGAACAGCGTCGTATCCTGGGGGATGATGGAAAGCCGTGAGCGAAGCGCATCTAAAGGCAACTTGGAGATATCCTCCCCGTCGATGCCGATGGATCCACCGTCGAGCTCCTGCATCCGGAAGAGGGCGCCGATCAGGCTGGACTTGCCAGCCCCGGTACGCCCGATGATACCAATGCGCTCGCTCCCGCCGACCTTCAGGGAGAAACCCTTCAACACTTCGGGGAGGTCAGGTCTGTACCGCATACGCACGTTGTCGAAGGTGATCTCGCCGGCGAAGGGCCATGCCGAGGTTGGCGGCCTTGGGACTACGCCGTTGTTGACGGTGGACCCTTCCTGTGGGATGTCCTTGCCGTACGAGTACAACCGCTCGGTGGCGTTCATCGCGTTCTCGACGTCGGCAAACTGCCTCACGATAAACTGCAGGACTTGCGTAGCGCCGAGGATGTACGAGAGGACCAGCCCGGAAATGGCCGGGGACTGCGTGAAGCGCTCCTGGACAACCACAATTCCCACGGTCAGGATGAGGATGACCCCGACCAGGTCCAGCCGCATGTTAAGCCACCGCTGGTTGGAAAAGGTCAGGTAGTTGGCGCTGTCCATGTTATCTATGGCCATTTTGATCGTTTTCACGAAGCGATCTTGTGAGTCGTAGCTGCGGATGCAAGACACGCCGCTCAGACCCTCGGTGAAGCGGGCGAAGACGACGGACCGGAGGACGGCCTCGTACCGCTTTACTTCACGCGCCGAGGCGCGGTAGTAGGCAGCTGAGAAGAAGAATATGATCATGACGGGGACAAGAGCGCAAATGAACTGTTGACGATGTTAGTAACTCGGGTGTGCACGACTAGGCGAGAATCTGAGGCTGGAGAAATCGGGATGCACTCACCCAGTAGAAATAGGAGAGAATCAAGGCGAAAATGGAGACAACCATCGCAATAGATATGCAATAGAGCCGAAGAGCCTCGGTCAGAGAATAATCCATCACATCAACGTCCTTGGAAAAGCGGTTGGTGATGCGGCCCAGGGGTGTCGTGTCGAAAAACGCGATGGGTGCGTGCAGTATTTTCCGCAGTGCCCTGTTCAGCATGTGGTTGCTGGAGCTTGTGCAAGTGATGGCGAGGCAGATGCCAAAGGCGTACAGGAAGAGGGCCTGAGTGACACAAAGCATGACATATATGCCGATGTAGGTATTCTCCGGCAGACCGTATTTGTCCTGGCTCCACCATGCCAACCAGAGACTGGAAAGGATGTTCAGGCCCTGCGCCAGGCAAAGAAGCGGGACTATGAGGGCGACCAGCGCCATGTTGTCCGCAGACGTAATGTACGAGATGTAAACCGACCAGGGGATGCTCTTGGTGTTCTGGTCCTCGGTAGACATGAGGTCCTTGAGTTTCCCAGCAGCTGCTTTGGCCGCCTTGGCGGCTGCAGTTGGGGCGGCGGCCGCGGTACTGACCGCCGTTGTTGGTATCGCTGAATCGGCGGTTGCTTCGTTGTTTTGCTGCGCTGCGGCGGCCCGTTCGTGGACCATCTTGGCAAACTCTTTGTTGTTGACCATGAGGTTGAGGTATGAATCAACAGCCCGGACGCGGCCATTCTCCATCCATATGATGCGATCACACTGGTTGAGAACGTGCATCTGGTGCGTTGCGAGGACCCGTGTCTTGTGGCTGAGGAGACCACATATGGCCGTCTCAAAGATGAACTTGCCGACATAGGGGTCGACCGCACTTAGGGGATCGTCCAGTAGCAGGATGTCGGCTTTGGAGTACACAGCCCTGGCCAGGCTGATGCGTTGTTTCTGGCCCCCAGAGAGGTTGATGCCTCGCTCGCCGATTTCTGTCGCATCACCGTGTGGGAGTGTTTCGAAGTCAGCGGTAAGCGAGCACGCGTGGACAACGATACGGTACCATTCCTCGTCGGCCGGGTTTCCGAAAATGATGTTGTCCTTGACAGTAGCATTCTGTATCCACGCGTACTGGGCACAGACGGCCTTGGATCCGCCCCAGACCACTGACCCGTCCGTCCTGCGCATGTCGCCTGTCAGTGCAGAGAGCATCGAAGTCTTGCCGGACCCAACGCCGCCAACAATGGCGATGAGCTCTCCCCGGTTGATATCGATACTGACGCGGTCAAGAGAGAAAGCCATCTCCTCTTCGACCAGAGTCGTACTTGAGCCATGCTTCTCCTCAGTCCCGCTCTTCCCAGATGTTTTACTTTGAGCACCTGGCACTGATGCGGTCGAGGACTGCTTCTCCCAGGTGAAGGTGGCATTATCTACCTGGATGGCACTCTCCAGGCTCGGGTCGACTTCGAAAACCTCCTGTTCTTCCTCCAGGAGGTACTCCTGGATCCGTTGCATGGATGCCCAGGCGTCGACGGCCATGCCGAGGCAGACAGGTAGGTACGTCAGGGGGCTCCGGAGACTGTTGAAGATAGCCATGGATGAGAAGACGACAGCCGGGGAGAGCCCGCTGTGGGTTGTGGCGTATGTGACAAAAGCAAGCATGGCTGCGAAGATAGGCACGGTCTGCGATACCGCAGTGACAATGTTGCGGAATGCCATGAAGAACTGCAGCGCTGTTGTCTCTGTAGCTCGGAGACCAATGATGCGCTCGACAAATGAAGTCTCCCAGCCAAAATACTTGACCAACCTGACTGCCGACAGGACTTCTTGAGTGAGGCCTACTCGTTTGTCTGTGATTTGGTTGATCTTCTTGCGCCTGACATACAGATTGCCGACCGTCTTTGCGAGGAAGACCATCGCCACGATCAGAATGGCCAATCCTGCCAGGGCGCTGTAGCTCAGGTTGACGATCAAAAGTGCCACTGCAATGATGGTGATGAGCGGTGCGGTCCAGACGGTGTGGATCAAACCAGCAGCTGCATCAATACGTGCAGAGTCGATGGCCATTAGGCCGATGACCCGCCCATTCGACCACCCCATTTCTGTAACAGCGGAACTCTTCTGCTTCTTTGCACTCTTTGCTTTCACTTCGTGCGTTGGGGATTGCGCTGTCTCGTCTTGCTGCGCAGAGGAGTCCTCGTCGCCACTGATCAACGTTGCCTGGGTGTCGCTGAATGATGGCGGCTTAATTCCATTCTTGGCTCGCCCTGATATCTTCAGCGACTTATTGAAGATGGCTGTGATGAGAACCGCTCTTGTCTGACCGCCGACCATGTGCCCGTTGTAGAAGAAGTGGTTTGTGCAAAAGCTTTGTATGACCTGCATGCACATGATTCCGAAGACCAGACCGTAACCGTGGGAGACAGGAGGCGGCTCGACGCCCTCCAAGTTGGCATAGTACGACTCCAGCGCAAACTGGATGAGGTAGCGGAGGGTGTAGGGAGACCCGACAACGAACAGGTCAGAGATCAGCCGGCACAAGCCTCCGAACAAAAACTCAGCCTTGAATGTGCTGTACAAGGCCCAGAACAGAGGTGCTTTGTAACCTGCCTCGACGCCTTTTTCGAACGCGGCCCTGACGAGCTCGGCATGGGCCTCGACAGACCGGTCAGGATTGAGAAGCCAGATGTCATTTATTTTGAGAGGTCGCCGGAAACCCACCTATTGGTCAAGACTTGTTAGTTGTCAGTCCACGAAGGAGAAAGCGTCCGCATCGGGAAGATGCCCGAGCTCGCAGATATGTGCTATCCAACGGGTGGAATACGCCTTTGCAACGGCTCAGCTGCCTATTTCATTCAAGAGACAGGTCCAAGTGTACGATATATGAGATATGGTGAGATGTGAGAGCGGAGTTCGTGTGCTGGGCAGACAGAAGACAATAATACACAGGTCGGTACTTACGGACATCATTGATGACATCCATTGGAATGTCAGTCGGCTAATTATTCCGGCAGTGTACTCTGGCGAGACGGTCCTTTCACTGGGGTATGTTGGAGGTGGTCTTGTCCTAGTGAGCCAGGAAAAGAATCCCTTGCCAGAAGCCCTCTCCTCACGGGTTTCCTGCTTTCCCACAGTCATCTCTGTGGTGGTAGTTGTGGTGATTGTGGACGTCGTCGCATCACTCTCTCTCCGTTGTTCCTCCACATCCTGATAAGCCGGAGGTGATGTCTCTCTCTTGTTTCGCTTCAGCGGCCCCTCCTCGGCCCCTGAAAGCGTGGACTGTGATATAGTTTTGGAGGAGGATGAATGGAGAGAGGATTGCGATTGTTTACGATCTGTATCCACGGAGACGCCACCGGGATGCGTCTTTGCTGCGAAATTGCCGGTGGACTCGGTCGACATTATTTCGGCTCTACCGGTACTGCTATTTGCTTCGGCTTCGTCTGCGCCTGGTTCGTGACCTGTTTTCATGGCCTCGATCCCATCCCCCAGGTCGACTTCTGTGAACCTAGACTCGGGAGCCATGGTTGGTCCCTCTGAACGACAATTATCAGATCAAGGCTGAGATCAGAGCCCGAATTTTGGCCTGGACCGGTAGCCGACGCACGTGGATAGGTTGCACAACTGGTCCCGGACCCTGGCCTTGCATGGGGACAGCAGGATGAGAAGAATAACGGTGCATCGGCCATGTTATGCCAAGCCACGACCATGAAGAAGGCATGGTTTTATCGGCTGTGTTGCCATAATCCAGGGCATAAGCATCGTCCTCGCCGGTTAGGAGACAATGTGCCAACGTGGGTCAGCGCCTTCGAGTTTGCCCTCGCGTGCGGCTGTTCACAACTTGTCCCTGTAGGTGAGCGGCGATTGGCGCTATGTGTGGCCACGATATCACCGATTTTGTTTTTGTCTGGAGCCACTCCGAAAAGTAGACGTCAGCAGACATGTCAGCCATGAAGACGGGGCTGACAGCAGTGCAGTCCATCATGGACATGGGGCAGCGCATGGCTGACGGGACCGTCTTCCCGCGTTCACCCCCAGCCGTGAGGATAGAGCACCCTCTCGCCACCAACCAGCTGGCATGATCAAATGTAGTCTTCAAGCCTCAACAGTCTCAATTCAGAGTCCACATTCTGTTGCCTGACCCATTGCTGGGGACCATACCCCCCTAGCTGACAGAGTTTGCGACGGCCTCTCGCCACTGTGACTGAACTGCCCTCTTTCCTTGCCAAGCTAGGATTACAATTAGCCAACTCTAACCAGGCCCTCACTGACCTAAGTGCGCGACAAGCCGGAATGGGAAAATCGTTTTGGGACTATCGAAGTCATGGACCACGAGTTGAGACAAGCGCACTGCATTATGGTTGGCCCCCGGACCCGCTGCCATGTGCACGTCACATCTTGGGGCTTAGAGTGGTGGACATCCGGAGGCAAATAGACGAGAACGGTCTGTTGTTATCCGCAAATATTTTCTCTGTGACTCAATAGGCTGACAGTTGCTCGCTAGTGCTCCATCGATGCCCTGAGCTGACCATTGCGACATTCCACCGTGGGAGTTCGTAGCCCCATCAAGCTGCGACTGACGCTTGCAATTCTGAATTCTAGCAGTTCGGGGAACTTGTCCCATTTTAAACAAGACTGATTGTGAAAATCAAGAGTGTTTATAAGAATGACTGCAGATCCTGTCATACTCGGTCGTCATGATTCATCTTGATACACTGAATTTTGCCAACTAGGACCTGAGAAGGTTGCACAAGTCGTCAAGTCTCACCTGTCGATATCAAGTCAGGCACATCGCCCCACTCGGCTCTAATGGCTCCCACTCTTCCGACTATCACGCTTGACCAAACCCTCTTCGACCTCTACTCTCTCGATGGAGGAAATGGTCATGAAGTCGGCTTCGTCATGGCCGTGCCTCCCCCGGGGCCCCAAGTCGCGCCATCCTTCCCGAAGCCGGTCAAGTATGCGTACCAGTCCCCGAGGTACCCAAAGCTCGATAACGACATCTACGCTCGTATCTGCCTAGGGTCCGCGGCTCAGTACCACGCTTTTCAGACTGGACCTATTCCTCTTTACCTGTTCGACGTTGAGCCCCCAAAGAGCGGCTTCTTCGCCAAGCTCACCGCCGTGCCTGGTCATCGCGAGGACGCCGAGCGTGTCTATTCTCAGCTTGACCCTGCTCAGAGGCCCGAGGTCAGGTTCATCAGCGTGCCGTCGGACATCAAGAGAGCAGGTGACACCAAGCTCTTCTCATACACCCCATTGGATATCCTGGACGGCCGTACGTTGACTGTTGATACCGACGTTCACTACAAGCTGCTCTCCAAGAGGACGTTGGCTTTTGCACCTCTGACTAGTCCTCGCTCGGATGTTATCGACTCGCATCTGTCACATGAGGAAGCCAAGGATCCTCTTCTGGTCGCTTCAGAGGTGCAGAAAATGCTCGCACCTATTCAGAAGCGTGACTTGCCATTTGTCGTCAAGGTCCCCCAAGCAGTTGGCGGCCAAGGTGTCTTCGTTCTCAAGGACGAGGCTGACCGCGCCGACTGCCTTGAGGGCCTCCAGGAAGAGACCGCCAGCATGGTCCGGAGCGTCAATGCCGCTAACGAGCATCTGAACCCAGCCTGCCTGATTCTCCAGGACATGCTTCCGGGTGTCCCCCGTGGTCTGAATCTCTTCGTCACGAAGACTGGGCGCTCCGTCTGGGTCAGCTGCACCGAGCCAATTCTAGACGAGCGTAATTATTGGAGCGGCGCCTTTGTCGACTTCAATCGCCAAAAGCACTGGGAGGAGTACTACGGTGAGACGGCCAAACAGATCTCCAAATATGTGTTTGACCAGGGCTACTATGGTCCTCTGGGGGCGGACATCATGTTGGATGAGAACAACAAGCAGCATGTCATCGACCTGAACGTGCGGTTGACCGGGAGCTACATCTTGGGGCTGATGCGGAACCACTTCACCTCCCGGGGTCTGAACTGCGCCTCTCTCTTGACGCCTCTTGCTGTGAGAGGAGACCGCAATGCCTTCGAGGCGCAATTCTCCAAGGAGCTGGAAGAAGGCCGCCTTGTCATCACCGGCTGGACTCATGGTCGCGGCGGACCAGGCGGGATTTTCAGGTACAGCATTGGTTCCTTGGTGGTGGGAGGTGAGGATCAGGCCTCCATGCTGGCCATGATGGATACAGTGAACGCTATTCGCATCCGCAAGTAAAGCTGGAAATGGGAGGAAGACGGAAGACGGAAGACTACAGCTGGGAGGCCGGGGTTTCCTTTGTATTACGCTCACAAGTAATGCTTATTAGTATTTTGAATATAGTAATTAAACATGAATACCGAGATTCGCACCTGCAAAAATGAAGGGTACACCGGTACATCGCCACCTTTAAATCATGTAAGAGTTCGCACACCCAAAACCCATACCCACAATCAACACTCATACGCCTAACTTGCACGCCTAATTCGCACGCCTCATTTGAGTTAGGCATGTGGGTGTTGGGTGTGGGTGGGCGAGTTAGCCTGGGTGATGCGCTCTAATTGGCTACAGCTATGGCGTGAGTTGAGGTACCGGTGTGCCCTCCTATTTTGCAGGTGCGAGTCTCCGATGTCTTAAATATTATGCGTTGGAAGTCTGCAAGTGAAGCCTTCCACGTTATGACGACAGAAATCCCCCATTATTGAAGTCGGAACGCAGAAAATTTTGTGACTCGAGCCAGTGAGAAATTGAGCTGGAGTCAATAGATTGATGCAACGCTTCGCATTGCAGACACACTTTGACTTCCATTGGATGCTCCTGCTGCGAGACGCAAAGCGCAAATTACAAACACCTGTTTCCAACCGAAAGTTTTCCATCGCTCTTGATTGAATGCTACAAGTTTACGATCTGAGATTCAGAAACAGACTATATGTTTTCAGAAGGTTGAGAAACATGTCACACTCAAATAAAGTACAATTCCACGTTGAATTTAGATTAGCTACAAACTCATCCCGATGTCTGGGGATAATCACAACGTATTGGGATTCTCCTTACTCAAAAGCTCCGCTACTATAGGAACTTAGGCAATGGCGAAAATTCGGATCGAGTTTCCAAATCTGGAACTGACTGAGCCTGAGACCACTTTGTAATTCAGAAACCCATCATACTAGAAGGTGGGAAGAAGGAGGACGATGCATGCAAGCGGTGTCGGTCAAACATTGCCTCGTGGGAATTTTGTATGCTTGATAGATCAATCACATTAAATTCCTGACAGGAGGCTGACATGATGACACTGGCTGACACAGATCCTGTGTATAATGTGCCCAGACTGGTGCCAGTCTCCCGCCATTCGTACGTATGAGCGCACCAGTGGCCAACTGGCCACCGCCACGATGATGTCAACAAATATTTTCTATCGTACTTCACCAGTAACTACATTTTAGAAGGGCTGCTGCTTGCGTTGAGGATGACAGGACGAGTTGCCACGAAAGTGGGCTCATTCGTTCTGGCCCCGGCTGTATGTCGTGATGACTGGAGTTCATGATGAGATGGCTCTGCTTGTCCCCAATCACAACACCATCTGGCTGACAACCCGACGATCAACTCCAAAAATATTCTCTGAGGCACGTATGACAGGTCTCTCATGCATGTCATCAAGGTGAACTCGAGTGAATGACCGCCGTCTCCCCCATACTTAAGAACATGACATGCCCTTCACAGTCACTCGTGTCATTCTCCATCATCGGGATATTCAACGCCGGCTCAGGATTTGGTAAGCAGTGCGATGCACCATAGCCAGCACGATCACCACTTCTGACCTGGCCTTACAGTGCATAGACTCGCTTTACCTAACGGAGCACGCCTCCATCGCGGCCCTCTCAACAGGCGAAAACGTACCCGGTCAGCAAGCCGGACCCTGCCTACCCATATAGGAAACGCACCCCAGCGGACAGCCAGATAAGCCCGTCATGCAACTGCTCTCAGAATACCTCCCCGTCGCGCTCGGGTGCCTCGTGGTTCTGGTCTTGGCAAGCAAGGTGCAGAATTATCTCGAGGCCCAGGCCTTTGCGCAGAAGAACGGCACGCAGCCAGCGAGGAAGCTGCCGCAGTGGGAGCAATGGGTCGGGATCCAGAACGTGCTCGAGATGCTGCGGGCGGCAAGAAACCACGGCATTCTCGAGCTGGGCCTGCGGCGGTACACGGCCATGGGCAAGACGTTCGAGACCAAGGCGCTGGGGAGGTCTTTTACGCATACGATCGACCCGGAGAATATCAAGACGGTGCTGTCGACCAACTTCAAGGATTTCGCGGTGGGCCAGAGGATAGACACTCTCGGACCGCTGCTTGGCTCGGGGATCTTCACGACGGATGGGGCGGCTTGGGAGCATTCTCGGGTGAGTTGTTGTTCCGGTCTTCTCATCTTCTTTCCCGCTTTGCGTTCGTCGTCTTATATGGACCGTGGTCGGATCGTCGTCTTGGCCTTCCGGCACTGGCGTTGCATCCCGCCTGTCATGCACCTGTCATGCACCCCCTCAGTGCCTTTCTCCCCCGAAAAGAGCCCCTTGCATCGGCCGGAGCGCCCGCTGGTCGTGTCCTGAAGTGGCACCTGGCATCTCCGCGCGACACCGATGCACTTTCGTTCATTCCGTCCATATCGGACTGATGTCCGTCCTCATCGTCAAAAAAGAACGGAGACGGTTGGACTCGGGGTGAAATCGAGAGTTGCCCCCTTCGGGATTTTCCAGCTTCCCTGATTGGTCACTGAAAGCTTACACACTCCTGCACCACCACCGCTGCCTCCCTACTCACACTTGACCCACATTCAAAGTGCCCCTAAAAGATAGCAGCTTGATGGCTACAGCTAACATGTCCCCAGGCACTTGTGAGACCGACCTTTGCCAAGTTACAGGTCAGCAATCTGGATACCTACGAGGAGCATGTGTCGCACCTGATCAACTTGATCCCCTCGAATGGGGCGACGGTGGACTTGGCGCCGCTCTTCTTCCGGCTGACGATCGACGCGGCCACGGAGGTACTGTTTGGGCGGAGCCTCAATACGCTGCAGAAGTCGCCCGACTCGGAGGAGCACATGTTTATGAGGGCCTTCGACACGGCCCAGTCCAAGGCGCACTTCCGGCCCCGGAACTGGTTCGTGGCCAACTACATCTTCCGGGATGCGGACTGGGATGCAGCCCTTGTGACTGTGCACAGCTTTGTCGACAGGTACATCTCGAATGCCTTACGGAAGAAATGCGCCAGTTCACCCGCGAGCACGGCGCCTACCAGCCCGGGCAGTAAGGCGGGCGAGGAGGACGACTCCTCCTGCATCGTGGGGCCCGATGGTAAGAAGAGGTACGTGTTCCTGTACGAGATGGCCAAGGAGACCTCGGACCCGATCGAGTTGCGACATGAGCTGCTAAATGTACTTCTTGCCGGCCGTGACACCACTGCGTCGCTACTGTCAAACACCTTCTTCGTCCTGTCTCGCCGTCCCGACATTTGGGCCAAGCTCAAGGAGGAGGTCGATGCTCTTGGCGGTGTTTTCCCGGACTATGACACCCTCCGCGGGATGAAATATGTCAAGCATCTCCTCAACGAGTGTAAGTCTCGAGACCTTCGCACCTTGCGTTTAAAAAATCCATGAGCCCCAATCCTTCCCTGAGCATTTTTCGCCGAGGAGGATACACTCGGCTTCGCTATCGCGTTCGATGCCAATTCGGGATCGCATTCGCATCATCCGCCAGCGAGGCTGCCATCCAATGAGAAGCCAAGACTTTCACATTCCGTCTCACTCGATTCCGAAGGAGCCATTCCCTTTCCGTGCCCCTGGGTCCCCTCCATAAATACCAAAGCCACGCCAGAAGATCTGTACTGACAATTTCTTTTCTCTCTCAGCTCTTCGTCTTTATCCAGTCGTCCCTCTCAACTCTCGCATCGCAAGCCGGAACACCGTCATCCCCCACGGCGGCGGGCCCGACGGCCAGGCCCCCGTCACAATCGGCAAGGGCGAAGGTGTCTCGTACTCGGTCTACGCCATGCACAGGAGGAAGTCAGTCTTCGGAGACGACGCCCACGAGTTCGAACCAGAGCGCTGGGCACGTCCCGAAATGAGGCCCGGATGGTCATATCTTCCGTTCAATGGTGGCCCGCGTATCTGCCCGGGACAGCAGTTCGCCCTGACTGAGGCAAGCTATGTCGTTGTCAGGCTGGCGCAGACGTTTGACCGGATTGAATCGCGGGACCCGAACCCATGGACGGAGGGCTTGGGGCTGACGACTGTCAATTTGAACGGGGCCAAGGTCGCGCTCGTCAGGGACGCGTAATTGGAGTGACGATGCGTCACGTTAATTTTCATGGTGGGAAATATGGTGGCATAGCGTGTGTTGAGTTCCAAATTCTTTCCCAACTTGCTTTCGCATTCTACTAGGCGCTTTGTGATCGTGGGTTGTGTGCGAAGATATTGACGCCGGCTGAGTATACATTCAGAGATACTCTGAGAAAGATTATGCAAAATTCAGTTCATACGAAAACGAAAAAAGTGTTGAGATTTACCTTGTTGAGATCCTTTGAGAATTTCTGCACACAATTCTATGCACCGCTGTTGTAAAGGCTTGATGTTCCATCTATTGTTCGTCCGCGATGAACTGACAGAGCCACCGACAGAAGAGACTTTGCGCGCTTCACCAGACATGGCGAATCGATGAAAGATTCGATTGCCTTCGTGAGAAATTCCAAAGTTCACCACCTAGGTGTCACATGGAGAAACATCGCTCATATCAGCAAGGAACGCCTGCAGATTTCGACCAAGAGCAGCAAAGAGCGTCCCGTCTGCCAAGGGTACCAAGACGAGGTTGTGTTCAAAGACGATGGTTAAAAGTAAGACCTTGGAAAAAGCATCAAGGTACAATACAAATCTCAGTTTTACTGAGAGCCACTTATATGCTAACTGAATCTGACATTCCGGTGCCTCCTTCCTTCCGCCACTGGGCTGTTGACCCTGCGATAGAATTTAAGGCCGCCTAAGCAGAAACGCTCCGATGCACAAAACGACCGAGGACTCCGCTTAGCACCAAATATACACAAAGAACTCCATATCCAAGCCGGACCCATCCAATGGAAAACAACAGCACGCCAGCGTCAATACAGACAGCGTGAGATAAGACACGAGCTAATGGGACGCAAATTTGTCCACCACCTCGATCCCCGACCGCAGAAATTTTATGAATAATCAGAAACAAACACAACATTTCATCCACACTAAGCCCCAGTCGTGCAAATTCGAGCGGCACGTTGGTCAACAATGATGTTGTATGTTTTTGTGGTATGAATCAGCCAATGCTGAATTTCAAGCGAGCATCGTGCCATCGTCAGCCATCAGCAGCGGGTCTACCAATGAAGGCTGTTGATGGCGACGGGCACACGCCTGCAACGACTGCTGATGCTCGCTATCAAGCAGTCAACTGCCATCGACAAGCCCCTCTGGGTTGCGCCAGTCAGGAACCAGCTCGTCCACGTCAACATCTGGGTTTTGCCGGGCATTGTACAGCAGCAACAGCGATGCCAGCGCCACCCTGTCACACTGCATGTTGTTGGTGCCAGCAAGCTCCGTGAGGAGGGCCCAGAGGTTTGGTAACTGTGCAAAGAGGTACGTCAGCACGATTACACAAGGAGAGGGGCCAATTCAGATACACGAGAGAAGAGAAAGAAAAGAGAAGGAAGAACAAAAACAAAAACCAAGAAAAGGTAACAAGACACTGGATACGACGACATCGTGAAAAGCGAAAGGGACCGAGCTGGGCAGAATCAAGGAAAGTTGGGGAAAAGCTACCTGAGCCCCTAGGAACACTTGATCACTTACATTATCCTGAAATACGCGCTGCATCTCCTCGGGGACGGCTCCCATAGAGGCAATGCTCCCAGGGACACCGCCAGATCCGGAAGATGCTTCCGAGTTCATCTCGCCATCAAACATCATGACGTCCTGGCCGGCTTGCATGACGTTCTGTTGATGCTGCTGGCGTCTGCGGGACTTCCTGATGACCTGATCGAGCTCCTGGGTATACATGCCCTGAGCGGATTCGACAATCTTCTCGCGGTAGCCGCGGCTCTCCCAGACGGTCCATTTGGAGGACGATTCTTGAAGACTTTCGAGCACGTTGGCTAGCTTGCGACCACGCGAACTGCGTTGAGCAAGCTCGGCAACACTATTCTTCTGGAAAGTAGAGGTGTAGTAGCTGGTGACCATCGAGTCAAAGTCGGGAAAGCCTGCTGCTCTTACGAAAGTGAGGATGGCCTTGAACCGAGATGTGTTGGTGGCTGAGGCGGCTGAGTTGGCGGCATCTCCGGGACTCGCCGAGCCGGAGCCTTGCGAGCCCACGGTGCCCCTTCGGAAAGCTGACGCGCCGTTGGACTGCCTCGAGGAGTCAATCGGTGTCTGCATCTCTGGAAACAGCGGAGGGCTCGGCAGTGGCGGCTGCATCAGCTTCTCCAGGAGCACATCCTCCATGCCGGTCGCGAAAGAGCTTTTCTTTGGGTTGTGCATTCCCTGCTGGTTTTGAGGCGAGGACATGAAACTCATGAACTGGACCCGCATCTCCTCGCGGTGTTGTGCACAGGGGCCTGTCATGCTATTGCAGCTGCAGGACATGTTCAGGTACTCGTTTGCGAAAGCTGCCAGGTCACCGTCCGGTGTCGGCAGCAAGGTCGGGTCAGGGACCCAACTCTTGTTCATGTCATCCCCAAAGGCATTCATGGTGCCTGGTGGTTGCAAACGGGCAGCCGAAACTTGGATTGGCGACTGAGAGAGATTGCCGGAGTGGTGGTGTTGGTTATGAGGGAAGCCACCAGTGGGGTGCAGGTGGTGTATCGGGTAATTTGTGATAGAGCTGTTGCTGCTCACGCTACCTGCACTGCTGCTTCGACTGGAAAGACCGAAGTGTGCGTGGTGGGCGGCTTGCTCTGCAGCCTGCTCCCGTGCCAGGCGGTCCTTCTCCTCTGCTACTCTCTCCTTTACTTTTTGCCCTGAGGCGAGGATAGAGTCAGCAAAATTCAAGCAGGTATGGGCGCAGGGAACGTTGGTATGTCGTAGCCAGGGAGAGAAGGGGGGGGGGGCAAGGACAGGCTTTAAGGATGGTCTCGACCCAGCGACACCCAGCCTGCCCAACGAATGATCCTCGCTTGGAAGAAAAGGAGCGAGACGAGACATAGTGGAGACTCACGATGGTTTCGTTGTGCGATCCTGTTCTGGATCCTCCGCCTCTGAACAGCACCGGGGCTCTGAGACCTCGTCTTCTTGGGTTGTGTGGGGTTGACTGGTGCCGTGGATGCGGGTTCCGCGCCGGCAGTTGCTGCAGACTTGGTGGAGGTTTGTGCAGAGTCTGTTGCTATTGTGGCAGAAGTATTGGTGGAAGAGACGGAAGAGATGGTGGAGGTGACTGAAGAGGAAGAAGATGACACCGATGTGTCAGAAGTGCTGCCGGAATTTAATTCGTCCTGCATTGTGGATAAAACCAGACAAGCGTCAATACGGCCGTCCAAGTGCCTTGATGTTGGCTGGGCTGCAGCAATGCGGTGCAATGCCCGAAAAAGATTGGGCCGGTGTGTCAGGACCTCGTGGCTCTTGGAGCTGTGTTGGTTGACAACACAGGGCGGAGGTGACAACGGCTGTGGAGTCGACTGCCCGAAGATGACAGGAAGTGGTGTTGCAAAGAGGTGGCGATACGTTACGACAAGACAAGACAAGACAATGCAAGACAAGAGGAGGGAGGCAACACAACCAACACAGGGTATGGAGCAAGGGGCAAGGGGCGAGGCCCACGAGTCTGCGGGTGTTGGTTGGGCTGAGTGTTGGTGATGTTGCAGAGCTGGTGGGGTTCTCTGACTGTCTAGTCGAGTAAGGGGAAGTAATGCAGTGATATATCGATCACCGCGCGTGGGCCAGATGATGGAGCACGATGATGGCGAGTGGTGATCAGAGGAGGGTCAAGCTTTCTCGATCTCAGGGACCCAAGAAGGCGGCTTGGTTGTTTAAGTGTCAAGCACTCAGCCAAGCCCGGGAGCCAAGATTGCCAAGGAGATTTGACGGTTGAGAGCCTGCCTGTGTCTCTGGGGCCGGGTTGTGGTGGTGGTGTGGTGGGAACGTTCAAGAGAAGGATGAGGATGCTTGAGACACACTCGCGCACACACGCACACAACCCGCTCGTTGGAGCAGACGAAGGTGATGGGAAGATGATGGGGTGTGTGGATATCAATCCCGGGGTCAAAAGCCAGGGACCAGGACCAGGACCAGGACCAGGACCAGGACAAGGATGGGATGAGATGAGATGAGATGAGATGAGATGCGAGACGGTGGGGAATTCAGAAGGGAACCGTCCACCGGGGACTTTGCGGTGTTGATAATAATGTGGACGTGGACGTGCATGTGTGGTACCCTTTTTCCCCTCTGCCCTTGCAGGATGGGGTATAGGGCGAAGGCTAACGGGGAAGGGGAGCAGGAAGCAGGAAGCAGTGACAAGAAGATGGAGCTTACTGACCACGAGGAACAGGGACAAGGAGACCAGACGGGGAGATCAGACGAGACGAGACGAGATGCACCACAAAAACGCTGCCCTGCCGGTCTCTCAGTCTCACCCGCAGATGGGAGCCCCAGATGGAAGCCACCGAGATACGCCAAGGTACCTACCCAGGGCACTCGGGGACGTGGAACGTGGGATGGGACCAAATGTCGAAGGAGCGAGGCTCTTTCTCGAAACGGCTGCTGCTCTGAGAGGGAAGCAAGAAGCTACCTAGGTCCTGTGTGAGAGTGGCAGGAGGCAGGGGTGTCCCCGTTGGTCCTGAGGCGGTGGTGAATTTTGGAACAATTTAGCCCACCGGGCAGGTGCATCGACGCCCGGCTGCCCGAAGCGGTTAGCCCAAACGTCTCGACTTCGACTTCGACTGCGCGCCCTTCCCTTTTCGGTAGTAAGACGGGACAAGGCGAGCAGCGGAAACAAAGAAAAAGGTCCCTGGCAGCAGGGGGCCGATTTGTCGGGCAAGGAAGGAAGGAAAACCTTGGGCCGGAAGGCTTCAAAGGCTGGAAAGGGGAGCTGCGAAAGCCTCACAAAACACAAGCACAAGCACAAGCACCAGCACCTAAGACCAGGCCACCATCGACGACGAGGGCGAGGAGACGACACGCGAGATATATGGACAGCCACACATTCCATCGGGTCAACCACAGCCTTACGGTGCTATGAAGCGGCTACCTGCTGCAGCGGTGACGTCGCCAGTCAAAAGGCCGACCATGACACTGTCAGCCCCGCTTGCTCACTCGCTTTGCTCGTAATCAAATCGCGATCTCGAGCTTTCCTCAACTCGCAGTCGATGGGCTGGAGATTCCGCTGGAACAACCTCCTCCACTCGCAGGGCGCAGCACGGCAGAGGCAAATCCTGTTCGGCACTGCGCATCCTTGGGCAGCATCCATTCAAACAAAGACAATGACCATCTGAAAACATCCACCAGGCGCCCACGCGGCTGTCAACCGCCCACGAAACCCCCGTGGACGACTGCAGCCTTGCTTTCACTTTCTCTTGTGGGTCCGAGCATCCCAAACGGCAACACCAGCGCCAAGATGGTCAAGCTTTCCGCAGCTGGCCGGAGCAGACGCGACGGTCTGATCGCCCAGAGAGCTCACCATATCATCTGCTCACGCACCATATGTGCACCTCAGGATCGACATGGTGGTCGGCCGAGTTAAGCTGGCCATGCACCGGCCCATGAGCTACAGTATCGAGTCTGAAAAGTCGCCGGCTCAGGATCCAGGCCACGGGCCACATCAAATAATCTCGATGGTGCCGAGGCAGCCTCCCATATGGTAAGCCCACTCAGGCGCTCTGGATTTCTCGCCGGCTTTTCAATGTTGTCACTGTCACGACCCTGCACTTGTGTCTTGTCGGCGTGACACGCCTTTCCCAACATGACAGCCGGCTCGAAAAAGAGCACTGGGCACAAAGATTCCCGGTAATAGAAATCATCCAGAGATGACTCTCCGTGTCAGGACCGCGTGGATGGAACACGCCATCTCTTGCTGCGGCGCAACAAATAGCCAGGCTCATGAATTTGAAGAGGCGGATTCGGCCCCGAGACGAGACGGTGGAGGTGATTGCACAGGAACCGCGCAGCTGCTTCCATGGGAAACCAAGTCTTGAGCTGGTATCGTGCGCACGACGACAACAAGGTTCAAAGTGCTTCCTTCGCCAGGTTCGATATTGGGCGACTGGTACAGCGCTTCCGACGCTATTCTCCAGCACCCTAGGGGCCAAAGTGCACGAGCCAATCACGAACCCTGCCCCGCCACATTTTCCAGTGGACTCCCAGCGCCCATCTCATCCTTCGAGGAGACGTATTTCGAACCTTGCAGCAGTCACCACCAGGATCATCTCAAGGCCGCGTGCGTCAAAGTGTGGCTTGCGCATGCATCACTGTTCAATCCTGATCTGGCAAGAGCGTCAGTTCCGCGGGCAGGCCTCGTTGGCAGTCATGCTGGCTCACACTCAATCGCTGACCCGGATGGCGAAAATGAAGTCGCCTCTTCCTGACGTTGCACCGGAACGACATCGCGCCGGACAAATAAGCCGAACTGCGAGATACGCTGAGCTTTTGAACTGTCATCTATGGCCATCCAGGGTCCTGACACATTGGCAAATGGCCAAATGCCGTGCTGGGATTGCGGGAGATGGACTGCTGATGATCCTCGGGATTCGTGATCGACCTAGAGCTCTGGGAGTAATGATTTGCACAGCTGCAACAATCTGCGCTGACTTGCGCGCCTGTCTGCTACCAGTGGACAGGACAACACGTGGACCCGCACCTTGCAGATGTACGCCCGAAGGATCGGGTATGTTTGAGCATCGCAGCGTTCATGCTGGATACTCAACGGCACTCTGAAAGAGCCATACGAGGACGTAGCACTGGGGTCGGATTCGAAGCACCCGCTACCATTCCTGATCCTCCAAATCTGGAAAGGATGATAGTAGGCTCTGCGCACAAGGGCCCAGGCTGCGTGTCCCTTCGTTACACACACACCCTCGTCTCTTGGCTCACATGGCTTCCAAGAGATCTGGTCGCGCGATGGAACGTCAAGCATTGGAACAAGCTCTTCCAAGCCTTCTAGGGTCTCTTACAAGCTTTCACCAAGCATTGGGATCAGCATGGTTGGCAGATAGGCCACATTGAACTTCTCGTCCCAAGCGTCGGTAATCCTCGTCCCTTTCAGCTCGACGACGACAACATTTGACGCCTGGACCACAAGTCATGATGGATAGAAATTCAGACTCGGGGATTGTGGCTTATACACTGAGCCATACCATACAGCGTTGCTGGTGGGCCCAGCCGCCTCACCCAGTGGAGTTTGCTGAGATCCTTCAGGCGATGCATCATGTGAAGGACGCCTCCTTGCCGTTGTGCAGCGGGAGCACTTCCGCAGGATCGTTGCCCCTCTCTAGTCGGCAAAAAACAGAGCCAATGTGGAATCCCGCGGGTATATCAAGACATACTATTTCCTACACACAGAGCACTAACTCATACTTCCCATGCTACCATTGTGGGATGGGCGTCTCGTGCGCACTGCGCTTATCACTGTAGTGTGGCGATGTGGAAGATGGATAATTAAGATCCCGCGACTGCCTGCAGGCAAGCTCCATGTATTGACCTTTGGTCACGGCCTCGACTGGCCGACGACATGGAAACGTCGTCTAGACGTTTGGGCAACTTAGGCACAATGAGAAAATGGGCCAATTGGGACCTAGACTGATGGGATGCAGCATGACGAGTGTTGATTTACCCATGTTGCGCCGAAAATGGCCATGATGGTCGTAGCAATTGTGGGACAGGACCTGCTCCACTGGAGGGGTTCGCCGAGAAACCACGTTTCCGCTGATGCTCACCAAACAAGGATAGTACGGTAAGACGTACTGCTGAGCATCGACTTATTTTTGGACCACGCCGGTGCACGAGCCTCGTTTAGGAACCCTGCGAGCACGCGAGAACAGCGGATGTTCATCCGACGACGTGGGTTCCAGATTTGTTTCCCGCCATTACAACAGTACCCCTTTCACACAAGTTCATCCTAAGACCACGACCAAGATCTGACTGCATAATAATCCGGTGTGCTATCGACTACTGAACAAGATTCCTAGCAACAGCTTCAGCCCGTCAGCCACGTGGTGGCAAGGTTGACAGCCAAGGCCGCACAGTTGGCGAGCCGGGACATTCCTCCTTGTTGCTGAGCACAGCAGCCGAGGAAGGGCTTACTGCGGTAGGTGCACACCCGATTTCAAGGGCAGTGTGCCGAAAAGGGACATGCGCACATGGCAGGGTCGTGTCCGAGATCTCGCAGCGTATCACCGGGATGGGACCTCCCCAGATCCACATCCAAGACGTGCGTGCTGCTGCTGCCCAGTGATGACATCCTCGAGGGCAAACACACACACACACATACCATCAATGCAGCTGTAACACCAGGACACAACGGGGTGCGCCACTCGGGCCCAATGCATGGGACACTTATGGCCTGTCACAGGTCTCTCATCACCGAGGACGGACGAGACCATGTTGTCCGCTGTGTATCACAGACGATTCCACCTAGCGAGATCTCCGAGCCATGGTATCCGGGTCTCGGTGGTGGGCATTACCTTGGCAAGTAAGCTCACTTTGCGGCAGCACAACAGCACCTGCACATCATAACACGGTGGCTGTCAGACAGGGAGACGAATGAATCCAATGGGCGAACGAGGCCACACAGTCAGGCAATACCATTAGATACCACCTCCGTGGGCCGATAACCCGCTGTGATAAGGCCCGGGTTATTAGGGATGGGCTGACCGCAACCCTGCGCCCACGTTTCTGGCCCCTTGTGCGTGTTGCACAGGAACAACGATGACACCCTGTTTTAGCAACTGATGTGCTCAGTTCCCAAGTAATTCACACTAGAGGGACATCCATCAGCCTCTAGTATTGATGTGTTACCGTGCTAAGAAGAAGCCTGGAGACCGCGGCCAATGGGCAGCACAGTCCCTGGGGGACGCCGCTCGGGGAAGACGGCGCCTGAAACTGAATCTAGCGACCAACCTATAACACCATGCAAAGTATGGAGATGTATGCGGCTGTCGTCCCGTTCAACAGCGCTTGCCAGAGTACCAAACAAGGCTACGGTGGCCGTTTGGAAGCTTGCCAGCCGGCGCCGGGGGTTGAGGGTTCCAGCCCCACGTCTCGAGCGTTGCAAAGAGGGCCACCCAGCCACGACCCACACGAGGTTGCATGGGCGGCGCGAGGAAGGATTTGGGCAAATTGACTAGAAAGATGGATTGGTGGCTGCCTGATGAGAGGGGGCGTGTAGCCAGGCTAAGCGGCCGGATTCTATTGGGGGCTGCGCTTGGGATTCATCCTGTCGAATCGCATCTCTTCTCGGGAGCACCACGCGCCCGGGCCTGGGGTGGGCAAAGCTTGACTCAAGCACGGATGGTTGCACTGCGCCATCTGCCATCGCTTGTTCAGGTGTAATAAGCGCGACAGACGGCAAACACTGGATACGCTCGCGCCTAGCAGCGAAGGACATCCGTTTGGATGGGCACCACAGTTGCGGCGTACCGGGGTGTCGGGAAAGGGAAGAGACACATACGACGCTCCCCAACGGGCAAGACTGGGGTGTCAGGGCAAGCTTTCGATCCGCCCCGCCAAGATCGACCTGCATGGGAGACCCTTGAAGACCCGGCCAGAATGCAACATCCACAAAGGTCCCCCTTCTGCACTGCCTGTGATTGGCTAGTACTTCAACGACATCTCATCCTTCGCGCGTGTTTGCACTGCAGCACCATCCCACCTCTGCCTGTGCAGCGCATCCACCACACATCCAAGGTGATGGGGCCTCATGGCGAAGCTGCTTCCAAGGCAGGGCAGCAGGATCACCTCGTCGATGAGCCCGCGGACCGTCGATGGCCCATGACGAGGCTACCTCTGCGGGTGGCGAAGACTCGGTGGATAAAGTGTCAGCCAGAGCCGCGACAATCTACAGTTTCCCCGGCTGAGAGTTACCAGGCTCAAACATGCGGATGGGACACGAAAAAAGGAACCATTGTGGATATCACGCCGGAGTGGGAGCAAGGTTTGTCATGCATTCGATTGAAGCCATTCCGACCACCGTTCCTTTCGCCAGCCAGCCCCTGGCCAGTTCTCCTGGAAACGCCAAAGTGAGGAATACAGCAAATATGACCGAATCAAGCGAGCCCAGATGACCGAAGCAACGTGAAGAGTGATTGTTGGAAGTGGTTGGCTGCCAGATCATGACGGTCGCACGCATTTGTTCTCGTACACTCAGTCAAACCCCGACAACGACACTCAAGCCGCGATGACACCCGTGACGAAATCAGACGAGAGCTGGCCCCAAGCGGCGAAAGGGACCCAAATCGAGCACAGAATCACTCAGGATCTGACCGAGACGGCATCCAGTCTGCTCATCAGCACCTCAACCTCGTCCTCGGAGGAGGAACTGGACGAGTCATCCGCTTCGCGCCGGCTGTCCAGCTCCGCCTCGAGGATCAGGTCTACCACGCGCGCGATGTCCTGTTTCTCCCGCGGGACCCAATGTCCTCCCTCAAATTCCACAACCTTGGTCCGCCGCGGATTACACATGCCCGCGATCTGCCGGCTGTCCTTGACCCACGGGTCGCAGCGTCCGATGACGTGGACCGTGTGGCCTGGGAACAACTGACCTTCTGCACCCGCATCGAAGTCTACTGCAGCTGAGGCATTTGAAGGTGCGATTTTCTTGCTGCCGCCAAGCGTGTTTGCAGCAGACATCATGGCGGCAACGGCAGCCTGCGCGGCCCCGCCTCCCGTCGCGCCGCCCATGGCCACGCAGAAGCGCAGATTGCTCCACTGCGGCGAGCCGATCGCCAACTCGACCCCCAGCAGGCCCAGAGCGGCAAGTGCGCCCTGCGAGAAGCCGACCACGCCCACGACGTCCCGGCTGCGGACCCCCTGCGACTCGAGCTGCTGGGGGATGCTCTGGTTCGCGATGTCGAGCAGGCCCGTGAAACCGCGGCTCAGGCCCTCGGCGCCGCGCGGGAGGCTCAACCCCAGTGACGCTGCGGCGCTGACGGCCGCGGCTGGTGAGACACCCCGCCGACCGGTCCCGCGGGCTCTGGCAGATGATGAACCCCTGCGTTTGTGTTCTGTGGCGGACGGGCGACGTGAGGAAGCCGCAGTCTCTGGTGAAAGGAAACAATCCGGGTCTTGTGTGTTCTTGCTGGCGGCTATGTTCTTCTCGATTCCGGCACCAAACCATCGGTAGTAAGCATCCATGCCCTGGAAATAGGGCAGGATCCCTGGGCCTGGGGCACTCCGGATCGGGGCGTCCACGTAGACCAGGTCAAAGTAGGGGCTGAGTGCCTTTGCGAGGAAGTGTGTCTGGATCCGGAAGATGGCGGCGGAGCTGCCTGCACCGTGGAGGAGGAGCAGGACTGGCTTTGAGCCGAAGGCCTCGCTCCTGCGGCGCGTCATTGTGAGTCTTCGATGGGGCTATACTCGGATATATCCTTGAGGTGAATGCGAGTCCCACGCAAAGTATTTGTGCTGTTGGTCTCGTGTGTTACACCGGTGAGCGAACACTGTATGTAGTGGCGTGATTGGTGATGGCCAGCTGCAGCACCCCGAACATGTGTTGAAACTCGATCAGGGGAGCTGTTTCGGGCTAACCCCCTTGGAGCACTTTATTTCCCGCGCGTCTCAATTTTTGTCATAGAGGCTGTCTCAGATCAGAATTGATGTCTACCGCAGCGCCTCGGTTGTGCAAGGTTTGGGCCGTGATATAGAAATCCAATATATTCGCACGAGTGCGCATTGAGTGGATGGGCAGGACGATGTTTGAGCGTTTGATGGTGACGGCGGAGAATATCTTGGGGCCCTTAGAAAATATGAAAAATTGTAATGCGTCGGATCACGCTTTGGGAACCCTTGGTTAAAGAAAGACAGGTGCAATCGGGAGTCTTGTAAGTCCGCCGTCTGGGGACGGGTCTGGCTCACGGGGTATGATGAGGTTGTCACCACCGTCAAGCATAAGTCACCAACGGCAGGCTGACCATATAGATCGAGTTGTCAACTTCCGCAGTACTGCGTGATTCCCGAACATAGCAGACATTCCGATTTACGAAAATGGACACTTGGGTTACGGTATTTTCCAGTATTTGTCCATCAGGCAAGTCCCGCCTGGGCGGCGACATATTTCAACTCGGGATCAGCCCCACAATGGATGGGTGAGTGTCAGCTAGAGGACCTCGGGTCTGATTTGAGATGTTGTAGCCACGAGGCAAGGTGGCACTGAGCACCAACATTCATGAGCCGCCACTCGCTGTCAGCAGCTTCAGGTGGCGGCCTTCTCAGAGACGAGGCTCTGCTTTGCCCCCCCCCCCCCCACACACCCCCCGAGGCTAGACCAGAGGCAGTCCCCGTCAGCCAAGACAGCAGCCGCTCTCGCCAATAACCTGGAGTGTCAATAATGCAGGGTAGAAGCCGAGAGAAGCTAACTAGGTACCTTGCAGATTGGCCTCGTGGCTGACAGGGTTGCTGACAAGCAAGCAGGATGTCAGCCAGTGGCCAAGTCCACGGCCTGCGGCGCGGCCAGAGCGTGGACAGAACACCAATATCCGCTTCAGCAGCGACCATCGCGAGACATGGGACACGAGTCCCAGGGAATCAATGTTCCATGAGAAATTGCTTATGTTTCCATGGGAACAAGAAGCTGAATACGTTATATTTGAAGTCCATGTCGAATGAGCTAAAAGCCCACCATGAGTTCCAGGAGCTGTATAGATCCAGCAGCGCGGCGCAGTTCTAGGAATTTCAAGTCTCCGAATCCCAGGCTGATTGAATGAAAGCCATTTCAAACCATTTCACGGGGATTTGACAGTGGGAAGAACCTATTCGGTCTGTTGAAATGCCTCCAGTTTTACACGGAGCACTTGACGGCGCGCGGTACAGGTCGTACGTGAAATAAGTTCAGATGTACATGGGGATTGATGGTATCTATCGTGTCGTCTCGGTGTGTGAATCGGACTGGAATTATAGAAAGGAAGGCCATAAAACTTGAATATATGAACTGTGCTGTTGACCTTCACAACTTTAGAGCTGCGACATAGTACGGGACATGAGACTTGCAAATATACCTAGGTATGAATAGACCTGACCCCACAACATCGAGTCTCAGGTTTGGGTAGACTGGTCAGAAGTTGGACAACTAAAAAACTTATAAGTTTGTCATGAGACATCTGCAATGAAACAAGGATTGCCATTCTGCCACATTCGTACTGCTTGGATATTCTAGCTTGTGCCAACTGTCGCTTGAAGAGCATAGAATTACTCCTCTTCTCTGAACCTGCTCTCTAATTCTAGGATCAAATAACTCTGCCTTCTCTGTCGCTACTATTATTCTGATCAAAAGCCCACGGCTGAAGCCGGCCCGTAACGCTTGCATCAAGAGGGAAATTATCCAAAGCGCAAGCCCTGCCAAAAGTGGATGAGAAACCCAGAACGCAAGAACCCTACGCGTTGGCTACCAGCAAGAAACCGCAGCCGTTGCATCTATCTTGTCCCTTTGGATTCAATTGTTTACAGTGCGCACATTCCACGTTTTCGACATAAGGGCCGCGGACTTCGCCGTAGTTCACAAGTGAAACGGCCATGGCGTCGCTTCTCATTGTGTCGGAGGCTCAACGATGGGGAATGTTTTGGGTTGGTCGGTGTTTTCCTGGTGGACGTGTTTGGGGTATGTTCAGCCCTTGTGTGGTGTCGAGTACGGATTGCGATGTCTGATCACAGTGACGCTCCATCAAAAGCGGGCGACGATGGCCAATTTATGGTTTCAGTCTGGGTTTGATGTGATTCATGTTCCCAGCAAGAAAGTTCCAACTGCTTTGCAGCTGCATTGAAAGAAAATATCATCCAAAACCAACACCGTCTGTCCAAATACTTTTGTGCTATTCAAGCCCTAGTGTTGTGGCGTTGTGTCCCAACTAGAGAAGCTGCTCCAATCACGGAACAAAACCTGCATTCATCGTCAACGATATCGGTATGATACTCGGAATATTGGACATGCCGTGGCGAAGAAGTCTCGAATTTGTATTGTAGCTACTTGATAACTCACTTCTCATCCTCGCCATGCCGAGGATGCTTCCTCATCTTCACTACTTCGAATTTAGAACAAGACTGCTGGGTCCCGGGTTGCACAGGGGTTCCGATCTAGTTGTGTACAGCGTTTTGTGGAATATGTAATTTTGCTTTTTTGCAGCGGAGGAAAAGGTGGATCACGTCAAAGTTGGTAGACGCCCCTTGATGTTTTCGTCTCGTGCCAAGTGAAAGATGACAAAACAACTCCAGCTGAGAACACGAGGTGTAACAATCCCATGTTCTCGCCCCCGCGCCCCTGTATCAATGAAAGAGATGTGACCAGTGAGCTTCTTCGCGTGATATGCAAAGTCAAGACTCCTCGGACGTAGGCAATGATTCGAGGTTCACGTGTGGATGGTTGGCTCTGAATTTTCCGTGGCAATGCCACTAGCACTTCTTGTACCACCACATGCGCCTGATTCAGCTCAAGATCGCTGTTGGTACGTACTTTGCGTGAGGCACAGCTGGAATGTTGGCATCAAAGGTATCTGGACGAGGATACTCGCCTCATTACACGGCAGTCTTTGGATCCTATGGTCTCAAGACCACGAGTGCAAGGTCGGGCAGGATCATTGTCATTCCTGTCATTGGGCCGCCCAAGCTGTTGCCAAACCCAGGGATTTTCATGGAGCGTTTGATGAGTGCTATTTCCTTACTTTCGAATATCCACAGGCTTACAGCTTGCATAGCTACATGAATATCCCTCATACTGCCTCAAGACAGAGAAAAGCTGCCTTCCTAAATGTATGCACAGCTCCGAACGCCTTCACACCCACAAAATCTCATAGATAATTACTATTTCCCAACAGGTGGCCATCATTGCGTATCTCCCATCGGGTCTTGTACCTCTTCCTGCAGAAGAAAATGGGGAGAATCAGGCGAGCAGTGGATATGGAAGGCCAGAGATTGCTGGCAGAGTAGCGTAGACCCCGAGAACATGTTTGAAAATTGACACCAGGATGAAGAGCAGACCAAGACATTGCTGAAGTCGCTCCATCCCAGGGCAAAACACAAAGCACCACATCTACTCGCGGACAGCCCCGTCCAGACGGTAGACCAGCTTCTGGCCGCTGATCTGGCCCTTCCGGATAGCGGTAACGCCCTCATCAGCGAGCCCCTCGAACCCACCGGGGCTCACCTTGGTCGGGTGGGGCGTAAGCCTGCCCTCGTCGAAAAGCTTCTGGATGGTCTCGAAGAAGGGCTTGGCAAAGTCCTTGACGCGCTGGTCCCCCTCGTTGCCGTAGGGGGCGGGCCACGAGCAGGGCTTGCCGCCGAGCATGCTGGCCAGGATCCAGTCGGGCTCGACGACCTTGCGCTTGGACTCCGGGTGGGGGTCGAGGGCGGTGTACTTGCCGCCGCAGCGGCCGAGGGCCTGGTAGCAGATTTTCATGGAGCTCTCCTCCGTGATGCAGTCGAGAGCGTAGTCGAGGGCGTTGGCCGTGTGGGCGCGGATGTCGGCGCCGCAGGTGGGCGAGCTGTAGTCGAAGACGGCGTCGGCGCCGTAGGAGCGGACGAGGTCGAAGTTGCGCGGAGAGCAGGTTGTTATGACTCTGACGTTGCAGCTGGGGTTGTGTCATGTCAGTAAATCCAAGCCGAGTATGAACTGAGAAACAAGGAATAAAGAGCTCATGTGGTTGAAGAAGAGGAGGTGGCCTTACAGCTTGAGGAGTTGGATGGCCATGGTGCCCGTGCTCGTACTGCCACCGTACACCAGCACGGGCATCTGCTCACCGGCCGCCTTGAGAAGCCACTCGGTGGGTATCCCCAAGCTCCAGAACAGGGCCATGCCTGCGGTAGCGATCCTCATTCCCATGCCGGCAGCCTCCTCGAACCCCATGCTCTCGGGGATTTTGAGCGCCATGTCCCCGTCCAGGACCACGTACTCGCCAAAAGCACCAGCCCTTGGGCGGAACTTGTTCATGCCGTCAGCACAGCCGCAGACCCTGTCGCCGACCTTGAGGCCGGGACGGGCAGAGGCGACGTCAGAGCCGATGGCGGCGACGTAGCCGGCGCAGTCGAAGCCGAACATGGCGCCCTCTGCGACGAATGGGCCGACCATCTTGGTGTCGACGGGGTTGAGGGCGACAGCGACGGTATTGATGATGATGTTGTCGGCCTCGAGCTCGGGGACGGGGGCGTGCTGGCTGACGACCCACTCGCCTTTGTCGCCGGCCAGGATGGCGCGCTGGGTCCGAGGGAGCCCCGGGGCCGAAGCTACGGCGGCAGCAGACATGGCTGGGCAAAGGGGTAGGGATGGCGACAAGAAGAGGGGTGAGTGGTTGACCCAAATAATAGGGGGCGAGGGGGTGGTCGGGGGGTGGTCGAGGGGCTCGAATTAACTGTGGGCGAGATGCCAGGTGTCACGGGGGAAGATCTACGTGCTCATGAGTTGGCCCCGAGGTTTTCGCCATCGTGCCAGGCCCCAAGTATTTAATGGCGAGACACAGCAGGTCCGGTGCTGGAAGGCATTCAGCTCGGCGACGGCCCTCTTGTGGTTGACAGTCATGGCTTCGGAGAGTCCAGATCCTTCCCGTGCGAAGATGCCGCATGAGGATGGCCGATGCCGTAAGGCGGATGTCAGGACGCAGCGGTTGGGCGAGGGAGGAGGAAGGCCTTGACGTGACTGGAAGACTGGAAGGGGTCATGTCTCTGGTCATATACGCAGTTAGTTCCACAGGCTGCCAAAGCGCTGCCATGGCGGGGGCAGGTTGGAGTGTGCTGGTTCGGTCAGGAGGTGTCATGCCCCGGTCAGCAACCAACTCTCACGGCAGCCCATGTCTGCGTCAGTCCACCTCAGCTCATCCACGCCTGGGCCTGAGAACTATGTATTTGAGTGTCAGTTCTCCCAGGGCTCTCTCTCGACATGGCGTCCCTCCTTTTCCCTCCGTTGCATTGTCTGTCATGAGTGGTGTCCACCAGATTGCCTCAATCGTTCAACGCGACCCGTTGATTGGAGTCTCGCCCACTGCCACCATAGGACAGACACCTCAGCAGTCGGACCAAAGGAAACGGACGAGGTTATGTGTGCCTGCCCTCTGGGAGGAAAAGAAGAGCTGCGCGTGGAGACGGCCCATGACTGCGATGGCAGCCGTCTTCGGGTTTCTGGCCCGAGGCAGGCTGGAAGGATGCACGCAGATGAGACCCCAGTGCAAATAAGACCTGGATGACAGGTCGGTAAATTGAAGATAAATTATTATCCCTTCCGGAAGATAAGCTTCGACTAAAATGGCGACGCCCCCACCGCACAGCGCCTGTACGTACACATGCAGGGACCAAGTACATGCTGTACATCATACTTGTACATAATAATTTGAATGCACGCATGCACGCACGATCCTGAATCTTGGACCCTTCTCTCATTCCTACTCCCCCTCCCACCTAGGTCAAGTCGCCCAGAAGATCAGGGTCCTCTCCAACAAACGGTACACACACGCAGCGAGTAACAAGAGCGGGCCAAAGGGGTCGATTCCTCCACCTCCAACCCCTGCACTCAACGTGCAGTACCTCATCCCCTGCCCTTACCCCTCGCCGTTGTCTTCAGTATTGCCTGTCGCCTGTCACTCCTACCACTGCCCGCCAGTCTCGCAGCTTCATGGACAACGCAAGACCGACACCATCTGGTCCCGTGCCGGGGAAATGGCTGCCCGAGAACTGGAGACCCCCGTTGTGGCTTCTGCGTCGGCCCTGCCCAGCTTCAGCCCCAGCTACACCTGTCCGGGTGCTGCTGTTGACCTTGGCCTGGCCTCGAAACAGATCACATGTCACAGTCATGGGATACATACGGCACAGCAGATACCAAGTGCATGAGAATGGGTGATCGTTTCCCTTCCGTTGATGCTGTTGCTGTTGCTGTTGCTGACGCCTGTCTCGGGGGATGATTGAGTATTCAGCCCCGTCGTTGAGACAACCCAAAAACAGCACCATGCAGTAGCGCGAACAAAATGTGTCCCAGGACAAATACCCCTCTCTGCGATGACCCGGGTGATCCAGAGTTCAGGATCCCACGGCGAATATCGTGGCCCCAGTCATGGCTGCTAACGGATTGTAGCCTGATCCTTCGCGCCCAGAAGTCCCCAGCCGAGCCGCAGCCTCGAGCATCTCGAGCTCCTCAAGCACACGCCCTCTCCATCACCTCCGTCCCCGGAAGCCCCACCGACCTGTCGTCTGTCGTCCGTAGCCAATGGCCCCCCACCTGCCGTAAAGCGAGAGCCACATGGAGCACCAGGTCTGGATGTCATGCCCTCACCGCTGATCAATTTGGTCTTGTATATCCCTTGCCCATCGTAGGTCGCCGGTGAGGTGAGGGATCGTGAACGTTGCCAAAAGGCTCAATCATCCCCAGCCTACCACTTGTGTTGCTGTGGACTTGTGACAAAAAAGGGAAAAGAAAAGAAACATTCCAGCAATAATTAGTATGAGAAAGGAAGTCTGGAGCACGGGGTGTGGGGAGGGGGCCAAACGACGCCCGGAGCCTGTGTCCGCATAACAGTCGAGAGCGCCGGAGACGTTGTTCCCTTCAACCGACCGCAATACGGCATTCCAGCCACTCAGAACTTGCCCGGCGTCCTGGCTCCGTGCAGCGCCCTCTCACTGTCACTCGACGCCTCCGACGACACCCCCACCAGCACCAGCGCCACCGCCCCCACCACCCTTGGGCAGCACACGCAGCCTCAGGCCCGTGAACACACAGAACGCAACTGCAACGATCTCCATGAGCACAGCCATGCACAGGAAGATGGTCACGTCCCCCTCGAAAGGGTGAACTCCTTCATCCCGCTGAAGTCGGCCAGGAGCCCGTACACCAGCCGCACCGAGATGAACGGCGCACACGCCGCAAAGCACACCATCAGCTTGTTCTCCTCGGCCGGGATGTACTTCCACTGCCTGAGGAGGTAGCCCCAGAGGCACACGGCGAAGACGTATATCCCCAGGAAGATGCACACTGCCGCCTGCACAATGCCGTTGGACGTGATGTGGTTCGACGACTCGGCTGCCTTGGTGCCGCCGTAGATGCCCAGGCTGAGGCCGGTAAGGGAGGCGAGGGAGATGAGAGAGAAGATCCGCGTCGATATGCCGTGGATTACGAAGCGGTTACTGTTGGAGAGGAACGGGACAGTCAGTGCTGCCATGCTCAGGTTGCTAACGACAATGGGAGGTGACTACTCACACCCTGGTCAGGAGGGCAATGTTGAGCACCGTCAACGGCGACAGCCCGATCGACTGGCAGATCAGGGCGCCTCCATACGTCGTCCTCGACGGGCTATTGATGGTCGCCAGCTGGAAGGCCCCGGCAAGGATCCGCAGCAAGGAGAAGGTGATCAGGACCAGCCACCCTGAGCCGCGGCTCCATCCATGCCGTGAGCAGAGGATGAAGGCGCACCCAAGGTATACGGTGAAGAAGAAGAGCTGTATCACCGCCACGCCGTCTCGGTAGGTGAACACTCCAAGCTCGCTGAACGCCATGGCGATGAGCGGGCGCGATCGCTGTGATGCTGAGTGATGGAAGCAGGAGGGAGGGAGCAGTCCTTGGAAGTGAAGAAAACGGCAAGGGAAAACAACGCAATGAGACTCGGTTCTTATCTGAGCGCTGTCAACACCGTGTGATCAAATTTTTGCCAAGCCTGTCAGGCCGTAAGCCAGGCAGTGAGTGTTGGTGATACTGCAGATGGAGGGACGAAGACAGGGGGAGAAATATGACAAGAAAGGAACGAGCGTGCCTCCCAAGCCAGATGAGAGGCGACTTCCTCTATCTTATGTCTGTCTTCCACCGCGAAATCCTAGGAGCTCATAGAGTCATGAGATCCAGGCACGCGCGGCGCAGATGATGCCATTGACGACCATACATCCCAATCATGGCGGCTCAGGTAGCCAACCAACCAAAAACATTTAGCTCATCCGAGCCAGAGGTGCCCGGGAGAAGAGAAAATGAAAATGGAACCATGATGCGGTCGAGGAGAAAGGGGGGCAGCAACTGGACTCGTCCACTTGCCGCGTTGGTGACTGGTACTCTTGAGAATCCGATATCGAAAACGTGCTTCAACTCCGATATGCTGGCTTATGGGGGCATGACAGTAAGCCACGGTACCTTTTTTACCATACAGGGTTCCCTTTTCCCCGCCTTCACGTAGCGGGTAGCCTTGGGTGCATGACTGTCAGCATGTCCAAAGGAGTGGATTGATTCACACGCCCTGGGGTGATTTACAAGATGGACGAGGTGGTCGATGGGTTGGGGGAGTTTGATGGGATTGCTTGCCATCTGAAACCTTGGACTCAACCCCAGTCTCGAGGACATGCCTTGACGTTAGAATCAAACTGTCCAGATCCACCTTCGACAAGAGTGGTGGATGCCGCCATCAGCATGTCTTTGCTTCATGCATCGCCGACAGGCCAGAGTGGATTCCAAGCTGCTGGGACTTGTAACAGAACGTCAGCCATTGCGAAATCGAATACCGAGCAAACTGATCAGGGCATCTGGCCTCTTTATAGTGTCAGCATTCTCGCCTCATAGTCAGCGATTTTCTGGATTTGTTAAACGGAGGCGAGGATCTATTCGGCAGTTCCAAGGACGGGGCGACTCCTTTCGCTACAACAGGAATCAGACAACTCTTCACATACTGATATTTACTGGTTCTCTGAGGCTGCTTCTATTAACAGTCTGAGGCGTTCAAACCGCCTCCATCGTCATGCATGCAGGACCGGCGCGTGGGAGGAAGCCTGCCCCTGTCGATCATGGCGACAACGAGGAGTAAACCCGAAGACCAGTCTCTGAATATCGTTGTCATCGCACGAGAAACACCCCATGGATCGAACTGTGGCAACAGTCATGCCCAAGCCTCTGGTCATGACGGCGAACCTTGCCGGACTGACAAACCTGATGACATCGCGTTACCTTGTATAAAAGAAAGGCTGACTCCCAGCAACATGTGCCTGACTTTTCCAAGCCATCATATCCAGTCATCACAGGCATTTCCTACCTTTCTCGCGCCAAAAAGGAACCAAGCAGAGGCAGCCTTGCGCAGGACTCCGGGAAGGTCGAATCACTGAGAGTCTCAGCCTTGTGAGTGTTGCAGACACGGCAGCCATCCGGCAACCAATCAGGTAACAGCAGCAACCATGGATGACTTTTTCTCCAAGCCGATGAAGCTGGTGACGCTGGCTGCGGCCGGTGATGCCTTCGTTCTGGCTGCTGTATGGCGCAAGTGGGGGCCTACGGTGTCGTACACGCCCAACTTCCTCAGAGACAGCTACTTCAACAGCTACCTGGTCTTCTTCTGGGCCTCGTGGTGGCTGCACTTCTGGGGTTGGCTGTGGTATCGCTTGATACTGAAGCCCAAGTATCTCTCCAAGATGCGGCACCTGCCCGAGCCTACTGTGAGTATTCTAGTGGTTGACTGCTGTGTGGAATTGGCGTTGCAGTATAGAAATAAGTACTAATGTGTAAGACAGGAGGGCAGAAGTTGGTGGTTTGGGTACGGTGGCCGCACCTTTAGCGAGGGTAATGGGGCTGGTCCAGCCGAGTGGTGAGTAGCTCCTTTGGTAGCCCGTGGTCCTTGATATTTCCTAACAAAACACTGCCTCGCAGGTCCCGAACACTGAAACATGATGGCGTATTTCGCTTCCTGGGCCTGTTCAACTGCGAGCGTGTTGTCGTTGCCGCGCCAGAAGGACTGGCAGAAGTCCTGACGCGAGTGAGCGACTTCATCCAACCTATTCACCTCTCGTTCATTGCCCAGTCGATCCTCGGACCGGGCGTTGTATTGGTGAACGGAGAAGAACACAAGCGCCAGCGCCGTCTCTTGCTCCCATCCTTCGCCATGAAGCACATCCGAGCCCAGCAGCCCATCTACTGGTCCAAGGCAGTCGAGGCCACCGAGAAGTTGACGAGCTTCGCCGCCAGCACAATTAACCCAGACTCCGGATACAGTGACAAGACCGAGATCGGCGAGCTGGCAGGCTTCACTGCATTGGACGTCATCTCCAAGGCGGCGCTGGGTGTCGACTTCGAGGCCATCGCCAACCCAGATTCACACCTCATCCAGAACTACCGCACCGTGTTCGAGCCGACGCGCATGTTCCAGATCTTCAGCGTCCTCAAGTTCATCATCCCGCCAAACATGGTCAACAGCCTGCCCGTCAGGCACAACACCGAGGTGCGCAACGCCGCCCGCGTGGTGCGGGACGTGTGCCGGACCACGCTGCGCGAGAAGCGCGAGCGGTACAAGCGCGGCGACCTGCACGACTCGGACATCGTGTCGGCGCTGATCCGCGACCGCAACAAGGAGCTCGAGGAGGACGACGTGGTGACGCAGATGATGACGATGCTGGGGGCGGGCCACGAGACGGTGTCGGTGGCCATGACGTGGGCCATGTACGAGCTGTGCCGGCACCCGGAGTGGCAGGACAAGCTGCGCGCAGAGGTGAGGGCGAAGCTGCCGCCGCCGCGGCCCAACGGCGTGGGCCCCTCGGCCGAGGCCCTCGAGATCGAGAACATGCCCCTGCTCAACGCCTTCTGCCACGAGGTCATCCGCTACTGGCCGCCCATCCCCATGATCATGCGCACCGCCGCCGTGGACACCACCATCATGGGCCACTTCGTCGCCGCCACGACAAAGGTCATCCTCTCGGTCACGGGCACCAACCGCAACCCGGACCTGTGGGGCCCCGACGGCGCCAGCTTCAACCCGAACCGCTTCTACGACGAGGCCGGGGACAGGTACGACTCCACCGGCGGCGCAAACACAAAGTACGCCCACCTGTCCTTCATCCACGGCGGCCGCGACTGCCTGGGCCGCAACTTCGCCAAGGCCGAGATGCTGACCGTCATCGCGTGCTGGGTCGGCCGGTTCCGCTGGGAGCTGGCCGACGCCCGCGACCTGGACGAGAGCAGGGTGCCGCTCTCGGGCGGGAGCTTCTCCAGCAAGCCGCTGCACGGGGTGTGGTGCAAGGCCAAGGTTGTGCCTGGGTGGTGAATGGGGAAAGCCAAGGGCCTCGGGCTAGGAAGGCCGACAGGACTGGGTTCGGCTTGCAGTAATTGTAAGAACCAATCTGTGGTCGGTTGTGCTGGACAGATAATTGTTGTGCCGGGGCGAGGCGAGACGGGTGTTGGCATTGCCACAGAGTCTAGATGCCCGGTTGCCGGCATGGCGTTTGGATAAGCATGAGACCGTTGCATTATGAAATCAAATTGTCTGTTCTCATGAGAAACCAGCTCTCTTGTGTACATTTTCTTCGCGTGGCTTTCCGTTGCATATCAAAACTACTGAAGTCACGTCGCGAGCTCATAATATGAATACGGAGATTCGCACCCCCAAAAACGGAGGGTACTGTACACCGGTGCATCAACCAGCACTAAGTAAACCACATAAGAACTTACACACCCAACACCCACACCCAACAGCCACGCCTAATTCATACACTTAATTTACACACACACACACACACACACACACACACATTAGGTATCATAAACTATAGGTATTAGGCATATAAGTGTTAAGTATATTAGAATATGGTGTATAGGTATTGGGTGTATAGGTATTGGGTGTATAGGTATTGGGTGTATGGGTATTGGGTGTGTGGGTGTGTAGGTGTTGGTTGTATATCAGGTGTTGGGTGCATAGGCGTGTGGGTGTGTAGGTACATAAGTGTTGGGTGTGGGTGTGTGAATCAAGCCTGGGTGGTATGCTTTGCTTTAGCTGTAGCTATGATATGAGTTGATGCACAGGGTGTACCCTCCGTTTTGACAGGTGCGAATCTCCGTGTTCGACACGAAAGCCACCGGCGGGCCGATGCGATAAACCACGACGGGACGTGGGTGCCAAGCAGCAGGATCCCTCGCGACGCGCAGTCTCACCGCTCGCTTCCGGATGCGGCCGAGAGCATACCGCGATTCTGGCAGACAGAAGTCGTTTTCTCCGAGGTCTACCCCGAATGTCATCCCACCAGGCCGGAGTTTGCCTGTTGCATGTGTGCATGAGGTCTCCATGTGATGGCTTTGAGTAGCCTCCTTGTGGGGTAATGAGGGCGCGAACTCCTCATTGTAGTCCTGAGCGGTTTAGACATCTGGAGCGCATCTGTCGATCGTACCGCATAGTATTGCAGAAGTCAACAGGCTAATATAGGATGTGCGATATCACAGCGGGTAGCCTATAGAGACGATCGAGCTTGTTCTTCCAAGGTGTACAATAGCGTTTGGGATGGCCAGAAGCTGAACCTCGAGCAGAGATCGAGGCGAGCTGCAGGGGCAGATCAGCATGTTCGCTGGGGTTATGGGACCATCCACAACATCACATACGTTCGGCAAACTTGGCTTCGATCTTGGCTCAAACTTGGTCGAGTCCCCTACTGCAGGATCAACAACAACATCTGGGCAGCCTGACGGTGGTCACATGGGCACGATTGCTGCATTGTTTGCGGAGCGTACTGACTCACAATACCGCGCAGCTCCTGGGGCCGACGACAGGAATCAGCCATGGCAGGGGTTTGCCGTCGTGCTCGCCGTGGGGGCGCGGTGGGGTCGTCCCAGGGTTCCCCAGGTGGGCAAGCCGCCCTCTCCATCTCTCCACGGGGGGAAGTGGGAGGGCTGGTGGAGCCGGGCGTCGCAGTCCTCTTCGCGCGGGGAACAAGGCGGCACCAATTCGGGACCTCAATGACGTTTCGCGGAGAAGACCGCCCCATCTCGAATGCAGCTCGGCCAAGAAAAGGACCGAATGGCAGATCGCTGCCGCATAAACGGTGTTGGGTATCGTGGGTGAGAAAAAAGTCTAGTCTATCTCTGCCGGGTGCTGCTGCTCAGATCTGCATCCCGACGACCGACACTCGTGGCTTCCTCTCCGCCTCAATTCGCCGGGCAGTCCATCTCCCTCTGAGCTTGAGCGTCTCTCAGTTGTTGCTCCTCTGCTCCTCTGCGGCTCCAAAGCCTCGGTACCTCACAGAAGCCATGTCATCTGTGCACTCCGCCTCCGAGCCGCCTCGGAAGTCGACGATATGGGAGGACATCAAGGCGTATCGGAAGGCCTACTGGCTTACAGCCGTCGCGTCATTCGGTGGAATGCTGTTCGGGTGAGTAACTGAACCTTCGCGGCCCTACAGACACGCAACCTGGCCATGGTGTCGAGGTCTTGTGTGTGATTGATTTCCGGCCTGTTCTCTGTGTGTATGCTGACTTGTATACGCGCCGGCAGTTGGGATACCGGGCTCATCGGTGGCGTCTTGACAATGGACGCCTTCCAGCACTCCTTCAACCTTGACAGCAAGAGCTCCGACTTTGCCAACCTGCAGGGTAATATCGTGTCTGTCCTGCAAGGCGGCTGCTTCTTCGGCGCTGCCGCGTCCTTCTGGCTCAGCGACAAGATCGGCCGGAAATGGTCGCTCGTCAGCGCGGACCTGATCTTCATCATTGGCTCCATCATCCAGACCTGCTCGGGCCTCGGCACAACAAACCTCACCCAGCTCTACATCGGTCGATTTATCGGGGGCTTCGGCGTTGGCTTGATAAGTGCAGTAGTGCCTACGTACATCGGCGAAAACGCAAACAGGGAAATCCGTGGGCGGTGCATTGGATGGTAAGTGTGTTATGCAGTCCTGCTCTGAGCCGCGCTGATGTTTGCCGCGCCCAGCATGCAACTGTTCAACGTCACCGGGATCATGCTCAGTTACTTCGTCAACTACGGCATCAGCAACCACATCAAGAGCCCCACCGACGCGACAAAGTGGCGCATTCCCTTTGCTCTGCAGATCCTCCCTGGCGCTCTCCTGCTGCTTATCCTCTTCGAGAACGAATCGCCGCGCTGGCTCGTCGAGAAGTTCCGCATCGACGAGGCCAGAAAAGCACTGTCCCGCGTCCGGGCCCGCCCCGTCGACGACCCTGTCATCCGCGACGAGCTGCACGAGATCCTCGCCGACTTCGAGGGCAAGGAGAAGCTGTCCCTGTCCCAGCAGCTGAGGCTCGCCTTTTCCAGCAAGCAGATGCTCTACCAGTCGTCTCTTGCCGTCATACTGATGTTCTGGCAACAATGGACCGGGACGAACTCGATAAACTACTACAGCCCCCAGATCTTCAAGAGCGTTGGCCTCGCGAGCAGCTCTGCAGGCCTCTTTGCTACGGGCATTTACGGAGTGGTAAAGGTTGTTTTTACTGCGCTTGGGTTGATGTTCGGCGTTGAGCAAGCTGGGCGAAAGGCAAGTCACGAGTCCTTCCTGCCGGTACTAGACAAGGCGCCCATCATGATCAAGTCGAGCGCTGACCCACCATCTCTACCAGTGGTCTCTCATCTGCGGTGCTGCTGGCCAAGCTTTTGCCATGTTCTATATTGGAATCAACCAGGCAGTGCACCCCAACGACTCGACCCTGTCAGGCAACAACATCTTCGCCATTATTTGCGTGTACCTGTTCGTAGTGTTCTACTCGTTTGGCTGGGGTCCTATCCCCTTCGTCCTCTCGTCTGAGTGCTCCCCTAATCATGGTAAGCAACGAATCCCAAGCCTACATCTGACGACAGGACGGGTCTGACACCTTGTGCCAGTGCGATCTCTCGTCATGGCTGCATCTCTGATGACTCAATGGCTCTTCAATTTCGTCATTGCGAAGCTCACGCCAATCATGCTGGATCGCATCACGTACGGCACGTTCCTCCTGTTCGGCGCTTGCTGCATCCTGATGCTGCTGTACGCCGTCTTCTTCGTCCCGGAGACCAAGGGCGTCCCGCTCGAGAGCATCAGCGTCCTCTTTAAAGATAACATTGTTGCCGGCGCCACAAAAGACACCATCCCTAGGTTCAGCCGCGCGAGACAACTGCAGGAGCATCACTTGACGGCAGGAGAGCGGACCGGCGGCCCAGGCGGCAAGGACGTGGATGATGAGGAGCGTGATGGACAGGCAGTGCATGTGGCTTGAAGGATCGCAGGTGGACGATAGCCACAAATTCATCACATGTCCCCAGCAGTGCATCAGGCTGGATCCACAGGGGCTTAGATGACGCCCGCACAGTAGCACCATGGTCCTCACATTGAACAATAAGCAATGACACTGGCCGACATCACGTGCCCACCAGATCTGGACCGCCTGCTCAGATGAACGATCGTGATATGCCGCCGAAGACCAAGCAAACGGTGCCAGAGGTCCGAAGGTAAGGGAAAGTGACGTTGAACGAGCGATATCGAAGTGTCCGAACTGGAAATGCATCGACTCAACAATTTCGTTGCTCGCTACAGTTTCGAGCAGAGAGGGTTGGCAAACTATCGTCGTGGTCGATCTGTATGTTTAGTAGCGATTCAATCCTGCCATGCGTTGTTCATTTCGTTCTCGTGAAGGGGAAAGTGAGGCGTTGAAGAAAATTGCAGTCGCTAGCTTCAGCTTCTGGGGTTATGCTTGCGAAAAGCTGCCTTTATTTCATAAAGTGTCAGTGACCTCACCCTGTTACTACATGTGGACTGCGACCAAGATGTACTCCCATTGAAACCAAGGCAGGATAGGAGCATTAAAAGAGGGGTTTGCATCCTAGGTACTTGATGTGATGAGATCAACGCATTAGCACATGTGCGAAAGACGTCAATATACGCGTCAAAGCCTCCAGCTGTTGGGACAAGCTGGAAGCAAGCAAGAGACAGTGGTGCAGCCAACGAATTGAAATCAATTGGCACCTGATTTTTGGTCAAATGACGTAGTTGTAAACGACGAGTGTGGTACCGGCCGCGGAGTAACGTTAAAGTCATGTACCGAAATCGCCCTCCGGAGTGGTTTATACTCCTGGCCACCCATACAAGAAGTCAGGAACGCCGACCGTTATGCGTAGCCATTTGACCTCGGGAACTAATTACTTGTGTACCGAGTATGTGGAAAACACTGTAATATGTCCACTGCCAGCCATCAATCGCCAAGTTTGGCGATTCGTTGCTGTGCCGACGTGCTAAGACCACCAGGCCGTCAATCAACTCAGTAAACGTGTAACGCCCCGAATGTTTTATTAAGAAGCCCATGACGCCGAAACCTTCTCGTAGCACACGGCAGTCGTACTGATTTCTTTGAAATATATGACCGGTACCTGACTCTGTTATGAGCCTCCATCGCATCGAGCCAGGGCCAAGGCAAATGACTCCGTATCCCCTTTAAGCTTTCTTAGGATCAAGCTTGAGCTCCACGCAACGACGGATTAGACTATATTGGAATTGAATCTAATTTGCCAAGGCTTGTGAGCCCCTAAATAAGTCGTGAAAGGCATGTTTATTGTCTTCAAACTTCCAGTAAAATTTCCGGCTCTCCCGGATATGCTCCTACCTCGTGTATAATTAGGTGCGACTGCTATCCATGCGTCAAGCTGACCGCTGAGCACCCGTGTCTCTGTTTTTAGCATTGAGCTACCGCCCAGAACAGAGGTCTGCCGCTCATTCTGCAGGATTTCATCAACCCGGCGATTATTGCTGAACCAGATTCCCTTTGTATTCATTCGATCATTAATCCAGTCAAACAGGACAGCTCTGCACGATGCTCGTCCGTGGACCTCTAAAAGCAGGATTCCTGCTCGCCTTTGGGCTCCTGGCTGCAGCTTCTCCTCACAAGCACTCAAGGAGCCCACGTGCATGCCCTGGTGGTAACCCGTCCGGATCATCCCCGGGCTCAAGCTCAGGGCACGGCTCCGGGTCAGGATCGGGTCAAGCTGGCGGTTCTGGCTCGGGCAGTGGTTCAGAAACGGGTAAGTGAATGTTTCAGCCAGTGTATTCAATTGCTCCCGGGTCAAGTGTGCTGATAGACCCAGGCAATCCGGACAATGGCCTCATCTACCGCGATCTTGTTGTTATTGGCGGTGGAGCAACTGGAGTCTACTCAGCATGGCGCGCGATTGAGGGCGGCAACCTCTCGGTCTCTGTCATCGAGGCATCGGACCGTCTTGGTGGTCATGTCGACACATTCTATGATCCAGCAACGAACCGGCCGGTTGACTACGGAGTGCAAGCATACATCAACAACGAGCAGACGCAGGAATTCTTCAGCAGATTCGATGTCGCCTTGAATGCGTCCGCCACTTCGCCCTTCAAGACCTACGTGGCCGACTTCAAAGCTGGCGTAGTGATCCCAAACGCCACCTATCCGGATCCAACTTCCCTGATCGGCCCACTCACCAACTATCTGACCGTCATGTCGACAAATTTCCCCTTCCTCAGCGAGGGCACTTTTGATCTCCCAGATCCCGTGCCGGCGGATTTGCTGATGCCCTTCGGCCAGTTCGTTGCCAAATACAACATCAGCGACGTGGTTTCGGTCGTTTTCACCTTTGCCCACACTGTTGGGAACCTCCTCGAGGCCCCTACCCTCTACGTCGTCCAGAACTTCGGAGCAGCTCACATCCTCGGCTTGGCGAGTGGATACATGTATGCACCAGCGGGCAACCAGGCAGTCTATGATGCTGCCGCCGAGTGGCTGAGCGACAGAGTGGTCTACAACACCAAGGTGGCATCGACAACACGCAACCAAGACGGAACCACCAACATTGAATTGAGCAATGGCGCGAAAATTGCGGCGAAAAAGGTGCTCGTGACGATTCCGCCCACCCTGGATAACCTCGCCGGTTTTGACCTCGATGACGAAGAGACCCATCTCTTCGAACAATGGTCGCACGTGCCATACTTCGTGGGCGTCACAACGCAAACCGGGCTTCCTGACCTGACGAACTTCATCAACGTCGACACGTCCTCAGTCGGCAATCTTCCGTCTACTCCCTACGTATGGCGTCTGGAGACGGTCGGCGTGCCAGGTTATCAGACCGTCAAGGTCATAGGGGAAGCCGACTCGGTCAAAGCACGGGGCCTGGTGCATGATGCTGTCACAAAGATCGGCAAGTCACTGGCATCTTTGCAGCTTGGTGGCTCTACCGGCCCAGGGGACGACATATTCGCGGCTTGGCAGCCGCATGCGCTGCTGGGCCTTAATGTCCCGACCGAATCGATTCAGTCAGGCTTCTACAAGAGCCTGTATGGATTGCAGGGCCGTCACAATACCTACTGGACGGGGAATGCATGGGCGTCTGATTACTCGCCATTGCTGTGGGCTTTCACAGACAAGAGAGTGCTGCCCTACATCTTGGGGACAAATACCACCGTGAGCACTAGACGACGCCTCTGATGATCGCGTTCACAACAGAGATCACGCTAAGTGCATAACAAGAGCATAATACGGCAATAGATAATGTATACGTTTCACAAGAGGGTCAAAACGTTCTCAATGCTGTGTCTCGCTCGTCCTGCTGGATGATTTTGGAGAGAGTCATGAACTGTCGTCCAATCCGACGAGTACTGCTCCATGGCAACTACGTGTATTTGAGCCCCCGCAAAAATTACGGATCATCACCATCTCGTTCGCTGAATGGTGGGACAACTCCAGGAGTTCAGGGCAGTATGGCGAGATCCGGTGGAGACCCACAAACCCCTTTAATCACGGCCGGACACACTAACCCACTCTAAGAAGTACCAAGTATGTAGAAAGAGGCGCCATGTGGGAGATTTCGAATGTCCGGAAGTCCACAGATGATATGGATAGGTTTAACTGGATGCGTTTCAGGTCTTGCCGGATGACAGTGGATGTGCGCAGGTGCTTCGCTCTGACGGCAGCGACCACCCCCTTTCTGGGGCAAAGATAGGTCCAAGTATCCACCAAGTATGCATATAAGCTCTTCGGGCCGCGTTGATCGGATGGTCATTCCTTGGTAAGATTTTGTATCTGGCGAAGATCGCTTTGGTGTGAATCGTAACCGCCGCTATTTTGATTTTCAACTCAGTGCATCTCATCAAGATGAAGTCTACTCTTCTGGGAAGTGCGCTGGTCGCATCCGTCTCTGCCGCAGCCCGATCTGCTCCTCCTGACGGAGCAGTCACTGTGTGCTCCAACAGCTGTGACTACAGCAAAGTAAGCTTCGTCATCCAAAGGACCATGCTCAAACATTTCTGACGTCCTCCAGATCCAAGATGCCGTAGATGCTACATCGACTGGCAGTATCTTCATCTACAAGGGCACATACACCGAGCAGGTTAGCAGGGCCTTAAGAATTCTCGCATCGATATTCGAAGTAGACTCACCCTAGAACTAGGTCAAAATCCCCTCATCTACGAAAAACCTTGCCATATACGGAGAAACCACCGATACTTCATCCAACGCCAACAATGTTGTCAGTCTCGAATACAAGATGAGCCAGGCCACCGGCGCCTCCAACAACGAGGCCACCGCCACCCTCGATAACCAAGGTGCCAATGTCTCCATATACAACATCGACATCAAGAACACCTACGGCAAGGGATCCCAGGCCGTGGCTGTAATGGCCTACAACAAGGCGCAGCAGGGCTACTACGGAGTCGGACTCTACAGCTACCAGGACACCTTTCTCACCTGGGAGGGAACCCAGATCTTTGCGAATGGATACATCGAGGGAGCCACCGACTTCATCTTTGGGCGGGAGGGCTCGCTGTGGATCACAAACTCAACTCTGGGGGTCGCAGGGCCAGGGTGTATAACGGCGAGCGGCCGCACCAGCGAGTCCTCAGCCAGCTACTACGTGATCACGGACTCCACCGTGACCAGTGCCTCCGGCGCCGAGGTGTCCGCCGGCGACGTGTATCTTGGCCGTCCCTGGGGGGAGTACGCACGCGTGGCTTTCCAGCGCACCGAGCTGCCGGACCTCATCAACAGTGCCGGGTGGAAGGCTTGGAACGACGACGACCCTCGCACTGATTCTGTGGTGTATGGGGAGATCGACAACACCGGCGATGGGGCGTCTGGTGAGCGCAATTTCGAGACGAAGCTGAGTGCGGCGCTGGAAATTGGCGACATTCTGGGAAGCGATTACGCCGACTGGGTGGACGCTGCTTATATCTGAAAGCCACAGTGATGTCCAGGGTTGGAAGTGTGGCGCGGCGCAAAGAAACCTTACGCGCAGCACAAGTTCTATGTATATATTATATGCGGCGAGGGCAAAAGCTTGAACAGTACATAGCGGTATCAAAGTAGTTGCTGATGAGCTGGTCATTCTTGTCGATAGAAGGCTGTCTCCTCCCGTCAGCTTCTGCTATGATATTTGACATAAATCTAGCCCTTTCGGAAGCCTACTCGAGCACGCCCTCGATCATGACTTTAAAGACATCCGGCCGCCCAGCATGTACCAAGTCAAACGCCTCCTCCGCTTGATCAAACTTGTACCGGTGGGTAATCAATTTCTTGACGTCAACCTTGCCGCCAGCGAGAAGCTCGATAGCAGCCGAGTAGCTCCTGGGTCTGTACCTGATGGCGCCCTTGACAGACAGCGCCTTGGTGCAGACAGCTGTGATCGGGAACGCGACCACTTCCTTGCCCATACCTGCTTGCACGAGCGGCCCGCCCTTCTTCGCCGCGAACATGCCGAGCTGGATACATGCTTCGGCGCCGGAACACTCCAGAACGACATCAGGGCCGTCTGCCAGGCCCAACTCCTCGTTCATCTTCGCCGCGACAGCCTCTGCGTGGGCTGTCGGGTCAATGTCGGCTCCGGCGCGCGGGGGGACATACGTTGCGTCAGTTCCAAAGCTCCTCGCGACCTCCAGCCTTTTCTCGACAACATCGACCCCAATAACCTTGGAAGCGCCCCAGAGCTTCGCCACGGCCTGGCACAGCACCCCGATCGGACCACAGCCAAACACAAGCACCGTCTGATGTGGTCTCAGCTCGGCAGTCTCACACACAGCACAGGCAACAGAAGGGGGTTCCACCAGGGCCGCCTCCTCCATGGACACGCTGTCCGGAACCTTGTAACAGAAGTCTGAGGCGTTGATGTAGTACTTGGCGAGCGTTCCATAGATGTTGGGCGGCATTGCAGCGAATTTCATGTCGGGGCAGATGAAGTAATTGCCATTACGGCAGTAGCTGCACCGGCGGCAGGGCACACCTGGTTCCATGGCGACCCTGTCGCCCGCCTTGAGGTGCTTGACATGCTTGCCGACCTCGACGACGACGCCTGAGGATTCGTGGCCTGGCCTACGACCATTGGGCCATTGACGATGTACTCGCCGATTCGGCCTCGTTGCCAGCTGATGGGGAGCATTAGTGGTTGTCTGGAGAAGATGGCTTTCGCTGGCTTACTAGTGGACGTCACGGCCACAGATACCGGTTTGTGAGACATGTATTTACGAGCACATCATGGTCATCTTTGAGTTGCGGTATTGGCCTGTCTTCGATGGCAACCTGTTTGACATCTTTGAGAACGAAAGATGGGTTCTGTTAAAGCGTCAGATGACCCATGAGGTAAATAGTGGACGGGTAACATACCTGAATGTTTGGAGATAGTCGTGGAAGTGCGCGTTCGGTTGATGTTCACGTGCTTGCCGCTTCAGTCAAACCAGTGATCTCGACCGCTTTGTGTGCAAGCTACCTAGGTATTTATGTCGCTGGCGCATGGAGTGCTGCCTCAATTCTCCGAGCGAGAACGACATGAGTTTCCACAAAGCATGTTGCTGAAAGGACCGCTTGCGTCCTCTGGAATACCTCAGTTGTGGTGCAGATCGCATCTACCAAGACGGACATCCCCACATCCCCTCGCCCCAGACGGAAGCGCCTGAAATTCCCGAAACGGAAATTTTCACGACGGCCGGCCTGCCACGAGCAGGTGCTGCGAACCCAGCCATTTCGTTATTCGCGCTTCTGGCCCCATTCTGATCAGATGATCTTTGCGTGTATGCACAGCCATGATTTTCTCGGAAAGAGATATCGCGCTCCTGGAGCAGCGAGCTATGGGGGCGCTGCTTGAATCAGCAACAAGTAGAGTATGGGACGGCGAAAAAGTCTCGCGGCTCTCCCGCTGCGTCCACAGCGAATGCATGTTTACTATTCTTGGCAGATATTGCTCTTTCTCTGTGTCGAGATCTCTCAACCATCAAGGATCTGTCCAAAGGCCATCTCCGTGTTGATTCTCTGGTAATCAAGTCGGTCCAAGACGCAGTGAATCACACCCGATCCCCCACTCCTGAAGCAAAGCTTCGATCCGGTACGTAGTAGCAATGCCCAGATCATCTTGTATCTCCCTGAGCATGTTCACCAACCTCTTTCGATCCTCCGTTTGAGTACAACACCTCCCAGCAACATACAATGGCTGGACCGCCCGAAGCCTTACCGCATCACAAGGTGTCCCACGCACGATCGAGACCACCTCAGATGCGTGGCACTGCAGCCTATTCTCGACCTCACGAAACGCTCGCAGGATATCAAAAGGAGGACGACCTCCGATGGCCGAGTCACCCGGAAGCAGTTCCGACGGGCGATGAATGAGGAGCAGCATGCATGCCATGTGGTAATACATCATCGTTGTGGCACACAAGTCGTTGCTGAACCACAGTTCTCGACCAAAGAGACCAGAGACGTCTGCGCCGGCATGGTGGTCCGTGAAAAAGGTACCGTCCGCGAGGAAGGATGAGGAGATGGTCTGGAACCATGCCTGAAACTGCTCTTCGAGGGACCTGAAGGCTTGTCTCGGTTGAACGAGCATGGTCTCGAGGTGTGAGGAGGGTGCCAGGTAATTGATCAATTTACACAGGTAACGGATGAGGGTGTATGATAAAGCCTTGTCCCTGGCGTGCTCAGCTGTGTTTGTGAGGCTGTTTGGGCTGGCGCCGGTAGTCAGGCTCCCGTCATCCTCAACCAAAAGGCCCATGTTGCGCCACAGGGCAAGGTTCTCTGTATCAATGCGTGTTCTTCTGTGTGAGACGACTGCAGGACGGATCAGTCGCAATCCAACAATGCGTTAGTAGACTGTTGCTCAACTCACAGGACTCCTCGAGGTCATTCACCACAAAATTCCAAAATGCAGCTTTGACCTGCATGACGTCTTTGGTGAAGGGATACACCGCCTCAAACATCGGGTACGGATGGAGCAGCCTTCTATCATCGATGAGGTCAAGAAGCTTGGAGAAGCCAAAAAGGTGGCCCGACCACGCGTCTCTGTTTGCGCTGATCTGCTCATATTGGATGAGGATGCATGTTCCGAGAAGTCTCACGATTGGATCCTCCCCATCTGCTCGTACCATCAGATCACCCGAGGACAGCGACGCTGGGGAGGAGCCGTAATTGTGGGTGGGGTGTTCTGATGTTATCGATTTGACCAGTGTTTGTGTCGCTTTTTCATAGTATTTCGCTCCGTACCACATCAGTCCGAGCGGGCCATGCTGAAGCTTCGCGGCGATTTTCTGTTGAGTCTTGCCTGTGATGATTGTTGCTAAGGGGCTTCGCATCTGACCCAGTTGTTTGGCAGCAACCGCGCACGCTGCATAACGGAGGATCGGGTGGTCTCGGGCCAGAGTTAAGACTTCCCGGCTGAAGACCTCGTAGCGATACAGCAAGTCCATCCTGCGTATGGGGCTCAGCTAGTGATCATAAAATGGGTCGACAAAAGGCCATACCATGGGGCTATGCATTCCGAGTAATGCCTCAGAAGCAATAGCTCCTCTGGAGTGTTCCTGAGGGCTTCAATTCCAGAGACATCGAGTTCTGCAGATTCCTCTCCGAGTTGCTGGTCTGGCTCCGGGTTCAAGTTGTCCTGGTCGAAGTGTCCATTGTCTTCGAATAAAGAGGATTGCCCCGCGGTGGTGCCAGTGCCACCACGAGCTATCCGCTCATTGGCGATTTGAATATCGTTCCCGGCCGATGTCTCCTCTTGACTGATGCTAGGGTCGACCCTTGGACTATCTAGGTCGAATACAAATGCGTTTGCTTCAGTCAATCCCCAGTCTATCAGGAGCCGGAGGCACTAAGCGCACGGGAGCTTCTCGCTTACCAGTTCGATGTCTGCCAATGGAATGGCCTGGTACCGTCTCAGAAATGCCTGCACCCAAGTTGTCTTCGTCTCCCTGGTCACCTTGAAACGAGTCATTGTACCGAATTGAAAGCTCATGTTGCCTGAATATTGAATCTTGCAATCGGCAGTTGCGGTTGGCCTTTCGACATTGACCGCAACGGGGCTGCTGCTCGTCACACTTGATCTTACGCCTGCGGCATTCCGGGCTGCATGACGATCAGCGGATGCTGTGCACAGTCAAGCCAAACTGAGCGCTACTCACCACCCTTTCCTTGATCGCTTCTGACCCCGGTTTCGCTCCAAGGATCTGGGTCTGTTCCTTGTCTGCGGCATCCTTCGATTTGAACACCATGCTGCAGACTCGGCAACAATGGGTTCGCACAAAATTCTGGATTTGGTAGTATAAGGTTGGCTACAGTACGAGACGACGAGTTTGTTGACCCCTCACTAGGTACTTAGGCTGCTCGATCTTGTTGTGGGAGGGCATCGCATAATATTCCCAAAAGCGTTAGCCTAGTTTCTGTGAAGTCCGTCCCTCCCCAGTGCAAGACAGGTATACCCCAGCATTTGCTATTCGATGTGACGGCAACCCCATGGGGAAGACATCTGCAGCCTGTCTTGCCCCTGTCAGCCATGACCCCGTCATATTCTCCTCTGAGAGCATCTGTGTATAACTCCGGAGGGGCCTTTCAAAAGCCAGTGATGTTTGCATACAGCATATCAGTTCATCCGAATAGCAATCCACGCGACTCTGGAAGCATCGTTGAAAACCAGGTCATTCAGCGGTGTCATCGTAACCGACAACTTTCTTGAACTCCATGATCTCGTCGGCCCAGAGAAGACTCAAATGCTTTCGACAGTCACTGCAATACATGATATAGGCTGTTTCGTCGGGGCCATGGTGGCCTTTACGATTGGCGAACGACTGGGACGAACCAAATCCATCATCGTTGGAACGACTATCATGAGTGTTGGAGCCATACTCATGTGCTCTTCGTTTAGTCTGGCGCAGATGTTTGTTGGCCGCACCGTTCTGGGGTAAGTGATGAAGACTTGAGTCACTTTCTCAACGAATAGTGAACCCAGAACAGAAGTTCTAAGCTTTTCTTCCACGGCAGAATTGGCAACGGTATCAACACATCCACCGCCCCGATCTGGGAAACCGAAACTGCTCCTGCACATTGGCGAGGCAAATTGGTCATGTTCGAGATGATGATGAATATCGCGGGATTCTCCCTGTGTAACTGGATTAACTATGGCCTGTCGTTTGCTGGTGGTGCCGTTGCATGGAGATTCCCCCTTGCGTTCCAATTTGTCTTTATTATTGCGCTGTTTGCCACGGTGCCCTGGCTTCCTGAGTCTCCCAGGTGGCTGATGGCACATGGACACGAGGCCGAGGCAACCAAGGTGTTGTCTTGCCTTGAGGCGAAGCCTCAGGACGACGCCTTCGTCATTTTGCAGAAGGAAGAGATTCGATTCAGCATCAATTACGAGCGGGAGCACCAGATTAGATGGCGAGATCTTTTGCGGCCGCAACCCGAGGCGACCAAACCACCACGCCGGCTTGTTTCAGGAGCTAGCACCCAGTTCATACAACAGTTTGAAGGTACGTGATTCCAGCGCAAGATATCAAGGTCCTAACAGCTTTGAAGGAATCAATATCATGTCCTACTACCTACCGACAGTCTTGATCACAGCTGTAGGGCTACCGACTGAACTAGCAAGACTCTTGACAGCAGTCAATTCCGTGACTTATTTGATCTTCTCTTGCGTCTCAGTTACGCTTGTTGAGAAATGGGGCCGCAGGGGGTTGATGTTGATTTCCACTGCGGGACAGGGCTTTGCATTCCTGATCATCACTATTCTTCTCAGATTCGGCGAAGCGGGAGGTAACCGGAAGGCAGCAGAAGGATCCATCGTCTTCTTCTTCTTATACTACATCGCTTTTGGTTTGGGCATGCTGGGAATTCCCTGGCTTTACCCCACTGAGATCAATTCCATCGCCATGCGCACAAAAGGTGCCGCTGTAGCAACTGCTACGAACTGGTAAGATCTGTGGTGTGGTGGCTAGGAACCTAAAGTCCGACTGACAATTTGATCAGGATCACGAACTATGTCATAGTTCAGATCACGCCGATCGGGATTCAGAACCTTGGGTGGAGATTCTGGATTGTCTTCACAGTCTTGAATGCTGCCTTCCTGCCTATCATTTGTCTCTTCTACCCGGAGACAGGTTTGTCTTGACCACCAAACAGAAGTTGTGGCGGGGACTCAGACTGATACGAAGCTTCTAGCCAATCGCACACTGGAGGACCTCGACGAGTACTACCGCAATAACCCGCCACTGATTGTGATTGGCGATAAGGACGCCATTACAAGCAAGAGACCTCAGAAGTACTCCGATCACGAAGAAGCTCGGATTGAACGTGTTGCCCACGAAGATGATTCCACTGACGTGGCAGAAAAGAAGATGTCGCAGAGCCAAACACAACATGTGGAATAAATCCCTGGGATAATATTCGAAATACTAAGTAATCCCTTGGGCCGCGTGACGAAATATGCAGTGTCTTCTAGCCTAGGTAAAAGATTGATTTTATCAAGATCGAGAAATGACAGCATCTTATTGCGTCCAGGCCTGACCCTCATCATGTATTTCGGAATCTTATTTGCTTCTCTAGTATCAGATCCCTTGCCCCCGCCCCCCCACCACCAAATATCTTGAATACGGAGATTCCAATATGTCAACTCATACCATAGCCATAGCTGTTAGAGCACATCATTTAGCTCCAATTCATTTACCTATACCTTAGGTGTGGGTGTGGGTATTAGATGTGTGGGTATATGGGTATGTAGGTGTATAGGTGTTAGGTGTAGGTGTGTTAGGTATAGGCGTGTTAGGTATAGGTGTGTTAGGTCTTGGGTATGGGTTTTGGGTGTGGGTGAGGTGGTGATGTACCGGTGTACCCACCGTTTTTGTAGGTGCGAATAGATCTCCGTACTCAATATCTTGTATCTGAACATGTTCAACTTTGATGAGTTTCGCAGACATGAATTTGCCAATGGGAATTGGTACTGTCATCGTGGTGATACCAACCAAACCAGCAAATGAGACACAATTCGGAGAACGAAACTTGAAATTTGCTCAAGACTACTCGCCAAACTATCTATATTCGCTCAAGAAAGCTGAACTGTTGGATGAATCATTAACTTTAGATCTACGTTCTCTCTATGTCAAAGTGTACCCTCCATCCACGATAATGTCCGCACCTGTCATATAGCAACAAGCGTCGCTGGCCAAGAAAACATAGATCTTTGACACATTTTCGTCAGCCTAGGCCATGTCGCATAAATTGGAGGGGACTTACGCCTTTGAGTTCCGATGTCTCGGCCATTCGCTTGCCGGGGATCATTTCCATCCATTTATTGAAACGTTCTTCTGGTTGCGAGTGTAGCACTAGGTCGAGTAAGAATCTGATAACTCCGACTTCGGCGTTGGGTCACTTACTGTCTGTTTCAATAAAGCCCGGAGACACGCAGTTGACTCTGGCAAAGTCCACCCACTCAACTGCCAGACTCTTTGCCAGGTGCACAGCCGCCGCCTTGGAAGAATTGTACGCGGCCTGCCGCTGCGGGATGTTGACGAGAGTGGCGCTGACCGACGTTGTTATGATCAAGTTGCCGCGTCCTTGCTGCTTGAAAACCTTCCCAGCCGCTTGCGCAGTCCACATCACTCCGTCGAGGTTGACACTGTTGTTGTCCTTCCAAGACTCCTCGGTGTACTCGAGACTTGGAATATCAGCACAGACGCCGGAGTTGGCGACCATCACATCCAGGCGCCCAAAGTCAGTCACGATCTGTTCAACCGTTGAGGCTATCGATGCGCGAGACCGGACATCGCTCTGGTAGGCCAGAACCTTTACCCCCGTTTCCTTTGCGATTTGAGCAGCGGTGTCCTCGGCTTGTTTATTTGTTGAGTAAATGAGGGCAACATCGGCGCCGGCTTCAGCTAGGCCCCTGACGATTTCGAGACCGATGCCTCGGGCACCTCCTGTGACCGCAGCGACCTTCCCTTTCAACGAGAATTGCGAAAGCACAGGGGCGTTGGAGTTGGGTGGCTTGTAGAGAGGCATGATGGATAGAGTTCGCCGGTTGAATTTCGAGTGAAACGAAGGCTGTCGTCGATGAATTGAAGCGCCAGTTATGAGGGAAAATAGCTTTAGATACTGGACTCTTTTCATGCGGACGCGCTTGCCCGCGAAGACAGAGTCAGTCGGTCAGGGAGTTGAGAAGAGCTCGGGAGTTTTGCCCCGAGTATTGCCGACACCCGTCCCAGTCTCTGGCGCCTCTTTTACCGAATAGGGAAATTTATGCGCCCAACCTCTGTCTGCGCGTGCACCACACTGCGCTTAGGTTACTCCACCCCAGATCAATTGTCTTGCAGCAAATGAATAACCCCTCGTCGAACACTTCCAAGCTCCGCAGAGCATTTTCCCAGCTGATAGACGCACGCCTCGAACTTCACATACGAGCATCTCATCTTGCCCATCAGCATGTCAACAACCGGGTTTCCGATGCTTTGTTATTCTTATTGGAACGCCTAACCAAAGCACTTGCACACCTGCTTATCCGAATGAAAAGCCATGAAATGAGAAATGCAGAAGGGCTTCTTTCTACCTTGATACTGAACCGGGAGGTCGCAAAATCACCAAGACATCCGATGGCCATCCTTCAAATATGCTCGTCTGTACTGCGCAGCGATGATTCTTGATCAGAAAATGCGATACGGCGTGCATTGTGCGAAGATTTCGAGAAGTGATTTTAACGAAGCAAGCTGTCACCGATACTGAAGCCCACAACGCCTTCAGCATTACTATGAGACCACACCACGCCTACCAAGTCACAGCTTGCGGATCTGCTGATGACATATTATGAAAATAATTATATATTAAGCCATACTCCCGACTCAGTAGATATGTAGAGGACTTAAGTCCAAAATTATCGTCTCTTTGTGCGAGTCTATCGCGCAAGTGGGCATCGCTTGTCGTAGGAAAATCTTCAAGTTGGTATGGATCGTCGCTTTGAATAAATCTGAGTCTCCAAATGATAGCTCTCATATTTCACGTCTGGAGTGCCAAACACAAAGAAAAGAAAAAAAAAAAAACAATTTCCCAAGGCCATGAACTCTGTCTATCAAACAATTCCACGCGATTGTCAGTTCAAAGTGGCCGACTTGGTGATGATAATGGTCCTTCCAAACCGACGATCCTGCGTGATTCGTCGTCCAGGCGCGGTAAACGGTTTGAGATGACCTGGGCCACCCTACCTAGGTAGGTAGTCACCGTCGGGTGGCTCTATCGGCCAGCGTCGGAGATATGTGCGGGGAGCGCCTACGATCGGAAGCGGATCGGGAATGCGGAAGCTGATTTTCGGATGTAGGATCTCTCCTCTGGCGGCCTACCTCGGTGTAAGTGCTGTCAGGAAGAATGCCCCTCATCCATTGTAATGGTTCGGAAAGAGATATACAAGCGGGAAAAGACCTGAGTATTATATACGAATCTGTGTAACCGCAACCTTACAAATAATCCTATCCTGCCGCGCGGATCTTGGGTAGGAAGAGAGGTACGCCCACATCTATCGACTTCGTTATCACGTCACAATCCAGCATAAGACGAGGCTTCATCATCTCATACGTGTGAGAGTCCAGGTGTTCATGATATTGCAGTCAGAAGACAATTTACTGATACTTGGCCGTTGGGCTCCATTTCCCAGACATATTACCGGAAGACCTGCTTCAACAACAACTTCGTCGCGACTGATATTCCGCTGTCATGTCTTCGTTCATCCCAACCGCCCAACTGCGGCTGGATTTTGCAAAAGCATTATCACGCATGTATTCCCAAGAAGTACCACAGTATGCAACACTTCAGACGTTGGTAGACAGAGTCAACGACAGCTCTGACGCGAATATTCCCCTGACCGAGGTGCCACGACATGGCGCTGTCCGTCTTGCCTCTTTATCCGAATTGAGTGTAGCGGCGAAATTCTTCAAAGTGTTGGGTATGGTCTCCGTGGGCTACTACGACCTCTCGGCAGCCGGGCTACCAATTCACGCCACGGCCTTTAGACCCATCACCCAAGAAGGTCTATCCATAGCACCTTTCCGGTTATTTGTCTCGGTATTGCGGCCGGAGCTTCTCACCGAATCACTCCAGCCGCTCGCCAGGTCCCTTCTTAGCAAGCGTTCTTCGGTCTTTAGTCAGAGGACGATCGACCTTGCCGACCTTGCCGCCTTAAAGGGGGGTCTCACCGCGGCGGAAGCAGATGAATTCATCCGTGGGGGGTGCGAGACACTCGCCTGGAGGAACCAGGTGGCTTTAACAAAGCAAGACTATGACACGCTCAAGGCCGATAAAAACGGTGATTTACTTATCGATATCATGGCTTTCCGTAACCCACATCTGAACCATCTTACCCCCGCGACGAAGAACATCGATGCTGTTCAACGGGGCATGCTTGAAGTCAGCCTGGAGCCAAAGGATCGTGTCGAGGGACCTCCGGAGCGTGACAGCAACGTGTTGCTGAGACAAACGAGCTTCTTGGCAGTTGACGAGGGCATCGTGTTCGACCAGGCGGCAGACAAGGGCATGAGAGGCAGCCACAGTGCACGCTTTGGAGAGATTGAGCAACGGGGTGCTGCGCTGACTCGGAAGGGGAGGAAACAGTACGACGAGGCCATCTCGGAGGCCACGCGGTCAAGGCTGCTCGTGGACGGCAAAGAGCCTGCGTTCAAGGCCTTGTTCGACAAGGCACTGCCCGACGACTGGGAGACCCTGAGGAGCGCAGGGCTGATATGGGTCGAGTACAGCCTCACCGAGAAGGGGGAGAAGCAGGGGAAGTCCAGCGGTGTCAAGACGCTGCAAGACGCTGTCGTCAAGGGACTGGTCGGGTGGCAGGCGATCCAGTATGAAGATTTTCTACCGTTGTCAGCGGCCGGTATTTTCCAGAGTAATTTGCACCATGATTCAGAAGTGAGACTGCAAGTTTCGCCGCAGAATGCTCTCTCCGAATCGAAACGGCAGCTGAGGGAGGTCCTGGGAGATGAGGGGATGATGGACGAGATGAAGTTGTACGAAGAACAGCAGGCGACCAGCATTGCGATATGCTGCGAAGCTCTTGGAATATCAGCTTGGGATTTGTAACTCTACGGGAAAACAAGACCCATGGTCTGTCATGGATCACGAGACAATGTTTGCGGCGGTATGCACGCTCTCACAAAGATTGTTGAAGGAGCCGCATGGTGATGCAGCCAGAGGGGCGGGATTGGAGATGATGTCTTTTCGAGGTATATCCGGCCCGTGGTGCCGGTTAAATGGACATGGTAGCTCAAAGCATTTGCTCGACATCACATCACACCGACTTATTACCGATCCAGCACAGCGGCTATAACAAGCTTGTTATGAATCATTGATCGACTTTTCAAGTAGTACCAAGTGTTTCATTGCACGTGGATCAATTGAAGCCTTCTTTCTGGCCAGATTCATTCTCTGCTATCAACTTGACAGCCCACGCAATTACTGTAACGTCACCATGAGCGGCAAAATATACTGCATCACCGGCACCAACCGTGGCCTAGGTCTTGAATTTGTCCGGCAGCTCGCCGCGACCAAATCAAACACCATCATCGCCACCGTCCGCAATGCCTCCACAGACCTGGCCGATCTCAAGTCCGTGGCGTCATCCTCAACGCACATCTTGGTCTGCGACACGAGCGACCCTGACTCCATCGCCTCTTTCGTGCCCGAGGCAACCTCACTCCTGGCTGGCCGCAAGATCGACTTCCTGCTGCACGTCGCAGGCGTCAATTTCCACTCGGAACAGACCAGCCTGTCGATGACCGCAGACGCACTCCATACCAACCTACAGGTCAACGTCTTCGGGCTCGCGAGGACGACGCAGCTGCTCCTAAGCAGCGGGGCGCTGGACCCAGACGTGCGCATCCTTAACATGACATCCGGACTGGGCAGCCTGGCCAAGTCCGAGGGGATATCGCCGCGCAAGTGCCTGCCCTACAGCATCTCCAAGGCAGGGGTCAACATGCTCACGGTGCACCAGGCCGAGGAGCTGCGGACGGCAGGGCTACCCCAGGCCGTGGTGCTGGCGGTGGACCCCGGCTGGGTAAAGACACGGATGGGTGGCGACGGTGCGGTGCTGGAGCCGGAAGAGAGTATTTCCGGCATACTGAAAGTTCTACACGGTGCCAAGGACGAGGACAACGGGAAGTTCTACAGTTATGACGGGTCGGAGCAGCCGTGGTAGGGAATCAAAGCCCCAAAACGCTTTGATGGGATGAATGAATGAATGAGACTGGGGAGGTCTGTGGTTCGTCTCTACTTATGTCTGAGACGGGGAGGAGGTAGGGGAAGGGAGATCTGGCACACCAGATATCACAATGCTATGGTGGACGCCAGCAATGGTTCGGAAGCGTCTAGCCGGCAAGAATCAATCTGAATTCTTTCATGGGAGATCACCTAGGACATATCTCGTTCAATTGTGAGATGCTGGTTAAGTGATACGCATGTGTTGTCGAATCTGGGGATAGACGTTGGTGCTGTTCAGAAAATCGAGCATATGTTTGGTGCGGCTGTTGTCTATATTCTCGAGGATACCCAGGAATCTCACAAGCGGCAAGAAGACAGGGGTTCAATTTTTATTTTCTGCTTACATGAAAGTACAGCCCCGTCAAACACGATGCAACTCACCCCGGGGTCCAACGTACGATCGATCGACATTGCAGAATGGGGCAAACCCCGCCTCGAAAGCACGCACGGCGTTGGGCCTTTGCTACTCAGTGCTCGGGTGCTTCCGAGCAAATAGTGGCGGTCGACATCCTCAACATTGGTGAAAAAAGGGATAGGGGAGCCCGAGTAGACTTTGGCTGAAACCGGCCTGTTCCTAGCGCAAACATGAGGCCAAACTCTACTCACGCGGCTCTGCGTGCTGATTGGGGATGGGTATCAGGGTGGAAATCATAAAAGTCCATCTAGTCGTTGTGGCCAATCTTACCGCGCAAAAGAGAGTTTGCTCTAGTGCTGCCAAAGTGCGACCCTGGCGACTCGATGGCCGGGCCTGGGCTGCCTGGCATTCAAAAGAGAACAGTGGTGCCTCGATTACTGTCCGATCTCTGAATGCGGTACGTTGTCCCCACCTTCGGCATTGCTTTTCTTCCTCGACCTGCCTCCAAGTATTCAGTCTTGGAAGAACCGTGGCACCTGTCGCCATGTGTACCGACTGAGCAACCCGGATGGAGGATGTCTGAGCAAGAAATGATCTCGGTAGCCTTCACCACGCCAATATGCCTCCTCACGTTGACGAGCCTGGTCCTCGTCGCGAGGATCGGAGTGAAGGCAGCCGTCACGAGAGCGTTTGAGCTGGAAGACGGTAAGCAAACAAGACAAATAGACCTCCATGCACCAGCCCCGCCCATCCCTGGGACATCATCGGACCCCGTCTCGATTTGGGGGGCCCACCCCTCGGAGCTTCCCAGGAAATATACCTGAGATATTTGGGGGCTATGAAAGAGTGGCGTCATAAGCCGTGATGTACACCGTGATTTTCTGAGACGGGCATTTTGTTCCTCATCATTGAAAGGTGCTGACAAGTTCTTTCCATCCAGGCCTAATAATTCTAAGCTTTGTACGCAGACCTACTTGATGATATTGGGAACATGGGTTGACCTGTCAGATATTCGCCCTCGTGCTCAACGTGAGCGCATGTCTCAGTGAGTGTTGCCGAGGACTCTCCAGAGAGGAACGATTACCAGATGATTAACGGTGTGACCAAGTGACCGCCTTGGGCCTGGGAAAGCACCTGAGCGAGGTTGACCTGGAACGTCTATCTGTCTTCGTGAAGGCAAGCATAAGTAATGAACACGGCGGTCGTATCACGGCAACTAATTGCAATGGCAGGTCGCGATAGCAGCGGGTATATGCTACAGCATGAGTCTCACCCTTGCGAAGGCGGCGATCCTGGATCATTACCTCCGAGTTCTTGACAGGAACAAGAGCCAACCACGGCTGTTTCTCAAGAGAATGCTCATCTCACTACTCATCGTGCAGGGTGTTGAAGAGACACTTGTGTCACTGTTCTCGTGCCAGCCACGAGCGGACAAGGCTATCGTGAAGCTCAATGGGGTCTGCTTCGAGCAGAAGCCGATGTGGTTCACCGGGTTCACATTGAATCTCATATTCGATATCCTGTTGTTCCTACGGCCGATCATATCACTCTGGAATAGACGATCCCTTCCTCTATCAGGAAAGATTGGCCCATTGTTGAATCTTGTCGGGGTTTGCTTGTGAGTCGGGCCTCGAGAGATAGAATCCCATCAGCTTTATCGGCCGGAGCAATGCTGACCGTCTCTGCACAGGGTTCTAGTGACAACGGTCGGCCGAGCAGCAGTAGTTGTCCACATAAGCAACGATATCACATGTAAGGTCTCGACTTGTATCACGTTGGTGTTTTCGTGCGTTAACGGCTCACTATAGATGACTATACAATACCACTTATCTGGTCAGTAGCGGAGGCGGACGCCATCGTGCTGTACTCGACCCTACCGTCTTTCTTAATTCTATTCAAGGCATTGGGCAAGACAAGCCGCAATAAAGACGAGCAGTCGAGCCATTCAAGGCAACGCAGCAGCGCGTCGAATAGAAGCCCGGTCCACAGCGACGGGACTGCGTCCCACAAGCTCCTGACGCAAGTGGAGCCGCATCCAGGGCAGCCCGTGCAGCTGCACGGAGGCCTGGGGCCAACCCCTGGGGAGAGGGTCTCGTGGATCGAGAAAGTCCAGGCGTTTCCGGTTGGGGAGAGGAGTCAGCAGGAAATGACGAGGCGGCATATCGGCACGATCAGTGTGGTCGAGGTGCTTCCGAAGGCGTTGGCACCTTCTGGGGAGGCGGTCGAGGTCGAGCATGGCGGAATAATGGTGACGACCACGGTCAGGAGGGAAACGGTCGCGGACCCAGAATACCACAGCTGGGAAGACACAAGTCTGCCACCCAGCACACTATTGTAATATGAATCAGCAGAGTACTGTGCCTGCAAAGCACCTGAAGACTTCGCGAGGACGAGCTAGAAACTCGGCAATGCAGCTAGGGTGTGATCCTTTGGATCGGTCTACCCCTCCACCTCCACACAATCTTCCAATTTCGCCGGATTTGGAGGATCCACGCTCGCACATCACATCACATCGAACACCTACTCACCTTTGCGTTGGAGCAACGTGCCCAATCGCCGCCAGCATCAAGATGCCCAGCCTGGAAGACGTCACATACAACCGCGAGGAGTGCATTGCCGCAATCCGCGATTACTACCACTTTCTCACAAAGCTGTACCTCGAGGAGTCCGACATCGTGGAGCCTCCGGATGGGGGCTGGCCCAACATCACGGCAGACACGATGCGCGGGCTAGGCAAGACGGACGAGGTGGTGCAGCTGCTGCGCCACCTGCCGTACATACGCAGCGACGAGCGGGTGCAGTGCGGGCCATGGGCTGAGTTCGCCGACTGGAGGGACACGGCGGGCGAACACGGCATCGTCTCAGACGAGGACGGTGAGTCCGCCCGGATCTGTTCTGAGCCGCCCGAGCACGTGGACAACATCCCGCCGCAGGTGATCAGCCTCACGTTCAACGAGAGCGAACTGGGCGGGATCTTCCTGCTCGACACGGAGCGGGGAATTGTGCATTGGTATGGGTGCTATGGAGAACTCAGAGGCTCGGAGGACGCGGTCGAGGATGACCCGTACGACTGGGCGCCCAAGGACGAGGCGGAGTGCCTGGAGGCAGTAAGAAATGCACTCGAGGATCGGTATCCCGGCGAGTTTGAGTAGGGTTGAACCGAAAAGAAACATCGATTGCATGTGGCTACCCGGTGTGTATGGACGAGATGTGTCGAGCAAATTTTGAGTATTGAGAGTGGGTTCTCCCACTAGTTGACCCTTCGGTCTTCGATTTCAAAAAGAAGACGAAGATGTTGTATATTGAACCAATAGTGGTCCTGGGCCAAACCATCTCGATCCTGGCCATAGAACAACATGATCAGGTATGAAAGCGGCGTTCAGAAGTACGGGTGCAGAGCAGGAATCCGTCGTGTTCTTGTGTGATTGGTCGTTGCTATTTTGAGCTATTGATAAATTCGCCTAATGCATTGTGACATGAAAAAGCAAAGAAAGAAAGACAAGTGCTCTAGGCACGTGGCTGTACATAGTAGTGCACCATGGTACTCGGGAGCAATGCACCGAACTGTACGTCATATGGTTTGTTGATATTCAGTGGCACTTGTGTCGAGTCTTGGAGTTGGTTTCGGATGCGACGACTTGTTTCTCTGAATGCCAGAGAATTGTGGTTCATCTGTCGCGGCATCAATATGGCCCGTCCCGTATCTGGGTTTTGATGTGGAGATATGTTTGAGAACAATGTTGTACACGCAGAGTAATAATTGGACTCGACACTCGAGGTGCTGCAACAGTGGACAACACCACACGTGCATCTCATCATGCTCAAACATTGAAGCAGCCAAGACAGTGGCTGGCTGATCCTTGTCAGGGGATGACACTGGCATTCGTCTCCTCGGGACGGCAGACGGGAAGGAACTAGCCTGGGGTGGGCTACAGGGGCGCCAGAGGGGCGCCAGGCGGGTTGGGGAAACCGGACAGGGCAGCCAACAGCAGTCTTTTTTTTTTTTTTTTTTTTTTTGCAGCAAGGATGCGAGGGATCACATCAAGTGCATCATTTCATTTGAATCAACCATCTCGACCCCCCCCCCCCCCCCCATCCACCACCAAAACAAACCCGCGGGCAAACATCCGACGAAGAACCAGGCGATCGTTTCCCTGTTGCGCTGCTGGGCAAAGCTCCTCACCCACATCCGCTCGTTTCAACAAAAGTGGCCCCGTCCAAGGTGGCCCTTGCCCTCTGCCCATAATTGCATTACTTGTTGCTTCTTTGTTGGCAGCTTGTCACGTCTATCTGCTCCTCCCTCTGTCTCCTTCTCCTCCATCCTGATCCGACCTCGAATCCTCCATCCAGACGGGCATTGATTTGTATATATCTCTCTCTTGCCCTGGGCCTACATCTCGCCCTCAGCCGTACCGCATGTGCTAGCAGGAAACGGCCAGCTACCAACCCGACCAAAGAACCAAGGACCAGCATTCCTGCGGCCTCCACCCCTCGATAAGCTCGCCCGTCAAGCGAGATCAACCAAGACCAATACAGTGGGGCCATCTGCCGTGTCTGGAATAGGTGGACCTGGACACGTGGAGTCTAGAAGAAAAGAAGCTCTGGGGACTTGACTGAGTGAGACCGAGTCTAGTCAGAAGCCGGATAGGAGACCGCTTTGCTGCAGACCCGGACTAACTGACCTCGGCTGCTCCTCTGCCATGAGAGAAGGCGACGTTTTGCCCTACGACGACAACAAACACAACCACACCCACCACCGACGCCACTCCTCGAGGATATCTTCGTCCGGCGGCCACAACCATCTCGAGCCCCCGCGCCACGACCCTCCTCCCCCCTCCCACTCCTCCCGGCCGCTGCCGTCCTTGCTCGTGAAGGCGTGCAGGAACATGCATCCGCCCTCCTTCAAGCAGCTCCTCACAACATGCATCGTCCTCACAGTCTGTCTCTTCCTCTACAGCAGGCGACTATGGGCCGTCCCAACATCACAAACCCATGACGAGTGGGCAAAACCTCCACCCGCCCCAATACAGCAGGACCAGTCGGACCCGACCATTCCAACACCCCCCGACGCCGAAAAGGTTGAGCACCAGACTCCTTTCCAGCAGGTCCCATACCACTGGAACGACTACCAACCGTGAGCTCCCTACTCCTCTGTCCACACGGCCAACGTTCTAACCTCTGATAACGCGCCATCAGTCTCCAAGGTTTCTTCCACGGGGTCCGCACCCTCGTCGACTACAAGCGATGGGTTCCCGAACAGCTCCAAGAGTCTGCCGACGTAAAGGTCGCAGACAAGAACCCCCTCCAGCCCACCGTAGCGAACCCTTACGCCCATCTCGACGGCGTCCAGAAATGCTTCCTCGACAACGAAGGAACCGTACCAGCTCCCGACACCATTTCCTACCCCGGCATACCTGCGAACATGCCCGCCCCCTACTTTGGCGGTTACGAAGAGCTTGGTCTGGCCCCGAACCAATGCTTTTGAGCGTTTTGGCAGGCTCGGACCATATGGCTATTCATATTCCAAGGCAGATGGCGGCTTTGAGCTCGAGTGTCCCGTCCGGGGAGGCAGCTCTGGAGCAGATGATCCCCAAGATCGACTACTCCAAGATCAAGTGGGACCAGGTGCAAAAGAGATGTCTAGAAAAGAACCGAGAGCGGTTTGGGTTGGACAAGGATGCTGTCAACAAACCAGGTGGCGCGCTGTCGAGGCTGTGGTCCCAGGCCGAGAAGATCGCCGGCAAGAAGACTGTAGCCCGAAACGCCCTTGTCCTGCGCGCGTGGACCGGCATCGAGTGGTCGCCTATGCGCATCATCACCACCAGGTCCCTCATCAACGAGCTGTCCCTCAAGACGGGCGGGCAGTACGATATCCACATCCTGCTGCACATCACCGACGACTCGATCAACATCTCGAACCCGGAAACGGCGCGCAAGATGGTCGAGGAGAACATCCCCGAGGAGTTCTGGGACATCACCACCCCCTGGTCCGTCCCCGCAATGGCCGAGTACTACCCTGGCTTCACCGAGGACATGACCATCGAGAACGACAGCGGGAAGCCGCTGTACAGTGTATACCGCATCCCACACTTTGCGCTGCAGTGGTTCGCCCAGCACCACCCCGAGTACGAGTTCTTCTGGAACTGGGAGCTGGACCTGCGCTACACCGGCAACTACTTTGAGTTCTTTGACGCGGCAGCCAAGTGGTCCGACAAGCAGCCGCGCAAGTACCTGTGGGAGCGCAACGAGCGGTACTGGATCCCCGGGCTGCACGGGAGCTGGGAGGACTTTGTCAAGCACGTCGAGGAGGAGACCAAGGCCAGCAACTTCCCCAGCCCCTGGGGCCCCATCTTCAACGACGGCGTCGTGGACACATCCACCTTCCCTCCCCACCCGATGGACAAGGACAACTACGAGTGGGGCGTGGGCGAGCCGGCCGACCTCATCACCCTCAACCCGCTCTTCGACCCCGAGAAGAACGCGTGGTGTCTGCGCTACGACATCACCGGCTACAACCAGTCGGTCCCGCCGCGCCGCACGTCCATCATCACCATCGGTCGCTTCTCGCGCCGGCTGCTGCAGGCCATGCACGAGGAAGCCTCTCGCAACAAGCACACCATGTTCCCCGAGATGTTCCCGGGGTCCATCACGCTGCACCACGGCCTCAAGGGCGTGTACATACCACACCCCGTCTACTTCGACCGGCGCTGGCCACTGGACAGGCTCGACTCGGTGTTCAACAAGGCCGAGACACCAGAGACGAGCGTGTACTACTTCCCCTTCACCCCGGGCACGGGCGAGGCCAACTTCCTGACGGCGAGCTACTACTACAACACCGAGTTCGGCCCGCCACTGTGGCACCGGTGGCTGGGCCGGGAGTCCGGTGGCGCGGGTGGCCCCGAATCCGAGAAGGAGTCGGGGCGCATGTGTCTGAGAGGCGCGCTGATCCACCCCGTGAAGCAGGACCTGGCCGCGGACAAGGCCATCGGGGCAACGTAATAGGCTCAAGCGTGAGCGCGTATCTACGAGGTGTATTTGTATTTGGGGCGCAGCATCGCCTGCTTCCGCGATGATGGCTGGCTGTCATGACCAGGGTTTGGTGTTTTTGATTTAGATTTCTGCTGCGCATGAATAGCAGCACCGGATACCTCATAGACTTGAAACGAATGCGCATTGGTAAATGAAAACGAATCACCAAGTGACTGTCCGCCGGTGACAGCGACAATGGCAGTAACCAACTGGTGTTCCTTTCCTCGACTATCGGAGGTAGGGAGGGGAGGAGGCGGGTGCCTGGCGACAACCTGTTGGGAATCCCAACTCGAGGCTCGATTGTGGTCCCAAGAGTCATGTCGCAGTACGCTGTTCAATACTTGGTGGGACACCAATCGACTTGGAAATTTATGCGTGGTACGGCATCAAGCTGTGCGACAGATGGCAACTTCGTGCCGACTCCCAGGAGTGACGGAGCCCGATGCTCCGTGCTGCTGATTCCAACCTCGGAAGAGCAGGGGACACTTGGATAAATCGAGAGGGGCAGGTTGCAGCGGAAGAATCGCAAAGAAGGGACAACAAAAAGAGAGATAGACTGTCCACCTGCAGTGTTCCATGTGTCTCTCTGTCTGTCTGCACAGTCGATGGTGATGCTTATCATGCGATAGGTCGGCCGGTCTTGTCGTCATTTCCGAATCGAGCATAAGTTGTGGAAGACAGACTCGGGGGCGGCTCCAACCACAACACAGAAACCGCGAGGTGGCGTTGATGTGGCTCATACAGTAGAGGGACGGCGTTTTCCTGTCGCCGTCGCACTCGTCCCAGCCATGTTCACGTCGCTCCCACGACAGGGCAAAGTCCTCGCGCTGGTCTGCGCCATCAGCCTCGTCACCATCTGGACGTTCCGCCTCCCACGCCTCTGCATCTTCGACCAATGCCCCCATTCGCCCGCCGCTGTCATCCCGTGCTCCAGCACTCTTGGCCGTCACCACCAAGACAACGGCACCGACCTTGACCTATCGGCCCCGGATGCGCCCTTCGTCGCCTGGCCCCTGGCCCGCGTCTGCAGCGAGAACAAGGGGTGGACGCCGGGCCTGGTCTTTGTCTGCGACAACAACTCGGGCGGCATCGGCAACATCCGCAACTTCATACTGACCTGCTTGCGCTATGCCATCGACGCGGGCGCCACGGGGCTCGCGCTGCCGACAATCCAGTCCCGCAGCGCGGCCAAGCTTGCCGACCTGTTCGTCGGGGACCAGGTCCCGTTTGACTACTTCTTTGACGAGGCGCACTTCCGCCGCGGCCTCGCCGAGGCCTGCCCGCAGATCACCGTCTACGGCGACGACCTCGCCGGCGTGCCCGGGCTCGACGCCGAGGAGCTGCGCGCGGGGCGCGTCAGGCCCGAGAAGATCACGCCGAACCACTTTGGGCTGAGGGGCGGCTGTGACGTGCGCGACCTGAACCGCCACACCGCACTATTTGGGGAGCGGTTCCACGCTTTCCTGAGAGAGAGGGATGAGATTCAGCAGCGGCAGCAGCAGCACCGTCTGGGCCCCACCGGTGTCCTGAAGCCCAGGCTTGTGAGGATGAACTGGGGCGTGCAGTGGAACTGGCCCGTCCTCCAGGACGGCCCAGAATTCGCGGCGTCCTTCGGGGGCCTGCTTCGGTTCCGGGACGACATCCTCTCCCTGGGCGAGAGGACGGCGGACGCGATGCAGAAGCTGGCGTCTAATACCCCCGGCGGCGGGGACGGGCGCGGCTTCGTGGGCATCCACCTGCGCACCGAGAGCGACGCGCTGGGCACGTGGCCCTCGTTCGGGAACCAGACGGCGGCGTACCTCGCCAGGGTGGCCGGCCTCGACCCGGCGCCGCCCAGGCACGCGTACCTCGCGACGGGGAACGCCACCGAGGCGGCGAGGCTCGCGGCGCTGGCGGAGGCGCAGCAGGGGCTGCGCGTCGTCACCAAGCACGAGCTGCTGCGCACCTCCGGCGGCGGCGGGGAGCTCCTGCGGCAGCTCGAAGCACTCAGCTGGGACCAGCAGGCGCTCGTCGACTTTGTGGTGCTGCTGCGATGCAGTTTCTTCCTCGGCGTCAGCCCCAGCTCCTTTAGCATGAACGTCGCGCTCAAGAGGCACCTGAGGGGGGATGGGCTGCTCACGCGGCCTTGGAGGATCGGTGATGCGGAGGGAGATGGGAGGAGCTGGCTTGTGGGTAGATACGATAGTTATTGGGAGGACTGGTTGTTCATGTATGACTCCCTTTGGCCTTGATTATTTCGAGCTTCACGTTTACAAAATTGCGGTTTGACCTCAATCTGTCCATGGACCCATCAATTTTGAGCACATAAAATTCGCAGGACATATTCCATGAACATGATACGATTATAGTGTAAATACTTTGCATGTGCCGTGGCTATATCGACCAGTCATGCGGCTCAAGCTGGTCGGAGGACTCCCTCATAACAAATTTCTAACAGCCTCGTATATAAAGCGAAATATTTGCAGATATGCTTATCTAGGTTTTTGCAGATCAGAAGTATTCCCGAACAACTTCTACTCCGGACAAGGGATTTCGCCACGGCGTGTTAGTCGAGGAGAGGTACAAGAATATGGAGAAAGTCACGTACAATGAGCGTGCAATGTCCAGAGGAAGAACTCAGATTCCAATCATCTATTCATAAATATGAATCACAAGTAATGTTCTGGAATTGTGAAGTAATCACCGCTAGCTAACAATTGGATTAACGACAATCCATGGATGCTCCTGGAATTTCCCGTTCACACCTTTTTTTTTACAAGATATGCAAACCTCCGCTCACATTACAACATCACCATTTATCCAACTCGCCCCCTCCTCGCCACAGCATGGCAACCGCCCAGGCCACCTCGGCCGCTTGTGTCAGCCGCGGAGCCACGGGCGTCGTATCTGCGAACTCCAACAGCCCCTTCTTAAACTCCTCCGGAGCGCTGTTGATCGCAGGGCCATCCGGGACCCGGCGATGTTGACGAGGATGTCGATGCGCCCGAAATTGTCCACGGCCGCACTGATGAGTGCTGCCAGGCGGGCCCGTCGACCGTCGACATGTCGGCCTCGACCGCGATGGCCTCTGTGGGTAGTGAGTCGCGCACCGCCTCGGCGTTTGCCAGTTGTGATGGGTTGGGGTAGTTCAGCACCAGAACTGCACCACGGGAAGAGAGCTCCCTTGCTATGGCTACGCCGATGCCTTGGCTTGATCCACTGACGACGGCTACGCGGCCTGCGAGGCTGGGAGGTGCTGATGGTGACGAGGAATTAGATATACGTTGGCACCAGAGCACATGTGAGCTGAGTTTCCAATGCCGTTCTGAGGTGCGTCGCCCATGCGGAAGCCATCCGCTTGCCGTGTTTTATACAGGCCACTTATTGGAGGTGGAGGGGGAGGTAAATACAAGCCGGACTTAGGGAAATACTGTCCCACTCTCCGTAAGTGACGTTCTTGCGTGGATATGTTTGGAATCGCAGGACTCCAAACCTTCTGAATGTCTTGCAAAAAGACTCTTGATGGAAGTTAGTCGTGTGCAATGCCATGGGCCGTACCCAGGGAGGCTAGGATCGGGTACATTTGTGGTAGTGTGGATTAGATATATACACTACCTGCTATGTATGTGTAGACAGGCCCCGCTTAACGGTGTGCCACCTGCTATGTAGTTTCAAGTAGTATGCGAAAGAATAACATTACCGACGAGATTACAAATCCCTTCCTCTTACCGATACCAACCACGGATTTCTGGCTACATGTAACTCACACTCGGCTCCCCACCGGATCTGAGCGGGGAGCTGGTGGGGACCGCGGCAGCTACTTACACGTTGGCGTAGCATACCTTGATGCGCAAGTCTGCATCTCCATCCAGGGCTTGTAACAATGTATACAGCGGTATGGGCGAGATCCGGGGATGCGACATGTGGGACCGGGCCTCTCCAAAGTGTGCGGTCATTTTGCTCAACTACAGGATGAATTGCGTATAGAAGAGGCGATACTCTGCATCATAGGGGGCTTGGGTTCTGCTTGGGACGTCAGTATACTTGACCTAGTTGTACCTTTCACCTCATAAACTTACACTCACATTTGAATTAAAAAAAAGAAGAAATGTCCACGTCGTCAAATCTCTGGCAGTCATCGGGAGGCGGATGGCTGCGCCGAGCCGCCGGCTTGCTAGCTGTAACCGTCCTCCTCGTTTTGCGTCGCCTTGTGCAAGATTACCAGCACGAGAAGAAATACCGATTTCCACCCATCGTTCCTGGCCTCCGTGGGACGGGCACGAAAGGAATTGGACGCGGTGTGTGGGACAAATGCCGAGAGGCTCCCTGATTTCGCGGACTCGGACAGCCTGCCGTTGATCAAGGCTGCGGTCAAGGAGTCGCTGCGTTGGAAGTATGTCATATTCCAGCGTTCATTCCATATTGTCCATCGTGCATCCTAACACACCTGATAGACCTAGCATTGCCGAGACCGGCATCCCTCACGCGACGGCTGAGGACGACGAATTCGAGGGCTACCATATTCCCGCTGGCACTGTGGTGACCTATAATAACTGGGGCATTGCCAATGACCCCACAGAATACGACCAGCCCTAGCGGTTCTGGCCCGAGAGGTTCTTGGATCAAGACCTGGACAAATTCTTGATAGGCCACTTGGGCTTTGGCGCAGGTACGCTCATCCCATTCCCTAAGCCTTTCGGCCGAGACATGTTTGCGCACTCGGTTCTGATAATGTTTGTCTCAAGGTCGGCGGGCTTGTGTCGCCTACAACGTTGCAGCCAAGACTTTGCTCATTGCCGTGTCACGTCTGGTGTACTGCTTTGACTGCCTACAGATCGACAATGAACCTATAGACACAAGTGCTCCGTTGCTAGGAAAGACGGGAGTCGCACCCTTCAGAGCAAGGATACAGATCAGAAGCAAGGCACATCAAGACTTGATCCAGAGGGCGTACTCTTCCGTAATGAACAGTGGCTACAAGAACTGATGTTTGTCCGTCTGTGCAAGGAAGCTTTTAATCCATATTCTGCTATATTTACCCTGCGCATGGCAATTCGTATGATCAAGGCCTGAAGTTTATCTCATGTTGCAGCTCAAGTTGGCAGAGAATCTACTGTGCCTTGTCCTCCACTTGCACCAATTGCTCTTACCTCAATTTGCGTCGTAGTATCCGCCATAATGCCAAGAAAACCCTTCCAAAAGCCCACCCCTTTGCCCTCGTTCGTTAACAGTTGCTAGGCCGAGCAGGACGTGGAGGTCTTGTTGCCCCGTTCTTCCGCTCTTCTTCGCTGGGCTCCTCAGGCTCAGCTGGCTCTTCGCACTCTCGTGGCTGTACGTCACGCGGCTGGAACGATGTCGCATCCTGAATTGCCCTCGCTTCGACTTGTTCATATGTTCGCAAAGGAGGGAGAAAAAAAACAAGAAGAAGAAGAAACAATGCGAGCAGCATTGACAGGACCCGAAAGAGACAAGGGTCACTTTTTGACCATGTATGTGTAGGTATCTGGTAGTCTCTGGGCCGCAAGAATGTGCTGTGTTCCAGGTTTCTGCATTCGTCTGAAATGCTTATCTTTTGCGGAGAATTCCTAGCATATAGGTGGGCTGCGAAGCAAGGAAGAAGGCAGTAGATCCGGAACTCGATATTCAGTTGTGAGCGATTCAAAAGACCACAGAGATGGACCAATTAATAAGAGCAATATACCTGCCCTTGCAACCTGTTGAGTTGTGGTGTTCACAATAGCCTCATCTCTACGAATAAATAAAGATGGTTCTCGTGACCCGTCAGCTACTTGCCGCCTGGTCCGACCTGAAATCATTACGGTTACCCTGGCCGGTGCATGGAATTGGAGCTATCTGCCAGGTATGACTGCTAGTTCTTTGGTGCGCGCTCATCATTGCCATCGTCTTGGATAAGTCGATCAAATGCTGTTTTGACACGGAGGTGAGGCCAGCGGGTCAATTAGACAGCTCGTATGTATTGCAGAGGTCGTTCAATGTCACTCTCTCGGATCGACAATCTCTGCCCCGTCGAGGTGCATATGCGGCTTATTAGTACCTACATGTATGAACAAGGCGCCTTGTCAATGGATGGTTCAATCGGGTGTAGTTGGATACGATGACTCCCACCCTCGGGGAAGAGTTGGCGCATGAAGATACGTACCAATACGATAATTATACGTTAAAGACCACCACGAAACATACGAGATTGTCCTTTAATCTGGGCAGATGCATGATTAAATGTCAGCCAATCTCAAGTCGAAAGCCCAGGAACACTGTATAGAGCATTGGGATTTTGAGTTCTCTCTGTGCATTTACTTCGTACGATATTGCGTCTGCTTGTCGAACGAGAAGGAGCGCCAACCGAGAATGCTTTGTCGCCGCTGTCGTATCTGAGAGACAGGCCTGAAGTCGGAATTATAATCAGTAGTGACCTATAAAGGATCCACGCAGTACTCCGTACCACACAATTTCTCACGGTGCAACCCATGGTCACAATCTAGTGTGTCTCTCGAACGCTACGTACATAGTAGTCTGAACCCCGTGGGGAAAGCTGGTCATGGCGGGGAAACAGGGCCCCGAATGGGGCCCTAGCCCGGCAATCTTGACTCAACTTCGGCTCGTGGCAATAGTGTTGTCCCGCGTCCGGAATATCCGGGGCCCATTATCAAATTTGTGGCCTCGGGATGATGGTCTGGGCCGCCTAGGCGGAGTTTTGCATGCCAAGTGACCGCATTAGCATCGGCACTTGCTCCCAATCCACGGAGAGCTTCCGGAAAAGCCAATGAGACGCAGGGGTTCATCCCTCCCAGCGCACGCTCTCGGGCGGGAAGCATGTTTGGTGCCCCAGGCCCCAGATCCCAGATCGAATGCTACCATATGAAGACGGCCCTTCGGTGTAATGTTGTGCAATCCCAGGACACCCATACTGGTGTCACCGTGGGCGTTCAGGCACCTCAGCTGTGTGGAGCCATAACAAGTTCTTGGTCCCCTTTCGGATCCTACTGCAACGAGGACGCCTCGCCTCCTCAATGTGACCTCCTCAGTGCTCCTCACTCGCTCACTGTGTGACGACAGCTCGCCGCTGTCGTGCCTGGGCTAATTACCACTTTCCCCACAATGCGGCATCCCGAGCGGACGCCAGCCTATGCCAGAAGGAGTGCCCAATTTGCATGTGCATGGCAATGTAGTTGTACTCTTATAAGGTGATGGGGTCGCTTTCGATCTTTCACCCATTTTCTTCAACAGGCTCCCTAGTCTGGTGTCCCTTCTCGATCTGCTCGACCAGTGCTTTAGAATCGACACAATGGTGCGATGTCGTCTGCTGGAGGGTCTCCTGGCTCTCGCCATCTCGACGGCCGTGACAGTGCCCTACGTCGCCGCTCAAGAAGGCGACTTCAGCAACCCTGGCAACTTATATCGCCCAAGATTTCGCTACTGGCAAGTTCTCCTTTCCATACCTACTCTGGTCTACGGGCGCTCAATTACTGACCAAGTAATACAGGCTCCCTGATGCGTCTGTGTCAGCGGACATCGTAGCCAAGGACATATCCTCCCTGGCTGACATCGGCGCTGGCGGCATAGAGTATCTCCCGTTCTACTTCTACGGGCTCGTGTATGCACAGCTTATCCCTGTGCCAGACGGCCCGATTGAGCCGCCCACAGACTGGTCCATCTACGGCTTTGGAGACACGGCTTTCAATGAGCTGTTCAAAGAGACGCTGCAGGCGATCAAGGACCAGGGCAATGGATTCAACATAGATTTCGCCCTGGGCCCAAACCAAGGTGCTGGTGTCCCCAGTGAACCTGGGACGGAGGGCCTGTCGTACGAAATAGTAAGTTTTGGCTCCCATGCGACTAGCAAATAAATAGAAAAATGAGTAGGCGTCTCACATCTTTTAGGCACCAGGCAACGCAACCGTGGTGGCAGGGGAGACGTTTTCCGGCCCAGTACCACCACCATACCTCCCAGCAGTTCTTCAAGGCGGTCTCGGATTCCAGGGACAACTCGAGCAATTCGGCCCGGCGAACCTGACCGCCGTCTTCGCACTCAAAGTCACTGGCCGTACGCGTATGCCCAACAATCACACAAGGCTCAAACCACTGACTGTATATAGCAACAAGTCGTTCAGTCTTCACGTACGGGGTTGGCGACACCGCGGTCCCAGTCTTTATTCTAGATGAAGACTCATACATCGACCTGACACCAAATGTGTCAACGGACGGACAGCTGGAATGGACCCCTCCAGCTGACGGCGGCAACTCCACGTGGAAAGTTTTCAGCTACTGGCAACGATACACAAACCAACGGGCGTGCCGCGGAGGTCTCAACGCTACGACTGTGATTGGTAACGGCTCGTGGACAGTCGACCATTTCAGCACCGCCGGAGCCGTCAAAGTTACCGATTTCTGGGATCAGCAGATCTTGAGTGACGTGGAGACAGCGCAGTTGGTAGCAGATGTCGCCAAGTATTGTATGATGGCCTTTTATTTTCACATCTCTTTATTTCTTCAACGCCCAAGATCCCAATGTATTGTGAAGCTAACTCGGCGTACACAGCCTGGGAAGACAGCATGGAAATCCTCGCGGCTTTGTATTGGACGCCAGACTTCCTTTCGCGGTTCGAGCAAGAGATCGGCTATAGCCTCGTCAAATACCTCCCATTGCTTTACAATCCCAAAAATACCTGGAACGGCGGCATCCTCGCTTACCCGGAGCTCTACCAGTACGGCGAATACACCGCAGACAACACTAGCGTGCATGATCTGGACTATCGAACTGTCTTGACGTCTGGTTATCAAGACTACATCAATCATTTTGAGGAGTGGTCTCATGCGCGCGGAGTCGAGTATTCCAATCAGCCAGCCTACAACCTTCCATTGGAAATGCTGCGGAACATTCCGTCAGTCGATGCCCCGGAGGGCGAATCGCTGGGCTTCGAGGACAGTGTAACTTCCTACCGCCAACTCTCGGGCCCCGCCCATATTTCAGGGCGCAATGTTGTATCGAGCGAGATGGGCGCCGTCTCTGGACCAGCGTTCAACCTCACCATCCCGCAGTTCCTGTACCACGGCAAGGTAGGCTTTGCTGGCGGCATCACGCAGCAAGTTCTCCACGGTGCGCCCTACTCCGGAAACTATCCCAACACCACCTGGCCAGGGTACACGACTTTCTACTATCTCTACAGTGAGATGTGGACGCCAAACCTGCCCACTTATGGATCCGGCCATTTGAAGGATACGCTGGACTATTTCGGCAGAAACCAATGGGTGCTCCAACGGGGTGTACCCAAGGTCGACCTCGCCGTCTACTACTACGCAGCTCCTTGGGCTCCAGGTGGTGAAGATGCCCTTGGCGGTGCGGATGGACTGGGCGCGCTGGGATACACACACGATTACCTCAGCCCACAGAACCTGCTTCTCCCGCAAGCCACGGTCCAAGACGGAGTCTTGGCTGCGGATGGCCCTTCGTACAAAGCACTCGTTTTCTCTGGCCAGGAGATCATCACATTGGAGGCAGCTCAGGCAGTCCTTGGCTTCGCTCAGGCAGGACTTCCTATTATTGTCGTTGGCGATGCTTTGGCTCTGCCCAGTCAGACGTACCCATCTACTGACGTGGACGAACTTGCCAACATTACATCTCAAATAGCGCAGAGTTCAGCTACACATTTCGTCGCCTCTATCGGAGAGATATCCGGGGCTCTGTCTGAACTGTCCATCACGCCTCAGGCGGGTCTGAACTGCACATCTAACCCCGTCTATCCGCTCGTCCGAAGTGACACGGACAGTGGCATTGAGTACGTCTTCCTGTACAATGACCAGTACGTCTCGGCCGACTGCAGCGTTTCTTTCACCTCTTCCGGAAGCAACGCTACCCCGTTCGTATACAACGCATTTTCCGGAAGTCAAGAAGAACTGGTTGAGTACACGGCCGACGGATCAGTGTACACTCTTCCAGTTAATCTGGCAGCAAATGAGACCACCATACTCGTCTTCAAGTCGGGCTCGGGTGCCAACAGCACCAGCAAGCCTTTCGTCACGTCGTCGAGTCAGAACGTCGCATCCGTCAAGCGCAGCAATTCGAGTGATACCTCTGTTCTAGCAACAATCAGCAGCTCCGGCTCGGCCAGCCTCACCTTCGACTCCGGCAAGACCGCCACATTCGACGTCTCCCTCCCCGCGACCCTCGACCTGCCCACCTGGGACATCGAAATCGAAGACTGGCACGCCCCAGAGGACCGCTTCGACGTCGAAGCCGGCACGGCCATCACACTACACAACCTCACCGACCAAGCCCTCGTGCCCTGGACGCAGCTCGGTGCCGGGTTCGAGAGCGTGAGCGGCGTGGGACGCTACACCACCCGCTTCACAGTGCCCTCTCTACCAAGCAGCAACTCCTCCTCGGCCGCCCCCTCTTCCCGCATCGGAGCCCTGCTCTCCCTGGGCCCCGTTGTCAACACCATCCGCGCGAGCATCGACGGCGTGAAGCTCGCCCCGATCGACCCGGCGCGGCCGGTCGTGGACATCTCGGACTACGTGGCCGAGGGCCAGGAGTATGAGCTCGTGGTCGAGGTGACCACGACGCTGTTCAACCGGATCAAGAGCGAGGCGGACCAAGTCCAGGTCTGGGGCCAGGTTGCGTCGGCCCAGCAGTCCAAGTATGCCGATCAAGGGCCTTGTGAGTACGGGCTCTTGGGCCCGGTCACTTTGGAGTGGGTTGTTGTTGCTGAGGTTGATGCTAGCGCCTTGTAATGATGGATTTGACCGCGGGCTGTACATAATCTCGCTGGATGTCACGAAACTGATCTCTAATACCAGTATTTTCCACTATGCGCGCCTACCCCAATAACAGAGAGTACTGTGATAATATTATTTTCAGCGCACCAAGCTTCAGATGGGATAGACTTTTAAGGAGGCCTTCATTATGTATACCCAAGTCAGCACAATGGTCCAACAGAGGCAGGTTTGATGTGAACCTGGTATCACAGGAGAATTCGGCCCCTTACCATAAAGCTACCTTGAATCGTAAGTCGCAGTTGCGGCTCTTCCTCTCACGGACCTCTCTCTTACCAATCCTGTGGCGATTACTCGATTCCAATCCTGGCTTCTCGAAGTACCCGTTGTTTCATCCTTGGCTGACTTCCTGACCGGGACTGGTGTCCGATGTTGCTTGCATGAGTCGCCCGTCCCGGCACCTATAATCTGGTGCGATTGTAGTGTGTCAGATTGCACGGCCCACTGTAGATTGCTCAGTCGAGGAGATCTCGTGTGATGGACGGCTCATGTGGGCAGATGGGTAGGCCTGATCGTGGCTATATGCCTGCGAACAGAACTCGGCCGGACCGGCAAAATAAGCCCGAGGTGCGGAATTTGCGTTTAGAGCGGCGTGCGACTCGGAGGAAATGGAGTATTTGGCATGATAGCCTTCGAGGTATGTGCGCTTCAACTGCTCATGATATGTATCCTCGACAGAAGCTAGAGTCCTGTAAGTCGACAGTTCGGTCATGACAGTAATGCCCTGTGGTGGGGGTGAGCGATGAGATTTATGGATAAAGGTGTGAAGGCCTGTCAGCCGCCTGCGTTGGAACTGTGGAAGCGTTGGATCCTCGTCTGAGAGTCCGGAAAAAGGATCTTTGGGCTGGTTGGAGTTCGTGCCCGCGCTGTGTCTGCCTCGAGTCCTAAGATATCGCACAAGAGAACTCCAGGGACTGAATGTGGCAGAGCCTCTGAAAAGCACGAACACTATCGGCATGCAGCTGCATATGATGCCCACATTGAGCTCAGCTGAGCTGGAATTTTACGAAACCGCGTCAGCTGTTTGGCTCCAGGGAGCACCTCTGCTGCCAATTAGTAGGAAGTCTACTCACGCCAAAGAGCAAAGTAGCACCGAGTCCCATGTGTAGTCATTCGTATCTCTTGACCCCCAACGATAGTATGCGGCAACAGCAGAGCAGATGCATGCCCTATATCCCATACCATTAGCTTAAATATGGCAAAAGTCAAAACGGGCACCAAATTTTACTCACAGCAAGCCAGTCAAGAAAATGCCTAGGACACCGAGTTTACGCTTCTTCTGGAGGCGAAGAGCAAGTACAGAGCTAATGGGTATTGCGAGAACGTAAAGGTCCGTAACAGCACCGACCAGACCTTGTGCGGCAGAGACGTCGATGCTTCGCCGCCCGCAGCGGTTGTTGCGTGCTCGTTCCTCCCATTCCGTCGGGTCGAGACCGGGGAGCTCTTGGTCCACTGGGACGCATTGAACCAAGAGGTAGATGATACTGACGACGTAAAAAAGCACAATGATTACTATACCCGCCCACGCCATGATCCTGGCCGTCCTATTGGGTTGGAACACCCGGAGGTAAAACGCAAGGAGCGTGCATTTGGTAAACATTGAGCTGACGGCATACATGCACACCGCGACAAAAGAGTTCTGCCCTAGCATCAGTGAACAACGCATAGACTAATCGAAAGTTGGAAAACTGCATAAGTTCACTTACCACTACATATTTGTGGGTAATGGCTGTTAATGGGACGTTCCACTGATGAGGCCCAAGGGGATCGCCAAGAACTATCCAGTACGGTCAGGGTGTGTTGAAAATTGGAGGGAGTCGAGGAGCGAACGTACTAGATAGTAAAAATGCGCTGGCGGTGGTGACACTAGCAGCCGACAAAAGGCAGAGATCTATGAGAGGGTGTTAGAAAATAAGTACATGTGTACCTAGGTAGGATCGAGGCTGCTCGTCGGACTCTTTGAATGCCGCTTTTTCGCATTACTTACAGTCGTCTATGCCGAATAGGCGTGTCACAAATACTCTAGTGTATGCTCGTAGCACCACAAACATGAGCATGATTGACAGTGTAACGCAGATGACAATCCGCCCTGCCGGAGCCCGTGTGGTTGGATCGTCGAAGTTTGGTAGCACACCTGCCGGAGGTGTCAAAGCGGGCAACAGGCTTGGATCGTATGACGACAAATTTAAAGTGGATGGGTCCATTTGTGCTTAAAAAAGGAACTGGAAAGTACATAGATGTTCCAATGTCAGAAGAAGAGCGAAAACGGATTCGAGAAGCTCAAGCGCGGGCGCGTCCTCGCAAGCTCTGGCTTGGAGTTTCTGAGTTCTGCTCTCTCTGCAGCTTGATGGCGGTTTCAAACTAAGAAGCGGTATTGTGTGAGTTCAAGTGTCAAAGTTCCAAACGAACGGGCAGAGCGTGGTATCCTTTGAGCAAGTCTGTGCGTGATGGATCGCCAGGGTTTGTGGCCCCAAAGTCTCACCGTCTTGGCCTCCCCTACGACAACCACACAGCCTTCTTCTGCAGGCGCTAGTCTCGGGGACGACCCAATAGCTCTCACCTGCTGCAATATTACACGAGATCAGGCGCGCATGCGCGTCGGCAAACTGCCCGTGGCAGTGCGAGTGGGCCCGACGCACCGCGGCAAATCTGCTGAATCCAGGCAGGCGTGGAGTTTCGCCGTTTCAGCTGGCTTTAGACAACGGCTGACGTCCGATTGAGACTTGAGGACCACTGCAAAGACGACTGTTGCGTGCATAATGACAACGTGTGAGCTGACGGGCCTCAGGTCATGGCGGCTCACATCAGCACAAAGCGAAAGGTCAGCATAGCTAACGTGCCACCAATCATTTTATACAATTGAGCACTGGCTGTGCATACTTTCCAAATGAAGAGCCACATTCCACATGGGATTGGACAATGATTGTGTCCAATGGGAACAAGAGCGTCCAACAACTGCCCACGTGCTCACGGAGGGATTGCGCTCACTGCCGAAACTTTCAGCTGAATGGCATCGCTGATAATGCAAGTTGGGAATTATATTCGAGCATCATCAACAGCATATAGAATCAATGCTAACAACCGGCTGCATCTTGTCGGCAACGCTTCCTTGTGCGGCAAGCACTGTTTTGACAAACCATCGTGTTCATACACTTCAACGAACCTTATTCCATCAGGGGAATTGAGAAGTTTCACGCCGGCAAAAACAAAAGAAAGGGTGGTACTCTGTTAACCAGGAACGGCCAGAAGATCAAAACATCACAGCAATCGAGAATATACACGCCTTTTTCCATCTTGTTCCGACCGTTCCGCGATCGCTAATCATACCTGGCTTTCGCTGCCTGCTTTGAAAAGACCAGAGGAGACGGTAACGCCTGTAGACATGCTGAAGTACGAATGCAATTGAGGAACAGTGAATGACGACTTGACCTGATTAGTGTTGGTTGAAGTTGGCGTCATCACTAGTAGATCCCATTTCATGATTATGTCAACCTTCTTTTTGCCTTTGCGAGCCGCGTATGTCGGCCGACCCCGTTCACACAGACACTCTGCATAAACCACGCGGGCAACAACAGAGAATTCGCTGCTCATATGAATGAGCCCGAAACGCTCCGCAGTACTTTCTGGCCATGTGTGGCATCAGTGTTGTCGTCGCCCTTCACGGCACATCTCTTGATGATGGCACACGAAGCACTGCGGCACAGCTCAATGAGAGCTTGAACAGGATCTCTCATCGAGGGCCGGACTCCAGAGGTGTATGGGTCAATGATGACCAAAGCGTTGGTACTTAACCCGCCATGGGCATCAAATCTGAAGAAAGACTGACGAAGTGATAGCGATGGGGCACTGCCGTCTAGCCATCAACGATCTTACCACAGATGGACACCAGCCGCTTCACAGCATCAACGGCCACATCCATGCGGTTGTCAATGGCGAAATTTATGATTACGACCGCCTTAGGGTAGAGCTGAGTCACCAATTTGGCTATGAGTTCAGGGCCAGATGCGATTCCGAACTGGTCATTGCACTCTACGAAACCTATGGAATGTCTTTCCTCTCGAAGCTTCGCGGTGAGTTCGCGCTTTGTCTGTACGACTCGACTAAACAGTACTTCGTTGCTGCTCGGGACCGATATGGCATCAAGCCTCTGTTCTGGACTGTGATAGGCAGCAGACTCCTGATATCTGCAGAGGCGAAAGGCTTCCTCCCGCTGGGGTGGAAACCTGAGTGGGATGTCAAGAGCATTCAGGAGTCCGGGTGGAATCATGATCAACGGACGCTCTTCAAGAATGTCAACAAAGTTCGGCCAGGGCATTACCTGGCTTTGCACTTACCATTTGGATATCCCGAGCCCCGGCAATATTGGGACATCAACTACAGAGACAAACGCGAAGTGGATATGCGTGAGGAACACGAGATGATTTTGGGTGTCAGAGACAGGCTTCTCGAGTCCATTCGACTTCGCCTGCGAGCTGACGTTCCAGTTGGGATCTACTTATCAGGTGGGATCGACTCTTCGGCGATTGCCGGCGTGGTCAACCACCTAGTCAACAAGCAGGGCGTGAAACTCGGCATCCAAGGCGCCACCGAGAGGATATCCTGCTTCAGTATATCTTTCGACAAAGAAAGCGGGTTTGACGAGTCGGATATTGCAGGTCGGATTGCAGAGTGGCTCGGCGTCAAGCACGTCAAAAAACACATGGATGAACAGGGGCTGGCCGAGAGATTCGAGGATGCAACCTATCACTGCGAGCATCATAATCACGATCTGAACTTCGTTGGGAAATACGCACTGTCTGAAGTTCCACATGAGAATGACTGCAAAGTCATTCTCACAGGTGAAGGCGCAGACGAACAATTCGCAGGCTATCCTTTGTACATTCCTGACTTCCTCCGGGAGCCTGACCTCGCCTGGCCAGGGCAGGAGTCACCTCCTGAAAACGTACGCGAACAGCTCTGTACTGACTTCGAAACACAAATCACGGGCTCCTATTCATTGATAGGGGCAGATGTGTCGAACCGCGGCCCTTCTCTTGCCCGCCGCCAGTTAAACAACACAACTACTCCCGCATCGATGGCGGCCTTCCAACTTCCGCCCAAGTTTTTCACACACTGGACTCGTTGCTATGCCTCTTCCACTCCCCTCGACACCATTGCAAACAACGTTGATGGTCGTGTACTCGACCTCATTCAGAACAGCTGGCACCCACTTCATTCAGCATTATACGTCTGGACCAAAGGTCACTTAGCAAACAACTTTCTGTCCTGTCTGGGTGACCGGACGGAAATGGCACACAGTATCGAGGCAAGACCTCCTTTCCTCGACCACGAACTGGCCGAGTACGTGAACAACCTCCCGCCTAGTGTCAAGCTTCGCTGGAACCCCAGCTCCCATGCTATCACGGAGAAATGGGTTCTGCGCGAGGCCGTTAAACCCTTTGTCACAGACGAGATTTACAAAAGAAGCAAGCATCCCTACACAGCTCCCGCAACTTGGCCGGCCGGCGGACCAATACACCAATTACTTGAACGCTTGGTGACCAAAGCAAATGTTGATCAGCTAGGATTTCTAGACTGGGAACATGTAAAAGATCTTGTTGGCGTGGCTTTCTTGGAGAAAGACGTAGCGTCTTTTCGACAAGCGTTGATCATTGCAGAGTGGGTTGTCATCTCACAGAGATTCGGCGTGGAGAAGGCGGCCTGCGATCAGATTTGATAACAAAGCATTGTTTCGGTGGATCAAACGGAGTCCCAAATCACATATGGGGCCCTTTACCATCTTCCTGTTGCAAACTTCGGCGTGTGTTGTGATATCATAAATAAATTTCCGCCAAAGGCACTTCGGTTTCCTCAGATAATTGACAGGGTTGTGCGTCGGAACCCCGAAAACGATCTCATCTGCCTGTACCAGCTGTCTCTATTACCATGGTGCTGTCCGCCTCACCGTTGAAGTACCTCGAGCTCTCTTCATCACTTATCCTAGAAAAGCCATGCACTGACTTTCCCTGAAAACGTCCCGAGTCCATGAACTTGGAAGCAGGCTGTCCGCTCTGCAGCTCGATGTCACCTCTCGACTTAGATGCCATGCGCCTGGATCTCGTATCCAGAGGCTCAGCACCGATTCCTTGACCAGGGCCCAGCCTGTGCTGCCTCCAGAAAGTGTGAAATGTCTTCAATGATGGCATATTGGCAGCGATGATAGCGACTTGCAACTCGGCATTCAGCATAACCAGAAACTTCCCGAGTGTGAATGTAAAGTCTGGTGCTGTCGCGGCTTCGACGAGGACAATGCCCCGGAGTCCGCAGACTACCACTGCCGATCCGCCGGTTGTCACGACAGCAAGAACAGTCAAGCGGCGTTTTGATGACATCTGCAGAGACAGAACGATCGGCAGAGGTAGAACGAGTATGAAAATATCCGTTGCCAGTGTGAGAGCGAATGGCACAAACAAAATAACGCTGAGATCGATTCTCGCAGCGTTTGGGTAGTTTTGAGGTTCGTACACAGCTGCCAAGGGTACGGCTTGCAGCCCGATCAGGATTGCGATCACAATGGTGGTGACGATGTGGAATCCCAGAATGGCCCACAGCCAACGCCGGAAGCCGGTACGATCCGTCAGGCGATAGTAGAAGAGCAGGAAACACATCTTGATGCTAAATTGCAACCATGCGTACCAAAACTGGTTGACGAGGTTCCACTGCAATGGTCAGGGAGGTGCCCGATCGTCGCCCAGCAGTCAGACCTACCTTGAGCAGAACGGGCAACCATTCAGGGTGACTTTCCGTAACCTCAGCCATGTGTCTGTGTCACAATAGGAGTTAGACTTGAAAAAAACAACCAAGTTATCCGGCCCCGTTTCCCGGCTCTCGACTTACAAGCCTGCTCCGTGGCGAAACAAATAATAAGAGATTACTTGTTGGGCAGTATTAAAGAACTGCACACGTATTAGAACCAAGTTCTGTTGGCAGCATCCCAATTTCGTATCACTGGAACTCACCAGCATTGCGGTCATCACCCAATCATCCCACCAGAAAGACCTCATTGTCAGGCCGCGGACGTATATACGCATCAGTATTGTGGTCGTGCTGATGGTGAATAGGATGCTAGTGAGGACGTACGAGAAAATTCGTAGATCCTCCATCGTGGAACTGATCTGAAGACGTCCAACCAGCGTCGTTAACGATAGTACGCGACCGGCGTAACGCGTTGGATCTTCAATGTGAGATGTGGCTACGAGCGTTAGATATGGAGATCCAAAATGTAGGCAGTGATGCACTAGCGGAAACTTTAATTTACCTGGCCAGGGTTCACACCGAGTTTGTGCCCGGGTCAGATTTCCGGGCGCTCGAGATTGGAGCACATATCCAGGTCCTCAATGCAGCCACCGAGTCACTGGCCTGAGCACAAGGATGGGCTCAAGGTTGTTACGCGGCCAGTACGCAGTACGAGGGCGGCACTTGATGCCTGTCACAGACCTGGCCCTACGTGAAGTGGGCATCAAACTTTCCGTCCATTTTAGCACCGGAATCTTTCCTGGTGGCGTTGCCAACTAAATCTGGGGTCAGGGACTGCAAATATCAGACGATGTAAATCTTTTGGCCGTGGAAGGTCCCTGCGCAGGTCAATCGTGGTCTTCTCTGGGTGTCCTCCTTGTTCAAATCTAGATTTGGTGCGTCTTGCGATCTGCAGGGAATCTAGGGCTGGAGTTGGTATGTTGGGCTCTAATTTATCCCCCCATGGAACTATGCCCGTCACCGAATGTATATGAACGGTCATCCATGCTAGAGATGGAGGACCAGGGGAAATGGCGAGGGTGGCGGCCCGAATCTCGGATTCTCAGCCGTTCATCACGGACAGCCGTTGTATTGTGTCTCTCCTGCCAGAGGTTTCAGGCCATAACCATCTGATGTCTCGAAAGGTTTATTCCTCGCCTATCTCCGAGAGTTGGCACCTAATAATAGGTATTTGACCTGACTGACTTTTGAGATTCACTGTCTTTGGCAGGCGGCGTTGTCGTACTCAGGTCCGCTCTCAAACTAGCGCTCATTCTGTATAGTGCACAACGCAAGAAGTCTTGGCTTGATCAAATTGTACCGCTATATTAAAAGCTGAACATGTCCCTAAAGACTGAGCCCAACAGCCCAACACTTGTCAACGTCTTTGGCGCTTTTGATAACTTCTGTCAATCCGAGCAGCACCTCGGTACGACTGCCGGCACCTTACGCTTTAGCAGTGGTAGCCAAGGCCAGTGAGAAGAACTGCCGAGTTCCTCTGGCCTGGTGTGTTGGGACCACTGATTGGACAATGCTCAAAGATTAGAAACAACGCGCCGCACATTCGAGGAGTTAGACACGCATCCGAGCAGGGCTATTCCTGAATACCGTGGCAACCTCGGAAGCGTCAGAGATATATCATCACGAAATCTCTCCTGGGCTTCTCATTGGAAGTTGTCTTGAGGGAAGAAGATCGTCTCATTTCAAAGGCACGCGAAAAGTGACACTGCAACATGGCCTCTCCATTGTAGGGAACCGATGGCAGTTTGTTTGGATGACCTGAATCTGCCATCCTTGCTGTCTACACGCTGGTGAATCTGCGCAGGCGGAGCAGCAATCAAAAACTCCGAGGAGATATCACGATGAGGCTCATTTGCCACCAAAACCCCCTCCTCCTCTCGGCCTTGTCACATATGCAAAGCGTATGTTATTGTCGACCAGATCAAAGGTTGAATGTGTGGGCACCGATATTTATAGTTGTAACGGTGAAAACCTTGTTGTCGGACGTCTTGAGACCGGTGGAAGTTGCCTCATTCAGGGCCAACGTCTTAGCAAAAGTGGTGTCCGCCGCATTCAACGTGATTGTGGTATCGGAGTACTCTGCAGGTGCGGGTCAGCTTACGAGACATACTCGAGTCCAGTCAATACAAGACTTACTATGCGCTGCGACGGCGCTGTCGCATGCGTGTGCTTGACACTCGACAGCCGTTCCCCAACCCTGCGCCTGGCCGGAAGAGGTTGACAAGGTTGAGACTTGCTTCCCATTGATAGACACTGTCTGGTCGTACTTGCCGGAACCATCATTGTACGCGTCTAAGAACAGCCAGCATTTAGCGAGGGAACGAGGACTCTAATAGGGTCGGGGCAGGGCTCTTCATACAGCTCATTGTGATCTGGTCACCAGCATTTGCCGGAACTTGCTTTCCTCCAAGCTGAGTCCCATCCTGCAACGTGCTTGCCCACACGCACCACTGACCCGCGACAGCTCCGCAGTTAGCCTTAGGATCAGAGAAGGAGACCGCGAGCGCCTGGATGAGATCATTGCCACTAGTTCCCATGCCTGGCCAAAGGGCGAGACGGTCGGTCGCGGGAGTTGGGACTTTGGGCAAGACCAGCGTCGTCTTGGCTGAGCGAATCCACGAGGCCGTGGGCCCGAGAGAAAAGTAAGGCCCGAAGCCAATTGTGCCATCGTCGGCAGCCCTTACGCAGCCAAAGGCGGCGAGGAAAGCAAGTGCTGCAGTGGACTTCATGATGAACAAGGCTGAGGGCTGACCTAATTGTGCCTGCACGCCTACAGAAAATAGTGGCAGTGAATTAACGCGAGTGGCTCTGAGGGGATAGTTTCGAAACGTCGATGTCGCAAATGCCTCCTTTGGTTCTCTAGGTCGTCCTTATACATTTATAATGTAAGACAGCGGCACATTCATTCACTAATATGGTCGGTTCCATCGCGAGAGCGCTCCATCAGTTCAACTGGCGGCCCTTGAATTGGTGGAATGGTACTTGGCACGTTCCGTTGACCCGGGTATTCATCTAATTTCTCCGCCTACTTGGAGACTATGACCATGAGAAAATATTTCCACCGTAGTATTACCAATCCCAATTAGGAACACCCCTTTAATTCGTATTGATGGAACTGCCCTATTCTGCTATTGAGCAACGTGGTATTGCGACTTTGTGGTTCGGTACTGCGACACCCTGAATCATGCGCTTGTTCGGTTTTGGGTTCTAAGACCGCGGAACACTTTCAAGCCTCAATTTACGTCTTTTTCCGCGGCTTACGGCTGCGAATGTAACCATCCCGTCCGGGTCGCACCCAGGGCTCATGTGCTTGATCGAAGGAGCAATGGATAGCGTGGGCAAGTCTGGTAGAGCTCTAGGGGCGTTCTCAGGGGCAGTGGGTTGCGGAATCTCGGTTTCGACAACAGATAAAGCTGTCCAGGTATGCTTGGAGAGCATTGCAAACTTACGATTGAATAGAACCTGATCAGCATCTAATCTCTCTAGAAATCAAACGGCCAGTCTCGCAACTGCGGCCATCATGCCAGACGCTGGAGTTGTGGATGAACGGCACGCGGTGCTGCAGCTACGGCACAGCAAAGCAGTTCTCAAGTATGCACGAAATATTAACATGATCTTGTCAACTATATTCATCAGTCTATCCGAGCCCAAGTTAAGTGCTGGGCGTCGGGAATACACTTATTTACTCAGTTGCTTTGTTCATTGTTCGTCTTCGGTCCAATTCAGCCCCGGACTGCATTGGCGCGTCTGCAAACGGCAGGTGTGGGTGCGCCTTGAAGCCCTTTGTCCATAATGGATGAAGAAATGTGATTTGGAGCCTGAGAAAACTTCTGCAACGCAACTAGACGTTAGGAACATAACGAATAACACCTACCAGGAAATAGACATGGCGACGGGAGCGCGCAACAGGCGCCGCGCGGCTCCGCCCAGAGACAGTCGCGTCGAAGAGCTAGAGGGAACAAAGCAGTTATACACCGACTACTTCGGGGAGGTTCGAAGAGGACAAGCCCATGACTATGACGCTAATCGGAGGGCGAACATAATCTACAATATTGTGCATCCGAAGCACGGAAGATGGCGCGGGATGGAGGATCCCTACAGACCAGGCGCAAGAGCGCCCTCGATTTACAGGTCCAGAGCCATCTTTCCAGCAGCAATACCGCAGACGCCGGGGCGCTTAGGACCTAAAGCCAAGCAAAGACTGCAAGATGCGTACAGCGCAACGTTCAGACTGAACCAGAACTTTACTCCAGCCCATGTGACCTTCCGAAAGATATTAGGTTACGGCGGCTTCGGCGTTGCCGCGCTCTTCGGCCTGCACGATAGCACAGGGAGAGAGACCACAGTTGTCGTAAAGGCAGATCTACGGCCGAGTACTCGGAATTTCATCAAGATCGAGAAAAAGCACATGATATCCATGTCCGGGGCGAGACACGTGGTCCAGCGCACACTTCTGATCGCATTCCCCTGGCCCAAGGACATTCCCGTGCGCTACGACCAATTTCGAGCTGCTGAAAGGTTCGCCATCAAACTTGGCATCTTTTTCCTCAAGGTGGTCTCTCTCTTCTTGCTCACTACAATTCAATTGGTGCTACTGTTGGTCGATAAAATATTGGATTGTATATATGGTGAATATGAGGAGGTATGGGATGACGAACCTGACGCAGCGGACAATCAAGATCCCCAACCGGCTGCTGATCAACCAGTTGCCGCTGAACCAGCTGCCGGTCAACCAGGCCCCTCTAGATCAGGTTCTTCTAGATCAGGTTCTTCTAGATCAGGTTCTTCTAGATCAGGTTCTTCTAGATCACAGCCTGGTCGACCTCAGCAAGCACAAGCTCAACAAGCTAGAGTCCAGCCACCCAGAGTTGAACCAGATGCTGCTCAGCCTCCTGATGCTCAGCCGGCTGCTGCTCGGCCGGCTGTCGATGAACCAGATCCTGCCGAGCCGGATCAACAACAATGGCTCGTTCCCAGCCTGCAATCTTGGACTATGGAGAGACTGTGGCCTGACTGGCCAAAAGCGCCTCCAAGGGCACTAGGAATCGATGGAGCCATCCGCCAGAATAGAATGGAGCTCGACGCACGGGAAGACATCATCTCCATGGAATTTCTCAAGTTCGGCGACCTAGGCAAGTGGATTGGGAAAATGACAGGTCAGAACAACATGGACCCAGATTCTATGTTCTCCGAAAGGGTGGCCTGGATAGTATTTGAGTGCCTCTGGCGGGGCTGCGTTGCTCTGGCATTCCCTACAGGATTTCATCAGGGGAAGGATCCAATGACCACGCAGATCCCTCAGATTAATGAGTCGCCTGAGAGGTCTTCTGTAGGCGGAGGCGATCCATTAGTTCACTTCGACTTAGATCCTCGTAAGCAGCTTCCCGATACAGTTTTAACCTTCTCAAGAACAGACATCTCTATACTTAAGCCTATACCTCAAAAGTGTTATAAGACGACAGGTTTTGAGGCAGGCTATAGGTATACTGGTCTGGTCCTCCCTGCTTTCTTTTGAATGTAATTCCTTCCTTGGTGCTTTGATGGCTAACTCCTCATGCCGCAGAAAATAGTATGATTCCGTTCCAGATGTCCTTTGTTTGGGGTTCTGACATGTCCGTTCTTATAGTCTTTGTTGGAGACTTCGCTGCAGACCATGGTCTGTGGCCAGTGACCAAGGTATGTAGTATTCTTCCTATTACCCCCCCACCCCTGATGAGTCAATAAATAGTGGATGCGAAGTCTAAGAACGTCACAGATAGGTGATTTGGGCTTGAGTCTTCAGCCTCTATCTCAAGTATTTGAGGACGATATTGACGAAGAGTAAGTCCAAGGACTTTTGAACACTCGAAAGTGCTCCGCTAATATAGACGGCCGTGGGTAGATCGAAGCGCTGGATACAGAGGAGTAGGGGAAAGCGCGACTCTTTTCTGCCAGTGAGTCGTCAATCTCTTTGTTTTCCAGGAGCCCAAGGCTTCACCTGGAGCTTTTATTCCAAGCTCGCGGTAAATTGACGAGGCTGCGAAAATCTACAGGAGCAAATGACCGAGGAGTGGGATTATATTCCGAACCTGGATGCTCTCAAAAGTCATGAAGTCGCTGGAAACTTCCACGCGCACTCAAACATCTACCACATCGGCCTGACCATGTTCCAGCTCATAACCTTGAACCTCCCGGATGAGCCCCCTTTGGCACGCCCTTACAATTTTAGAATCGATCGCCAGACCTTGAGCGGATGGACGTACGGCCATAATCTCCTGTCCGAGAACAACCCCGAGCTGGTCGAGCACTTCTCCGCAGAACTGAGGAACACGGTTGCCTGGTGCATGGAACACAACCCAACGGAAAGACCTAGCCTGAGCCGGCTGGGTCAAATCGTTGAAAGGAACGCCACACGGGTCTACCCGGATCAGCCAGATAATGCCACGAGAACGTTGGTGGGCAACCTCTTGGGGACCCCACTGCCTCCTCCCACGATATTCAAGGTCCGGTAGGCGTGTAGGACTTTTCAGGTCAGGGATATCGTGGAGGAGGATAAAGATGAAACTCAACAGGCCTAGGGCTATGAAAGAGCCGTGATTTTTCGAACAGTGCATCAAAGTACCTGGAAAGGTGCCCAAGTAATTGCACACTAAAGTCTTGCCAATTTGGTAGCAGCTTTCTCCCTCCTCTGCCGTGCCTCCGAGTTTGCTTTCTCCCACATTTCAATCCTGCGCTGATGCCCCTCAATAAAAATCCGAACCCAGTCTGGGTCGAATCGTGGCAGTCTCCGGCCGGGTATGCCTTGGCCCGGCTCCCCGGCGAGAGCACGCACGGTCTCAAAATACTCCTCGAAAGTCGGCCACAGCGCAGTGAAAGCAACGCCGTCACCCTTTTTCTGTATCCGTTCAGCCTCCCATGCCTTTTGCTCTCCGATTGGGGGTAGCTTTGCACGTCCGGCCAGGACTCTTGCGGCGGGCACTGACTGCCACTCATAGACCTTGAAGGTCAGACCAGCTGCAACCGCACCGATGAAGACCAATGTTGGGTCTGACTGGTGAAAAATGTGTAGATATAAGTCCGGAACGCGGTTGTTGCGAATGGGAATGCCGGGGAGGAACGGTAATGACCATGAGTACCCAGTTGCCAGGATAATGTTGTCAACATTCTCGACAAGTGTCCCATCCTCGAAGAATACTGACCTGGTGCGTGGGTCTATCCTCGAAATGGAAGGCACCTTGGTGATTCCAGGATGATCGAAAGCAGCGTCGCCGAAATACAGGTTTGGATTGTGGCCCTTGACGGCTGCGAAGACAGGCGATTGCGCGATTCCGAGGACGTCCACCGCGGCGTCGCCTGATACAGAAGCACCGACTACAATTACTCTCTGTTATTGTCAGCGTCAGCGAGTGAAAGATGGGGCTTTTTGAACCTTTTACCTTGCCTCTGTACTTCTCTCGTCCTCTATAGGCTTTGCTGTTGTCTACAGATCCGGGGCGGAGCTCCGCGAATTCCTTCAGACCACGGATTAAGGGCAGGTATGGTACAGAGAAGTGCCCATTTGCTACAACAACAGCGTCGAATCGCTCCTCCCACCAGTAGTCGAGTTTCTCCCCACCCTTTCGGAGCACAAGCCTCCATTCCTCCCCCTCTTTCTCGACAAGCTCTACCGTAGTGTTGTACTCTACGAAGTCTTGGTAGCCATTTCTATTGACTAGATCCTCAACATACTGCCGGATCACCTGATGTGAGCGGAAAGGTGTATCGTTCCCGTGGAGGGATATAGAGTAGTCAGACCGCCTCGCAGGAATCGGCTCCTGAGAAAACTCCATGACGGCAGCATCAATATTGGTTTCGAGGACTAGTACGTGTTAATCACCCGCTGTAGAGCCTAGAGTGGTGCAATCTGGGAAATTCCAAATACAACAGCGAGGAACCGTCAAAAGAGAAGAACCGTGCTTACGCGGATATACAGGCGTGTCATCGTATCTGGAAACTTTCTGCGGCCTGACTTGCGCTGGTAAGGCCCTCGGTATAGCCAAGGGAGCATCTGCAGTGCGCTTGGCGAGGTTCTCGAAGTCGGAGAGCGGTGGCGGCGGCGTCTGGTCGAACATCCTGGGGTGGGTTAGCAAGGGTTGCTCTGTCTCAAAAATGAGGACGATGAACTCACCAGCAGCCGCCGGGTCGCTCCCTTCTCTCAAAGACTCGAATAATATCGAAGGCCTGCTCCTGGGCTAAGGCATCTATGGAGATGGCCCCGGCTGGGCCAGCACCGATGATGGCTATCCGCTTGGCTTTGGACATTGGTGTCTATGCAGGTTCCTACCTGCCGCAAAAATTTCGAACTTACAGAATTTGCGTATATAGGAGGCCCTCGATGTATTTTTGAGCGGAGCGATCCAATCTGTGAGCGAAGCGATCACAGCGGAGCGTCACCCAGCCAAAAATCATTCAATGATTATTACATGATGAAGCAATTAAGCAAACGATAGTTGATTGTTGTTGTTAAGGAGAGAAATCTCCCCGCTATTAAACGCTTAGAAGGAGCCTATTTATAGGCTAGCGCTAATATATGGGCATATAACCCTTGCATCTTTTAATATACCCCCTATTATAAATATTATTATTTTAATAATAATAAGAAATGTTTCGTTTTAATAATTAAAAATATAATTTAAATATTTCATTATAATTTATATTAAAATTATTATATAAATATTATTTAATATTTATATATTTCGCTTATATTATTTTTAATTAATTATTTAAATACCCTTTTAATAATATAAACTTTATATTTATTTTAATTTTAATTTTATATAAGCTTTTTTAAAAGTAAGGTAAGGTAATGCTTTTATATAAATATTAATAAGATTATTTTTAAATATAATATAATAAACATTATATATTTTTTTAATTTCTTTATAAATAAAATAATAATAAATAATAATATATTTTAATTAAGCATTAACTTTATAATTTTAAATAAGGTTTAATATTAATTAATTATTAATATATAAAATAAATAAATATTTAATATAATTAATATTTAAATTTTTTAATGCTTAAATTATTTAATAAAGATATAATAATATTAATAAATATATTATATATTTTATTTTATAAATAAATTTTATAATAATAAATTAGCGCTTTAATAATTAAGTAATTAAGTTATTATTAAAAAGTTATATATATTTATTAAATGCTTTTAAATTATTTAAATTAATATTATAAAAAGCATTAATATATATATTAAGTATAATAAATTAAAATAATAATATTTATTTTAAAAATTATAGGGTATAATTTAATATATATTAAATATATTAAAGCACCTTTTTTATAATATTTAAATAATAAATTGCAAGTTTTATATTAAACATTAAGAGCATTATATATAAAAATATAAAATTAAGTTTTATTTTAATAATAAGAAAATTAATAAATTTAGTAAATAATTAATATATTATTATATTTATTATAATATTATTAAGTTCCTTTTATTATAAAAATAAATTTAAATTTATAAAAGTTTATCTTTAATTATAATTAAATATATTAAAGCATTTTAAAATCCATTAAGCATATTTCTTTTAAGAAATATAAATTTTATTATTAATTTATATAATTTTTAATTTAAGCAAATATTTATAAAAACTAAAATCTTTATACTTAAAATATTATATAAGCTTAATATAAAATTTATTAACTTAAAAAGGATTTTTAATAATAAAAATATTATTAATATAAATAATAATAATAATTTAGTTTTTAATAAAAATGCAAGGATTAAATATTATTTTTATTAAATATTTAATTAATTTCTCTTTAAAAATATTAAATTATTTATAATTTAATTATTTAAGTTTATATAAAATATTAAGAAGTTTTAAAATAACTTATTAATTATTAAATAATGTTTAATATCCTTATAATAATTATATATAAACATTATATTTTAAATAGCTATATAAATATATTATTTTAATATTAAATTATTAAAGCTATTAGCTTATTATAATAATAATAATAATAATTAGTTTTAAATTATTATAGCGCATTATAAAGCTATAAATATTATTATAATTTATATTATAAATTTATATATATTTATAAGTAATAAGTTAAACCTTATAATAAATAAGCTTATTAAAAGCATTAAATTTCTTTATATATATTTAGCAAGGATTAATAATATATTAATTTATAATAGCAAGTACTTTAATTTATATATTTATATTTAAAAATAATTTAAGTTTCCTTTTAATAGCTTATTATTAAGCATTTTTTTTACTGCTTTTTATAGCTTATATATATATATTAAGAATATTATTAGCATTTATTATATTAATAAGCAATGCTTAAGTAAAGATTTAATTAAGGTAATTAGCATTAATTAATATTAATTAAATAAGATTTAATATAAGGTTTGCATTAATTAATGCTAAATTATTAAAATCTTTAAAATATTTTATAATAATATTTATATTTTCTTTTACTTTTTATAAAGGTTAAATCCATTATTCTTAAAAATTATATAATTATATGGGTTTTATAAGTTTAAGTAATTTATTAATAAGTTTTATAAGTTTAAGTAATTTATTAATAAATTTATTTATAAGTTTTATATTATTAATAAGTTTTATTAATTAAAATGCTAATAATATCTTTATCTTAAGTAATATATTTTTATTTAATTAGCTAATTATTTATATAATCTTTATTACTAAATTAAATTAAGTAATATAGCTTAATATTATAATTATAATAACTTTTTAAAATAATATAAATAAATAAAAGATAATTTTGCCTTTAGCTTTAAATCTTATAAAATATGCCTTTTTAACTTTATTTAATAATTTTATTTTTAATTTATAAGCCTTAATAAATATATAAAAATATATAAAGTAAAAATATAATTAAAAGTATTTAATATTAAGCTTTTATTTATAAAGCATTTTAAATAGCGTTATTTAGCATAATAAGGCTAAGTATAGTTTTTAATTTTATAAATATATTATATAAGAAATTACTTTAAGCTAAAGGAATGAATAATCTTTATTATAAATTATTATATAAGCATTAATAATAATAATATATATAAATCTTTTAAGCATGCCGTTTAATTTATAATAATAAGGGGGTAATTTCTTATAAATAATTTTATATCTTTAAAATATTGCAATAATTATCTTATTTATATATTTACCTTCGTTATTTAAATTAAATATCTTAACTTTTATATTAAATTAAGTTTTAATTATATTTAAGAATTTCTTAATAATATTTAAAATATTATTTTTTTAAGCAATAAAGTAAACTTAATAAAATTAAGTATAATTATTAATAAATAAAATAAAGTATTAAAAACCTTTTAATAATATTATTAAGAATTTACTTAATAAATTAAATTAAATATACTTAAATAGCTATATAAATTATTATTTTAATAATAATTATAAGCATTTCTTAATAAACTTTATAAGTTAATATAGTTTATAATAAAAATCCATTAATTTATTTAATATAATGTTTTTATTTTTATATAAGTATTAAGTAGTTAATTTTAATAAATTATTATAGCTAAAAGCTTTATAAAATTTATTATATATTATAAATATTATAAAGTTATTTTTTACTATTTAAATTTTAAAATTTTTATATTAAAACTTTGCTTATAATATTTTATAAGATTTATTATCTTTTAATAATAAAAAGATATTATTTTCTTATATATTTAATTAAAACTTTTTTTAAATTATAATTTAGCTAAATAAATAAGTATTCCTTAATGTATAATTATATAAAATATTAATAAAAATGCTTTTAATAATTAATTAATTTAATAATTATAAAAAGATCTTTATAAAGCTAATGCTTTTTATAATAAGTTAATTACCGCTTATAATAATAATTATATTTAAATATAATTATAAAAAGCTAAAGGTTTTTATATATCTTATTATATATTTTAAAGCATTAAAATTAAAAATTTATAATATTAAAGTATTTATAATTATTAATAGCTTTATTATATATATTAAAATATTAATATATAATATTATTATATCTTTTTTATTATTATTAGAAATTTTAATAACTTTTTTATTTATAACTTAATTTATAATAATTTATTTCTTATTCTTTTTTTATTTTTAATTAGCTTTATATTTAATAAGCTTTATATAATTAATATATAAATAGTTAATAAATATAAAATTTTATATATAGCATTAAGTGTATTTTTTATTACTTAATATAAAGTTAATACTTATTAATATAGATTTTATAGCCTTTTTTATATTTTTTAATATTAACTTTTTTTAAGTAAAAATAAAGTAAGCTTTAAATTATTTAATTTTTATATAAAAAATAATATTTATTATTTTAAGTTTAATTTTAAAAAATATTATAAGGTTTTAATTACTTAAGTTATTAATAATATTATTTATAGTATTTATTATGGTTTAGGCTTTGCTCATTATAATTAGTTAATGGGCTTTAGCCTTATAAGAATAGGCTTTAATATAGGTATAAATGGAAAGTAAATCTTTTCCTTTGCACTTTAAATATAAACCCTATTTAAATACCTTATAGCAAACAACCTAAGGTTAGCTTATAATATATATTTAAAGTCTTCTTATATTATAAACTTATAATGCAATTATATAAAACTTAATATAGTAAGATTTAAAAAGAATAATAATAGCCTATTAAGCCCTTTTTTATTTAAAGGAACTTTTATCTTAGGAATACTTAATAACTTAGTTAATAAAAATAAGGGTTAAGTTTATAATAAATAAAAAGGCAATTAGCATTAAAAGGGCTTAATTCTTTTATATATTTAATTAGCTAGGAACTTTTTATAATTAAATTTTACTTTATATTAATTTTATAAAAATATTTAAGGGGCAGCTAAAAAGCTTCTTAAAGAAGATTTACTTTATATTTAAAAACCCTTTTAAATAAAGGCATATTAAGCTTAGCTTAATTGCATTATAATAGTGCTATGAAAAGAAAATAGCAAAATTTCTTACTTAATTTAATTAATTAGCTTATATAATAAAGGCTTAAAGTTAGCTAAATAAATATAAAATATTATTAATAGCTAATAGCTTAATTTTTATAATAAAAGCTTAGCTTAATTATAAAAAGTAATTAAATATATTTAAGGCTTTTTGCTTTACTTTATAGCAATATAAAGGTGTTTTTAATATTATAATAAGGGAGGATAATACTTAACCTTAAAATAATAAAGTAATAAATATTAATATTATAATAATTTTAATAAGTAAAGTTAAGTATTTTATATATAGCTAACTTAGCTATTATAAGCATAATTATCTTAATCGCTATAAAAAATAAGGATGCAGCTTTTATTAATTAAGGCTAATAAAGGAAAAGAGTTTATTTAAGGGGGTGTAAAATTTTTTTTATAAGGTGGGGTTTAAAAGTAATATTGGCTTAGCGTTAGCTTAAACTTAAAGTAAATTAACTATATATTAGCTAATTTAGCCTTATAAAAATGCTTAAAATTTAGGAAATTCCTATTAATAAAGCAAATTACTTATAATTAAGCGTTAATTAATTATAAATTATATAATAAATTTATAATTTTAAGGTTTTATATAAGGGAGTTTATATAAAAGGTTTATATTAAAGGATTATAAAAATGCCATTAATTTAGCTATTAATTTATATTTAAATAATTATTTTTTATTAACTTGCTTTAGCTAATATATTAAATTATAAGGGCTAAGGTATATTAATTATAAATAATAAGCTAGGCTTTTAGCGTAGTTAAAAGGCGCTAAGGTATAATTAAATGGCTAGGTAAAGAGCAATATTTAATTTATAATTAAATCATAGTATTCTTTATTTTTTATTATATAACTACCCTTTAAGGCCCGTTATGAAAATTTGGAAAAAAAAGGATATATTATGGTTTAGGCTTTGCCCATTATAATTAATTAGTGGGCTTTGGCCTTATAAGAATAGGCTTCGGCGCAGATATAAACGGGGAGTGAATCTTCTCCTTTGCACTTTAAATATAAACCCTATTTAAATACCTTACGGCAGATGACCCAAGGCTAGCCCATAATAGTATTTAATAGCATTATTAAGAAAAAAAAGCTTTTAACTTTATTATTTTTAAAAAGTAATTTTATTAATCTTTTAATTAATTATTTTAATATTAAGGTTTTAATATAAAGTTTTATTTAAAGGTTTTAAAAGGCATTTAAATAATTTTATAAGTTAAAGTTATTTTTATATTATAAGTTTATTAATTAATAAAAAAGATAAATAGTTAAGTTATTAATATTATAATTAAATTAATTAATTAATATTTTCTAAGCATTAAAAGATTTTTTATATAATATAATAAATATTATAAGGCTTAAATATATTAAGTTTAAGAATATAATAAAGGCTTAATTATTAAGCTTTTTTTATTTTATAAGGGCTATACTTTTATTTAATTATTTCTTAATACTTATAATGTATTTATTAAGGCTAATAAATTAAAAGCCGTGATTTTATACTACCCTTTAATTTAAAAAGTTTTCCTTTTTTAAGTTTAATTTTAAAAGAAATGATAAGTTAAGCTTAAAGTTAAGTATATTTAATATCTTTTAAATAATATTTATATATTTTTAAGTATATTTTAAATAATATTTATATATTTTTATTTATTTATAATAATTAATATTAATTAATATAAGTAAATAAATAAAAAGAAATAAGTAATTAAAATATTAAATAAGGTAGGAGTATTAAATTATTATAAGTTATTATTAGCTATAATAGCTATTATAAGGTATAATAATAATATATAGGCAAAAACTAGTAATATTAAAATCTTAATAATTTAAGTATAAAAATAATTATAAAAATAAAGGTATTAATATTTCCCAATATTTTAAGATATCTTAAGTAATGCTAAGCTTATAACTTAATAAAGTAATTAAGTAAACAATAGTTAATTATTATTATTAAGGAGAGAAATCTTCCCGCTATTAAACGCTTAGAAGGAGCTTATTTATAGGCTAGCGCTAGCGTATGGGCATACGACCCTCGCACCTTCCAACATTACAGAAGGAACTGGCCAAACGGGTTGCCATTTTCTTCTTCGGGATGTTCTCGGGAAATGCCCTGTCACCCATTCTCGCGTCTGGGATCATCCAGCTGGATGGACGGCGGGGACTCTCCGGGTGGCAATGGATCTTTTCAAGTACGCACCCGCCGATTATGGGAAACACACTCAAATTAAACTGGCATTCCTATAGTTGAAGGCGTCTTCACAATCTCGGTTGGCCTGTCACTCCTCTTCATCCTGCCCGGCTCGCCAGACCTACCCGCACCGCTCCTATCCCGAGGCCTGACCCGCATCTCCCCAGCAGACCAGTACATCCTGCAACAGCGCCTGCTCACCGACGGCGGCCACGAACAGACGAGCAGCCAAGGCCTCCACATCCCGTGGAGGCTCGTCCGCAAGACCCTCCTGCACTACAAGCGCTGGCCGCACTACCTCTCGACCTCGGTGGTCTTCTCGACCTGGTCCCCTCTGACGGCCTACACCCCGTCCGTCTACCTCTCCCTCGGCTTCAGCCGCGTCGCCGCCAACGCCCTCGCAACAGTCGGCGCCGCCGCGACATTGCCAATTGTGTTCCTCTTCGCGTGGCTGAGCGACCGCACGGGAGCGCGGGGTACCTGCGTCATCGCCGCGCAGTCATGCTATCTCGTCGCGCTGATCACGGCGCCCTCGGTCCAGGACGCTGGCGTCGGGGTGTGGCAGCGGTGGGCGCTCTGGACCGTCGTCAACGCCTTCGCGGTCGGGTACCATCCGGTACACTTGAGCACAACACGTGGGTGCAGCTCAACTGCGAGGGCCCGCGCGAGCGGAGCATAGCTATTGCGATGTGGGTCATGTTTGCTATCGGGGGGCTCATGTACGGCTCGCAGTACTTCCAGGGCGACGACCGGCCCTTCTACCGCAACGGCCTGCGTACCATGATCATTCTTGTGTCGATCGGAATCGTGCTTGCTTTGGTGCAGGAGCTTGTGTACTGGCTGCACAACAGGAGGGTCAAACATGGCACGGCTACGGTTATAGATGGAGAAGAGAAGCCATGTTCTTTGAGCCTAAAGTTGGAATCATCTGATGAATATATGTTGAGATTAGTAAGGGACTTTGTCTTTGATCTCGAGCCTAGAACTTCTAACGAAACCTCGTAGAACTGTCCGACCCCAAGGGCCAAATAATAGGATGGACCAGGCACGTTGAAACTTTGAGATTGTGTCCTCGAAGCTACATGTCACATTTTTAGCAGAGAATCACACACCTCATTGACACCAGGATCAGCCACAGCAGACTCTTTAACGGATAGCTGGTTCAACCAAGGAAAGATAGCTACCAACACACAATGATGCAAGATTCAAAGCCACATACCAATACCTCCAACGTCTTTTGTGTGTCTCCCTCCCCAGAAACACTTTCTAGCTAAACTCCAACTGCTTGAAATGAAACCCAATATGACTCGGGAAATGGGCCCCAGAGTTCCAGACTCGAGGCATGAAAGAAGCTGAGCAAAACTGTCATCAGAACATAGAAGTAAGTGCTCCATACCACAATGGGGCTAACGCCCACTCCCCAAACCCCCTCCGTAACCCGTTCTCCGGCTGCTCATGCAACGTCAACCATGGAAGTGCAGCAAGATGCCGAGAATGATCATAATAGTACTGGTGGTAGAAATCTAAGCAATAGACATTAACGTTTCCCTTGATGAATAGCGCTGTTGGTAAGATGGACAACGTCCGTTGAGACCTCGTAGAAATGCTCGTCTATTGGATTCATTCGCCGACACGGCCGTCTCTCGTCTAGTACTTTTGGTGCTCTGTCTTGTATGGCTTCTCGGCGATGATCCGGTAGCTGGTCGTGATAAGCCTCATCTCGTCCATTTTGACAAACGCCTCCCCATCGAGGCAAAATCGGTTGATGAGCGTTTTGAAGTGCGGCGGTAGCGCGTGCACCTTGACCAACGCGAGGATCAGCTGGCGCATGGTGCGGAAGTAGAGGTCCACCTTGCCGATGAGTGGGCTCTGCAGGCCGTCCGTAGCGACGCTAGCGTTGTCTGAGACTGTGACGACCAGCCCGGCGTCGCTGAATGCCTTCTCCATGGATATCGGGGTCGGCGTCCCCACGGCACCGATGAGAGGCTTCACACGGCGCATGAGCTGGGTGTGCTCCGGGTTCTTCTCGTCATAGGCAGGGTACTTGACCCAGTCCAAGGAGGAAAAGCGTCCACCAGGTTTGAGAACACGGACGATCTCACTGGCGAGTGCAGGGTGGTCTTTGGCGAGACTGAATGCCTGGATGTTGTAGAAAGCATCGAACGTCTCATCCTCAAAAGGGAGCGGCAGGTCATTGAAATCCTTGACGATGAACTCGTTGTCGAAGCCTAGCTCGTCATTGAAGGCCTGAGCCTGAGCGATTGAATTTGGCTCGATGTTGAGACCCGTCACGCGAGCACCAGAGTACTTGGTGATATGTGCGGCAACGCGACCTCGTCCGCAGCCGAGGTCCAGTACTCTCATGCCAGGCTTCAGGCCGAGGTCCCGGGAAATGGACTCCTCGTATAGAAGCTGGTTGTCCCTCACAGAGACCTTCATGTTCATGGCGGGTGGGATGTACATCTTCTCGACATCGCCGAGGGCACAGAGGTGGTTGAGCACACCGTAGTATGACTTGAGGCAGTCACCAACCTTTTGCTGGTAATCAGGGCCCAGGGTGTCGATTATCTCAGCCTCATTCTCCCAGTCCAAGTTGTAGATGATGTAGGATGCCATGAAGTCATCCACATCCTTGGGAGTCAGTTTATACAGGTACTTGAATGACCTGACAAAAGTCTTGAAGCGGCTTGTCGACACAGACCGGTCAGGGTCGACGACGTCAGCCTGCTCCTCAGGGACATTGGCCAGCTTGCTACTGCGCTTGGAAGTCAAGGATTGGCGCAGCCTCTTAGACCTGGTCTTCTTAAGACCGCCGGCGTTGGAGCTGGGATCTGCCCCGGTGACCTTGCCATTGCCATCCAGGTGTGGGACCTGCTGGGCGTCCTTCTCATTCAAGGTCTCGCTGGTGCGAGTGCTGTCGGTCAGGCTGGGGTTTTGTACAGCTGTGGAGGTTGTTGACCCTGAGGGCGTGGACTGGGGCGAGATCTCCTTGTTGGCGGGCATGGCGCTAGGGGGGGCAGGGGATGATAGCACGGCAGCGGCAGCCATTTCGAGGGTGTTGTGCTGAAGTGAGGCGAGACAATGCCTGCTATGCTTGGTTGGCTGTGGCTGAGATGGATTGTGAGAAGACCCCGAGGTACCCAGGCGCAGTGTAACGATGCTGTCTCACGGGACGGACCGGGCTTAGGCCGTGTTGAAGGGGAGATCTCAGCCGGGCGAGCACCGAGAGTGGTGTGGTATGTTGTGTTTACGTAGACAGTCGACCAAGTTGACTGCGGAGTGAATGTCCTGGCCGCAAGGTGCGAGACGGCTTGATAGGCAGGCAGCAGGGGAGTAGGGAGTAGTAAACGGCCAGCTGTGGGACAAAGAAATGGACCAGGAGGACGAAAGGGCGTTTCCAGAGCACGCGACAGGGGGATCCAAATGTCTGAGACTCTGAGTCGGGTGAGTCGAGTTGTCAGGTGTGGGACACGTCTTCTGGGGCAGTGGGAGGGACCGTCAAAGACTAGAGAGACGGAGTGCTTTCGCAAGAGGATGTGTCTGTCTGTGATGTGAGGGCAAAGATCTGATGACTGGTTACTACTACTAGGTAGACTGTAACTGAGTGACCGAGTGACCGAGTGACTGACTGGCCGAATGCCTGCCAGTGAATAACGAGATATCGAGGAGGAGAGTGTGGCCCGATTGTTTAGGTTATTGGAGGAGACAGATGGTGCGGTGTGACAAGAAGTCGAGTAGGCAGAGTGACTGGTGGGGATCCGCCCGAGATTATCTATCTAATTTGCCTGTGTGCTGGCGGGGTCCGATGTCGAACGTCGAGGGGCACAGAGGCAGAATGGCAGAGAGGACAACCTTGAAGAGAGTAGGAGCAGCAGCAGCAGCAGCAGCAGGCGTAGGGAAGTGGGCTGGACTGGACAGGGCACCGATGCGACGCGATGCAAGGGAGGAAGGGACAAGAGGGGGACATGGGAGGTACTTGGGCAAAAGTACAGGCTGGGGTGCGAGTATGTATTTATTCGGGGCAGGTGAGGGCCATGCGAACGCGTGGGTTGTCCTTCTGTCTGTCTGGGAAAGTGCAGAGGCAGGGCAGGGCAGGGCAGGGCAGGGCAGGGCAGGGCAGGGCAGGGCAGGGCAAGGTAAGGCAAGACCCAGCCAGGTCAGGTCAGGTCCGATTATTCGGTCATAGGAACTGGCGGAGCGGAGTCGCGGGGAGGCGAGGCAAAGGCAAGGTTGGCCAGGAAGAGAGCGATGATGAAACAGGGAAACTGGCGGCAGTGGGATGTGCATATGCATGTGCATGTGCATTGTACTGTACGTACATGGACGTACAAGTGCGTGCATGCGAGCAAGCGTGCGAAAACGCGCGAGAAAGAGGGAGGGTTGGCCATGGATGGGCGGGCGGATGAGATGGATGGGACGGTTTGCAGGGGACGGACGGAGATTCTCAACGTAGCGAGCGAGAGACTGACCGTCGCAGGTGCTGTTTTGTCACTCGATCCATCACTCAGCGACCCCGTAGCCGCCACCTACCTGGGCACTCTCAGGCTTTGCTTGTGGTCTGGCACAGATAAGAAACAAGAAGCAACATTGCCGGAAGACAGAGGCTTGAGACAAGGACAACAACTAGGGACATGAGAGACGGCAACGAAGAAGCATCGATGACCGAGGACCAAAGCTGGGAGGAACGGAACGGATCTCCGGTGTAAGCGGTGGGTGTTTGTGCTGGGCGGACGTGCTTTCCGCGCCTGGTCTCCCTTCTCCCCCCTACGCGGTAGGTACATGTCGGTCGTTGGGAAAATTGCAGCGTGATTCCCAATGTGCCGTGTGAGCAAGCAGGGACTTGGACATCTCCCTCTGCGTCGCACGATGAGCGCGCACCGACAACCACGGGTGCTTGCCAGCATACCAGCATGGCAGGGCAGCCGCCTGTGCGCCTGTCTAGCCTTCTAGTCGCCTCGGAGTCCGGGAGCTTCGGCGTATGGTTGATGGGGTCAATCAGATTCAACAGGTGAGGTCAGACGGCGTATGGGTCCAGCAGGGAAGGCGCGACATGTACCATAGTACATTCTACTTGACTGATTGATAAGTCACGGCTTGGGTGGGTGGGGCGAGGCGTTGTGGCTGGTGCCTTAGTTGATCGATTGGATCGATTGATGGGATCGCGCCTGCTTGCGCCTGGGCGCCTTCACACACCACCAGCCAGCCCAGCACACCCATTTCTGGCAGTCGCAAGGGCGCCGGTCCCCACTTTCCCGACCCGGGGCCCTGCAAAACGGGCCCAGACGGGCTGACGGGCACGAAAAACAAACCAACTCATGCATGACTGACTGTCGACCATCGTGGATTCATCATCTCGCAATTTCTTGTTATTTGGCGGGGACTCGCACCTCTCACGCCCGCTCATGACCTGATGACTCTCTGGCCACCGCCAGAGATCGTCACATATCACCTGGATAAGCTTTGTGCGTCCACCGGTTCCACGGAGTATTGTTGTATTGTGCAAACTGCCAGACCAGCGACAGGCTGCAATGTCACCGAAGCATCCGGACGTCGCTCTGGTCCCTCCTCACCACCCTGCCTCTCGATAATAAGCACCATCCCATCTTGCCGCTGTCACTGTCCTGGCTGTCCTGTCCTGTTTTGGCTCGCCGTGCATTGTTTTTCTTGCACTCCTGTCGTCTTCTGGGCGCGCCGTCAGCACTACCGGATCCCACCAGTCAAGCTTTTTGAGTCACCGATTACTGCTTGGTAATTCATCCGGACCCCTGGACCGACCTCCCGAGTCTTCCTCTCTGCGATACTTGTGCTACGGCACGCCTTCTACCAAGTAGCTCCGTCCTCGCTCTCCACATCCACCCGCCTTATTGCCGACCCGCGACCCTTGTTTGCCTTTCGGGTCCGCCTCGAGGATCCACCCCCGAAACCAGGATCGACGTCGCCCCCGATATCTGCCGGGCGTGGGCTGGCGTCCCAACAAACCAATCTGCCGACGACTGGTCGCTCAGCTCACTGCAACTGTGACGCTCGTCTGAACCCTGCCCTTCCAGCTGTCTCTGCCTTCCCGGTCTTAGCAACCGAAACCATCTCAGTAGCATTCACTCATTCGAGCGTTCGAGCCAACAATCCCCCTTTTCGGCCTGCTGATTGCCTGATTGTTTCCTCCGGATCGGCACTGCTCCCAATGCAGCTCGGCCCTTGGCCTGTGGCTGGCACCGGCTCCTCAGGTTTCGCCCTGTCTCATACACTTTGCTACACGGTCGCAGTGACAGCCATGACAGTCCGATGACGGCATTACCCACTTGAGACTGTGCCAGGTATGCGCTTCTAGACGGGACGATCGCCACTCAACCTGGCCCCGGTCCAGCCCGGGGGGACTTTGTCCGGATGGGGAAATCCTGTTGTTGCTCGTTTTAGCCGCTTTCGGACCAAAAATCCCAATGAGACCCTTGGTGCTCAGATGTTCGTTTTCGCCGTCAAACAACGGCCCGGAGGTTTAATCAGCCCGGAGCCCACAAGAACTGACTATTGGTGAACGAGGCGTCGTATCATCAGTCGACCGCAGCAAAGTCAATTCGCGTTGACATCACGAGGAGGCGCGCGCTTTAATGTTACCGTCCGCGGTCGTCAGGTATGGTATTATGGTCGTTGGCGTTGCCATGAAGAAGGCCAAGACCTCCTTCAAAAGGCGCCAAATGAGGCATCTCACGCCCCAAAGCACAGTCGACGTTGTCCAACAGCCATCTTGCTTGCTTGCACACGCATGCGGCTCAACCAAGACATCCTTCTATTTTGGGATTTAAGCTTTCCCACCAGCCAATCCCCCCCAAACGAGGGCCTACCACCCTTGGTGATATAATACTGTGAGTGTGTGCCCAGCCCCAGCCCCAGTCCCGGCTCAGGGACCACCTCCACGGGATTCGTGGCCAGGGTCTGTTTGGCAGCAGGCAGCGTTTGTGACTAGCACATGTGCACTCAGTGTTTCTGGCAACCATTTTGCGGAAGGTACTTGTCCAACATACAGCTCGGGCGAAACCGCGCACTTTGTCACACAAGCCGGTAGTTGTCACACGGGTGACGCTCCACCAGGCATCGTAAATGAAGGAGACTCAGCACTCCCGGACCAGTATCGTTGGCACGGATTTTGAGCTTGCAAAATTGCTCTCTCTGCTGATTTGGCTACTAAAGTACGCGGTTCATTCCACTCGTGGCTTGAAGCGGATATCATCCACTAGCTCATGCTGGCTCAGCTCACAGTCTTGGAAGCCCTGACGTGTTATCCGAAGCAGACTCACCAAAGGGTCCATATATACCAGGTATTGCGACACATCATCTATCACGGTCTCTTTTCTTCACGGCGGGCCCAGCGCACAGCGACACACTCAAAGGCAGGTGGATGCTCCTCGAACCTGCGCAAGCCCTTGCCTATGCGTTTGTACATGTCCTGCACAGCTCGAGCAGCTGCACATGTTACACATAGCATGTCATCTCTTCTTGAACAAAGACCGGTAGGCTCCGTCAATATTTATGCCGTCGATGACTTCAAACTCAATTCAGCCCAACGCATAGACAGCATGGGAAAAACCAATACCCCTTCTATCCCTTACTTGACACCTGACATAGAGTTCTCCATTTTTGCGGCAAGCACGCAGTAGCTCCCGTTGCACGTTTTGGAAGGGATGGGTTGACAGATGGGGTGCTGACGGACATCTTGCGTGCATGTGTGTCAGTGGGTAGGGGTTTATGGTTGACTGACCCGGCGCTCCAGTCACCACCTTGAGCACTTGGTGAGGGAAAGGTACATCTTGGTGACCCTGACCTCATGTACATGTATCTCACCACCGCCACTCGCTCGACCGAGCCCGCTCGTTCCCCAGCAGTTGGCCGCCGAAGTAATTCCTGGAGGGTCCCTGAGGGGTCTCTGGTATCAAACCTGACTGGGCAGATTGTTCAACATTTGGTCCTGTCTACTAGGTACGTATCCACCATACTCGTTCCTCGGATACTTAGCTAAGTCTGCACGAATGACCTTTGTGCCACATTGGTGCCAAAGTTTGTAGCACCCGACCCCCTCCTACATGTCACATAGAGGATGATTAAAACGTTCAGCTAGACCACCTTCAGATGTGATTTACCTACATATTATAAGACGTTGACTAATCAAAGTTGAGCCGTAGTGCCATCTGAGTACATCATAGTCTCATGAAATGCACAAAATCTTATTTATCCTGAATTAGGAGACTAGTCATAGTCCCTTGGCCGTTGGGCTTGCATACGTATGACTTCTATACTCACCGAGCACTGCCTCTGCTGTCCATTCCTACTGCGACGTACGAGACACGAGTTACATGACGGGAGTTCCACCCGGAACAGAAACCGTGTTCGTGACACCGCTACACGATACACCAGGCGCTTTAATGCTACTCCCAAAGTTTGGCAACCTCCACTCTCGGTAGGTAGATGCGAATCCTTCTTATCTCTCATGGCAACGAAGAGGCAGTAGGTCGCTTAGAGACTTTCCCCGGCGGTCTGGGCAAACACACTCAGTGGCGAGATATGATAATCGAGAAAGAACGGGTATCAACTGGCAGGGCATAATCAGGGGCCACGGCCGATATGCACGGGATTGTCCCACTGGGCTATGCTGCCCTTCTCTCTTGGGATCCCCGACTGGCAAGTGCTAAACACCAAGGAGAGAAACGACGACGTACCGGAAAGGCAGCAACGGCGGTGTGCGCAGGTACGCGGCGTGGAGAGCAAGACAATGCCACCGACGCAGTGACATCCACGATGGAGAGATCCAATGTCGTCAACCGTCCCTATCTAGCTGTGGCCTTTAATTCCGCCGACGTGGGACTTATATGTCTTTATGAGCTTTGCCCCTGCCTTGCTGCGCCTACGGGGCTCCGTCAACCTGCAATCTGCATCTGCTGCTGAGTGCGTCTTACCACGTTCGAGAGCAGAAAGCCGAGTAGGTCCTGTGGGAGCAGAGTGGGCGCCTTGTTGGTATTCTAAGGTACGTCAAGTGGACACATACGCACGCACAGACACACAGACAGCCGGGCCTTCGAGGCACTCATGCTGAAAATCGCACACGCAAGCATGGGATCACCGCTGAGGCATATCAATCATTACGGACCAAAATGTGGTATGAAAGAGGATAGAAATATGATCTAAAACGCCGGGGCTATGTTAGTCTGTCATTAAAGAGGCAGTGACACGTTATGATGGGCTGTCCTCTCTCTCTATTCCTCAGTCGGTCCTTTCGTCATGCTCTTTTCATCCGCCAGAGCTCACAAAGTTAACGCACGCACGGCGCATGCTAGGAAGCAAAGGGAAGACCCTCGGGCTGCGGAGAAGGGTTCGTCGCGTATCGCCACCCGGCGCTTCTGCGACTGCGGCTACACGTACAATGAAAGAACGACGACGCGACCGGAAAAGGTGGTGGTGGGTGGCTCGTTTACGAGGTACGCCTGCCGATTATGGCGCGGTGTACTTGGTGGCGTGCATGGGAATTCCCTCCTCACAGCCTGGCCCGGCCCTTTGATAGTCCCTCCCAGTCTGCGCGGGTGAAGGGCACGTAGGTGTCGTCGCGGACCCAGTAGATGGCGTCGCCGCTGGACACCTTGTCCGGGTCGACACCCTCGGCTTTGAGCGGCACCTTGTTCTGCTTGTGGTTTCCCGTGCTGAGAGGCTCCGAGACGAGGCGGATAAAGATTGGCACGGCGTATTTGGGCAGGTTGGCGCGGGAGTGTCTGGAGGTCGGTGGTTAGAATCTGCTCCCCATCAAGATACGGGGTTGAAAGATGCTGGACAGGCTCGTCGAAAAGCGTCAACTCAAGAAAAGCTCACCTTAGAAAGTCCGCGAAGTCAAAGCTCTCCCGCCTCGCCTCCTCGATCAACAGCGCCACGGCACCAGCCCGCCCCTCATGCCCAGGGAGCTGCACGCCGTAGACGACCGCCTCGATGACCCCGCGGCCGTACGCGCCGAGGACTTCGCTCACCTCGGCGGTGCTGACGTTCTCGCCTTTCCAGCGGAAGGTATCACCAAGGCGATCGGAGAAGAACCAACGACCGTCGGAGTCGCGGCGTAGGGCGTCCGGTGCGGAAGTACGCGTCGCCCTTCTCGAAGACGTCGCGGGCGATCTTGGCGCTGGTGGCGCCCTCGTTGTCCCAGTAGCCGCGGAAGGTGCGGCCGGGCAGCTTGCTCTGGTAGTCGAGGCGGACGAGGATCTCGCCGCCCTGATCGAAGGGAACGCGGGTGGCGAAGCCCGTCTTCGGGTCGCGCAGTAGCTCGCCCGTCTCGGCGTCGGTGGCGGCCGGCACGTACATGCGCGAGAAGAGCGTCCGAAGAATCAGCCCGTGCACTCCGAGCGACTTGGCCGTGAAGTCGCCCCTGCTCGAGTTGTCAAGCCCGAACATGACCTCTGTTGAGTTGTAGAACTCGTGGATCGTGCTGATGCCGAAGCGCTCCCGGAATGGGATCCACACATCGCCGCGCAGCCCGTTGCCGAGGATCGTGTGCACGTTGTGGGCGCGGTCGAGCGGCGACGGCGGCTGGGCGAGTAGGTATCGCAGGGCCTCGCCGACGTAAATGAAGAAAGTTGCCTGCGAGGCGCGGATGTCATCCCAGAAGGTACGGGCGTGGAATTTGGGGGCTATGCAGAGAGTATCGCGAGTCTGGGGCGATGGGTAGGTTTGGTCAGTTGAAGGAGGAGGCCAGGCGAGTGGGGGAGGATATATCTGTCGCGAACACTCACCAGAAGTTGCAGGATGGCGTGGAGGCCACCCGTCATGTGATAGAATGGCATGCAGTTGTAGCATCTCTGGTCTGCGACGCTGATCTCACCGAACCCGCGACGCTTCACCGTCGCCGACAGGAAGACAACGACCATGGGGAACGAGATGGCTTTCGGCAATCCTGTGGTACCGCTCGTGTACGCCAGTGCCAGCGGTGCGTCCACGCCGACGCTCTTGCGCAGCTCGTCACTAGGCCGCACGGGGTCCATGCTGAGAATCTGCCCGCGCACCTCGCCCAGCGTGCAGATACGGTGGCCGTTGGCCTCCAGGTCGCCCCGCACGCCGTCCAAGCGACCCAGCAGATCAGCGTCACCGTCGGCGAGGATGAGCTTGACCTTTGCGATCTCGATGGAGTGAATCAGGGCCTTGGCGGCGAGGTTGGTGTTGACCAGGGCGGGTGCGGCGCCGATGGCTAGGAGCCCGAACCAGGCGCAGACCATATCCGCGGAGTTGACCATCAAGAGGGCGACGAAACCGCCGGGCTGGACGCCCTGAGCGAGGAACCATTGTGCGTATTGGTTAACGCGGGCGTAGGTCTGGTTGTAAGTAAGGCACTCGCTGTGAGACCAGAGAGCTTCTGAGTCACCCTTCTCCTTGACTGAGTCTTCGAAGTAGTAGTATATGGATAGGCGACCCTTGGAGGCTGAGATATTAAATTAGCTAAAGCTTGACATGAGAGGCGTGGGGCCAAGGCCTCAGCGATATGGTGCTGGGGGAGAAGGGGGGGGGGGGTTTAACGGCCACGACATTTCAATTTGATGCCATGGGACTCTCGTTAGATCCTTACCTGTCTTCATCAACGCTGAATAGGCCGCCCTACGGCTGAGCAGGAAGTTGAGGTCCTGGCCAATAGAGAAGCGCGCATTGAGGTAGGCGAGGCCTGCCACAGCAGCAGCAGCTTGGCCCACGAGGGCAGCGGAGACTGTAGACAGTGACATCAGTAAGGCTGTTCAAAATCCACAAACTGTGGTTCCCGCAAGGAAGTTAGGACGAGAACACATGTGTCAAGACTCACCTAGAGACATGCTGTGCTGCTGCACAGAGCGAGCTCTTCGTCTTGTGCCTTATCTGGCCAGAGGGGGAAGGGGTGTCTGATTCGATGTCGACTTGGCAGGTAGCGACGACGCAGCTTATCCAGTGTAGCAGTCACCGCGGAACTCTAAAAGGTAGTCCGATTCGAGTGTGGGAGAGGATGCCGTTTAGTTGTTGAGTAGGTAATTTCCAACGGCTTCACCGAATGGGCTCAGGCAAAGCAGGCCACTTAATAGGAACACCAGCAAGCAAGAGAGAGAGCAGGTCTTGCTCAAATTCTGGGTCCGTCTTCACTGTCTGTTGAGCATGGCCGTTACGGCACAGTCCGTTCACCTCGTCTGGTCACCTCGACACATTTCACGCCCACTTGAGTTGGGCGACCTGCAATGAATTTTCTTGAGGGTGAATGAAGCAAGGCAAGTTGGCAATATCGAGAGGCAGCACACGGAATTCGCTGAGGATACATGTTTCCCATCAATTCCGCCGTCTGTTTCATTCATCCACCGAACCCCGTGGGCTCTTCCGCTCAACAGGCCGGCCCTGCAGCTGGCGGCAGCTAGGATGGATTGAGAGGAGAGCCGAGGCTCGCAGGAACCGGCAGATTCCAAGACGGGCCAAGTGGAGAACAGGAATGGCCTCCGCTTGGTGGATGGGCTGGGGTGATGTGAAGCCATGTGGTTTCATTGAATGCATCCTTGAGCCTGCATGCAGTGAGGCAGTGGATCACGATGCGAGCAAGGGGACAGGGGTCTTTGCGTGTGTGTGCGCGCACGTATCTGTCAAGGGCAGACAGACATCCACCACACACAACATACCAGAACACCAGCAGCATGATAACTCGGCCTGGTAGTCGAGGACATAGAGGAAATGAGATACGACAGGAGGTGGGAGGAGCACTGCAGGCTGTCGACTGTCGACCGTACACGGCAGCATCTGCCATCTGCATGTTTCACAGAAACGATCAAAGAAAACAGTCAAGCCGTGCAGTCCACAGCTGATGCACAAGCAAGGCAGAACAAATCCGCATCCGCATCCGCATCTTGCAGAACCTCAAGCTGAGCTGGAAGTGGAACTGAACATGACAAAAGGGACTGCTGATGATTGACTGACCGACTGTCTGACTGCTCAGCACAGCATCCAGCCCTTGACAGCGTCTGCTGTCTGTGCGAAGGGCGAGTCCATCAGAGCGAGAGACGAAGAGGTTGACAGGCAGCTGCAGGACCAACTCGCCCAAATGAAGATGGGGTTTGCCGCACACATCCCAACAGCCTGCAGGTACTTTTAAAGGTCCTTTACAGGTTCTGTGCCGCCGTATTCCTGCAAAGGTGAGCAGAAGAGGAGACCGCGACCAACGCCAATGGAGAATGGGTCTCTGCTTGCGAATCTGGCCGAATCCAATTGATTGGCGTTGCATGCCGAGGTCCCGCATCCAACGGCCACTACAAGTACGTGCCGTCCAGGATCCACTCCTCTCAGCTGGTGACCAGCTGGCAGACTTCTCTTGCTTGTCTTAGCACCGGGCCCGTGCACCCAGCCCACCAAGGTCGATTTTCGAAATTCGGCTTGCCGCTAACGGGAGTGGAGCTGCCATCTCGATTTTGATCTCGACGTCTGACCTTGCCAATCTTTTACCCTCAACCTGAATCTCATCCTCGACACTCCATACCCACGCCTCGCCAGCAACACCGACGACCACCCCCTTTCCTCACGTCAATCTCTCCCCAGGAAATCCATCAAATCATTCATAATGGGTGGCGGTATCTCTGTTCGCGATGTTGATGTAGGTGTCCCAACTTTTCCAGTCTGACCATCCCACACGACCTGCAAAATGGAACAACTCGACCACACGCGCACACACGCACGACGACAGTCACCACCACAACGGTACGACCACCGATCGCACCCCATAGCCATTGCTTCGAGAGGGAAATGAACCGCTCAATCGACTTTGCGCATACAAATATGGAAGGGCGTCGGGTCGACGTTACACATCAAAGAAAAAAACACCGTGGAGCAGGCGTGAGGGGGTCGAAAGACCTCTGAAGACGGAATATTTGCTGATGGTGTTTTCTCTTGATCTGCAGTCGCACAAGTTCATCAACGCATACGCTGCGTTCCTGAAGCGTCAGGGCAAGCTGCCCATTCCCGGTATGTAATACACCGAACGACTTTTTTCGACTCTCCCTATCCCCAGACGCCTCGGCTAACCACAAATCCATACAGGTTGGGTTGATACGGTCAAGACTGGCCCCGCCAAGGAGATGCCTCCCCAGGACATCGACTGGTTCTACGTCCGTGCCGCCGCTGTCGCCCGCGCCGTCTACCTGCGCAAGACCATCGGTGTTGGCCGTCTCCGCAAGATCCACGGAACCGCCAAGAACCGTGGCGCCCGCCCCTCCAAGCACGTCAACGCCTCTGGCTCCGTCGACCGCAAGGTCCTGCAGTCCCTCGAGAAGATCAACATTGTCGAGATCGACGAGGAGAAGGGCGGCCGCCGCATCACCCAGGCCGGCCAGCGTGATCTGGACCGTACGTTCTTCTACCCTTGCCCCGGCTTCTCACAGTCCATCCCCATGAGCTTGAATGCTGACTTGTATCCTTTAGGCATTGCTGCCCAGACCGTTGCCGCTGAGGACGAGGAGGAGGATGACGAGTAAACTGTCTGTCTCGAAGCATGACGGTGGCGTCGGGTTTGGACTTATTAACTATGGATTGCTTGGTCATCGGCGTCAAAAATGGATCAAAATGGAAATGATTCAACGGATTTCGTCTCGGATTTGGGGAAATGATACCACGTCAACATGACCGACCCGACCGCCGCGTTCTTTCTTTGTTGCCGGTGAAATGCTATTGCAGAGACCAAATTCTAGTTTGCCTGTTCAACCCAACATGACGAAGTTTATGAGCAGTGGCAATATGACCGGCCCGTATTCTACCTTTGGTGACCGCAACATCTGTATTGGTGAGCTGATGATCCCCATGATCGTGTATTATGATATGGTATGCTATGAATGAGTCAGAAGTGGGTGGGCTCCGACGCCTGGCCCAAATCCAACACACTGTCAGTGGTTGTCCACTCCCAAGACATACATTGCTGCCATGTTGCAGTGTCATTCCTACTTCGTCTCCTTGGCCATTTCCGTGTCTTTGTTCACAGCCACCAGCCAAGGAGATGCATTCTTTCCAGCTACAGTTCACGAGGGTCCCTCGCACTTTCCCCTCCTCATCCTGCATACACATGGGGGTCCACACCCATCATCCCCTTCCATGCCTGAGCATCTCATGAAGAGAACTGCACCGCCAGCCCGACCCCCTGGAACGGCGCGTCCAGCCTCCGGAAGTCGACGTCCGTGCCCAGGCTGAACAGCAGGGACTTGTAGCGGCCCTCGTACATGAGCCCGACCCGCATGTGCTGGTCGCAGCGGCACTTGACCACGCCGGCAGGCGAGTCTTCGTCGCCGTCGCTGCGCCACTCGCCCTCCCCATATGACGACGACGACCCTCCAACCCCCGTCGTGGTGGTGAGCTTGGCTCCCGTGGAGGGATCATAGGCCTCTGGCTGCGTGTGCTTGAAATCATAGTCGTCGAGCCGCCATTCCAGTTTCGCCTGGAAGCTTCGGTGTCTTGCGATTTTTTCTGCTGCTGGTATCGTGGTTGTCGTCGGCGCCGCCTCCGCGGCCGCGGCCGCGATCTTTACGGAGTTGTTACTTGCTTCCCTCGTGTGCATCGCCTCCGCGAGGCTCGGGTCGATCTCGTGGTCCAGCCCCGCCCTGGCAGCGAGGACCGCCTCGGCCTCTTGCGGCGGGATATCAGCTGGATCCACGGCCCGCTCATCGTCCTTGGCGCCTGTGTCATCGCCACTCCTGCGCCCGGAAGCAGCGGCAGCATCAGCCAGCCCCGGCGGCGCGTCCCTCCCCTTGCCCGCCCTGCCGCCCCGCCACAGCTCCACGCCGACCGCCCACTCGCTCTCGTAGCTGTAGACGTTGAAGCCGAACTGGCTGGCCAGCGTGCACCCGCGGCCGGCCATGACGGCGTAGGTGGCGCTGAAGTGGCCCAGCAGGTTGAACGTCAGCGCCGCCGTCAGCGGGGTTCCCGCGTGCGTCGGCAGCGTCTGGAACCGCCCACCCAGGCTGAGCCCGCCCGACTTGTTGAGCAGCCCGTAGTAGATCTCGCCGCCGACGCTGAATCGCCCGTTGATGCGCTCCTTGTCGGCATTGTGGTTGTTGCCGGCTGTGTTAGTGGTGGTGGCAGCGGCCGTTGGGTCAGAAAAAGGGGAAGGCCCTGCCGTGATGGGTATGGCTGTGCTCGGCTGTGATGCTGCTGTCCCTGTAAACATGTCCGTGCCGCTGGAGTGCGCCGGCGGGTTGGTCGCGTTCCACAGCCCCCGCAGCCCGAGCACGCCGCCGTCCGACGAGGCGAGCGTCTCGATTCCGAAGCGGCCGGCGGGGTCATCCCATGACGCCAGAGCCAGGGCGGTGCCGCCGTGGCGCAGGGTCTCCTGGCTGACGGCGCGGATGGTCAGGTTGACCTCGCGGGTGACGCGGGTGGCGAGAAGGGCCTCGAGCCTGCTCTGGGGCAGGTACAGGCGGCCGTAGACGAGGCCATGGCCGACGGCGTGGCGGGCGGCGTTGGTGGACAGCGAGCGGTAGCTGCGCAGGAGGTCGGGCAGGGGGATGCGGTCCGAGCTGGTGGTGGCGTCGGTGGGCAGGGTCGAGTAGAGGTACGAGACCCAGCCGTCCTTTATGCCGATGCTGTACGAGGTTCCGAACTTGGGCCGTACGAAAGAGGAGAGGGTTATCCTGCTGCCTGTTGGCGTGGGAAAGTGCAGCAGGGAGCGGGATGTGAGGTCGAGGTTGGAGTACTGCGGCACGCGTCAGCGAGATGTGAGTGTGAGGTTTGAGACGGGAATGGGGTTGGTGTGCAGTTTACGCTGTTGTCATATGTGTTCCCCCCGCTGGCTGTTATAAAGGCCTCTTGGAGATAGTCTATAAAGTCGCGCATCTTGGGTGATGTTCAGAGGCATGCGACCCAAGCACTGGCTGGCCTGGATGAGACAAGACGTTGGCTCTCGGAGGAGCGAGGGCTCAGCGGCCCTCGCAGCAGCAAGACCTGCGGCGTCGCGGTGACGCCTGGATGGGCTAATACCAGAGAGCATGGAGAGTATAGAACCTTTATTTGGAAAACCTCATTGCAGCTGACTGCCGGGTGCTTGAACTGAGAGAAGGTGAGAGAGATGTATCATGCCTTGCTGATGCCGTCAACTGCTGCTGTTCGTGACCAAGTGAACTCCTGAGGGTCCGTGCACTCCACCCAGCTGCCAACCTTGGAACCCTTACCCGAAGCTATTGGCTCTCCAGAGTACCCTGCATGTTTATGACCTCGGCCGTTTATTTGGCTCTGATATGTGCATGTTCAACCTACAAGATGTTGTGAATGATGGTCTTGGTCGATGACATTATTTCTGGTTAATTTTCGACTGTACTGATGAGCATGAACATTGGATGTTATGCTCACTCGCAACCAAGCTGCCGACCTATCTAGGTACCCAGGTAGGCAATTCCACATGCAAGCGTTCTGATCCAACCTGAATATGAATCCGCAACAAAATCTCAGAAAACTCACTTTTTAAGACCAACGAAACAGGATTATTAGACTGTGACTCTTGCTCGACCCGTTCCAACATACTCAACCCTGGATAGACCGCCGTCACTACATCTCGTAGACAGGGCGGCTGCAAATAAAGACTTTCCCTCCTGTGACGCAATCCGTCCGATCGCGTAGCTGGAAATAAAGGAAACAAAACTTTGGGAGGGAAATCACTGAGAACTCTCCAAATCAAAACGTGGATAGTCAGAGGTATCCATCAACGTCGCCTCTGTCCCCATCTCAGGCCCCAACCAAGTTGTAGACCGTATCTATCAAGCTAGAAAGTGAAGCCTGTGCCTATAGCCCTTGGCCATCCAGGTCTTGGCTGGGAGGTTGGATTGCGTTCAGTTCCTCCCAGAACTTGCCGATGGTGTCCGACGCGTTGGTGAGGTTCGTCTCGGGCTCCCAGGTATTGCTGTCGTGTTGATATCCTTTCCACTTGACGAGGTACAGATGCACACCGTTTTCCTCCTTGGACTGCAGTATCTCCTCCACCTCATACTCCTGTGACATCGATGGCGACATGCTGTCCGTCTGTGGACCAAAAGTAGACGACACACCTAGTGGACTGGGAGATATGGTGATACGAGGAACCTCAGTCAATCGGGTGTGAGACTGAGACTGGGGAGTTGGCAACTCCTGGGCGTTCTTGGAAGGTGGCGTTACATCGGGAACGGAATATCGAGTGGCATCGTATTTGGGCTCCTCAAAGACCGGTGAACCTCTCTTCTCGAAGTCTGTTGGCGCTCTCAGGACCAGCTGCCGCGCGAGACCAGGTCGGCGGTTTGATGGCGTCGATGGAGTGACTGAATCGCTAGGTACCATAAAGCCGTCGCCCTCCTGACCCGCGGAATCACTCTGGACGGCGGCCTCCATGATGCCGTCAGTGTCAAAAATACCTATTTCATCCTCGATGATATCCATGTTTTCGTTGGGGCCGGAATAACTTGTTGATTCTGGGATTTGCCTGTAGCTTCCGTCTGGCAGATGGCGAAGCTGAGGTCTCTTCCCGTATGTATACCAATCATGCGATTTGCATCGGAAAACAAGGCCGGTCTTCTGAGTCAGAAGCTGAAGGAACTGGGATCGAGATTAGCTGCAGTCCGTCCTAGATCGATCGCTGTCAAATGTTACTTACCTGGACGCAGCTTCCGCACACAAGCTTGTGATCAAGGTGAATCACAGTTTCGCGCAGCCCAGGAGGCAACTTGTTGAGCTGATCCTTCAGTAGGTTGATATTGTTAGCTGTAAGCGATTTTGTGCCAAATACGTGGGAGAGTGCCTTGGTTAAGACAAAGACTGCCAATTGCTTCTGTTGAAACAGTTAGTTACCACAGTATTTCGGGGAACCAGTACATCTATACGACGACAAGACAATACCTCAGAGTGGCAAGCAACAAATGTCCCTTTTTTCTCAGAAGGACTACCCAGGAAGTGCTGGACCATAGTCAGTATATTTATCATCAATCCCTCGGCAGATACTGACGTGATCAAAATGGTTGCCCTTGAGCTCGAAACCAATAAGTGTCGCCACGCGCTTGACAAGCTCTGTGTAGTCCTTGTTGTCGAGGACGTTTCTGAACACGGCATTTTTGTCTTGGATGGCACGACCCCAGCCTGAGACGGCAAACTTGTGGGAGTCGTTTTCATCCCCAGCGTAGATAAAGCCTGTGCATTTCCGACCGATGGTTCCATGTTCAGCTGTAGCGACTTGTCTGCCCTCCATGACCACTTGCTGCTTGCCATCTAGAGATCGAAGAAACGCAAGATGTAGGGATGGATCCTTTGGAGGCGGCTGGGCGTTGAAATGATCCACGTTTACAGACGTCTGAAGCTGAATCTGGGCCTGGTCTCGGGATTTGGCTTGAGCTTGGGCTTCAGCACGACCGCGTGCGAGTCCCAGGTCGTAGGCCTCCCTCCTTTCGTGCCGACGTGCCTTGAGCTCACGAAAGATATGACGCCGGCCGACTCTGTCCGGCTCGCTAGAGGCAATGGTGTTATATTCTCGAATGAGGTCTTTGAGAAAAGGCGACTGTGGGTCCACGTAGTGTCGAGCGCTGTAGTGATAGCTGTCCTTCATGGTCGACGAGGCGTTGTAGCCGGCGAGGAAGAAGAAAATGTTGCTTCGTCCGTATAGTGCGGCAAGCATCAGTGCAGTCGTGCCGGTTGCAGTGGGTACGTCTATGCCAACCTCTCCGTCACCGATGATCTTGCGGACCTTGCGGTAGTCGTTGGCCAGAACGGCGAGGTGGAGGGCCGTCAAGCCATGGGAGAGTGGCACAGAGCTGTTGGTGCTTGCATCAACCTGGGTCATATTTCCGTCGGACTGGGAGTGAGTCCCTTTGTCGGGGGGTCAGTTGCATTTTGAGGCGGGAAAGGTGCTCGTGCATGTGTATGCTGGAAGGCAACAACGCACAACAAACGCAACATGGTGGGGGATAAAACATGATTGCAGACAGAGCAGTATATGACTGGGAAAGCACTAGAGAAAGCATAACCAAATAGCGATAGCATCTTGTTCGGAAGGAGCTCACCAGTACTTGGCTTTTCTGTGACGGTGTTGGAGGTGACGACGGTTTCAAAGCTCGCGCGGGGAGGGCTGCAAGCCTGCGTCGGCTTTGAGGCAAAAGGCGGAGCAGTTGAGGAGGTTGCGATGCTGCAAAGTTGCCAAGTATTGGCGAGTTTGTGATGGTCTGAAAACTCCTTCTCTTTGCCAGGTTGAACACTGCTCGAGCTGACTGGGACAGAGGTGGGACTAGGCAGTGTAGTTGATGATGGCGAGGATGCCAGTAGGGGGAATGTAGAGCTGCGACTCGCAACGATGTTCGTTGCGAAGGAGTGTTGTAAAAGAAAGGAAGTGGTGATCTCTGGAGGGAATTTCCAGGTGTGCAAGGTGTTGGTTGGTTGAAGTAAAAGGTGAGCGTTTAGGTTTCAACCTTAGAAGCTTAAGATCGTTAAGCTTGGAGGAAATTTCAGACGAAGAAAGCTGATTTCAGCTTAGAAAGGGAAAGAAGGTACGGAAAAGGTGGTGGTAAAGAGGAACATATGCATCTCCTGCGTAGGAACTTTGGCTTCGTCCTGGAACAGCTCACGTCTTGTTTTGCAGGCGTTTCTCGAATCAACACTACCTGTATATCTAGAGAGCTCTGATCATAACCAGCTGTACACTTTCTACTGACTTTTCGTCATACACTACGCATCTTATCTGGTACGAGGCCTCTAACAATGACTTCGTCGAAATGTCCCCGCAGCGCCTTACTTCCAGTGGACTCGCCTACCTGGAGTCTGAGGGGCGTACATTCCCACACAGGTATCCCGCCCACCAGAGGCTAGCGTGAGAAGCATCAAGACACTGTCGCTGATGGCACTTTGCAGGGGCAAAATCTACTTCTAGCCTCAATACTCACCTTGATTGCAGTACCTTCAGAGGGCAGCCTTCACTGCCTAGGCATGCACCTCACAGAAATCACGGTGTAGATTGGCGGCTTGGACAGTCGAAAATCAAAGGGATGTGATGTAATGACAATATGCCATTGCCAAATCACAGTATTCAAACCACCTCTGAAGAGCTGGGCCTCCTCCGACTGCCGAGCAGAGTCTTAAGAGTCTAGTCCGAACTTTCGATCAGACCACGACCCACGCGGATAGCATTCGAATGCCTGACCTTGGGCAGATGAACACCTCTACCCGGTGGCCCCCGGCCGTAAACGCTTACCGACCAATGTACTTTAGCTCTAGCCACCTCAGAGGAACGAAGAAGACCAAGGTCAACACGAAGGTCAGCTCGTTCGCCAGATCTCCACCGGCGCTCCCCAGCAGCTGGCCAATCGGACCCGTAAACCAGGTCTGAACCATGCCGAGGACCCAACCGACAACGCCGATTAGGAAAGCCACCAGTGCGGCCAGACCCAAGGGAAGCTTCGAAGGGTCGTTCCAGGCCTCGAGGTCGTAGTTGTCGCAGCTGCCCTTGCGGAACATGTAATGCTCGCACCAGAGGATGACAAAGAACGAGGTGGCCCAGTAGCCAAGCAGGGAGAGGAAGTTCTGCAGATAGGTGTTGAGGCTCTCCCTACCGCCGGCGGCGATGCCCAGGGTGATGCCAAAGAGCACAATGGTCCAGACAAAACGAGGGATGCGGGCGAGCGGGCGTGCAAACTGCTGGACCGACAGGGCTGACGAGTACAGATTGATACAGTTCATCCCGATACCCGCGAGGACCAGCACGACGAGCACAAACTTGGCGAAGCCGCGGGGGAACAACATCGTCTGAATCAGGAAGCCAACACCCTGCTCCTCGTAGACGTCCGCCAGCTCCTGGTCGGCGCCCATGGCGGAGCCCACGCAGCAGCCGAGCACCATGCCGATACAGGTGGAGATGCCGATACCCATCGTGGTGAGCGTGAAGACCTTGACCTTGGAGCTGCAGGGCGAAATGTCAGAAATGACCCAATCATTTGCGCGCAAGCGCTCGCGGGGGAGAGGGCCAGGATCTCTTTCTGCCAACAACTACAAAGGACCGGGTCCACCTACGTGTTGATCGGGTGCTGGACGTAGTAGTCTGCAGCGATAGTGGCCCACGAGACGGACGAGCCGTAGACAATGGCCAGCAGCGACAACACGGCGCCGGCCTTGTCGTTTCCGGTCAGGGTGCTCTTGGCGGCGATGTCGGAGCGCGGCGCCATCTCGCCGTACATGATCATGAACAGCACAAAAAAGACGGCCCAGGCGTACTTCTGGTACTCGAGAATTGCACGGAGGCCGCAGAAGTTCAGTGCGGAGCTGCAGACGGCGATGATGACGATTCCGACGATGGAGCTCAGCTTGCCGTCCGACACGGCCGACAGCGCGGAGCCGGCCGTGATGGAGCCGACGGCGCTCCACCCGATCTGCGAGATGACATTCAGGGCCGCCAAGATCTTGGACGGGTACCATCCGAAGCTGTACCGGGCGATGGACATCTGCCGCAGGCCCGTGCCGGGCCCGAGGGTTGCGCACCAGCCGGCGACCGAGGCGCCCAGCAGGGTGCCGAAGATGGTGATGGGGATGGTCTGACTCAGGTCAAGGCCAAACTCCCACCCCAGGAACCCGGTGGACAGGCACGAGACGTTCATAGTCGCGCCGGCCCACAGCAGGGCCATGGTCGCCTGCTCGTGCCACGACTGCGGCCGCTTGTCCTCGGGCCGCATGCGCTGAACGGCCTGCGACTCAATGCCCAGCTTGGAGTCCAAGGTCGCCTCGAGCGACAGCAGCCTGTCCAGCATGCCGGAGCCGCCGCTGCCCACGGACTCGGAGCCCGAGTCGGCGGGCCGCGACGCCACGCGGTCGAGCTTCTTCTCCTCGTCGTAGGCTAGAGGCATCTTGGAGGAGGGGGGTTGTCCGGTGTCGTCGGGGGTTGGGTTCAACGGGTCTGGCTGCTCAGGCGGGTGTTCTCGTCTCCCCCATCTTGGGAGGGGGAGAGAGAGAGAGAGAGAGAAGGAAGAGAGAAGGAGGAGAAAGAGGAAGCCGGACACGCGACAGTTGGACCCTATTGCGTTGTGAATTTTTTCCACCCGTGTGGGCGATGTGGAGTCGGCCCTTTGCCTGTTGCATTATCCCCCGTACGTAAAAGAGCTTGTTTCCCTGGCTCTTCTGCGGTTGATTCTTATCTGCAGGCCCACATTTGCGAGGGTCCGGAAGGGCCCTGGACGTTCGATAGCGTCTCGCCATGTTGCCACAACGGTCCGACCGACGCGGCGCCGGTCCATGCCGTATGGGAGAGTAGGACAATGTGGTCGCGCGTCAGGAGGTGCCCGGGCTTTGACATGACCATGACAGATGGAATTTAGTTTTGGTTTGGAGGGGTTTTGACAGATGCGAAGACTGTCTCAGGGTTGGACCCTGAATCCTAATGTAAGTCATTCCACCCACACCACTGTTTGGTGAGAACACTCACAATGACAGATGACATCCCCTCAGCAGGCACGAAGTAAGCGTGGACAGTCATACCTTTTGATCTCTGTTCAAATATTATAATTTTACACTTCTTGGCGTGCCCATTACCTGGACAAGATGGGTCCAGCTTTAGTGTGATGTCGAGGTTGAGATTTGGAGTCCTCTCACATGGCTCAAGGCAGCCGGGTCACAAGGCCCGCATCTTGGCCAGGTGACCAGGCTCAGCAGTCACAACTCCAAACCCGGCTTGTCAACGTCAAGTGTCAAGAAGAAAAATGTCCAGCAAAATTATCCTCAAACCATTTACTTCCTCGCTTCAACTTAGCATTATTTCATTGTCTGGAACCTGCACGTACTAGACTCAGACACGTCTCACCAGTCAATACTACGTGCCTACGCTCAGGTAGCCTGCCTGCCTGACCATCTATAGAGATATACACCACATAGCAGGCAACCTCTTTTCAGTACACTGAGCCAAATCATGGCTCCTCAATACCCAAACATTTCTTCCCGTCGCTCGAGGCCACGGCAAGCAAGGCCCGCGTTGCGAACAACTCGCGAAAGAAGCGACGTCACCCGGCGTCTCGGACAGCACGCGTTGAGGAACGCAGCAAGCAGATATCCACAGCAAAGGGAGCCTCGGGGTGGCAGGAGCAACAGCAGGAACCGCCAAAATGAGCAACGGGGAAGCCACTCAAACCAGCACAACGATGAAGGTTCCGGGCTCGGCCAGGCCGCGATGAGCATGCTGGTCGGGCAGCTTCTGGAAGAGGTCGTGGACTACGTCGTCCGTCACAACTTCTTTCGCCGCCAGCGAAACTCACCGTCTGAGAACGCCGCAGCGACGACGACGGCGACACCAACAGCGAGGGCAGCCGAACAACAGCCACAGGAGCAGCCCCACCTGCAACAGTCAAACTCCCAGTCCTCGCTCGAGGAGAGACAGCGCCGCCGGCGACACAGACGCAGCGAGGTGCTCATGACCTCGCTGGACCGGCTTTCGGCCGAGCTGGAGACTACATATGGCGCTCTGATGCGCGTTAGCCATACTCCTCGCAGTGAGGGTGCCGCTGCCGATGAGCCGCTTATTGCGAATGTAGATGACCTGCGCCGGGCCATCACGCGGAGCCTGGCCCGAATAGAGTCGATTAGGCACCATCATCGGGCTACTAGGCGAGGTTCAAGGAGCGCAAGGGCTACCAGGCTTGGTTCGACCATGTCTATGGCTGGGTCAGATGCTCGGTAACTGGTGTGGTTGGGGAGTTGTGGCGTTTGTTCTTTTCATTCTCATTTGGACGAGGAATCTTTTCTTGCGGACACTACACATAGACAAACCTAAGTACATTCATCATGTAGTTTATGCATTTACAGAGCGTGTCCTGTGGCATAGAGTTTCATCTTCAATTATTCCACGTTGATCAACAGTACAAATCTTTCAGTATTCACATCTAACCATACATGAGTTTTATTTAAATTACATATATCTCTTTTCCTGCAGCTATGCGCTCATGACCACCTCTTTACCCACTTTACTGTGCAATGTACGCGTCTTCAAGTTCTTAACGAGGTAATTGCAGGGACAAATCTAAGAATACCATTTAAGCTTTACTCAAGCGTGCCTCCAGTCCACCCAATTTTCCCCATTGTTACGTCTGTCTGGGATGTTTGTCATATTTCCGGCCGTCCAGCTTCCGCAAAATAACCCGTCTCCATATATACCTTTAATACAACGTCGTCTCAGGACGTTTGCGAAAGTGCCAAACAGGCCGCACAGGACGATTCGAATCATATAGTGTAATCTAGGATTCTATTCACCACTGATATCAGGTATTTCAATGAAGCGCTGCTTCTAGGCTCTTGCGCTTTTCCGCCTTGGGGCGAAAACCCATATGCATGTTCAATCCTTGACTTTGCGGGTGTGGTTTAGATCGCTGCTGACCCATATCAACCCTTCAAGTAAGTTGTACCACGGTGGTTCCGCGCGTACGTGTATAAATGCACTGTTTGAGCTTGCCAAGATCCTGGCGCCAACAGCCTTTGAAAATGGTCCTTGGCACTCCAACCTCGAATCGGTGGGTCATATTTGCACCTTTGTCATTAAAATGCTTGTGCAACACTAGGTGCATACATGCAGACAGGCTTGAAATCAAGAATGCTGTACCCGGTTGGTGAAATATTCTGTGGCATGTCCTCAAATATTAGGCCCACCAGCACGGCCGCTGCGATCCCAGTAATTGGCCTCTTGGTGTCGACATGCGCCTAGTTACGACGCAGTACTGGCCGCCACCATTGTTGTATGAATTGGGAGAAGAGATGACGTATGACTGGCTGAACCACTGTCTACCAGAACAGAGACTCTTGAACGCATTCCGCACCGTGTACGCAGTATGAGCTACGTTGTACCAGACACAGACAGTCTCGCCTCGTCCACCAGTGCAGTGGTAGTCAGTACCCGTGTTCCAGGCCACTGCGACCGAGAACCCAGCCGAGATCCAACCCGACGAAGAGAAATTGTTATTCAGAGTCCAGGTGATCGTGATGCCTTCCGTTTCCGAGTAGCCTACAGTACAGTGTTTAGCCGCTCCACAAAACATGCTCTCCTGGATATCCTCCTATGTTAGCTACGATTCAAGGCAGGTTTCTTCCTAGACTAGGCTGTTGAGGGGTGGGTCATACTGGTTGCACATGTAGATGTAAATGCAGGCGTACGACATAGCTACCTCAGTATGGAAGGTTAATGGATGATATGGTGATTGATCACTTACGCTCATCTGAAGAAGGTAATAGTTTTGATGAGGATCACCATCGCCGAAACGTTCAGTCTTCCCCTTCGGTTTGCAGTGTGGTTGTTGGGGCGGGGGTCTATAATCATCTCGGCCTGGCCTGCATCCGTTGAGCCCCCGGGAGGATTCATGGATGCTCGCAAGAACTTTGCAAGGCGATTGCGGTGATCTGAGATGCACTCAGAGATGTTGGACTTGCTCAATGGTTGCATTGGGAGGTTCGCAGGCACCGCGACAGTGCAGGACGCGGCAGCTTCAGCATGGTTGAACATGCGAGCACAGACGATATCGCCGGAGTAGTTGGCATCCACGTGATTCAGGTAGGTGGAGGAACCAACGGTGAGGTTGCCGCTGGCACGCTCGTTTACGTCAAAGATGATTGGCAGCTTCTCGAAAGCACCCGAGCTGAGAGAAGATGAACAGGACTGTCCCACCAGGTTTCCACCAGAGAGGACTTCCACAGTGACGTCCGAGTTGGCCTTGTGGTAAACGATCGTGAGGTCTTGTTTGTCGTCCTGGGCTTTGGCAATTGCAGGAGGTACCAATGCGCAAGAAAAGAGTGGCATCAAGTGTTGCATGTAGAAATGATGTACCCGTAAATGCGTAAAATTCCACGGGAGGTTATTCCACAGGAGTTTGTCCCATGCAAGGTAGGAGGCAGCGACAGTCCCGTCTTCATGCTGGTCACGGGCGCCGGCATCCCTCGCCAGCTGATCAAGGATGACGTGTGCGAGGGTATCTTCTTGCCTGCTGGCACGAAGTCCACGCTACTCAATGGTAAGCCCCTGAAGTATCGTAACAAAAAGCACAAAACGTTAATCAATACTCTTGTCCGTTGGGGTGATCCACCGAGAGGTGTACCCCGACCTTGAGTCCTTCCGGCCGGAGCCTGGCTCAAGCTCGTTGAGCACGCATGAAGGCGTTCCGGAGTGTCTCAGCGTAGATTTCACAGCTTTCTAAGTAGACTTAGATATTTAACTTTTGGACCTTATAGCGTAGTCCAGCACATCTTCAATACTTACGTTATGGAACTCGAAGGTGAGTCAAACGGACATGTTCTCTATCCTGGACAGATTGAAAAGAAAGTTCTCAAAAAAGGACAAACAACTTGCAAAAACAAGTCTGTACATTGCGCCGAAGTTCAAGTGCCTTCGTGCCATGTGAATCTTCGAATGGTGGCGACAACTTAGCCTCCCCATCCCCGTTCTCTGCTTCGATTTTCTCCGAGCAAGTAAAGCTCAAACATTAATTTCACAAACCGGTCTGAATGTGCATACCATACGCCATTTGCGCCATCTGTAATGATTCCTCTCGTCATACAATTCATAAACCTGTCATATCTCTTTAAACAAAACACTGCTTGAACCCGTCGTCCATGCTCATCATGCCCAATGACCGGGCCTCTCTCACCAGCACCGACATTCTAGGCCGGCGGACCAGCAGCCGGAGGCGGCGGAGGCGGCGGAGGAGCACCTGCGCCCTCGGAAGAAGTCTTGGAGCCCTTTGAGCTATGATGCCGGTGGTGCCGCCGCCGTTTGCTGTGGAAGCGCACCGTGTAGCGGTAGCGGTACAGGAACACGATGCTTGCGATGATGAAGACCCCGAGGAGGACACCGACTACGATCCCGATCGTAGTGTTTGTGCTTGAGGTGGTATCTCGCCTCCGCAGCTCTGCCCATCCTGCAAGGTGTGACAAGCTGGAGGAGGTATGTGGGATCGCGTCCGGCGCCGGGGCGGCCCGCGCGGAGGGCGGTGGGGTGGAAGAAGTGAACGGGCGGGACGAGCGCCGGATATACATCCAATGCTTGGTGTCGGAGATCTAATTGTGTACCCAGGCAGTTTGCTGAGAGGATGAGATGCCAGCGGGGTGATGTCGAGTGGAGACGCAAACGACATGTCTAATAAATGGTGTCAAGCGAGCCAATGCACACGTGGAGGAATGGGAAAAGAAGACAGAAAACGGTCAAGACACGCCCGTTGGGTTCGGCAACGACCGGGGGTCCTGAGCGCATTTTTTAACTTTTCCCCCCTGGCGACCTGCCATCCCATCTTCCTTGCGGCCCGGCGGCCAGTGTGTAGGGAACCGCCAGGCGTGCTACCCACCTGGGCACCGTTCGCCGTGCTTGGCGGCAGACGAGTTGCTACTGTGTATGTGACACCTCACACAAGGCGAACCGAGGTCCTTCCACGCGGGTTCCACGCCAGTCGTGTGGCACCCCAGATGCAACGCTTTCTTTATTGCCAAACCTCTCTGGCTCGGGGTCGCGAGTCTCACGGCGGCTTGCAAGTCTCGCAGACTGGAAGAATGCGGAGAGGGCCTGTATGGCCTGTGTCTCGAGAGCGAATCGAGCGAGTGAAGCGGGGCGACATGCGCACATGCTTGCAGGCGGCACCGCAATTCCAAGGCGTTCCCCACTGATTCGACAATGCTGCAGGTCTCGAGCCTCCTACTTGGCTGGCTTGACTGTGTTCGTCAATTAGTAACGACTTGCAGCGCGGGACTACTGCAGGCTGTCCCAGGCCGGGATTGGCTTCCGGACATCACGAAATGGCGCTGCGAGATGTGGAAACTGGTAGCGGTGCAACGGTGCGTTGGCTCGGCCATCCTGTTGGATCAATGGGGATTTTATTGGCCGAGGATATGTTCGTATCAAAGTTCAACATTATCTGCTTCTTCTCGCCAGCAAGCCGCCCGGCGAGGGGATTTCTCTCCAGGCCCTGGTAATCCCGCATCAGCAAACGCAGCTTCCCGTCGGCCTGGGCCAACTGGCGCAGAGCGCACATTAACCGCTGAGCATTTTGCTCCACGGAATGCTTGACAGCAAGTTACGCACATCATGTGGCCAGCTCCATCTGCTGTGCCACCTGCGTGCGCCAAATCTTTCCCCTGTGGCTCCGTGGAGGGAACATTTTATTCGTTCTGTCCCCCAGCACCACCTGCGAGCTGTCATGAGTGGCTGGCAAACATCCTAGCCCATCGCAGTCTTCGAGATCTTCAAGGCCAACGTTCACCTTGCAGCGCCGGAGCAGACCGGCTGCTCTTCAGGCTCGGGGATGAGCATGTTTGTGATCATTACCTCTCCGATACACAACATTCGAGACAGCATAACGCAAGCCACCGGCATCTTACGTGTGAGCCCGCATCAGCGGCAGCAGTGTGGGGTTGGGTAAAGCTGGTGTTGCGGCCCAACCGCCCCAACGCAGTCAGTCTATCAGGTATGATTGGAGCTTCATACATGTGAACCCCAGACCCCTCACCTCCACCAGGTTTGCTGTCACCGTTACCAGGGCTGGATTCCTCCTGCGCAACCACTTTTTATGCGAGAAAGAACAAATCTCTCTCACAATTAGTTTTCCTGTATCCATCTTAGCTGACCCGAGGAAGGTTCCTTTCGTGCCGAATCATGGGTCAAACACCCCAAGCTTTTACCTCAATTTGCTATGACCGGACAAAACTCCTAGTCGGGCCACAAAAGCACCATTAAACAATTAACCTGGGTGATACGAACACAAGGGGTTGAAGATATTAAAGGGGGGACAAGGTTAGATAGGCTCAAGTTGGCATGGATGTATTTATAGATATGGAAAATTAAATTGCCCATTTCGAAAGGCGAGACATGTGTTGCTGACCCCATTCCAATAGACCACATAATGCGGATGAAAGACGGATCACTTGACTTCGCCCTGGACATCTGCATTACAGTGGACTCACTCCAAGCATGAGCTTACCCCCTCTTGGTGCAATGTTAAATCGGTCGTCCATCTCCATGTCGCCCTCGCCCATCTCGCTCGACAAAGACAATCGAGCCACCCGGAGAATCTCGCTGACCCCGATATAGAGCTCACACCATGCCAGGTTCTGCCCAATGCAATTTCGGCGTCCTAGACTGAAGGGGGCTGATAAAGAGTTAGCATCATAATGGAATGGATACAGCAGAGGGTGAGCGACTTACTCAAGGCGGCCTCCATGTCCTCGAGATCTGACGACTCTAACCACCTTTCCGGCCTAAAGGCCTCCGGGTCTGGGAAGATGACGGGGTCCCTGTGGTGGACGTAGTTCTGCATTCCCACAACAACTCCAGGGGGAAGCTCCATGCCATTGATGTAGATGGGCTGGTCGAGTACTCGTGGCAGCGTCGAGATGATGGTCGGATAGAGTCGCAGGGTCTCTTTGATGACGGCGTTCAGATACGATGCCCCGCGCAGTTCAGTCAGGTGATCTGTACCAGATAATGTCATCACTTCTTCCCGGAGGCGGTCCTGCACGTGTTGATTCTGAGGCTGGGAGATGGCATAGAGGAGATAGGTCAGGGTTGAGGACGTGGTACCGCTTCCAGCCAGCATGATGCCCATTGCCTCCTCGACAAACTCTGCCTCGCCGAGTTGACGTCCCAGCCAGCCATCGACTCCATCCCTGAAGGGGGCCAAAAGGTAGTCCTGAATATCCTCCGAGTCCTTCCGGTCCAGATATTCCCGCACCATCTGACGGCTGCACTCGTGCCAGTAGTTATGCGCCCTGTAAGCCGCCCCTATACGTCCTGGCATCTTGGTGCTCCAGCTGGCGTCTTTCAGGGGCGGGAAGATGGAATTGAAAATGAATCTAGGACCACTTGTTTCCATGGCCCTGAGGACGGACAGCGCACTGCTGCGGCTGGCAAAGTCCTTGGCAAATCCAGCTGCGCAGACGAGCTCGAAGCTGAACAGAGCACAAAGTTCGTACGCATCCACGGTCCCGCGCCGCGAGGCAGCCGCGTCCGAGAGAAAGCGGTCTGCTAGAAGCCGGGACTTGCTCCGTATGATATGTTCCAGCTTGTGCATCGACTGCAGGGAGTACGGCGTCGCCACGAGCTTCCTGCGCGCTGCGTGTTGTTCCCGGTTGACCATCTGGAAGATGTTGTCCAGGCCCGTGAAGGAGGCAGCACCGTAGAAGCTAGGGTCCTTGTGACTGGCCTTTGGGTTCGAGTAGATGGTTCGGTAGTGTGTCGAATCTGCCACGGAAACCTCGCCGGGGGCGACTCGCACCACAGGGCCGTACTTTTTATGCAGCTCATACAGCCATTGCGCTCGTCGGCCCTTGAAAGCAGCAATGCTGAGTGGCAGCCCCGTCAGCCGCGAGAAAAACGGTCCGGGTAGACGTCGCAAATCTCCAAATGCAAGAATTGTTATGATGCGTACAAACAGAGCAAAGAGAACGGCTACAACAAGGACGGTTGCTTGCTCGCTGGCTGTTTTCTGCCGCAGCTCGGAAATGACTGAAGATGCAGGAGCCATCGGGACAGCTCTGGATTTTCTTGAGGTTTAGTGGTATGAGGTTTACTAATTCCGCCAGTCTGCCAGGTGCGGTTGTTATACAAACAGAAAGAAAGAAAGAAACAAACAACATGTTCTACATCTTTACGCACAGGCTCACTGCTCGGTACTCAAGGAGACTTGTCCGGCCCCACCCCCTCCCGTTCCTGATGGTCTTGTCACGTTTTAGGCCGCTATACTATAAGGACAAAAGTAACGCCACTAATGCACAATATACCCGGGTCCTTACATACGCGACAGGTCTCCTCCACGGATTTACAAGGCGGGCGTCAACTTCTCCAACCACTTACGCGCACCCCAGACATGGAGGCTAGCCTTTGATTTCGGGTCGCGCAACAGCTGAGAACGCGCCGGGCGGAAGTGTTACAATGCCGTGCTTCAAATCAGCAAAGGTGTTCTCACGTTTTTTCTATACAGCTCTTGGGACCGTGTGGGAATCATCATTATTAGCCGCAGGCATGGTCTTTGAGCGATATCGAAGCTACGGCCGTTTCATAAATGCAGAGTTGAAAGACGGCAAGGTGAGTGAGTGTGTGCTCGAATTGTCCTCCTGTCCCCACTGCCTGGGTGCATGTGGGGCCGAGCTGCCATGAGGGTGGGTCAACTCCATGCCTAATAAGTCCGCCTCGGACTTGATTAATGCACACGGACTGTAACATGTTACCGTTCGGCTCATTGCTTACCCGCTAAGCATCAGTGAGGAAGGCTGGAGTCGATTCTTTTGTGCGGAAGAAAGGACAAGGAAGAACTGATCTTGGAGCACACTTTTGGATCCACTATCAGCCTCTCGCTTCACAACATGAAGCTGGTGATGATTCGCAAAATTGCATTGATACCAAAACGAAGGTCATTTCCTTAGTCCATCTTTCTCACATATTCCACTGGGCCGTCGTAGTGTTTCTTCCCCCAGAACATATAATAGACGGTAGAAAGCAGGATGACCGCGCCATAGATCAAAATGTTCCAGTTCATACTGGCTGCATCGGGGTGGGGCGAGGAAGGGAAGAATGCCAGTATGAAGAAGAAGACCAGGAATGCCATCGAGATGATGTTGACGAGCAAGCCCCACCTGCCCAGGTTGAACTTCGATTGCAGCAGAGGTTGGTTCGTACAGCGGCGCCATATCGTACAGCCGATCGAAACAATGTAGCTGGACAGCATGGCGTTGATTTGCAGGCCGGTAATGGAGTTGAGGGCAGTTGCGGACCCAAGATTGATCAGAGACAAGGCGCTGGTAAACACGAAAGTGAAGATGAGCGCGTTAAAAGGGATGTCCCACCCCGGCCGGACGGTTGCGAACCATGTGCTGAAGGGGAGGCCCTTGTCTCGGGCAAACGCATATAGCTGACGGGAGCTTGTGGCGACAAAAGTCAATAGCCCAAAGAAAAACATTATCGTGATGAAGACAGACATGGCGGTTGCTCCTCTCGTTGACCGGACCGCGTTGTAGAATACCTGCATAAATGGATATCCTATTCAATGATAGTCAGTGTCTGTGGCTCCTCTGTACGTATATTATATGAAAGTAGAGGTAGAGATTTCGCACCTGTCGGGCTGTTGAGAACTTCTTCACGATCTCCGACGCAGAAGCAGAACGTGATAATCATGACCCACGCCAGACCGCCATTAACAACGGTTGTCCAGATCATACACTTCGGGAGCGTCTTGCCGGCGTCTCTCAGCTCCTCAGACATATGCACGGCGGCATCCCCTCCGATGAGAGGGTAAATCCCACTGGTGATACCAATGAGCGCGGAACCGCCGAGGCTTCTCCAACCGCCACCGTCGCTGAACTGGGTGAAAACTTGCTTGGGTGAACTGTTTACCGGTGCCAGTACCCAAAGCGTAACCAAGATACCGAAAAAGGCAAAGATGTGGATGACAAGAATAATCGCTTCGATCAGGGGCAGCTTCCTGGCCAGGACCTGGGACAAAGTCAGCAACTCATCCAACACCAGACCCGTGGAAATAGCATCCATCTTTCGTACCGTGTTAAACAGGATTGCAAATGCAGAGACAGCGATAGTGAGAAGAGTCCCATGCCAGCGCTCATAGGAATATGCCGGGTTGTTCAATGCGATGAGCCCCTGGATCTGCGTGCCGACAAGATACGCGCCCGAAGTGCAGCCGACTTGCCAACCCAAGACACAAAGCCATCCCATAAGGTAACTAATGAACTTCTGGTAGTCTCTCGGGGCAAATTCTGACACCCAATGATATCTGCGTGTTTGTTAGCAGTTTGAAGCTGGTTGCTTGTGCATAACTGTAGACGTACTGGCCTCCCACAGTGGGCATCATTGACCCCATCTCCGCCCTAGAGAAGTCCGAGTCAGTAGACCGGAATTTGAGGATGTTTTCGAGATGTCAAGATGCGAGGGACACACATTGACGTGTTGATGAAGATGAACGCAACCCAACAAATGAAGAACATCCAGATCAAACCCGCAGTACCGCCATTGACAAGGCCGATGTTGGAGACACTGCACGCATAGTCTTAGTCGTTTTCTCTGTGTCTTCAAGCAGTATGATCTACAAACCTAATGATGCTTTCCCATGATGCCATAAGGATCATAGTAAATCCAAACATGGAAACGAAGCGGAAGTTTCTCTGCCTCCCGTCAACATCTTCAATGGCACCACACTTGGACAATATCAGAGTCACGAACCCTCAGCTCCTGCTTCTTTCCCATCCGAAACATGTTGGCCCGGTCGTCAGAGGTGCCAGTCTTGTCGTCCACGGCACTGCCGCTGGCGAGTGCCTGGCGGAGGCTCAACTCGGCCGACTCATTCTCGACTTGCGGGCTGGTCTTCGCATTCGAGGCCATCTTGGTAGCGTCCGGTTGCTCTGGTTGATCACTGGCAATAGTTTGCCACGACTCAGGCCAGAGGAGGGTGCTGAGGTAGGCACCGCACCATTGAAAAAGTTGAGGGATCTTCAGGGGGCATATATGATATATCACTATCTAGGACGCGGAACGGACACACACAGGCACGTAACACTCCAATTGGGTTGGCTCGACTATCTGTACAGGGTTCGGAGACAGAAGCGAGCCTGCTGGACAAAGACCCACATGATAGTGCTGCCCAGAACCCATTTCAAGGGGCTTCAACTCTGGTACGGGGAAATCCACAAGCATCAAGTGCAAAATTGCGCCATACATATCGTTACTCGGGATCAGGGGTCAGCAGAAAATCGCTTGTTTCCGAAGATATCAGAGTGCATTATCACCCCTCAGGTGCTGTTCGTGACTCGATCACACAACTCATGAGGGAGAAGATCATTTACACTTGCCGGCACAGTCCTGATGGATGCCACCCCCTCAAAATTTTCGTCGCAGGTGCAAAGCCATCATAAAAGAGGGGATATGAAAACTGAAGTGTGACTACAACAATCCAACATGATCGCCAGGCTGACGCACTTTGAGCGATTTCATGCCGAGCAAGTGTGGAAAGTTTCCGCCAATGCCTCCACTCTTTAGAGGCTAGTAAGTATGGATACGGGGCCCCTCTTGGATTCAATCCACGAGGACTCAAATCGGGGGAGATGTCCGGAGCCACCTGCGGCATTCCGTTCTTTGACAAGTCGTCTTGCAACAGACTAATGCATGGTACCGTGGTTCCGGGCTGGGGAAATCATCCTATTGAAGCTCTCGCAATATAGCGACGTCCGAGTCCTCACACCTTTTGCGACAAGAAGAGACAAAGAAAAATCTTGGGCTCGGATGTTGCGAACTTCTTGAGCCTGATCTGCGATGTAGACCCATCAGCATCCTCCCAGCTGGAACGGACAACCATTTAAAGTTTGAGTGACTGGGGAATCGAGCACACGTGGGACGACCAGATTCAAGCCGATCGACAGCAGAAACCCCCACACGTCAAAATTTGGCCAGTGGGTTCCAAGCACAGGTGTGGCTAGCCTCCCGGAGATCCTATTCGCGAGCTGAAAGTTTTGGCTCAAAGTGCTCGAAGCTCCGGCTTCGACCACTTTCGATTGTCCCCGTGATCTGTCACAATATAAAAGCCTCCGCATAAGAGCATGGGGATCAGCGTTATGCCTGCATCGGTGAGCAAGAGTCCCCAGGTTCGGAAAGGTGCCGGGCAGAGATGTACGGGCCGCCCGGCCTCAGTACCACGGTCCGCCTGTCACGTTGCCTGGCAAAGCCCAGGATCAGTAATGGTCCGCCGCCAAAACACAGCTCTCTGAAGATTTCGTTGGACCATGGACCCGGCCCTGTCTTCTTCCTTCAATGTACGCAACGTGTCGGACTTATTATCTTGTCCAGACCTTGGTCGAATCACCGCACTTTTTAGCTTTCAATCTATCAAAGCCGTGCGTCGTGGCGCCAGCTTAAAGTTAAAGGCATGTCTACCTGGACCCAGGGACACAAGAGACGCGACCCGCTGTTGACTGGTGTGCGATAAGCGTCCGTCATCTCGCACGGTTGACCACTGTTGCCCCTACCTGTCTCCATCGTTCATATACGGTTCGGGGGGCCTCCACCGTCGAGCAGGGAAGGGCAACATGCTCTCTTGACAACTTCTCGGTTGAGAATAATGAACCCACGCGACTCTGACGGCGGTACTGTTGCATTTTCGCCAATCGAATACAACGACCATGCCGGCTACCTCTGGATCGTGACCATCTTGGGAATAATATACAGCAGCTTTTCAGGACTGGCTAGAGCTCGCATCAAAAAGGGTATCTACGGTGCTGATGATTACTTGATTGGCCTCGCCACGGTAAGCTTTACTATGAGTCGAGTTCTACATGCATCACCATGCTAATATTACGACTACGAAGCTATTGCTCTATGCCCAGTCAGCGGTAATTTTTCAGGGGCTGAAGAATGGTCTTGCCAAGTCAGAGGCAATCACGTCGGAGGACCGATGGCCTATTGCTGGAAAGGTACGATGTCTACCATACCACATGCTTATACACAAGCCGTCGATCAGACCTCGAATTCCCATGCTGAACCTCTGTCCCTCATAGACATTCTTAGCCTCCGAAATACTCTCAATAACAATACTTTGTCTGGCCAAATGTTCGGTTGCTTCCCTGGTCCGTCGAGTGTTCACGTTCGACATCGACAAAACATGGATAACCTGCATGGGGGTTTTGACCTTCAGCGCTGTCTGGGGTCTTGGATCTGTGGTCGGACTCGCGGTTAATTGTGACTCCGGAACGACACTGACGACCTCGCATCCTCGCTATTGTCCGGAACAGGTAGGTCGCCTAGATTGCACGCGGTTGCTTGGACAGTCTTGATCTAACCTTGGAACTTGTACCAGTTCCTCCGCTGGCAGATCATAACAGCGTTTGACATCATCACGGAAATACTCATCTGCTTCTTACCAGTCGTCTTCGTATGGTCCAACACCATGTCGCTCTGCCTAAAGTTCCAAGTCTTCCTTGCTTTTGCGTTCCGCCTGCCGTTGATCGCCTTGTCCGTGGCCCACCTCAGCCTGTTCGAGCAATACATCAAATCAGCTTCGCCACTATTCGAGATTTCCGGCAGTCTCCTCTTACAGCAAGTCACGCTGACCTACTCACTCATCTCCGCGACAATACCGAATCTCAAGAGCTTTATGAAGTCGTTTTCTACCGGGCTTGGCGTTTCATTCGGCTTCATGGAGAAGGACCTGGACACGTCTTCCGAGGCTTATGCACTCCAACCATTGACCACGCACTCAGGCAGGCGGAGAAATAAATCTCCTGGAGACTTCCCTTCCGGCAATAATTATGACGGGACTAATGGTCTCATGGGTTGGCAACAACCCAGATTACGACCCGGGTCGCTCCAACATGAGGTCGTCATCCATCACAGCCCTGACGGCACGTCGGATCGTGGTAGCAGTGCGACGGAGGATGGACGTGATGTCAGTAGATGTGGCAGTAGGGACATGATCATCAAGAAAGAGGTACAGTGGAATGTATATCACGAGCCAGCGTAGCACAGAATCACTCATTATATCTGTTCATTTCACATGAACCCTGACTTTCAACTTTGACATTTTCAGTCGGAAGGCTCGTCTTGTTGTCAATATGAGTCCAATCGTCCCAGTAAATCTTCCACCGTGGCATCTGCTCCAGAAACGAGGACGGTTTCCGGGTAAAACAGATCAGGCTCGTCAAATAGCTCACCCTGATCCTTACCCCAGAGCGTCCAGTCGAAGAACCCAGCAACAAGTGACGTCTCAACCTCAACCATCCTCTCGCCGCTTATGTTCCCAGTGGTAGTCTGCACGGGGGGGTCCAGCTCCTTCCAGAACGTTATGTCACTCCAGTCCTGGTGCCGAGTCCCGTTGACCTCTATGACGCGCCACCAGCTCGACTGCGCCTCGGTGTACGTGTCCCAACTCAAGTCGTAGTGGGTGCTAGCGTGTCCCTCGAAGCCGAGCAGCAGAGACGGGCGCTCGACGTCAGCAGCCGGGCTGTCCAGCTTCCCCAAGAACGCACCGTCCAGGTTGATGCCCGCAGGGACCAAGCTCTGGTCCACCCGCTGCGCAAACGCGAGGGCGGTCGCGCCGCCGACGGAGTGGCCGAACGTCCCAAATCTGTCCGTCGTGGACGCGAAACCGAGCTTCCTAGCCAGCTTGGGCCACGCGTCGATGAAGGCGAAGGTGTCGTTTATGCGGTGCTCGATTGCGGCCAGCGCCTCCTCGGTGCTCCAGACGTGCTCGAGCGGCGGTCCGTAGTACTCGCTGCCGTTGGGGTACAGCACGTATGGCTGCTCGTACGTGTGGTCCAAGGCGGCGACGGTGAACCCCTTGGATGCCAGCTCAGAGAGGAGGAGGGTGTAGCACTCGCAGGGCGGGCCTCCCAGGCCCGGTCCGAAAAGCAGGGTGGGCGAGTCGGAGCCTTCGTCCTGCAGCAAAGTCTCGGCAAAAGGTGCATCCCATTGCACCCGTGTTGTATAATTCCCGAGTGTTCCGCTTGGAAATTTGGAGGTACGTCTCAAACTGATTCGCGGTGACCTTTGTCAAGTACGGTGTTGTCCCTGGAACGTCTCGTTCTTGCAGTGTTGGGTAGAACAGCGTCACCAGAAAAGAGGTACTGACGTTCCCGGGGGCAAATACATCTGGCTCGCTGATGGCAATGACCTGTTTGGTTGCGCCGACGTTGTATTTGCCTGAATACGGCGGGATCTCCTTGGCCACAGCCGATGACAAAATACCCGACAGGGTGGCGAGCAACAGCAGGGCTCTGAGCCAGAGGCGATTTTGAGAAGGCGAATATGTCATAGTGAGCTTGAATGTAGTATACAATCGTCTGAAGTCCAAAGTAGACGGAGAGGAGATCGTTAACGTCTAAGTGTGATTAAATACATGGCATGGTGTGATCAATACAATACCAGGTGATTCTAGTGGGGGCATAAGCAGTCCAGCAGGATTCAGATCCCAGCCGCCATTTTCATACATTACCTTCCTCTTCGGGCGGTAATAGTCGAGTAGTCTCCCCTATGCAGTCAGCATATGGAGAATCCAGCCTGCCAGCACAGAAATCAGACGTTAGGTTGTGGAACAATCATCCTTCAAAGATTGCATCATTGGCCATTGTGACTTCAGTATTTGACTGCGGCCCGAGGTCTCGGAGAGCTCGGGAGGGCGGGGCCTCGGTCGTCTTCTGTGCAACCAATCATCCATGGCCGCATAAAATCAAGTGCTTGCTACCAATTTTCAGACAAGTATTGGGAGGCTCCGTCAAGAGAAGTTGCACGTCATCCGTTGCTGCTCAGATGTCCCTGAGTGACGGACGAGGTGAGCCTCAAATCGAAATCTCACTGAATCACTGTTGAAAGGCGCCAATCTTGCTGCCCAGGTGGTGACCCTAAACGGATGATTAATGGATCCCGACACCTTGATACTTGAATCTCGTCCAACGACTTTCCAACCAGATTTCAGCTCGGAAAAATGTTCAAAATACTGTAGGGCAGAAAGGCAGGCCAGGACATGCAGTCAAATTCCATACGAGTGCCCACATTGTGGCCTTCCAGAACCAAAGAAGCACGTAGGGTATGCAAAGAAATCAAAATGTAACTAAGCTTTTATTGAGGCTCTATCTAAGATGGCAAACGGTATCTTATGTGCTCCTACACATCCCCGCCCTGTGCTCTTCTGGCGTCCAGGTCTCTCAGCATCGGATCCATGGCCCTCTCTTCTGCAAGGATAGCATCAAACAACTCATTGTCATTCATACCATCGTAATTCGGCGCTTTTCTCGCTATGGCTGGTACTGATCGATGCTCCCTGCGGAGGCGAGGTGAAAGTGAACGATAGCGGTCATTTCGATGATAGTGGGAGCGACTGTGACCATAGCTACTGTGACTCCTCGTACGCCTTCGTGGTCCGTGTCGAGATCGGTGCCGGGATCGGTGTCGGGATTGGTGTCGAGGTCGAGGACGAGGTCGGGGCACAGGGTACTCGTGGTATATATATTGCGGAATTGGGCTTGGTGGTGAGCGTATCCCGAAGCATTGGCGCAAGAGACGCCCAAAGCCACCTCCACGTGCATGTATGCTCGAGGATTCTCTCTCGCCTTCATCCTGGGAAACGGTAGCGTTTGTGGTATCTGTGGTGGCCGACGTATGGCCGATATCCCCGTCATTCTCGGCAGTTTCTTCCTCGTTTGCAGGATCAGCTTGACTCTCTGGCTCGATTGTGTCACCTGTTTCTGACATTGTGACTGTATTGGATCTACCAGGGTACCTCGTCTCAGACAAAGAACGCTGTCTTTCACCAGTCGGGCATCGCGAATGGCGCCCGCGGACTCTGCCCGGCCCCTGCACCTGAATCTCGGTTCGAGAGTGGCGACGACGTCGGCCATCGGAATGGAACCAGCGACACCTGCAAGTAAATTATTAGTATCAGTGGCATTAGTACCTACCAAGGTCATCGAAGAGGCATACTACTTACCTTGGGCCACATAATGCATCATGTTTGGACCCGGTGGTTGCACGGACAAGCGCCCACTCTCGCGTTCTTGGGGTTGGACTCATTTTCATTTTAAGGTCAGCTGAAAGTCTCGGAGATTCTACGGTCCCATAAGAGGGAGTCTAGTAATGGCCTTGATATAAAGGCGAGAAGAGCCAAAGTTACCCGTCGCCTCGCCGAGTCACTTGGAGCAAGCGAACCTGGTCGTGGACTCAGTCACAGTCGCCACAGGAAAGGCAGGTAGGCGTGCAAAGGCTTGAACAAGCTTATTTGGAATCATTAGTGAAATTTATTTGCTACGTTCGATTTTAAAAGTCTTCACTAATTCGTTCGATTGTGGTTTGCTTTCTGTGCAACAGTAGCTGAACATTGTCGGTGCGCACATAACACGCTCTTGAGCACAGAACAACCTGTGGAAGGGCGTTCCGGTCAAAGTTCGAGAGGTGGAAGCCCGTACATGACTAGCAGTTCTGTGTTCGAAGTGACTGTCGCCTGAGCGCTATTGAGTGGGTTGGAAGGGGGATGGATGTGAGTGAGCACTTGAGCCTGGTGTGATCAAAGCCCGCACGCGGGCATCTTCTGATCGACTCGCTTGCAAGAGCCAGAAAAAAACGGATGCAGAGAAAGATATTTGAGACGAACTCCCCTGATCGTCACCGTTGTTGGAGTAACGGTCACATCAAGGAGTAATTCAGATACACCTTTGATCGAAGCATGTCCATTGTCGGGGCCTTCGTTATTTCGAAGTACTCAGCCTGCCTTGCATTCCAGCCCATCCTCGTCATTTTCACTTGGTAGAAACCATTCAAAATTGGTAAGGTGTTAGAAAACAATAATGAGAAGTTTTTCAGTTGTCTGAGGCCACAGACGGCCCAGCGTCGGTCCAGACGCAATCGTGGTCTCATGGCAGGAAGGATACTTGTTGAATCAAGCGGGGAATGCGTTCAAGACATTTTGAAGCAAGGTAAGTATGCATTCGGATTTTCGCAAGTGGATGTTTTCAGAAACGGGGCAATAGATTGCAAGGAGGACGGGTCCCAACGATTCATTCACAATAAAGTGAACACAGTCATGTTCTGGAGCAGTATCCGAAGCACTCAGATTAAGAGCAACGGGAGCCAGGGACCATCGATGCATGTCAGGGGCTGTCGCCGCCGAATATAGGAATACAGCTGAGGGTCATACTGATCGACGACGGCCCACTCGAGCCGACGCCCGCCACTTCGGATGCACCCACATCTCAGATAAATCCCTGTGGGGTCCCCGAACAAGACCAAGGTGAAATCAAGATCCATTGTGGCCAAGCTTTGTGTTTCGAAACACTCCACCAACCCATCAAGCCATGACAGACGCTTGAATTGAAAGCTTAGTATTTGTATTGCTGGGATAAGAATAGGAGGAACAGCGGTGCTATTCAGTCAGTGTTGCTTCAGGACAGGGATGCGTCAGCATTGCAGCCCGGCAGCCCCATGGTGATTGCCGGCAGGAACGTATTGTGGGTGGCATGGGTGCGTGTCGTAGAAACTGATAAGGCACAGAAGCGGATCTGAACCCATGGCAATGACAGGAATCGAGGCGTGGGTTTGTCGTCAGGCATTCGTCTGCCTGAAGCGGTAGGTGGGCGGCAATCCCGAGACCGGATTACCAACACCAAGGACACTGAAGTACTATCCCTGGCCACCCAACCAGGACCATTACAGACATTACTCGGGGAGAATGAGTCCCTCGTTGGCCACATCGACCGTTCTTGGCCTCCTGTCACTCACTTCCGTGACCAATGCTTCGACTCTTGCCCGCCGAAATGCAACAGCCACATGTACATCACTGAACCAAAGGAAGGCTTGGTAGGGAAATTCAAGCCCCTAGCATGTTATGATTATACTAGAAGACTGACTAGTTGAGATTAAAGGCACACCCTGACTGATGATGAGAAGGCGGAATATATCCGGGCCGAAAAGTGTCTGATGTCCCAGCCAGCCCAGCTGGGCATCAACGGACGCCAGTGTGTTCGGCTCATATGATCTCAGCTTTGGCTCCAACGGCCGTGAGGGCGACAGGTGTGTGGTTGATGGGCCGTTCGCCAACTCGACGCTCCGCCTTGACCAGGCTTGGGGTGTCATAAACTACGACGAGTACTGCCTGGACCGCAACTTCACCGAGTCCTACTGGTCGTGGGCAAATAGCACTTACGCTGATACGTGCTTCGCGGCAACGACGTATGGCGACGCGTGGAGTTGTTACTCCGTGAAGCCTCTCAGCTCTGCTCACCTGGCTGTTTCCGGAACGGTCAGTATTCTATCCCACCTACTCTGGCATTTTCACCACTAACCACATTGCTGACCATATGAGTAGCTCGAGCTCCAAAGCGCCAGCCCTGGAGACCCTCTGTTCTACCTGCATCACACTAACATCGACCGTCTCTGGTGGGAGTGGCAGCAAGCAGACTTGACCTATCGTCTCACTGATATGGGCGGTCGTAACGTTCCGAGGGACGACCATCTGCTGAAGAACGAATGGATTGCTCCTACTGCCGCTATCCTTGACTACGATGGGGACGATGGGAACGTCACAACTTTGAACCATGTGATTTGGATGTTGGATATTCTGGGGAACGTCACTGTTGGAGATGTTATGGACATCAGGTGCGATACGATTTGCGCCGAGTACATACATGAGGATGAATGAGCCTGCCTTGTAACAAAAAAAAAAACATTATTGCTAGGCTAATTATACTATTGTAATGAAAAATTCTAATTATTATGCTTCGGAATCCTGAAGAATCTGCATAGCTTTCTTGCAACCTGATTTCAGCAGAATTGTGTTGTCTCTGCGCAGCGGCGTGGTGCACAACTACTCCCCGTTGAACATACATTAACATTTTTCTTGCACGGCCAACTTCTGGTGGTTGGGAAACAATATCAAGGCTAACCTTTGGAGCGCAGAGAGTGTGGCGTCGAGAGCTGGTAAAAGCCAATGGCAACCGTCTGCGCGAGTTGAGGGTGTGAGCTAGTAACGACGCCAGGTCCAAATGACATCACTCTTCACACATGGGGAGTCACAGTAGCAGACCGTGGCTCACCCCAGAGCGTTTCCCACTTAAATGCTGGACAGTTCCCAGACCGTCTACCAGGAGAGCCACACCTCAGCCACATCAAGATCCCTCCAGCTTACCTACCTGCCTATAATTCATAGCATCACGATGCCCAAGCTCACTTATCAGGTTGAGAACGCCCCAGGCCGGATATACGGCAAGAACTCCAACGAGCTGGTGTTCAAGGAGCCAAGTAGAAATGCCGTTATTTACAGCACATCTACCGAGACTGGCTGGGTGAAGAGCGCAAAGAAGCATCTCTGGCGTGGCCAGCCAAGCGAGAAGGACGGCGGCATCTGCATCGCCACCATCGATGAGCCAAGCCATGCAACGCTGGCCGTGCACCCCTCCCGGACGGCCGAGGCAGGAGCCGAGGAGGCAGAGTCGTCGCCGGCGGACGAGAAGGCGAAGCTGAAGCTCAAGAGCACCTGGTTCGGGAGCAACAACCGCACCGTGACGTTCAGGGACGTCACGTACACGTGGACGGGGACGTCCAAGATCACAGATAAAGACGGCAAGGTGGTCGCCAAGATGGCGAAGCCCTGGTTCTATCAAGGAAAGCTTGGCGACCTAGAGATCGACGTCGACGAGGGCGACGAGGGCCGCGAGGTTCTGGAGATGGTTCTGGCCACATATGTCCAGCGCTGGTGGGAAGAAAAGGCCAAGGCGGTGAAAGCCGCCGAGGAAGCAAAGGAGCAGAAGGCCAAGGAGAAGAAGGCCGCGCAGGTAGTGGCAAAGTCGCAGAAGCAGCAAGAAAAGAAGGAAGGAGATAAGAAGAAGGCAGAGGCGGAAACGCAGGAACCAAGTTTGTGATGGGTATGCCCCAACGGTCAAGAACTTGAACCACCCAGGCCCTAATATGAAGTCAGGACAAGAAGCTTAACAAAACCATTTTCTAATATCGCCACCAAATATTAGTATTTAGCCCAATTTCTTATTTAATAAATCCAGTCTGATTCATCATTGGTCTTTGCCTGAGTCGATAAGAACGACGTCCGATGTATTAGAGGTGCCAGTGATAAAGCAAATTACGCAGGTGAATCTACACACTTCACCCCTAGGTCTACACCATTTTCTCGTGCTACTTTGTAGTCCCTCGGAGCTGGCAACCTACGTAGATTGGTTATGTTGAATCCAGCGTTGTGATACTGACAGCTCTCTCCCTTTCCTAATGTCCTCTGGTAGACAGACCGCCATGGTCAGACAACAAGAAGGCTCGGGCCCTGCTCCTCTCACCATGGCGTCTTGGGCGGATTGCGGGAAGTTCAGCGTAGACGAACTTCAAAATTCAACAATAAAAATGAAAGAAATGGTATGAAAGCGGGAGGAGTATCACATAAGTATGAAGCAGCTAGAGGAAAACAATATGCACAAGCAAGACGCTTTTCTCAAGCAGAAGCCAGCCCGAGAAACCCCCTTTAACTCCATTCAAACCGTATTGCAGCAATGCGTGAAGCCAAACCCATTCACTCATCAGATCGGATGTGCGCGCAATCTGTGTGAACAAGATGCAACATCAACGCCCCAGAACCCACAAGCAGGCCAGTTGGGTGTCCCGACCCGCTCACCAGTATCTGCAGCCGTCCATATCACCTAATGAAGATGAAGGTATTTACCCCGCCACCTTGACATCCTGACCGTGTTCCGAGGCTCCCGAGCCCGAGGCCGGCGGCGCGGGTGCTTGCGGGGCCTTGCCATTCCCGTTGCCCTCGTTCGTAGGGAAATAGCTGCGGTCATAGCCGACGGCCTTGACGATCCCCAGTCCTTTTGTCCTTCCCTCGCGGAACAGCAGGCGGTCACCGGGAGCGAGGTACTCAGGCCTCTGCACGAATTTGAACGCCACCGTCGCACGGTCACCTGTGCGGATGAATGGTCTGTCCACGTCGATAATGGAGCAGGTCTGGCTGACAGGGCCGACGTGCAGCATCGCCTGATACTTCTTCTTGATGGTTGTGGCGTGGCTGAGGATCAGCACCTCGGCGACAAACTCATTGTACACCCTCGGTGTCGGGGCCCCGTCGGTTGGTTTCGGCAGCACGACCATGCCTTTCCTGACGTCTTTCCTCTTGACCTTTTTCAGCGCGAAGGAAGCGCTCTGGCCGGCGCTTGCGGCTGGCACAGGAATCCTTTTCCGCTCGATGGAGCGGATGGAGCTTTGGGTGAACTGGCCCAGGCTGTCGGGCCCGATGACAACGCTGTCACCGGCATGGACGACACCAGACTTGATGATACCCGAGACGACGGTTCCGACGAAAGGCACGGAGAAAGTGTCATTGACGTGAAATTCAAAAGGTGCATCAGCGTCGTATCTGTAGCGAGCGTTAGCATACTGGAGCGCATGTCGGAATTCGAGGTAGATTCACCTTCCGTGGTGCGGCAGGATGTTTAGAAATGTTCGTACTAGGTCCAGATTCTGGCCAGTAACATTGGACACCTGGAAGATGGGAGTGATACGCTGAGACACAAACTGGGTTGCGGTATTAATGCATTCGTCGCGGTCGTTGATGAAGATTGGGATCTTCCTTGCACCCGGAGACTTCAGAATCTTGGTGATTTGGGTCAAGGTCTGCTCGAGGATTTGAGGCGGGCAGATATCGATCTTGGTGACGACGACCATGACGGGCACGTTAAGCGCCAGTGCGATACCAAGGTGCTCTTTGCTCATTCCTATCAGACCATTGTTGGCTGCGACCATCAGCAAACAATAGTTAGGGCTGCTGGACAGCAAGCCGAAGACGGTGGTCCGGAGGTATCGCTCGTGACCGGCAAGATCGGTGAAGGTGATGACCTTTGCGCTGCGCTTCCCAATCTCCTCCCACGACAGCTTTCGACCCGGCGTGTCGCTGGTAATGACATTGCCGTGAGTATCGAAGCCCATGATCTCCATGCCCACAGAACTGGTCCGGCCGGTCTCGATCTCGTGCTTGTGTCGGAACAGGTTGACTCGAGCCTTTCCTCGCCCGTCGTCCAGGTCGCCCTTGACCAAGACTCCCAGCATGGAGCTCTTTCCAGCGTCGACATTTCCTACTACTGCTATTCTCGTCTCGATGACGTTCTCGACAGTAGCAGGAGTTTGGCGGATGAGGATCTTGGCACTGCAGTCCTTGCCCTTGTCGGAGGCGGCAGCCTGGCTCTCAGCGTCACCGCCGACGTTCTTGGACAGGAGTAATTGGCAGTCTGCCTTGAGTTTTGTGGCGGCCTCCTGCAGCCGACCCCATGCCTTGTCCCAGCCCTCTTTGTCGAGATGCATCGACTCGCCGTTGTGCTCGAAGCCGATGTCGAACAATGTCTCTCCATGTCCCTCCTCTATCCGCGACGTTAATAGTTCGACAAGCTTTTGTAATGACTCGTCGTCGGTTCCAAGGAGGAGCTTGTGGAGAGGGGCTAGAGGGGCCTTGTCGGAAAGGTCGAGGGCGTCAAGGATGTCGTCGAGCTCTGCTTCGTGGTCGTCTTGGGCGGCAGCAGCAGCCGCCGCTGTTGTTGTTGGTTTGGCACTGGGGAATCTGATTGCTTGTTGCTTCTCGACGTAGTCAGCGAAGTCGCTCAAGGCAGCCTCGCCTTTCCGCCGCTCCTGTGGTAGTTTCGTAGATTTTGTAGTCGCCATCGTGTCTTGAGGCACTGGTGGTGGGCAGCTGGTCAGTCTGTGTGTCCCACAGTTGTCTGAGGGGGCTCGACGGTGCTTTCAGCCGAGGAAGAGGGAGAACGCTGCCTCTAAGCAATGCTCTAGAGCTGCTTCCACTTTGAGGCGGGCCATCGCAATTGCGCGTGCCTGTGGGGCGTAGACTTGGGCGTGGGCATGAGCGCAGGCGTACCTCTGGATTAGTTGTGGCGATGTATTCGGGTGATCATTGATGCTGTGCTGTTGCTGCCAGGAATGGGGGATGCGGGGACAATCCCATTGATCAAGATTCCGCTGAAGACCACTATTTATGTGGTAGTGATGACTGTTCTCTCGCACCGGATGATTTGGTGTGCTCGTTGGTTGGACTGCTCGCCGAATGAGCAATACAATTGACAGGTGAGGTGTTGGCCTTGGAGTGGGCTTAGACAGGACCCTGGCGTGTGACGACGTCGAGTCATAGATGGGCCCGACAGGCGGTGCCGCGCATTTGAGAACCAAGCTACCTCGCTAACCCCTCGCATACTCTTATCGATAAGGGCCCACCTGAGTAAACCCAACTATAAAGCTATGGGTTTATCTTAAAAGTTTAGGTGTCCTTTTACACGCATGGCCAGGCCTGCGACCTAGTTATAATATAAAGGCATAGCCTCCTTACTTATGTTAAGTGGGAAGGCTGCATTAAAGAATTAATTATTATAATATATAATGCTAAGCTAAGGATATGCATAACTTAATATAAATTCTTTACTTATTTTAAATAAAGAGTTTATGCTTTATAATAAAATTATAATTAATATAATTATTAAGCTAAATTTAAATATATATAAAGAATATTTAAAATTAAAATATAAAAAAAGTTAAACTTAAGTATTACTTTATATAAAAGCATAAAAAATACTTTAAAAATACTTTATAATATTATTATAATGCTTTTTATTTATACTTTTAAAAATTATTATTTAAGTTTTTATTTTAAATAAAAATTTTATTAATATAATTATTATTTTTTTTAAGGCAAAATTTATTAAGTTAAATATACTTAATTAAGAAATAAAATTAAAAAGCGCTTTATATATTATTAATTACTTATATCTTAATTATTAATAATAATACTTAAAAGTATAAAAATTTAATAAAAAATATAAAATTAAATTATAAAATTTAAAAGATTATTAACTTATTTTTATAAATTATAATTATTTATAAATATAAGCATTTATTTAAAGGTTAATTTATTAAATTATAAATAATTATTAATAAAGATTTTATTTATTAATGCTATAAATATAATTAAAAGTATAATTAAATATTTTTTAGCTTATAAAGAATAAATAAAAGCTATTATAGCTTTATTTAAGGGTTAAAATATTATATTTATTATAATTATTAAGTATAAAAAGAATACTTTATAATATATATTTATTATACTTTAAAAGAAAATTATTATTTATTTTATATCTTTAATAAAGCTTAAGAAAAAGTAAGTTAAAAATATTATAAATAATATATAAGATATATATTTTATTTAAATTAATATTAATTTATATATATAAATAAGTTTAATAACATAATATTAATTAAAATAGCCTTTTTATTAAATTTAAGTAAAAAGTTTATTAAATAATATAATATTAATATAATTATAAAACCCTTAAATTTAAAAATAAATTAAAAAAGGTAATTTTATATATATTATTATAAATTTAAAGTAAAGATAAAATTACTACTTTAAGAAGCTTTTTTATAACTTAGCATTTAATAGCTAAATAGGCATAATTATTATTAATAAAAATATATATAATTATTATATAAAGAAAGAGCTTTTAAATTAATTTTTCTTTTATTTATTAAGTTAAAGAGTTAATACCTTGCTAAATATTATTATTTACTTATATAACTATTTTTAATTATATAAATTAAGATTATATTTTTAAGTATATAAGCCTAAATATTAATAATATAAAAATAATTTAAATATTAATTAATTATTTTAAGCTTTTAATAATTATTTAGCTTTTTATTTATAAATATATAAAAGATTTTTAATGCTTATATTTCTTATTAAATAATATAAATTTCTTTAACTTAATTGCTATTATAAAGAGTTTAATATATATTAATAATAAAAATAAATTATTATAAGCTTATAAGTTACTTATTAAATATCTTTAAAAATATTATAGCTTTAATATTTAATAAATATTAAACTTTTTAAAATGCTTTAATATAAATATTTATAAGCTAAATTAAGATTATATATTTATAAAGTTTAAAAAGCTAAACTTTAAATATTAAGTAATAATTTTAATTATATCTTTTAGCATTAACTTAAATATTAATAATATTATTATTATTATATAATTTAACTTACTATAATAACTTAATATATTTAACTCTTAATAATATAATAAATATAAAATAAAAAAATAATAATCTTAAGGATAGTTTATTATATTTACCCTTATTTATTAATTTAATTACTTAAGTATAAAGAAAAAGTAAATATATTAAACTTAATAAACTTAATTATTTAATACTTTTTAATATAAATAAATATATTAACTTACTTAGCTTAATTATTTTTATAAAATAATGCTAATAATAAATAATATTATTAATAAAGATAATAATAAAAGTAATATATAAAGTATTATAAATATTAAGTTTTAAATAAGCTATATTTTTAATGTTATTATTAATCTTATAATTAAGATAATAAATAACTAAGCTTTTAGCATTAAGTTTTAAAACCTTTAAAATTTAAAATTAATAAAATAATTTTAATTAAAAATAAAGATATAAAATATATTAAATCTTAAGTATAAGGCATTCTTAAACTCCCTCTATTTTTAAGAGTATATTATAGGTTTTCTTTAAAAGCTAGATAATCTTATATTAAAATATAAGCAGCTTATAAATGCATTAATTTGCTATAATGGCTAAGCTTATAAAGATTATAGCTTAATATTTAAGCTTTTAATAGTTAACTTTAACTAAATTAATAAAAATATAAAGCTATATATTAATTCTATTTAATATATAGCTTTTAAAATTCTATCTTTATAATGCTTTATTAAAGTTTAGGATTTAATACTAAAGGTAAGCCATTAAGGCTTAATTAACGATAAGATATTTATAAAAGATATAATATAATAGGCTATTAATTATCTTTATTAAAAAACTTAAGCAAGAAAAGATTAATTTAAGAAGGTTACTTTTTAAATAAATAGTTTTAAGCAGCTTTTAAAAAAGGTTTTTACCTTATAAGCATAAGAATTTCTTAATTATAAAGGCAGTATTTTACTTAGCTTATTAAAAAACTTTATCTTAATAATTTAAAAAAAGGTAAATATTTTTATTATAATTAAATATAATAAGCATTTAACTAAAAAGGTATTAAAAGATATTAAAGCTATAAAGCAATTAAATATAAGTTTATAAATAAAATAATAATAAGTTTAATTTTAATTATATTAACTTAATTAAAGTTAATAAACTCCTTACTATATTTTAATAAGGAGCTTATATAGCTTTATATTTATAGCTTAAAATGCATTACCTTTATTCTTAATATTTATTATTCCTTTCTTAGCAGTAATAATAATAATAATAGTATTAATAATAGCAATAATAATAATAATAATTAATTTATTATAAATCCCTTAATAATATGCATTTATTTAATTATTAAATTAATTATTTATATAACAATATCTTATAATTTTAAAGTAGTTAATAAAGAAGGCAACGGAAAAGGTAATGGCATAAATAATAGCAACTTAAGTATATCTTACCCTTATAGTTATATTAATATATATTAAATAGGTATTTAGCAAATAAGGAACTATTAATTAGCTTAAAGATATATATAATATTAATCTTATTCTCTTAATTAGGCATCTTTAATAATTTCTCTTAATACTTATATAAAACTATGTTAAGATAAATATTTTTATAATAGCTATGCATTATTTAATAATAAAGCTAAATAATTAGCTTATTAAAAAGTTATTAAATTTATTAATAATTAATAAGCTTATTAATAATAATTATTGCTATATAAATAATATAGCCTTTGCATTAAGCTTTACCTTTAATATATTTCTTATTAATAAAAACTTAATTATAGTTTTTTATTAAGTTATTAGCTTATTTAGCCTTGCTTATAATAAGTATTATTAATAATATAGCTTGTAATAAGGTTGTATAAAGGCTTTTAATATTAGTTCTATATTTTTAATTTTAAAAGGTACTTATTTAAACTATATATATAATAATTAAGCTAAAGATTATTAAATTATATTATAGCTAGCTATTAATATATTAATATTTTAATTTATTTAGCTTACTTAGCCTTTTATTTATAAGCATTAAATATATAATATTAAGGGAAATAAAGAAAAGAAAGAAAAAGAAAATAATTATAATATAGGCTTTAATGCTATATTTAATAAGGATTTATACTTATTACACCTTTTTTTAAGTTTAGCTTAAGCGTTTATTTTAATTAATAATTAAGAGCTATTTATTAATTTAAATATAAAGGCTATAAATATTAATAAAATTAAAGGCATTTTAACGCCTTAAAGTTAAAAATAGCTAAAAGATTATTCTTTAAGTTTTAAAAGAATAGTAAAGCTTAATAAGTTAGCCATTATGCTAATTTATTATTATTTATAAAAAGTTATAAAATAAAAGGAGGCTTATAAAAGTAAGCTTTATTAATAAATACGGAATAAAAAGAGCAAATTACCTTAACTTAATGCTATATAAAGCATATAAAAGGGAACTTAAAAAGCTGCATTACTATATAAATATATAAATAGTATTTATAATTAGCATTTTATTTTTTATTTTTTTTATATTTACTTTTTATAATTAAGAATATTAATTAATTTGCTTAAGTAAGATATAATGCTTATTTAAATAAGCATAGTTATTATAATATTTAGCTTGCTAAGTATATAAAGATTACTTAAAGCTATTATAAGAAATTAATAATAAAAATTTATATTTAAGTATATAAGGGTTAGCAAACTCCTTACTTAACTTAAATAAGGAGTTTATTAATGCTTATAGCTTTATAATATATTTACCTTATCTTTATATATAAAGATTATTAAAGGTTATTAAAGAGTAAATCTTATAAATTAATGCTTTAGCTTATTAAAATTTATAAACTTTTATTTAAATTAAGTAAGGAATTTATTAATTTTAAAATTTAAATAATAAATTTATAAGTTTTAATAAATAGCTAAGTTGCTTAAGATAGCTCCTTTTATATAAATAAATTACTTTTTTTCTTTTATAATAAATACTTAAATAATATAATAATAATATATTTTATATAATTTAATCTTTAATTTATTATATATTTATAAGGATATATATATAATGGAATTTAAATATAGGGGGTTTTAAGTTTAATTCTTAATTTAAGCAATTATTTTTAATACTTTTATATACCTTCTTTTTATATATATATACTTATTTCCCCTTTTTTATAATTCTTTTTCTTCTTAAAGTATTTTAAAATAGCAATAAGAAGCGTTAATATTTTAAGTATATATACTTAAATTCTTTCTTTTATAATTCTTTTTTTTATAATCTTTTTTTTTATATTTTATACTTATTAATTTATACTTTTAATATAATACTCTTAGTAATTCTTTTCCTTTTAATAGTCTTCCTTTTTATTTTTATTATCCTTCTTTTTATTCTCCCTTAAAAGAGATTAAGTTTATTTATTAAGTACTTATAAAGCTAAAATAAGACCTAAAGCTTGCAATCCTTCTTTTTATTTTTATTATTTTCTTTCTTCTTATTCTTATTTTTATAAAGAAAAGGGTGCTTTATAAGTAAGTGCTTATTACTTTTATTACTTTATAATATAATAATAAAGATACTTAAAGGTATTTAATAATAATTAAGGGAAGTTACTTTATTTTAGCAAACTCTTTACTTAATTTTAATAAGGAATTTATTAAAATAAAGTAACTTTCTTTAATTATTATTAAAATTAATAAATTCCTTATTATAAAAGATACTTATTATTATAAAATAAAGATAAATATTAAAATTTATAAGTATGCTATATAGCTATTAATTATTTTATATTAAGTTACTTAAATTAATATTTTATATATTATTAGCCTTTATATAATATAAATAATTACTATTACTTAAGATAATTAGAAAGTTTTCATTATTAATATTTTCCTTATTAATAAAAAAAATTCTTACTTAAATAGCACCTTCCTTTAGCTTTAAGAATATTTTATTTTATTAATTTAACTTATTAACTAATATATTTTATTCTTTTATTATTAAGTTAAGAAAATTAAAGCCCTATTGCTTTAATTATTGCCTTATAACTTTATTAATATATAACTTTTATTTAAATTAAAGAATATTATCCTTAGGATCTTTAAATATATATATCCCCTTTAAATAAGTATTAAAGGACTTCTTAATAATTTTATATATAGTTAATATTTATAATTTGCATTAAGCAAGCTAAGAAAATATTAATTAAATATTATAAGTAAAGTTTTTATTATATTTAATATTTATAATATAAAAACCATTAATATATTTATTAGCTTAATTAATAAGCTTAAAGCTATATTTAATAATAATGCATTTAATAAGCTTAGCTTTAAGAATATTATTATAAACTTTTATATTAAGGGTTATCTTTTTAATTAAAATTTATACTATATTAAGCATTTTAAGTTTATAATTATATAACTTCCCGCCTTAAAAAAAGGCTAAAAGCTACATAATAATATTATAAATTAAATTATAATTACTATATTAAATAACCTTATTAAAAATAAGTAGCATTTTAATGCTTATTATATAATAATATTAATTTTAAAACTTAATATTAATTGCTTTTTTATTTTTATATTTATTTATTTAGCCTTTATAGCTAAAAATTAATTAATAAATATTATTTAAAATATTATTAAATACCTTATTAAAAATTTACTTTATTATATTATAAAATTATTAAGTATTAGCTTTGCTAGCTTTAATTATTAATAGTTTATATTAAATTAAAGTATTAATTATAAAGGTAATAAGCTAAATATTAAGATTATAATAAAATAATAACATAACCTTATAATACTTAATATCCTTCTTATTAATAAATTTAATTTATATAAATAATAATATATTATATAAAATAATAACAAAGAACTTTATTTTTAAATTTTTAATATTATAATAATTATAAAAGAAAAGCTTAATATAATTTAACTTAATATAAAAGCTAATAAAGAAAGCTTTTATTTACCTTTAAATCTTATAAATATTTTAAAATTTTTATTAATTATATTTAATGCATTAAATATAGCTAATAATTTTATAATTATTATATATTAAGATAATATATATTTTATAAAAGTCCTTATTTAAATATAAACGCTTTTTAAAAAGCTTATTATATATATTATAAATATTAAAAATCTTGCCCTTATCTTTATATATAATATTAATTTAAAGAAAGAGAGTTTTAAAAAATTTTATTTTAATGCATTTAATATTAAGTAATAATAAATTTAGGTTTTTATTATTATAAGTAAATAGTTAATATATATAATATAAGAAAAGTTATTTAAATACCTTATTAAGACTTTTTTATTATAAGAAAAGGTATTTTTAAATTATTTATATAGTAAATTATTGCTTTAAGTTAAAATTTATTTATTAAATATATTTATTTTTTTAGCTAAATATTTTAAAGCATATTATAATTATAAAATTTATAAATTAATTATACTTCCTATTAATATAATCCTAAACTTTATTTAAGAAATTAAAATTATTATATTAAATTACTATCTTTAAATTATATATATATTAATAAAAATCTTAAGTAGTAATTACTTATATATAATTTAATAGCTTATTTAAGATTTAATATAATAAATAAATGCTTATATTTATAAATATTAATTATAAAATCTTAAATTAATTATTTATTTTAAATATAAACTTTTTATTTAATTAAAATAAAGAGTTTATGCTTAATTAAGAATATATAATTCTTATTTCTTAATTAAGCTAAGATTATAATGTTTTTAATATATTATATAAAGAATAAATGCTTATATTTATACTTATTAATTATAGCTTTAAATATTATAAATTATATATATAAATATATTAATAAGTATATTAATTATATAAATATATATATTATTAGAAAATAAGTATAACTTAAAAAGCTTTTAAAGAAAAGAGTTTTATTTATATATAAATTTATATAAAAAATATAATATTATAAAGTAAATTTATAACTTTTTTTTTTATTAATAAAAAAACTAAGGATCTTTTTATAATTTATATATTTATTTTAAAAAAGTTATAAAAGAAGTATAAATAAGTTTAATATTTTTTATTTTATAATAATTTATATATAATTAATATTATATTATATATATTTAGCTTTAATAATTAATTTTAAAATTACTTTTAAATTATTTAATATACTTAAAAGTTTATTATCTTTATTAAATAAGCTAAAAGTTAAGAATAATCTTTTTTTTAAAAGGCTTATTATTTCCTTATATAAAGTTATAATAAAAGAAGTATTTTTCTTATTTTTATTTAAATTATAAATAATAACTTTAAATAATTAAAAAGCTTTATAAATAATAAAATATCTTAAAGCATTTATAATAATAAATATATAATAAGGATTTTTTAATTATTTAATAAGAAATGCTTAAAGATTATAAACTTTATTATCTTTAATATTTTTATTTATAAATTTATAAAGCCTTTTTTAAAATGCTAAAATTTTAAAAATAATATTTTTTAATATAATCTTTATATCTTCCTTATTATTAAGACTTTAATTATTATAATAAAAGCTTTTAAATAAACTTTCTTTATAAATAATCTTTAGCTTAAAATTTAATTATATAATATTCTTTATATTAATTTAAAAACTTTTATAATTATATTATATTACTTAACTTATATTTATAAAGTTTAATAAATTTAAAAAAAAAAAGATAATTTAAAGATATTAATATATAAGTTATTAAATATAAAAAAAATTGCTAAATATTAATAAGTTATTAAAGGGTTTATAAAGCTTATATATTTTAAATAAAAATTAACTATTATTATTAATAATATAATAATTAAGGTATAATATAAATAATATTAAAATAATAACTTAATTTTATAAATTTTAAAATATATATTAATATTTAATAATAATATATTTTTATAATAATATAAGTAAATTTTAATTTTATTAAATAATTATTATACCTTAATTATAATTATAATTATAATTTAATTATAAACCTTCTCTGCTTATATAACGTTCCTTACCTTCCCAGCCATAGTTATATAAGCCTTAGCAAACTTCCCATTAAAATTTAATGGGGAGTCTGCATTTAGAAATGCGCCAAGTCATGCGGGCTGGATGAGGTCTGTGTGTTAGAGATAACTATGGGTGGGCTAGAGCTCCATCTGCTCCCTCAAAGTTGAGCCGGGTGAAGGCACATGCAAATGAAAGATTGGTGACGGGATCATCTGCCGTGGAACAGTCTTCCATATCCTGTGGGACAACCTCCTGTGAATACGGAGGAGTGAATGTGCCAGGGTGTCTTGGATCGCGTCCAAATCAATTCCTCCGTCAACAATGGCTTGTCGCCCACACTTCTGAGCTACTGTCGGCTAGACCTCATGTATTTGCCACAAAGCCTCGCAAAATGGCCGGATCCTTTCCTTAGCAACTCTGCAGGGCTTCCAAACTCCACCAGCTTGCCTCCGTCGAGGACAGCCACCCGGTCAAAGTCAACGAGGCTCGATAGCCTGTGCGCGATCATGATGATGGTGTAGTCTTGGAATTCGGAGCGAATGAGCCGTTGCATCTTGGCGTCCGTTTCGGCGTCAACACTGCACATCGTCAGCAACCAACCCTCGACAAGATTCGGGCCATCCGACCTACCTGCTAGTGGGCTCATCTAGTATCAGCAATTTCCCCGGCTTCAGCACAGCCCTTGCAAGACAGAAAAGTTGTCTTTGGCCGTGAGAGAACGTGTCGGTGTCCACCATCGTGTCAAGGATGACTGACACGTCCGTAGAGGCCCGGCTTGTCTTGTTCAACAAAGCATCCCATAAACCGACTCTCCGCAGTGCAGAGGCGATAATCTCGTCAGGGAAGGCTCCAAGTGGGTCCAGGTTGCTTCTCACTGATCCGGGAAACAGGAAAGGGTCCTGGGTCAGACAGACAAGTCGTTCCCGGATCGTTGGTCCAGGGACGGTAGCCATGTCCACGCCATCGAGCATGATTCGGCCGGATACAATGTTGATGAGCCCAAGTATTGCGAGCGCCGTTGAGCTCTTTCCGCTGTTGGTATCACACCAGTCAGAACCATGAAGTCAAATTACAAGATACAGAAAGAAAAACCCACCTTCCCGTCCGGCCAACTATACCAAATTTCTGGCCTCCCTGAACCGAGAACGTGATATCATCAAGGACTGGGGACATGTTCCTACTAAAGGAAGATGATCATGAGTAAATGTAATCTCTAGGGAAAGATGCAACAAAGGAACGGATTGCAACAAACCCATAGCTGGCCGACACTCCCTCGAAGCTCAGAGCACCACTCTTCGGCCACGCAGCATCCAAATGGCCAGATGACTTGCCCGGTATCCCTTCGATGGGCGTGTTCTCAGCAAAGTCCTTGATCCGAGCAATTGCCCCTAATGAAGTCTCCAGATTCGTCCAGTACTGCACCAGGTTCGTCAGTGCATGTGACAAGCTCATCATATTAACCAAAGCCAGACCCAGGAATCCGGGGTTGATACGCGAGCGCAAGCCGACAGCCATGCCGACGATGATCACCGCTAGGCCGGCGACCACAAGGTCAAGGACTAGTACCAACCACCGCTGTACGCAGAGGAGGAGGTAATAGGGTCTCTGGCTTGCGTCCAGTAGGTGGACACACTTGGATGTGTACGTGCCGGTCCAAGAATAGGAGCGGATGGGTGATCAGCCCAGAGAGAGACTCGATGAAATGCGTGAACACCGGAGCATTTGCTTCAAGCCTGTGCGCAGAGTGAGCTTCAGTATCTTATCGCTGCAAGCGGATGGCAGGAGAAAGATGCATACTCTAGGAGCCTCAGCTGTCGGGAGGTGCGAAGGTAGAAGTTCTGGATAAAGTAGAGCGCTGCTACAACCACTGGCAATATGGCGGCAAAATAGCCCACTGCTGTAGCTGACAACGCCATTGTTACCAGGCAGGATCCAAGTTCTGTAAGAAAATAGTCAGAGGTAGTCATTCAGAGTCGTAGCCACAGAAGGACATACGGAATGCTATGTTAATGAGTGACCCTGGAAGAGACATGTCGGCATATCGAAGGTCCTGGCTGAATCTATGAAGTCGTTAATATGGATGTGGACTCTAACCTGTGACGTGAGAGCGCATTTACCTGTTGACCAATACTCCGGTCTCTGTTTCCGAAAAGAAGGACAGAGGGGCGCTGGCATTAATTCTGTCAGCTCGTATTGAAGTCTCGGCGGACATTGGAACACTAACCGCATAACAGCATCCAAAATTGATTGGTGTAGATTCTTTCCGGATCGTGGAATCATGACGATCCAGAGGAACCTGGAGATTTTCAGCATCCCCATCGGATCACATAGATGGCGGCATCCAGATTATACTCACGCCACTGCTCCAACCATTAAGAGCCCACTCATGAAGTTCATGAAACCAAATATGCCGAGCCAGTACCCGAGGTTTGGTGCGCCCCCGTTCTCGTTGTTATTTGCCCACCAGTTCAGCCAGACATCTGTAACAGTCAGGGTTCAATTCTACTTCATGGACTGAAGTTACTCACTGCTCATTGCTCTGAAGACTGATTCTCCAGCGACGAGGCCGACGAACAAGACCAGCCCCAGCGGCCCTAAGGCTCGCGCGTAGTACTTGTAGATCATCCAGTCACCCGTCTTCCGGCTCTCGTCGGCGACGGCCATGGTGGGTGGCACATGGGCTCGACGACTCTCACTAGCTTCTTGGGTTTCGGCGCCGTCCTCGTCGTGGCTAGAGGTCTCCTCGCCTAGCCTGAGCTTCATATCCTGGACGTAGCGCCCAGTCGCATTGAGCTCGGAAAAGCTGCCTTGTTGGACGAGTGTTCCATCCTGTTCAAGAACAAGTATGAGATCGGCCTGGGGCAAATGTTTTACTGAATGCGTGGCAAGAACAACAACTGTGGCGCCGAGCCCACGCAGGAGACCCTCGCGGCCGAAAACGCGCTTGAACACCAAATCCTCGGTCACAGAGTCCAGGCCAGCCAGCACGTCGTCAAATATGAACAGCTTCGCTCTCGAGTACAATGCTCGTGCCAGTGAGATCCGTTGCCTTTGACCGCCACTCATCTTCACACCCTTGCTTCCCACCACGGTGGAATCGCCGTCCGGCATCTGGCGGAAGTCGATGTCGAGTGCGCACGCGTGACAAACTGTCTTGTACCACTCGGCGTCAAATTCAGACCCCACTCCCGCCGTGATGTTGTCTAGGATAGAACCGTTCATGATCCAGGCGGACTGGTCCCCATAGGCGATTTCTGAAGACGGCATGCTGATCTGGCAAGAGCTTCGTGGTGTCTCGCCGAGCAATCCCTTCAACAGCGTCGACTTGCCGCATCCGACTGGGCCAACAAGAATGGTGAGCCCTGGACGGATGTGCAGGGGAGCTTTCACCTCGACGACTTGCGAGTCTGAATCCGACCATCCAAAACAGCCCGGACTGATGCTGATAACATCCACAGCAGGTCCTCTAATAGGTTGAAGCTCGGTCCAGCCTTGTCCTTCGGCCTCACCCGCATTGGTACCGATACTAGAAGGTAGACCGCGCTTTTCCGTCCGCGAAGGAAGAATCAAGAATTCTTGGATCCTCGTGAAACAACCAAGAGCAGCCCAGCCTTGCGGTATCGAGTATAGGAGGGTGCCAAGCGGCGCCGACAGAAGGTTGAGGGCCGCCAGAGATGTGATTGCTTGAGACACTGACAGCCCACTTTGTCCTTGCAGCTGTGCTAGTATCGCATACGCTGCGAAAATGACGAATGAATTGAAGGTCGCTGGGAGATTGACTGTGTGGTGGTTAGTCGCAGAAACAGTCAGAAAGGTTTAGGGTGTATGCACACCTAATGATATGTTCAAACTCTGAACCTTTCTGTACTTCTTCGAGGCAGCAATTTCAGTTTTGCGAAACTGCTGGATATTCGCAGTCTGCTGGCCAGTGAGACCGAGGATCTTAACACTCTTCATAGACCCTAAGATCTCTGATGTGTAATTGATTCGTTTCTGCACGGCCTCCAGCCATGCTCTTTGCCTTGAGGTGATGGCTTTAGCAGAGAGTACTGACAGACCCGTGCAGATGACAGTGATCAGTACAGGTGCCACGCAAACCGCGCCGAATTGGTCGTAAAGAAGGTAGACGGCGATTGCCAGCTGCAGTACGCTGGGCACGACTTCTATGAGAAGTTGCCAAAATGTCTCAGCGATCCTTTGTACGTCAGTTCCCACCAGACTCATTGCCGCTGACTCGTCGGCATTGCTTGTTGGGAGTTTCAACATCTTGGTGTAGATGATGATTGTAAGCTGGCCACGGATCATTGCCATAAGACGATACGAGAGATGGGATGACCATCCCATCATTATCTGTCAGTCGTTAACACCATCTTCTATCTACCCATCGAAGAGGTCTCAAGAGGCGGCGTCCTCTACTCCTTACCGCAAACCCAGTGTACACTATAGCAAAGGCACCTATTAAGCCATACCCTTTGTTGATGGGCTCGGCTCCTTGAACGTACGTGACAGCATTCTGGATGAGATACACCTGGCTGATATTGAGCGCAGCATAGCAGAGCTTCGGGACGTAGATCACGAGAATCTCCCACCGCAAAGCCCACACGCAAGCACGTGCTAAAGCGTGCTTTTTGCTCTGATTGCCTGTGATGGTGTAAGCAACGTGGTTTTCTTAACGTTGAGAGTTACGGCTTCAGCTTACATCTGTCCCAAGCGGACTGCAGTTGTTGTCCCAGGCTTTCCGAATCGAGTTTCTCATGGATGGCTGGCAAATCAGCCACAGAGAGCACTGTCCTGTGACCTGAGATCAAGAGTGAGTTTAGCCACCAAAAGGAGCTTCGACTGATCAAGCCACTTGTGCTCTCTACCGAGAAACGGCTGTATAGGCCAAGGAGCAGAGACCGTTTTTCCCTAGCCTCAAGCAGCAGCATCACAACCTTGACGGCTAGGGAAGCAGTCATTACGGCTGCAAGTGCATGACCGTCGCCCTCACTCTTGAGCCAGTGTGTCCTGACCCGGGCTGCATCGAACATCGCTGTTGCGATGAGGTAAATATTGATGATGAAAGATGGCCGAACAGATCGAGCGTGTTCGAAGTGAGACAAGGCGGCGAGAATCAAGGCTTCGAGTACAGAGAGCACGGCCGATGCCAGTGAGATGCGGTTTCGGGACTCAGGTTTGGCTGTCGTCAATACCAAGATGGCGACTTGCAGGGCAATGAAGGCGATGATGGCGCCCTAGTAACTTTTAGATTGCCACCTCGTCAGGATGGACATATCATCCGGGCTACGTACCAGTTTAAGAAGGTGAAGGGCATTCTTTCTGACCCGAAGCCTGCCTCGAAACAAATGCAGTGTACGGAACGGGGTTATGATGATGAAGCAGGCGGTGGGCAGGATGGCCAGTATGGCTTCTTCAAAGGTAACTAGAGGATAGAATTAATCATTGAGCTCTCATCTCCGGAATTCATACGTACCTGTGAAGTCGAAGCCGCCGCGACAGTCAGCAGATTTGACTCCTGGACCGAACGAGTTGTCACCGCACAGTGTCGAGGGATCCATTGCGTGGGCGCCCGAATCCTTATCAGTGCCCAAGAATCCCAAACAGCCTTGAGGTGGTGTTCAGTGTGATTTTGGTGTGCTCGAAAGCACTGTGTCTGGCTCTAAGGCAGTCGGAAAATCGTCGTCTCGATACCTCGAGCACTAGACTACAAGCTTTGAAAGGCAACTTGGATTTGATCAGGTGCGATTGTCATCCACGGGTCTAAATGCTTGCCAACTGTGACCGTGAAACGTCAGAACGATACTAGTGTAATCTTACTATGACGTGTGTTGGGTGCACAAACTCTTTCGCTCCTCATCCAGCTATCTGGATCTCCGACCAATCTGTGTTCTAGGGAATTATGTTCTCAAGTGAAGCGAAATTTCAAGGTCTTTTGAGGGCTCGGAGATGAAGCATGAAGGTCAGAACTGACTCGTCTGCAAAACTTCCAACGGGTAGTCTAATTCCTTCCTCGTCAAATTGCACCACTGGAATGAGCGAAACTAGCTAGCCTTATGGAGAATAGATGCGCCGTCTTACAATCGAACCCGACCGCCACGCATTGCGTTTGGCATCCACTTATTAGCTTGATAAGAACAACCAATTTGGAATGAGGGGACATTGAAAGGCGGAGAACATCATTTCTTCTGGATCACGTCAGCGTCAAGCACGCGTTTCCACCTTTGCACGCCGTGGAGGATTTGCTACCATCACACTTGTAATCGGCCAAGGACACAAAGTTATGAGGCCTGAACGTGACGCTTGAATAAAGTAGCGAAGTAGACCTGAAAGTTAACGATTGCACCAGCTCTTTGACATCTCCATTGTCGAGACCTTTTGAAGGAGGGGAATTTATCCCAACCCGCTGCAACCCATTCCCAATCGTCACGATATTAGGATGTCTAGTACCATGGAGCCACACCATTCGAAATGAAACCAAAGAGCACACAGTAATCCATCGCTGATAGAACCGAATTGTTGTAAATGTAAATGTAAGCAGCAGTGTTGGTATTATCCGATCATTTCTGAAAAGTTCTAAGGTTTGCGAGTCCCACGAGGCCTCTGACACTACATGAACAACCAGTGTACCAGACGACCGAGGTGCAGCAGAAATAATACGAGGTCCATGGCCACCAACCGGCGGCCATTTACAAATTTTGTAGCCGTCCCTTAAGACTCCAACCCAACGCGTGTGTCAACAGCGGGACGACCTAGGATGCCGTTCAAGAGGCCTTTTTCAGGTAGAGAGTGTCTCAGACAAGCTAGTTAGGTCAAATGCAACTGTCGCATGGCAAGTAGATCCCGAAGCCATCGAGGGAATGTAACTATTGTTAATAAAGATGGTTTTTCATGACTGATGATTCCATATCTGAATATCCCATGGGAGACTATCCAATAACGGCTTGTCCCACAGAAGATTACCCCACAGGAGATCATCTCACAGGCCATCGTAGGAGAGAGGAGATTGTCCTGCAGTTTCGAATAAGAGGTTGTCCTACGGCAGGTTATCCTATGAGAGGCTGTTCTTTGAGAAGATATCTCGTGAGAGGTCAAGACTGATTCTTACCCAGCCGTTTCACACATCTGCAGTGTGGACTAAACAACTGTCCCTCCCTGGTATTTCGATGTGTATTTCGAGCGAGTGACGGACTGATGAACAACAGACTTTCAGAAGACACATCCAAAACCACGGAGGTTGGTATGAAAAGTCTCACAGAAGGAAGGCCAGTATATAGGGGTTTGGTGTGCAAGTGGTCTGGAGCGCCGAGCCTGGGGAGGCGAATGACCAGTTACAAGTGGATTTCCACGAAGAAAGACTGATGAGTCATGGAAACAGGAGTCGACTTGGAAATCTCGAGCACATTTGCGTGCGTGTTTCTTTCAACAGCTTTTACCTAGGTATCGCGTTCAAATACTCATCGATCCAAATATCTTCAGTCATGCCTGATGGAAAAGGAGCAAGAAGCAACACATTATCACGGGCTCCAGTAGACCTAGTTACAAGGCTAGTAGCTTAGCTCGACAATGGTTGGTAATATCAAGAGGATCCAACCGTGAGCCTTACACAGCGGTCTGCGGGTATAAATCAACAAACCAAGACATTTTGGCGAGAATTATACAAAATTCAAACGAAAGGTGGCTTAAAGAGAACTTCCACCAGACATACACAAGAAGACTGAAAGCCAAAGTTTCCCGTGCAGAAGCCCCCCAAAACCACAACATCAACTGTGCCTCTATGCTAATTGACTCGACTCGATTGCGCAGCGCATTGATCTTATCCGCATCGCATACATACCCCATTCAATACTGTTGGCGAAAATGGCACAATTTCATCCTTTTGGTGGCCTTCCGAAAGAGCTGCGAGATTGTATTTGGGACATGGCGATCCGCGATGATGACCCATCCGTCCACTTCTTCACTATCTACGATCCCCAAGACGACCCACCATCCGTTGTCAATCCAGCCAAGAAGGTCCATGCCACAAGAGCCTCTTGCGTCCCGGGATTCTCTATCGGCTTCGCAGCTCCACGGCGTCGAGGAAGTGACCAGCTCTCGTGGACAGATGGTAATCTCTCTGCCTATCTAACAGATTCGGGCCTGTGGACAACCTGCCATGAGTCCCGGGAGAGGATGTTGCGATACTTCCGGCCATTCAAGACCAGTCCACAGGTTTCTAAACGCATGCCAGTTGACTGGAGCACAGTGCAAGAAATGTGCGATAAACCTACGGCCTTGATAAATATGGAGTTCATACGCGACAACGGCGAGCGCCAATACCTGACTGTCCGCCCTTCAAAAGACCTGCTCTGCCTTCGACTGCCTGATAACTCCAGCATCTCATGGGATAGCAGACATCACTGGCAACTCATTCAAGACTTCCCCTTGTTCAGGTGGCATGGAAATGAGTGGCCCTGGTATTCATCGTGCATTACGAATGTTGCGGTGGAATACAACCCAGCATGGGAGACTTTTGATCATCAAAAAGACCGCGGCCCTTTCACGGGCATCACTGGCGGCTTCAGCAAAGTCGACGAGATACATGGGCTCATGACCTTCTGGTTCATTGACTACAGGCTGACTCGCAAATACCAATCCGAAGACTGCGAACGCCAGACGTCTCGCGCTGGCAAATTGACCTTCATAGAGGTCGATGCAATCGATTATGAATGGTGCTGCTGCCCAAAGAAAGACGGGCGCTGTTTGGACAGATGTGACCAGGGCCCAGCAAAACATAAACTGTACGGTGCGCATGCTCTGGCGGGCCACTTGGAGTTGCACAACGAGATGCAGGCCGACGAGGCGCATGTATGTGTGGGCTGGTCTGGGCCGGGTTATATAGGAACTGACATGAGTGTTCTCGCCTAAAGGAAGTCAATCCAGGGGAGATCATCCTACTGGAAGTCATCCTACTGGAGATTGTCTCATTCAAGGTTGTCGCATAGGACATTGCGCCGCAGTAGATTATCTCACAGAAGATGAAACTAGGAGATGGGCGGTGGGAAGAATATGGCGTAGACGACATCCACGGGTTTCTTTTTTTCTCTCTTTGCCTTTCTTCTTTTTTCGCTGTCAGAGCACGCCAGGGTGGAGGGATAGCAGTCGACGGCAGATGAGACCGCTTTTCTCTGTTACTGCACCGGTTTGTGCACTCGCATACGGGGCAGGGACTGGGGCCCCAGGGTTTCACTACCTAAGCGATTTAATACGTGCTACTACTATAAACCTTTCAGTTACTTCCTCTCCAAGAATCCCAGCCACGCCAAGGACTTTTTCACGTTCGGCAACACAAACTTCTGCGAGCTGACGTGTCCGTAAGCTCAGAGTTCCATCGTCACAATCGGAGAACGTATTCTCCGCTCTTAAGGCAGAATGTAAGACGGCAGTTTCCCAGCCTCTGCCTCGACGGAGACTGGCAATCGTTGTTCGGTTGAGATCGAATTAGACGACTCAATCATGGCCCAAAAGTGAAAACACAAAGGCTTTCTGCATTACCCAACCTGTGTGGCTGCTGCCTCTCTTGTTTAAGAACTGATACCTTCATGACTGCTTCAATCTGAATTTTGATACCCATCATGGCGGACCAAGCGCACATGGATCTCACGTCTCAGGACGAAGGCGAAATCATCGGCTACGCAGATCCTTGGATCGCATCGCCTGGCCAGAGGGTCTCAGTCAAAGTTAGTCACTGCTTCGGAGGCGTGTCGTTGAGACTTTTGGTTGGGACGGGAGGCACGTGAATGCTGAATTTAGCAGGTCTCCAGTACCGTGCCGAGATTCACGTGGTCCCTCGCAAGAGTGATTCAGGGTTTCGAGCATCCTAAGGCTCCAGACGTCAAGTATGAGACGGTGATCAGCCCGCCTCCTGATTCTGCAGCCATCTCAGGGTCTTACAAGAAAGCCGTCTGCGGATCTTTCGCTGTGGTCAGATCTTGGGAACGATACTTGCGTAAGCATATCATCGGTCTGCGCCTCAGCTGCTACGTTCAGCCATGGTTACCGGAAGCGAGTCACCAACAAGTATTGATATCGACCCTGGATGTTGAAAATTCTTCGGGTGTTGCCATCTACCTCAGCGCCTCTGGTACTATCGGCTTCTATGTCGGAACTGGAACCTCGGTCGAGCAAGGTGACACCGAAATCCGCTTGAGACGCTGGAAATGGGCTGAGCTTCATGTTTCTGTCTTGAGTGACAACTTAAGTATTGATGTTACGCATTTGGAAAGACTTACGGAGACGGCCCCTGGTCCCTCTCACTACTCTTACAGGATGAGTTCGCCCGTCCAACTCGACGGGAGAAAGCCTTTGACGATGGCTGCCGGCTTCTTCTTCGACGCGAAAACATCGGCAACCCTTGCGACCAACATGTTCAACGGTCGCCTAGACTCTCCGAGAATAGATACTACCCGCGATGGACTTGCATACAAGACTTGGGCTAAGTTCGACTTTGCCTTGGACATGTCTAGCGACCGGATCGTAGACACTTCAGGCAATGCAAATCACGGTGATTTGGTCAATTCCCCTACGAGAGCCGTCAAGGGTTACAGCTGGGACGGCTCGGAGCCAGACTGGACCAAAGCTCGATACGGCTACGGCGCGATCCACTTCCACGACGACGATCTCGACGACGCCGGATGGGAAACCGACTTCAGCTTCGAAGTTCCCAGGGACGCAGTTTCGGGAGCATATGCAGTGGTCGTGCAGTCAATCGACCATTCTGAGCAGATATCAGACCACATCATATTTTTTGTCCGTCCTGCAGCACTCGACGTCCCCACGGACAGTTCTGGCCCAAAAGCAGCAATCGTGCTGTCCACGTTCACGTACCTTGCCTACGCAAATGAGCGCATGTACGACCAGAACCGAGCATCTCGTATCAGTATTGCTGGTGGGATACAGGCTGAGAAGGACCCCTTATGGCGCCACATGGTCCGGCGTCCAGATTTAGGTTGCTCCGTCTATGACGACCACAACGATGGATCTGGCTGCGTGTTCAGCACTGCGAAGCGACCCATCCTCAATATCCGTCCCCGTTACGTCAACTGGGCATTCAATCGGCCCCGTGAGTTTAGTGCCGACCAGCTGATGATCGGCTTCTTGGAAGAGAAGCTTGGCCGCGGTGGATATGACGTCCTCACGGATCATGACCTCCACACGTACGGTGTGAAAGCTCTCGAGAGGTACAGGGTCGTGGTGACGGGGTCTCACCCTGAGTATCCGACTCTGGAGGTCATCAACGCCTACGCTGCGTTTGCAAGGAACGGCGGGCATCTCATGTACCTTGGTGGAAATGGATTTTACTGGTGTTCGGTGGTGGACTCTCATCGGCCACACCGCCTCGAGGTTCGCAAAGGAGACCAGGGATGCCGCTCTACCGAGCTGCCCGCCGGCGAACGAGTCCACTCGTTGAACGGAGCCCAGGGCGGACTGTGGAGGAGTAGGGGTCGGACGCCGCAGTCTTTGTTTGGAATAGGTAGTTGCGCCTGCGGTATTGGGCCCGGTGTACCTTATCGATTCGTGGATCATATCACGAGCTCTTCCAGCTCGGCTTGGACGTGGCTTCTTGATGGCTTGAGACCGGAGACCGGGGAAGAACGCGGAAACTCCGTTGACGGCTTCCTCATTGGAACCGAGGGCTTCGGCGGCGGAGCATCAGGAGACGAGATTGACAGGATGGATCTTCGCCTAGGGACACCAGTCAACACGGTCCTCTTAGCAACAAGTACTGGGCACGACGACTCCTTTGGTGTCTTCAACGAGGAGGTCATGTTTCCGATGGTCGACACGGTTGGCACGACGTGCGACAAGGTGCGCAGCGACATGGTTGTGTATGAGACCTGCGGTGGCGGCAGCGTCTTCAGCGTCGGAAGCATCAACTGGTATTGTTCCCTGGGCTGGGATAAGTATGAGAATAATGTGGCGAGGATTACGTGGAATGTTCTCAAGGAGTTTATTCGCAGAGGAGATGAGAGGTCTACTTCGTAAAGATGATAATGATTCGACCCTTGATTTTCAGATCGTTGTTGCAGACATTAAAGCAGACGTTAGCTGGAGGTAATACTCAAGATTATGGATAACGCTATAATTGTGAGTTGAGATCGGTCTAACGCCCTTTACTTTATAGAACGGATATCCATACAGAATGAAACGGATGGTATACAGATACATTACACGCCTAGTGCACTTCTACCCTACACAACTACACCGACAACCAGTACACCCACACCCAATTCACATACCAGATTTACACGCTCATTACACACTCAATTTGCACACTTGTATAAATATATTCCGTGAAAGTCAACCATATAAATCAAGCCTGTAAATAAATGTTGATATATGAATTAGGTGTAGGTGTGCAAATTGGGTGTGGGTGTTATGCTCTGGTTAGCTGCGGGACTATCATTGAAGAGGTTTCTGTGTACCATCCGTTTTCTTCTGTGCAAATATCCGTTCTCTTACTTCATGTTGTGAAATCTCGTGTAGCAATACATGGATGCCTAGTCACGCAGCATCCCCTCGTACTGAGGAAGCTCCCATCCCTTCACGGTCTCATTAATGCCGAATATCCAGCCCCCCAGCCTGAAGTACGAGGCCACACTGAAAACCCAGTTTATGACGGCAACACTGAAGGCTGACCCTAGCATGTCCCATTGGCGTGACGAGTTTTCTAGTACACCCTTTTGCAATCCGGTCATGAAAGGCCGGAACTTTGTTTCGTAAGCTTTGAGAGCCATCGATAGGGATGCTCCTCGTGGTGTTCCACAAGATTTTTCAATCTCGCCAGCCAGAATATAAGCACCGACCACGGCACTTGTAGTCCCCATGCCAGTGAGGACCGTTGGGCAGTATGCGGCGTCTCCAACGAGTGTGACACGGCCTTGGGACCATGGCTGCAGCTTGACAAGGCCCAGCCGCTCGCAATAGAAGTCATCCGCATCCCTCATAGACTCCACCAGGTCCTCGGACTGCCATCCGGCTCCTTGGAAGATCTCTGCGAATGCCCTTTTCTCTTCCTCCACATCTCCCCGCCGAGCATTCTTCAGACGGTTGGAATCGGTCTTGCACGAGAGCATCACCTGCATTTCATACGGGCTGTGCCTCCGTGTCATGATGCCCCGCTTTCCGGGAGCAAGGTACGAGGTCCCAATGTATTTCTCATCCTCCTGGATAGGTCGACGCAGGGTGAAGTATGCAAAGTACAGTCCTTCGACCGGGTGTAGTCCGTCGGCGTGCGGGAGTCCGTCACTGCCAGCCTCCAGACCAAGCATCATCCTCCGCGTGCGTGACCACTGACCATCAGCCCCGACTAGGAGGTCGTATCGGCCCGTCTCGCCGTTCTCAAAACGAACCTCTACCGAGTTATCGTCCTGCTCGAAGCTCTCGATTGCCGTGCTGAACTTATAGTTGGCCCCATTGTTGCGGGCCGGCTTCGTGGCCGCATCATGGAAGAGACGACACAGGTCACCCCTCATGATCTCGAACTCGCTGGTGAGGCTCTGCTTGTCTTTTCCACCAGATTCTGACGCTGGGAAGTAGGCACGTTGTCTGCCCTTGGAGTCGACAATCTGCATCCCTTCCTCGGGCGCAGACTTGGCGCGAAAGGCCTGCTCGAGGCCCATCCGTCTCAGCACCTCGATGCCAGGGCCACGTAGGTCGAGCTGCAGCCCTGAGGTGCGTAGGATAGGGTAGCGCTCAACGACAGTGACATCGTGACCTAGTCTGGTCAGCCAGAACGCGAGTGCGTTGCCGGCAATACCTGCACCGCTGATGAGAACCTTCAAGCTTGGCCGTGCCATGTCGGAATGATGAGTTTTGTTCGTGTCTTGGTTGGGGTTGTCGACAAGAGTTCAGCTGAATTGTGATCTACTAGCAAAGAAAGCTGACAGTGGTATAAGAAATATCACGGACGAACGAAGCTTCATGATGATAGGAGCAGGTTCTGAAAGAAGTTCGGCGTGCCTTGTTTTTCAAGACGCTCAAGCCTGATATATATAACGACATCGCGGTATACCTATGCATGTTCCGGCCGAAAGGGAATGCTGATTCACTGGCACGTTCAATAGCCCGGATGTACTTTGAATGATGATTTGTTGTGAACTTCACGCAATTGTCCTCTGACTGATGACCCTCGGGCATAAGCACTCGGAAAGCAAACCCCTTCGGCCGAAAGATCAGTCGGGGCGGGCTTTGGTCAGCACTAGAGCGGCTTTGGGCAAGCCGCGGGTCGGAAAATTGGTGAGAAGACCGATATTTGCGCTTCCTGTAACACAATCAGCTAAGATGTACACAATGCCCTTCTGCTCCCAAAAGCCGGCTTCCTGTTCGCCTTGGTCTACTATCTCTTAAATGCCCGTCCTGTCTCCTGCCCCGGCGTCATCTTACGAGCGAATCATACGCAGTAATACGGCCGAGAGGAAAATTGACCTCGGCTTTGTTTTCCGCAAGCCTCGCATAGTCCCTGCCAATGGAGACGCGTCCCCGTCGGCGTCGAAGGCCGGCGCTGTCGTGCCAGATCTGTCGGCGCCGCAAGATCAAATGTGATCATAACGAGCCTTGTTCAAATTGTCTGCGGCACAAGGCCCAATGTGTGTATACCTTGTACGGCAACGGCGACGGCAATGAGCCCCGAGCTGTCATCACCTCCGAGCGGCCAAAGCGGGCGTTTCTGGAGGCTAGGCAGTTTAATTCCGTCCCAGGCAGCTCGAGGGAGCAGACAACACCAGCTGGGGCTGCAAGTGGAGCAAACCCGTCACCAGCAGAGGCATCGGCTCAACAACCCACTCCAGCCGGCACTGGCAGCGCCCATAGCCCGAACAGGTCGGCCATAGAGCAAAATCAGATTGACGGTAGTCATGTTAATCCACGGGACTCCCGGACCACAGCGGAAACACCGGTGGTTCACGTTCACAACTCCCGTGACACCCAACTACCCGTCGGCCGTATTGATAACCAGGCGGTTGCATTTTCGTTGGAAAATGTCCAGGCTGTAGGCAGCAAAGAAAATCATGGTGTAGCGGAACTACTGGAGCGTATACGGAAGCTCGAAGAGTCCTCGGAAATCCGCGCCGAGGCCAGATCGTCGGACTGGCTACTACAGCTCGCGCTCAATAAATCGAGAGACTTGGGCAAGAGTCCGTGGATGGGGATGCCTCAGGAGTTTTCCACCATGATCGACTGCTATACTGAGATGATTGGCAAAGACTCCGGAAATGCTTCATACAAAACCCCCGAGACTGCATCACTTGTGGCGCAGTCTGGCGACTTTATCCAGAAATGCAAGGACACAGCAAAGAATATCAAACTCGGTCGACCCAGCAGGACCCAAACTTCATCTCCGGAAATCAAACTCCCGCCCCGCGACCTTTCTGACGCGATGATTAATCTCTACTTCTCATCATTCGAGTCAAGCCACCGCATATTACATATACCTACATTTCGAGCCGAATACCAGCGGTATTGGGAGCGACCTGCTAGTGCCCCAACCGAGCTGCGCCTTAAAATTCTCCTTGTCATCGGGTTGGGTTCGAGTTTGCATGAACACCAAAACACGGACGCTGCGCTTAATAACGCCGACATGGTTCATCAATGGATATATGCTGCCCAGAACTGGCTATCCGGACCACTGGAAAAGGACCGTCTGAGCATCAGTGGGCTGCAAATATACTGCTTAACAATCTTAGCACGGCAGATATTCTCAGTCGGCGGGGATCTTACATGGATATCAACAGGCTCACTTGTCCAAATAGCTATGCAAATGGGACTTCACCGTGACCCCAAGACTCTTCCAGCCATCACACCACTGCAGGCTGAGCTTCGCAGAAGGCTTTGGGTTACTATCCTCGAACTTGTCGTGCAATCATCATTGGACTCGTGGATGCCCCCCAGGATGCACCTCGATGAGTTCGACACAGAGCCTCCCTCGAACCTGAACGACGAGGACCTGAACGAGACAGCGACCACTGTACAGCCACACCCAAAGAGCACCTTCACTGCGACCTCGATCCAGCTCATGTTGCTCGAATCGCTCCCCGCCCGACTCCGAATCGTCCAGCTCCTGAATAGCCTCCACTCCGATCCCACCTACCCGCGCATCCTCGAGCTGAGCCTCGCCCTAACCGAAGCCCTCCAGACATGCGCCAGCAAGACCAAGCACAACAGCAGCGAGCACTGCACGCCCTTCCGCCGCAACTTCCTCGACTACCTCGTCCGCCGCTTCATGCTGCCCCTGCACATGTCCTTCAGCAGCCAGTCGCGCGCGGAGCCCTCATACCGCCACTCGCGCCAGGCGAGCCTCGACGCCGCCCTGGCCATCATATCGCCCGAGCCGGACGCGGGCTTCAGGAGGCTCATGGCCGTGGGCGGCGGCATGTTCCGCGAGGGCCAGCGGTGCGCCCTCACGGCCGTCGGGCTCGAGCTCATCGCGCACGCCGAGGCCCAGCGCCTTGACGGCACGCTCGGCCGGGTCGGCGCGTATCGCGATATGCTCAAGGGGGCTGTGCGCGACTTGTTGTTACTATCGGAGGATCGTATCCGCCTGGGCGAGACGAATGTCAAGAGCCACATGTTCCTGAGAATGATCCTTGCGCAGGTCGAGGCTGTGGAAGCGGGCGTGCCCGTTGAGTTGGAGGTCGCCCGGGGCACGAGAGATAGTCTGGAGTTTTGTTATGGAATATTGAGCCTGAGGGCGACGAGCATCCCGGAGTCGTCGGCAGCGCCTGCTGATGCCGGTGTTGTAGCTTCTGGGATTGATGAGTTTCAAGGATATGAAAATTATAACATGTATGGGATGGGAGTAGATTTGGATTGGGAGTCGATCATGTCGGACGTGGGCTTTTCTTGATTTCGAAGAGTTGCGCTGTTTAAATCCAGGACATTATATAAGACACGAAGCCCATGTAATGCTCTCGCAGAGACTGATTATTGCCTAAATCTGTTAGCGAATAGTAAAGCGTGTGCGAATGAATAATGTCCCGATGAATCTGATTTGAGGGCAAAGTCCCATGTTTGAGCCTGCCAGTCCGGAGCCGACGATGGTTCGGCCCTTGTTCTAAATCCACTTGGATGGCACAACGCAGTTGCCCTTGGTGGTGATCACCAGGAGGCTGGATCATGGCAGCTGGGAACCATGGAGTGCAGCGTCCTTGGACTCGAGATATGACTGTCACTCAAATCTGCTGGTATAACTTCTCCTTGGACCAAGACACCATCAAAGTCAAATACCATTCTCGTGCTGATCGCTAGTCAAGGGACCACTCCTCAAGGGCTAGCATTAATCCACCAGAAATACTCATCAAATAACGTCGGATATGCTTTTAGGCCGTCGAGGTGAAGGACAAACAGGAGGTATTCGTCTGGAGGATGGTATCTTATTGTCTGTCGTTGTGTAAATAGACCAAATGTTTCTCTTTTCCCCGCTTGTTGATGGTTGAGTCGTAATGTCCAGCCAGAAATTTGCTTATCACGGTCTGCCTGCTACAGCCGGATAAGAAGTCTTGCCTTTCAGTTCCACCTCACGGCTTTACCAGGGTGCTTGACACCACAACAATATTCTCTCAAATCTGTACGCGCCTCATCGGCGAAGCCTTTCCACCCGTCGTCCGTCAAGGGAGCAAGCTTAGTGCCCCTAAATCATGTCGACCGAACTGCTCTGATCACAGTGGCAAATCCAGCACGCGAAAGCCTGGCTTCCAAACCATACAGTGGGCCATGGCAGCCGTGCGCGCCGGTGACGGTTGAGGCATGTCCTTCCTCATAGATCATGACTGGGCCAGGGGCGATATTAAGACGACACTATCGCCTGCAGCACCTTTTAGCAAGCGCTAGAACCCAGGGATTGGACGTCTGAACCTACCTCGGACGAACAGCATCTCTGACTTCTTGCTGACCGTCTTGATTTCCTCGTCCTCTGCCTCGTCATCAACCACGTAGACGGTCTCCTCGACGTCACCGAGCACGAGGTTGCAGTGGCTGTCATATGCCTAGGAACAGCAGAGTCAGTGGGATTCATCGAGAAGAGTTGAAAGACGGCCGGAGAGTGGTGGCTGATGCGTACGTGGAGTCGGCCCTTGAGCTCGCGGTCGCCCCTGAGCTTGACAAAGACGACCTCGTCGAGCAGGAGGCGGACCAGATCGAGGGGCTCCGAGACGTTGGCGGGCTCGTCTCCGGCGTCGGCCATGGTGGCAGGTGGTATTGAATGAGAGCGACAGGTCAGGTGGTCTGAACCGGGGTGGCTTGTTTTTCTACGGAGTGGCAGGCGGGTGCAGCAGGTTGAAGCAAGTGAGTGAGTGCGTGTGATGGAATGAATGGAGCTTGACCCATGCTTTTGGGCTGTTGACGTTTGACGACGGCCGGCCCAGGTGCTCAGCCAAGGGGAGCTGCGCCGGCCGAAGAAAATTGAAGGTCCGTGCATTTCGGTACGTACCTCAAGGCAGGAACTTGGGGACCTGGGTACCTAGGTACCTTGCTCAGGTCAGCCCCTGGGCGTGGTTGCCCTGCAAAAGCATGTTGCAGTGAGGGGAAGGAGGTTGAGTTGGGGAAGCAAGCAGGTGCTCCAAGGAATTGGAAAGTTGGTCAATTGAGACCAGACGACACTCTCCTCACCCTCACCGAATGCTGCTGTTTCTCGGCCTGCAAGACCTCAATGTCATGACGGCTTCACGGCAATGAACTGTCACAGACCCGCCCCGGATGATCGCGACTCGCTCGGTGGGGCGCGGCCGCTCTGCCCTCCACAAGTCAAGCCAGCTCCACCCACGGCTGCTCTACCCGTTCGCACTGCACAGCAGGCTGCTCATGCTCAACAACAATAACATCAATATCAACTGTTGCCGCCACCACAACGCCCCAGTCGGCCGTCTCTTTCAAACCAGGCACGCGCACACCGGCGCTCCCTTCGGCTGGACTAATATCAATCAGAGCGAGGAGCCCCCGAGCCCTCCAGACCCCAAGGAATTTACGAGGCCACCAAGCCAGCCTCATGAGAGGGTTCGCCTCACACGCAGGCCAACACCGCCCGGATCTATAATTGGGCCTGGCCCTCTGCTGCCGAGAGCAGACTCTGTCCGCACCGGCTCATTTCTTCACTACCATGCCGCTGTCAAGGCCCTTCTCCACGCCCTCAGGCGGGGAGATACCTTCAAGCTGTACCTCTGTCTCGTGAGCCTGGTACGAGGCCATAAGACAGAGACTGAAAGCCGTGCCTTCATCGAGGCGGTGGCTAGTATCCCTGCGACAACCTTCTCGGAAATCCTGAGGAATTTCGACCCCAAAAAAGTCGCGGAAGAAATCGATACTGCCCCTGACTTGAACATCTCATACGGTGCGGCGGTCCGCACACCTCTGGGCGAGCTGGTCAATAAATGGGGTATCAAGATCCTCTACGTCCGCATCCTCCGCCGATTGCTTCACATCCAACTTGCTCGACGGAAAGCCGGCCTTGTCCCACTCATGAACGACTACCCCATCCTGATGAGGTGTGCTGGTGCTACTTCCAACCACCGAGTTGCCAAGGATATTTGGTATTCTATGGTGGATGACAGGCGTGCCAATTTCAGAACCTCCGAGGCCTACAGCGAATTCATCAAGGCCAAGTATCTAGCCGAGAAGATGTACGCAAACAACGACCTGTCTAGGTTTAGAGTGCGGCCCCTGGATATGCATCGCGTCAGTTTGCTTCTACCAGGGAGGGTCCGCTTGAGGCTTAGGTACATGGCCGCGCGCATAACGGACCGTCGAAAACACCGCTTCGGAAGTGACATTCACGAACGCTTCTTTGATCAACCCATGACCAGAATTTTTCGCATGCGCAGGCCCTTGATGAAGTTGCAACGCACAACGATGCTACGCGGCTTTCAAAATGCCAACGAAGATCTAATATGCGCCCTATTGAAGGTGAATGGTCGGGCCGCCCGCCAGTTCGCGAGCAACTCTCTGCTGATGCACAACTGGGGAATAATCATCACAATTGACAAAGAGACCGGTGGGATAACAATTGGAGGAGGTATCACTCATCCCCCCGACTCGCCCAGGGCACCCACAGCGGCGTTGCTCGATGCAATAGTTCACTGTTATTGCTGTATGGGGGAGGTCACCCTGGCTGTGAAACTACTCGATTTCGTGTCGCAGCGCTTCGACATCCCCGTTCCGGACCATGTCTGGTCTGATCTGATTGAATACACCCGCGTCATGGAGTCGAAACCAGCCGCGAACGAGTGGGCCATCGCAGGATTTCCGCTCAAGGGCGCCAGGCCAAACCAGGTGTTGGAAGTGTGGAGTCTGTGCACCCAGGCACCACATAGCTTTCGGCCAGGTGCGAGAGACTACTACAACCTGATCAAGTCCCTCGTCCGGAAGACCCAGCCGATGCTGAAGCCCGTCGAAGCCCTCAGGCAAATCAAGCCGCTATACGACGATGCTGTCGACGCGTGTGAGCAGGCCTGGTGTGAGCTGATGCAAACCACGCAGCAGGACGTGCCCAACCACCTTGCCTTTCGCCGCTACAAGGCCCTCGAAGCGAGGAGGAACCACATGTGGTACATGTTCCACTACAGTAGCTACCTGATACTCAAGGGAGTCCGACCGGGCATCATTAATGATGAGACCGCCGTCCGAGAGATACCGAAGCTGGTTGGCGAATTTTGGCAGTTTCTTCCGCGGAAGGTCTCCTATTCTATCGCGACCGGCGACGTGGAATTCTCTTCCGAAGCCGTGCGCGAGAGGGACGTGGTAGAAGTCGAGCAGATCGTGGAGAAGCCGCGGCAGGCGCACGAATATCGGTCGGCGGCTGCCAAAGGGGATGGGCAAGCCCACGTCTTGCGGCAGGATCGGAGAGATGGCTATTCCGAGGACAAGGGCGATCTTGTACCAGCGTCACCCGCAGCAGGGGAGGACCACGCCCCGGACTTTGACGAGCGGGTCGTGGGAGACGAACCTAGCCCAGGGCGTAGGATGCCGCGGTGGTGGGTGATAGAGAGGCGGGAGGCGGAGAAGCCGGCGTATAATTTCCGGCCGCCCTGGAACGCGCCATCGGGCCAGCCGTCGATGGAAACGATACGGCGCGACGGCGGCGAGTTCACGGGTTATTACGACGACCCACTGCGGCGGCACTTTGCGGCGTACAGGATGACTCGGACGACGAGAAGGGTGTTCGGGGTGCCTGTCGACCTGGAGCGGATCGAAGACGGGGAGGAGAACAAGAAGCGCCGCTCGAGAATGGTGGATGAGTTGCTGAGGATGCGGACATGATGTGTCGTGTGGCTGTACGAGATCGGGGTTTTTTATTTTTTGTATGTGCCCATACTTTTCTCTGGTTTCTGCTCTACGTTGTGCATGTACATTGGTCAAGACTTTTGTGCAATTAAATCGGGCAGGGCTGTATAGACCTAGACAAGGCTGGGAGCATCGATCACAAACTTGAAGTCCTTGAAAATGTATCTGTATTTGCATTTCTACTTCTATATCCAGAGCAGAAAGAGAATATGTCAGTCTATTGAGTCATGGTTGAGACGCTACACCTTCTCCAGCCTCAAGTCATTCATGAACATGTAGCGGCTGATGGTGATCCACCCCCAGCGGAACCACACCATCTGGCTGACGTGCGCACGCGTCATGGCCTCGCGCGCCGTGGCCCAGCCGCCGGCCCCGAAGCCGTGCAAGAAGACCAGCGCGGCGGGGCGCCTCCGGCCGTTCTTGTCCTTGCTGTTGATGCCCTTGTTTCCTCCTTGCCTCGTCCCCGCGCCCGCGCCGGAGCCCCGCCAGACGTCCAGCGCCGTGGCGCCCAGCGTCGCGAAGACGTCCATTATGCCGGCGTACTTGCGCGCCACGCCCACCGAGGTCAGGGTGTACATGTCGACGGGGCTGGCCCAGCCGGGCCGGTTGGCGGTCAGGGAGGCGACGAAGTGGCGGGCGCCGTGGTAGAGGGAGATGTGGTTCGGGTGGGAGGAGATGCCGCCGCTGTCGAAGGTTATGAGGACGTCTATCGTGGCCTTTGGGGGCTCGGAGATCGTGTCCTTGTTTGAAGGCGTGGTGGTTTTGTTGTTGGGCGCGAAGGCGTCGCGGAGGAGGGTGGAGATCTTTTCCGTCGACCATGTTGTTGTCATGGAGTCGGGGAAGTTCCTGGTCGGTGTGAGATGTGTTAGATAGCTCAATTAGCAGTATCCAAACAAGGGACACGACATACACATCATCATCAACCACGAAGACGTCCTCCCCTTTCCGCAGCCCCAGCACCATCCCGCTCTTTACCAGCTCCCTCTTGCGCGTCTCTCCCAGCCCGGCGGCGTCGCCGCTGCTCAGGCACAGGATCTTGACGTGGTTGCCCAGGTCCGGGCGCGTCAGGGCCAGCACGGTGGGCGCGAAGAACATGGCCTCGTCGTCCGGGTGGGCGATGAGCAGGCAGATGCGCCGGTTGCGAAGGGTCGGGAACCGCGCCGACGCGACGCCCACTGTGTACAGGTACAGCGTGGGGATGAGGAGGGCCACGAGGCCCACGGCCGTCAGGGCTGGATACATGATCAGCACGTGAGGGTTCGTGTTCACGTTCACGTTCATGGTTTACGGCGCATGTGTGGGAGTTGCCCACGGGTGCGGCGCTGTGACTCGGTCGGGTGGTGATATTGTTTGGGTTCTTGGTTTTGGAGCTCTGGCTCGGTCGCACAGCGGTGTGTGGACAGTCTTGACTGTTGGAAAGGGATCGGGTGGGTTGTGAACTGGCGGACGAATTGAGCTATTGTTGACTTTGTTGTTGCTGCTCCCCGGGCGAGTGGCTCGAAGGGTCACGCACCTTGTTGGCACGTCGAGGATCCCCTGCCGTTGCCAAGATGACGCCAATCCAGGGGCCGTCAGCCCTGTCGGAGGGGGGGGGGGCAGCTCGAGCTCCCACTCGACAGGGGTTCGAGCTTCTGGAAGCCCAGCCTCGGCTTCTGTCGAGACTCGCACGACAGCCACGCGACACTCTCGTATTTCCACCCAAAGCCTCCTCGGCCGACAAAACCTCCTTTCAAGATTGGCTACGAGGCCAACAGGATCACCGACAATGGTTCGCGAGCGCAAAGAGAAAAGGGCCAAGAACATCAAGCTCAAGCAGCCTGACCGGTCCGGCCCGACGGACAAGACGCTGCTCGACATGGCCAACGAGAGGAACCTCTTCAAGCAGGCCGCCGCCAAGGAGCGCAAGAACAAGCGCCAGAATGGGGAAGGGGCTGAGGACGATGATGATGACGACGAAGAGGAGGGCATACCTCCTGGTGCAGAGCGCATCCTCGAGACGCTGCTCTACACCGTGTCCCTGAGCATGCTGCACCTCACCCTCGACGTGCTGGTGCAGCAGCAATATGCCATCGAGATGGAGTGGTTCAAGATCATACAGAGGGCTCTCCAGGCACTCATGGGTATGCTCTCTCTTGCATTCCCTGTTCTGGCCCTCCTGATATCCTTGCTAACATGTCTTTCTTGCCTGAACACAGTCTTCACTGCCCTCGTCTACGCTCTTCATCCCCACCATGCCGCCACCACCGTCGTCCCCGGTCTGCCCCAGCGCTTCCAGAACCACACCCGACAGGCGATATTCCTCGCGATGGGAACGGCCGCCGGGTGCTACTTGATCCACATCACCAACAAATACAGCTATATTGCTGTCCTGAAGCAGGCCCCCGGCCCTTGGGTGTCTCTGGGTCTGGTCCATCATCGAGCTGAATCTTGGCCTGGCCGTGGCTAGTCTTGCCGCGTCGGGCTTCTTCTTCTGGCAAGGAGGATATACTATTCGGTGAGCCGGTGTCGAAATGGCCAGCGGCCCATTCGCGGACTCAGATCCTGTCATGTGTTTCTGATAGGGAGCATCTTTAACTACAATGTTCAGTGTGAGCGGCTGTAAGCCATTTTTCTTACCGGCAAACCACAACAGACAATGGCCTGTCTCCACAGGGGTTGTTCCTAAGCTTCCAGGTCGAGACCGAACACCAAGTAAGACGTCGAACGGAATGCAAAGTCTTTTCCATGTGGTCCAGGGGCATGTAGATGCAAGCAAGACACCCTCTATCGCGCAGCGATTATGGAAACCAAGGACGAAACAACCAAGGGACCAACGGACTTGGCACTGGACGGGGGTCATTGAGGACAATAACGTATTCCATTTGGACCTCGGACACCACGCTGTACCAAATCGCAAGCACAAGCGATCGAACATCAATTTATGTTCTATGCACCACCCGCTGGCTTTGAGAATACAAGCAGCCCATGTCGATCATGCCAACAGCTCCTTGATGGTCTTCTCATACCCCTCCGGTTTCCTGCCCAGTATCTCCTCCAGGTCCCCAGTTACCAGTGCGGCCTCGCCATCCTTTATACCCTCCCAAGCAGTCGCCCATGTCCTGCACTTCTCTTCGGACCCAAATACCTGCAGCACCTGCGGCAACTTGACGTAATCATCAACTCTCACGTGCCGAATTTTGAACGTCTTGCCAACCGTCTTCCCCAGAATCTCCACCGTCTCCGCCAAGCTGATCTCCCTGTCCCCTGAGAGAAGCACCTTGCCGTTCACAAGCCGCTGCGGGAACTGGCCGCCAACCCCGCAATACCGCGCGATCAGCCGTGCAGTCGCCTCGCCAAGCTCATCCCGCTTAACCCAGCTGACACCGCGGCCGCCACCGTCATGCGGGATCTGCACCTCTGAGCCGTCCGCCACGGCCTTGGGGTCCAAGAACGCTGTGTAAATGGGGTACGACTCCGAGTACAGGCCCTCACGGACAGACGTGTAAGTGAACCCAGGATCCTCCTTTGCGAGCGAGTCCAGGCGCGCCTCGCTGTCTAGATGCGCCTGCATCACGACCGCCTTGGAGTTCGCTTTGAGGGACTGGCCGGCCGCATCGCTGCCAAAACCCAGGCTGCTGTAGAAGATGTGCTTGACAGCAGCGCGCTTGGCGGCGTCTATTGCCGGGAGTTGCACCTTGAGTCTTGTCTCAGCACGACTGTTCTCCATATACACATCCTATCTCTAAGAGTAATTCATAAGAACTCAACTGAACTCAACTCACCTTCACCCGGTACTCGTGCACGTGGCTGGGGTACGACACCAGGAACAGCACGTCCAGCCCGCTGAAGGCGAGCTCCAGCTCCTGCGGCGACGACTCGTACGAAGCCTTGCGCACCCTCACGCCCGCGTCGCGGTACTCCGCCTCCACCTTCTCGGGGTACCGGTTGATGAGCGTGACGTGGTCGTTGGGCACCAGCTTGAGCAGGTGCCTGTAGGTGCTGCCGCCCAGGGCGCCCGATGCTGGGAAGATGCCCACCTCCTTCATGCCCATGGTGGTGATGTTTGCCGGGGTGTGGCTGTGTGAGTTGTAGATGTGCGTGTAGCGGGTGATGCTGGGGATTATGGCGTGTTGTCGTTGCTCTGGTGGGCTGCTCATGCGGTCCGTCTTGCCCTCACTTATAATGACCTTTGGTGCTGATCGTGTTGGTTGTTGAATGATGATGATACTGTCAGTTTATATAGCCCCACTCAACAAGCCGTGACGTTATCAAGACTGCCGTATCCTTAGGTAAGGAGTTCCTCTTATAAATCCTGAAGCTATTCCCCACCCGCTTATGGGGACGTGTTGCAGCATTCCATCCAGGTTCCAGAATCTTGACGTTCGATGACGACAAGGGTGTTGGGAATAGCCGACCATTCCTTTTCTCCGACGTTAGATCTGCCCACACCCAGCCCGTCCACACCCACCTTTTTCTCCTTTCCCCCACGGCAGTCGGCTGGCAGTTTACAACTTTCTCGTGACTCGGTGCCTGCTCGCATGGCACATGTGAAAGCCAAGACATTCTAATGGTCTGCTTATTTTCGAGAGGTTCTGTACCTTACCCTTAAACGCCGAGTCAGGGTTGGTAATGGGGTTAACGCCTAAATCGTTACTCCTCTGGATTAGTCAGCCATTCGACGTCTTGTTCGGCAGACATGCCCGAGTCCTCTATTTCTCAGCATCGCCGAAAGACGCCATGGACAGACAAACAGGCGGCGATGGCTACGTGTTATCCAGTCACTTTTTTCCTTGCCACCTTTCTCTTCGTCTCTGCTATTAGAGCCCCATCGTAAGGCCCGGGTGAATTTACGGATCGAAGAGACGTGATAATTGGCTCAGATAATGTCCTAGGTGGTAAGTGGCTATTCCAACTCAAGTGAGACGTCTTAACACTGTCAGCTCAACGTTACTACTAGGTATGCAAAACGAACGCTTGTAATGTGAAGAATTTCCCATAGATGGGCTGCCAACCAGTGACCGCTAGTGGATCAGCAGCAGCCTTGTTCCAGGAAGCCTTGCTGGTTCACAGGACGAATAGAAATGTAGGTCCCGGAACAAGATTCATTCCTGAGTCTAACTCTGTGCACAACTGTAGGCATCACGAGTGCATATATAAATACGCTTCTGACGCCTTCTCCCCCCCCCCCCCCCCCCCATCATGCTACAGCAACGAGACACAATTCGCCAAAGCCCAGATTCCAGTTCAGCAAATACGCTAACAGGTGTTCATTGACCCACCCGAAGGACCCAGATACACGCAGCAAAGGCCTGCCTCCCTCTGGTCCTTTGGTGAAGCAAGCCACATCGCGTCCATGGCACACCTCTTCGTCGTCGCGCCCGAAAGGTAAAAGGTCAGCAGCACGCCGGAGCCCCAGTACCTGCAGCCCCAGCCGTCGACATCGCCGCATTGGGCACGGAGATTATCGAGGGCCCCCTTCCCACAGCCATCGCTTTCTTGGCCCCAGCCGTCCAGGTAGACTGCAAGTATTCAAAGTTAGCAATCACAGCACCGAGGAAGTAGTTCCGTGCAAGTGTCAGGGTGAATAGCCACGCTATGGCTATGACGTCTTAAAATCTGCAGCCTGATGTGGGAGAACCAAGGCACAGGCTGGACATGAGAGCCACTTCATAAAGGGGTTTAAACTGCATCTGATAGCTGCTTACTTGCATAGAAGCCCGTGCCGACCCAGCTGCTCGAGGTGAAGCAGAGCGATTGGCGCCCGTTGGACCAGCGCTGCTCGGTGCCGTCCGCATTGGGATTGATGGCCGTGGTCTTGTTTGAATCGCCGTTTAAGACTTCAGAGAATACGGCAGGAGTCAAGTCGAAGGTTGGTACGGCGGGACAATTGGTGGCGCTGGCCACGGCCGTGACAGTCGTGGTGTTCGTGTCCGTACCACGTTGAGGGGCCGCAAAGTCTCCGCGATAGCCGTTAGCCATCACGCTGGCGATGACGGAAGCAGCAGCTGAAGCGTCGGCAGCGTTGGCCAGGGCGTTGGCCACGGAGAGTGGAGTGGCATCCCCGGCGAGGCCGGTCATACACATGGATTCCGTCACGGTGACGGTCACGGCGGCAGGAGTGAAGTCGTCTGGCAACACGGTCGTTACGGCCATCACCGCAATGGCCAAGGGGGGAAAGACAGGAATGAAATTCATGTTTGTTTTCTTTGGGATGATGGATTGTTTGTGTTTGTGGCATGAAGAAAGTCTGTGTTATGGCTGAGTTGGATTGTCGAGAGTGCTTCTTGGAAGAATACTGCAATATAAATAGTAGTAATCGCAGTGGCAGACTGCGTTGCCAGGCCTCAATCAAGGAATGAGATGTCACCAATCCAGAGACTGGAAGTGAATGGATCCATTAACTGGAAGTACCATCAATCCAGTGACTGGAGTGCACCAAAGCACACCCAGATGATCAAGTTGGGCCTTTTTGATGGCTACCTGGAATTAATATAACCATTTAACAATAAATGATCTTCCTGTTACTTCGCTCATGTAAATATGCTTGCTCTTCACATTACTGGCCACTTGGTGCAAGGCTTTAAGCTTCCTTAGTAATTATCACTAATAAGCATGAGTAAACAGCCAGTCCCCAACTAGTCATTATTGGAATTAAAGGTTCAACCCATTAAACAATATATACACGTCTTCTCGGCATAAAAGGCCCCTCTAGCACTGAAGCCCGGCCTTTCCAGGGCCCCCCTCCCTTACTGACAGGCATACTCCTGCCAGATGGCAGTGCCCACTCCGCACGACGTTCCGTAGATGGTGAGAGGCAGGTCGACGCACGAGTGCGTCTTCTCGCCGTTGGTGGCAACGGCCGTGACCTGCGACGCAGCATCGCCCTTCTCGGCGCTGTCGGCGCACAGCAGCGACAGGCCCGTGACGCCCTCGAGCGCGAACTCGTGCCCGCACAGCGGGTTCGACGGGAACCCGCTGTTGTCGGCCTGCACGACCGCGGTGCGCGTCGCGTTCGTGTTGGGGTTGCACGCGTCGCCCATCGTCGTCCGGGTCGGCGTCCACGCGACGTGCTCGTGCCCGTGCGAGTAGGCCAGCCAGCCTAGCGTGATGGGGAAGGCGTTGGCGGCGGGCTCCGAGGTCTGGCGGACTGCGGTGGGGCTTGCTGTTGCGGTGGCGGCCAGGGCCAGGGCGGTGATGGCGATGTTGGTGTACATTGTGACGGTTGCTGGGTGTTGGTGTCGCTTGGGTTTGGTTTGATATTGCGAGTTCTTCGGGGACAAGTTTGTCTAGGTGTCTAGTTGCTCGATTGGGGTAGCACAGCGTTTATGCGACAGCGGCTAATTTGACAGGAAGTAATTAAACGAGATTAAGAGGCGGCAATGTTGATCGAGATGAGGTGTTCATGAAAATGCTTCTGGGGCTTTATGGAGAACGATTGAGCTGGAGTTATATCTAATTCCAGTAGCTATTAGTCTCATCCTTCAATCAACAGAGAAATCGGGCGAAGGATTGCTGGCTATCTTTAACGCAGCACGAGTGGCCATGTTCTGCTTTCCTTCCTTCGGTAAGTAACACTCCAAATACGAGTTTTATCAGCTGACTGTGGAGATAAAATTGCTTCGCCTCGCCACGCCAGACTCAGCTCTAGAGCTCGTACAGCGTAGAGCTCGTACAGCGGAATGCTCGCCGCGGCTGGGGTGACATCAGCCCCGACACAGTAACGCTCAGTCTCACTAAAGGTCTTTGAATTCGCGGTTGTCGAATCAAAAATTGATGTGGCGGCACCATTTACTCGTAATTCTGCCAGTGCCGCAAGCCGGTTCTTCACTTGCATAAGAAAGCTATGAAAATTGAAACCGTTTTTACTCTGGTCATCTGAATCAGATTTTGGTAGCTTTTATAGCAACACAACCCTCCCCTTCCCCCCTTCTTATGTGCTGGGAGACAGTAGTCCTGTCCCTCCGATGTGGTCTTCGAAATATCGTGGTCAATCTCCTGAACAAAACGGCAAGATTTTGCAACACCGTCATCTTGAGAACGCCTTTCTATGCAAAGTATGCTTTGCAGCACGTTCAGGTGTACATCGTGAAATCTGACATTGTAAACATTATAGAAGGTTCAAGTTATCCTGGTGTGTTGTCCATGTAAGCTTGGGCCTGTCGTGCTACCCGACCTGCAAGCCTCCATGTTTGGCCGTGTGGCGGGGTCCTTGCTGCCTGCCAGAGTTCGTTGATAGCTCCGTCGCCAATCCTACAGTCACTCCCTTTCCATTGCTGTTGATCATATTTTCATCTTTACAATAGACCATCCAAGAGCCTGAGACTACTACCGTTCAGGTCCTGAGATTGAAGATAATCATCAGTCATCCCCAATGTCCCTGACATTCATCGTTTGACTGATAGCTGGTCACCTATGGCATCTACGAGCCACTTGACATGGAATGAGTCCGGAGCGCTCTGTTCCGTGTGTAGGCATCTCGAAACTCATTGCCCTTTACCTGTGCAAGTGAACATGTACGTGATTGGGAAAGGCACGGGTGCCAATATCACCATCTCACAACCTGTATCCGAGTTCGACAAGTCGGCCGACCAAGGCTGCCCCATCTGCTGGGTTATAGCCAGCATCGGCCGCCTGGACGATGATCTGATCGATCCTGGGATGAGACTTTCTGTCTGGTTCGATGCCTACGGCAACTCGCGAGTATTGTGCGGCGGCCGATTACTTCATATATACATTCCCGAGGGCAACCCTTCACGTCAGTCCAGATACACGTCAGCGCATTTCTTGATTGTCAACACATCATGCTGAAATGTTCCAGGCGCTCCCGATCAGTGGACACCGGCACTTGGATCCATCCAGGTTAAAGCTGACATCTCTCCAACCGCATGGTCAGAGTCGGCGCAGAAATCCGTACAAGCTTGCATCCGGAGATGCACTCAGGATCATGACAGGTGCAAGCTTGGGGAAACCCTACTCCCCGCGCGAGTGCTTGAAGTCAGAAACGTCGGCGATGGGAAATTACGGCTCCTCGAGACGCAAAATAGCAGTTCCGGTCAGTACACAGCCCTCAGATACTGCTGGGACAGTGACCAACCGCTAAAAACAACCTCTACAAACATCAAAGACATGATGACGACCGGGGTGCAGCTCTCCGAATTACCACCGACACTCGTCGACGCAGTCCACGTCACTCGCTTACTGGGCATTCGGTACCTCTGGATCGATGCGCTCTGCATTGTCCAAGACAATGTTGAGGATTGGGAGAGGCAGTCTGAGCAGATGTCAACTATCTACGAGAAAGCGTACCTAGTAATTGCGGCGTCCTCGTCTTCTTCCGCGACGCAAGGCTTTTTGAACCACCAAAGAGAACAGCACCCGTACTACCTGAGGCTGCCCGATAGATATGGCACACAAGCAACCGTCGCAGCCCAGCTGATCCCTGAGTCCGGGATCCACACCCGCTCCCAAAAGACAGACCCCTGGACCAGTGAGCCTGGGCCTTCCAGGAGAAAGAAATCTCGACGCGGTGCCTGATCTTCTCAGTGGATGAGCTGCAGTGGGTGTGCAAGACGGAGAAAGATTGTGAGTGCCGCCTGCCCGCCGCGTCGAACTCCTACCATTCCATGCTGCGGGGCTACTGCGACGGCACGCATCAGGACCAAGTCGCCAGCACAGAGCTCACGCTTCGGGCCGGGCATGAGTGGTGCAAAGCAGTCAGCGACTATAGCCGCCGCCGGCTGACCCGCGCCGACGACAAGCTTCCAGGCATTCCGGGCATCGCCAGCAGATTTGCAGCCGGGATGGGGTTCCGGTATGTTGCCGGCCTCTGGGCGGAGGATATCATCCAGGGTCTCGCGTGGAGGCGGGACTCATCCAGTACGCTGCCACCTGCTCTACTTAGAGCTCCCCTTCCCGCTGATTATAGGGCACCTTCTTTCTCGTGGGCGTCGATCAACGATGGGGTGTCCCATGTCGCTTATCCATCGGATCGGGCACGGTACTGGATCTCATGCTGCTCGCTTTCTGATGTAGTGACCAAGGTCCCTGGGCGCAACCCTTTTGGGAAAGTGAGTGATGCCTGGGCAGCAATCCGAGCGCCGGTAGCCAAAGGCTTTATAGAGCTCGGCTCCAAGGCAAAGTTTCACTCAGACCACGGAGAAATAGAAATAGGCCTCCATCTGGATTCTGCTGTGGCCGAATTTAATAGCTACACTGCAGAGGACAACAAGGATGTGAGATCAGTGCGACGATGTAAATTCCCGCGACGCAAAGAGTTCCAGAGAGAACAATCCGGGGTGGGTGATGCGTCTAACTCACCTGTGGAATCCGGTGGAACCCAGGAAACAATGCAATCAAGCTTCCGTGAGGCGTCCGTATGGCTGCTACACCTGGGCAGATCAACTTGGGACGGAGGAGCTCATCCAGTGACCGCGGATATTTCTGATTTTTACCTCGTTCTGGGAAAATCACCGCGTGATCCACAGAAGTACGAGAGGATCGGGTGTTGTTTTGGATTTGATGGGCGGCCGCTTGCCGAGCACCACAGCAGGTTCACCACGCAAACGATTATCATCCTGTGAGACTGCAGCCAGTGCGCTTATCTGAACCTCAGAGTGAAGCGTAGTTGCACCTTGGCATACACCAACAGGTCTCAAAGTAGTAACTTGGACCAGTTCCCATTTTCTGAAGAAGAGCAAAACCAGAGGCCTGGAGGGAGAATGCCAATCCACATCAAACAAAACCACTCTCTAGTCGGCGAATCAAATAGCTTAATTCGTATAAACTCAAGTCTGTCTTTTATCACACAGTAAAAATTTTTCATATTATAATTCCCGGATCATAACGTATCAAATTGGAAGAATAAATGAATGTTAAAAATGAGTTTTCTTGGTGTGAAAAGTGGGCTGAATCAGCCCTGGAAAGCGGTGGGTTGAACTTGCACCACTACCTAGGTAGACTCACTAGAGTATTTGTGCCAGTACACTCGAACACAGACAGGGACGAAGATAGAATACTTTTTTCTTTGAGCTCCTCTGCTAAGCCCAAATCACAATGATTGTCCTCGTAGAACAAGAGAGCATGTAATTTGTAGACAATTACAGTCATCTTTGCTACGCACAACGGGAAACACTATAAAAGATGATTCTGCTCACATCTTGTCCTGAGATTTGACTTTCAACTCTCGCATTCAATTCGCCTCTAGGTGGAGGGCCAGGGCCGTTTCTCCATTCCACCCCGAGGTCTGCATTGCAACATATGCCCCATTGCTGTGTGGTAATAAGAGATCGGGTAATACCTGGGTTACACGCCAAAGGCATCGCTTGCATGGTCACCTAGACAACCTTGGAACACAAATCCTTCATCGCAACAGGAAACCAGTAAACCGTCGTCACACATCTTGACATTGAACACATCACAGACAGGGTCAAAATTGTATACACCATCAATCTCCAGTTTTCATATTCACACCGGGTAGCTCTAACCTCGGGCTCCATACGCATAGATGCGGGATATCAACCAAGCCAACGATGAAAAAAGACATTACTAATCTGTTGCATTCTAAAAAGCCATGTTGAATGTGCGTCGTGCACATAGGGGGTATCAGCCCAATCCCAGTTTCCGTTGAAAAAAGAAAAGGAAAAAAGTGTGAACACCGTATCCAGGGGGGAAAAAAGTTGACAGTTGAGAGAAGAGTCCCAGATTCCTCCCTTCGTCACAATGCTATGCCATGCCATTCCACGCTCATGGACTCATAAAAAAAAACCGAAAACGCTGACCTGGAGGACGCAACCAAATGGAGTGAGAGAATATAGAAAAATCACCGATGACCCTCGGCGCTGTTCCTCCTACTACTCCTCGCACTAGCATGTCCACTCCCGCTCGGCCCACCCAATGCACCCGGTAGTGGCCGGTGTCCGTCAAGTGTCTCATAGACCTCCTCGAAGTCCACTGGTGGAGTGGGGAAGTTGGGCTCATCCGAGTAGGCGGGCGGGCTAGGCGGGACGTCCTGGTAGATTGGGGGCGCCTCGTTGTCCCAAGAGATACCGATGCCGCCGCGCTCGGTGAGGACGGTGCCGAAGTGCATGCGCAGGATGCGGCCGACGCCGGTCTGGGTGACGAGGCTGGGCTTGCCGACGGGGGCGCACTCCTGCGAGACGACCATCTCGAGCATCAGCTGGTGGCCGACCTCGGTGCCGTCGCGGGCCTTGAGGTCGCAGCTGTACTTGGCGTGCTTGCTGAGGGCGTAGTCGAGCTCCAGCTCGACGCTCGAGTCGGTCGGGCCGGCGTAGTTTGACTTCCACCCGGAAAAGAGGGTCTTCTCGCCGATGGTGCGGGTTTCGGTGCGGGCCACGCCCCTCTTGCGCATCTGCTCCTGCTGCTCCTCGGTGGCGCCCTCGATCTTGGGCATGTGCTTCTCGCACGCCGGGGCGACGGTCTTCATGGTCTCCTCGAGGCGCCATGTGAGTTTCTTGAGCTTCCAGTACTCGATGGTGTTGGTGGCGGAGTTGACCTTTGCGATGCCGTCGAGGCGCATGGAGAGGGTGTTTGTGCCGATGGGGTGGATGACCTGCTGGTAGTGCACACTGGCCTTGACGTTGGTTGGGGGGAAGACGCGGACCGAGTGGTGAGGGAGCTCTGGCGGCGGGAGCGAGCGCTTGACGTCGAAGAGCTTCTCCAGCTTGATGGGGTGCTGGTTTGGCCCTGCGGGGATGGCCTCGGCCTTGAACTCGTAGGCGATGCTGGCGATGGGGTTATCCATGGTGGCTGGGAGGTGGCCGTCCAGCAGCACGGAGAAGGGAAATTGGTGAGTGCCTTGCTTGAGGGGCATGGCATGCGGCAAGAGGACCCATTCCTTGATCAGGGTGTGCTGGTTGGCGCAGTCGCCGCAATGCACAGTGAATGGCTTCTTCTGGGTGACGTGGATGTGCAGGGTGGCCTTGAAGCTCTCGATGTCGTAGGACTCGTCCTTGATCTCCAGGAACAGCTGGCCCGAAACGAGGGCACCGGAGCTGGTCTCGGCGTCGCCGTGGAATATTATCGGGGGCGACTCGATCTTCCAGGTGAGGCTCGCGTGGGGATTTGAGTGGACGTCCCTGCTCGAGCGACCGAGGTGCAGGGCGTGCAGGCCGGGGAACGATATCCTGTGGTGCTCCTTGTCCTTGTTGTGGTCGTGGTGTGTCTCCTTTGACCACAGCCGTGGCGTTTCTGTGGGCCGCCTGGAGACGGGTGCGGGTGTGTGCTCTCGTGAGCTGTCCATGTCGTCTTCTATTGAGGATGCGTACGTGGAGACGACCCTCTCCTGGCTCCTGGGCTCGCGGTCCGAGAGCCCGCTATTTGTCCTGTTTGGGGACTTTGTCCTGCTCCTGATTGTGTTCTTCTTGATTGCTGTGACCTGGTGCTCAAGGGTTGTGGTGGAGTTGCGGAAGAAGTTTGCTACGCGATGCGGCATCTTTTCTGGCGGGTGGTGGTGGGAAGCCACACCGGATGAATTCCCCCCTGCCGGTCCGGCGCGTATAAGTGGGATGCCCGATGCGGCAGTAGCCAGCGAGCCCAGTTATTGTCTGGTTGGGCTTGCACGTGTAGTGTGTGCTCAAAACTGTGCACTGCTTGATTCGCTCCGTGCAGTGCCTTCCTTGGTCCTTGTTGGTGGCGGTAGTAACAATAATAACAATAATGCTGGGTGACGTCTTGGTCGTCGATGACGAGATCAGGTCCAGAGGTGGGATGAAGAGGGAGATGGTGATGCAATTGTATCGTGGTGTGTTGTGTGGCTGATCGGCCTTCAGACAGAATTAACAACAGCCTCGAGACACTCGGAAGTTCGTGTTGCCTATTTTTATTCTCCTGTCGCCCCCAAGAAATCCGGCCCCAAAACGGACGTTGGGTACTCGAGCGTCGGTGGTCGGTGAGCCCAGTCCCACTACCGGATCTGGCGATGGTGGAAGGATGAGTCGATGTGCTGTGGTCGGCTGACTGGCTGACTGGCGCCCTTGTGCCTTCCGTTGCTGGCCGATAGTCGGATCCCCGCTGAATCGGGCGTTGGCTGGATGGTGCAAGTGCAGGTACAAGGTGCAAAAGCGCTGACTGCAGGCACGAGAGACAAACGCTTGCAGCTCGGCTTCCCCCTCTGCCGTTTGCTTTGACGTTTCGAAAAACTTGTTCGGCGAGAACGGCTGAATGGGCACAATCCTCCTCCTGGTGGGCGATGACTTGTGATGGTGATATTCGTGAGGATGTATCTTTCTTTCCTTGGGCCAGCTGTGGCGTGATGTTGCCAGAGTCGTGTAAGTCGTTGCTGCTGGTTATTCCCGGGTGACTGGCTGGGGAAATGGAGGGGTATCTCTGGGCTGCAGCTGTGCTGGGAAGGGTAAGGTGACGGCTTGTCCGTCCAGGTGATAGCTGACAGACAATGGAGTAGTATAAATCCAGAACAGTCAGACGCAGAACTGTCTGGTTGAAGGTGCGGCCTCGGATCTTTTATTTAAGAATAAGAAAAATTCCCACAGATCTAGATCCGCAATCTGATGAAGAGGGAGAAAAAGCTGTCAACATCAAATAAATCATCGTGCACCCACACTTGCAAGCGAGCCTCGTGCCAAAGACGTCCCTTATGAAAGAAGAGGTTCGTCCTGGGGGTTTCCATCAAGTAATGAATGACACATTGCATCAGGGGGGTTCCTGGGCCAGGCGCTGGAAGTCCCTGGCCGCCCCTGTTCTTTTACCCGTCACAGCGCCTGCGCGCCAGCAAGACACAGTAGCAGCAGGGCACCTTTAGCCGACACTTCGGGCGCATCAGGCCACTGGTGAGCCTGGGATGACTCCTCCCGTGCGCGCCCGGGTACGTACTGCCCTTTGTAGGGCGCATGGTACGAGCCTGGAAGGTACCACGACGGGCCCAAATCGGCGATCGGCTACAAGGCCATCCAGGTTTTCAATGTACAGTACGTACCTACCTTCAGATCGTACGGACATACTTCAAGTGCTTGCTCACGAAGGTTCTCAAGACGATGGTGTGCCAGCCTGCTTTGCTGGATGGGCGGATGGATTTGTATCACGCTTTTTGAAAAGGACGAATGGTGCATGTGTTTTCGTGACCTGGCCTGGTCAGAGTATCTCGCACATAACCGTCAGGGGCGAAGGCCGAGATAGATCTAGGTATGAAGCAAGAATGAGTGAATTTGAGGGTCGAGACTTGTGGAATTTATGGTTGTTTTGGGAAGTGACGATGGCCTCATAGCCCCAGGGGAGAGGACCTTCATTTCGGGTTCGCCTCGCCCTTGCCGCTGCGTGCTGCATGCTGTGCTTGGGCATCTGGGAAGTTGGACGTTCCACAATTCGTCGACGGAATCACCGTGGTCATGCTGTTGCTCTCTCATGAACACCATGTGCGTGTACTATGACTACGGCACTACTGCTGCATGCTCTCGCATTACTGAAGCCATCACGACATTGTCATCATCAGTGAGGGATTTGAGTGATCACCAGGCAGGAGGTACGTGCATGGGGTACATTACTGTAGATACATCGTCGAGGTATCGTCAGGGTGACTGCCTCCGCGAAAAAGGACCCCTCTTCTCGTGGCCCCATCTGCCTCTCCATTTGGGTCCAGCCGTCAACTTTGAGTTCCAGTTTCCAGTTTTCAGTCTCCAGTCCCCAATTCCAGTTCCGGTTCCAGCCCTGTGAGGACGTGGCCCAGGAGCACGAGGCCCAGGTGGAGGAAGCAGGAGGCAGGAGAGAGGAGGGGCCAGCAGTTCTTGCCTATGCGCACATTTGAGCAACATCGACAAACCTTACCTCCCTTACCTTGAGCAGGAAAGTGCCCCACCACTGCCCAGGCTGACAGGGCGATCATCGGCTGGGAAGAAGGTTTGACAAGGTCAGGCACGCCGCAGAGCCTCTTCTGTCAATCAGTCATCAGTCAATTTTGGAGGTCAATCACGGTCAGTCAACCCCTCAGTCTGCCTCTGTGCCCCTCCATCCGCATCGGGATGTGACTACACAAAATTCGGGCACTGCGCCTTCTCTCCTCGAACGTCAATCGCCGCATCAGTGAGATCAGAGCAAGATCGATTTCTATTCTTGGCAACAGCAAATAACAGGTCTCCAGCCATTCATCTAGACTGGGTACATCCGTACTTGTAGCCTCCTTGATCGCCTGTCATCAGTCAGTTCTTTTCGATATTCTGATCAGATCCCACTTGCACTCGTCATCCTCTGCGCCGCTCCCCCATGCTTCTCCTTCTCCAAAGCTTGGACGAATCGACATGATGGAGCCATGGGTTTGCATGTGTCCCAGAAAGTGGGCTGGGAACAGTACAGTACATACTCTGCACAGGGTTGGCCCCCTGACTCATCCGCCAGAGCCTTTTCTCACATTTGGAGGCCCGACTCGGTCGCACATTTGAGTTTTCACGCCATCCAGCAGCAGCCGGCTTCCATCATGGGTACAGGCCCGGGGCAAATCCACCAGCGTCCAACTCCTATCGATGAACCCACCCACGATTCATTGGCACTACACTGGCAGGATGGTCTTGTCTGGGCTATGGACCCTCTACCCAAGGACGTGCCCCGTTTCGGCTTGAAGCGGTCCTTGGTTGTTGGACGGGACTTGGAACCCTGGACAGAAATTTTCCATCCTTTGCCTTGTCAGGGCCCAAGCACCAGACCAACAGAGCTCGCAATTTCTGCCCGCCTTCACGAACTACCGTCGCTCAATTCCGTCACATGGCGCAAGGCCCGCCGCTTCATTGGCTGCGACCTGGAAAAGCCGTTGTTTGTCCCCCCCCCCCCCGTGGCCCCCTGGACTCCGTTCCGGATACTCTGCGGCACAGTCAGCTGTCGTATGTACCCGTTTCTAGACCGTGTACTACTGAATCCAGCGAGAACCAGCAGAGTTTTCTCAATTCGCCATCCACCCCCATCCAGCACATCCCTACCGGAGGCTACCTCCCTCCGATGTGGTTCTTTTAACGCAAATATCACGGGGTCCAAATTCCCGTCTGATCAGATGGTACCAAGGTACCATTGAACCTCAGACCCGGCCCCCAAGAGAATTTGTTTGACCACGCCTTGCGAGCCCTTGGCAAACCTTTCGTCATTCACATGCGCGCTCACCCCAGAAGTTTCTCAATGTCAATGCGAATACCTCGCTCGAAGCAGGAGCCCGAATTTCGGGAGGCGTCCCAGACAGTTGGGACTGGTTTCACAGAGCATAGAAAAACCATCAGATAGACGGCACTGGTGTTACTCTTGTGATGGTCAGCCCACGGGTCAGCTGTCGCGTACACACAAAGGAGACGTCTCCGCGGATGTCCGCTGCTCTCGGGCTCGCTCCCTCATCAATACCTCATGAGCATGGGTGGCTACCCCGGACGCCCATAACATCACTTGGCCATCTTGAAGCTTTCGAGACGATCTATGGTACCCGCCCTGCAAGCCACTTTTGTGTCACGCGGCGCCCATCGACCGGGTCTTCCTGTCGTCGCCCACTCAACAGCCGTGATGCCCTCCCCGCATTCTTGTTGCGCTGCCCTCGCCCTCAGTTTGGGGTCGTTCCCACGTCACACAGACATACCACTACAGTATAACCATGACGATGGGTAGCCAGCCTACTACCAAGTACAGTAAGATCCGACCATCTCCGCGGAGCCGCATTCGGCGACCGTTGTCACATCGCTGGGCGAATACCATGGCGTAGGGAGTAGCGCCGGCCCGGCACACACTGGCGCGGAACACACAGTCCGGGCGTGCAATAACTCTTGCGCTTGCCAGGTGCAGCTGCGCAAGCCTTCTCCAGGCACGTTCTTGCAGAAGCCAGACCAAAATCCGGGGAACGCTGGGCCTCCACCCTTCTCCGCATTCAGCCAGAGGACGTCATCCACTGTCACGTTGAACGTGCCGTAGCTTCTGAGCTTCTTCAATCGGCCATTCCCATCGAGTTGTCGCGCACGATGGCTTTCGTGTGGTAGTGAGAATCATCTAATTGTCCGAGGAGAAGCAAACATCATCAGATATGTTTCGATTTACAGCTCGCAGGCGCGCATAGATGAGGTGATGGGCTTCCGCCGCACTGCCTGCATTGATTTTACATAATAGCCGTCTCCCTCCCGCCGAATAAGACGTCCCTCAGCACAGCACGTTTCACACCACCGCCATCGCGCAAGTCGGCCACGAGTGTCAGGCTTTTACAGCAGCTCAAGCTTTCATTTGCCTCTGCCCTGCCAGTACCTTGGCGGCCGGTTGCATGTGAGCTTTCCTTGTTCCCATTGTGGTTCATGCTTCGAGACGCCAGGGCGAGAAATTCTCCGGCCGCTGAGATCGAGTCGAGCTTCGCAGCAACTCTTGGCACCTTCGAATTATTGATGCCTTTTTCACTGGCGTCCAATCGGCGAGCTCCCCAGGCTTTCCAGACATCGTGCACTACTGGACATTGGAATACTTACTTGATGATTATTTGATAAGTCGTCACTGAAACCATCTCAGCATTTCACGGCATCATTATCGGCCTGTTTATGTTTGGTCCAAGTGGATACCAGTGTTCTTTCTCTTCGAAACTCTATGTACTGAGGCCATTAAAAGAGTTTTTTTTTTGTGTGTGTTTTTCACATGTCATGGGTCTATTACGTACATTCCCGCGTACAGATGCCGTAAACAGCATCGTGGGGCCCGCGACTTGGGAAGTTCCCAGAAATCCAGAACAGCGGGAGCTCCCATGTTTCGATCCGATTCATCGATCGTCAGGTACGAGACCATTCCGCCGTCGCATATTTGCGCGAAGCACAGGCCAGCCAGGTGTCAAGCGCCGGGAAAGGGCCTGATGCGGCGCAGCTCTCGAACGCCTGACGCCCCGGCTGCCGATGAGAGCCGCAGGCGGGCTGCGGGAGAGAGGAACGACGGATGATCTTTCGGAGCCGGCCGAAGGAGGCTCCCTATCCCACGACGACAAGCTGGGCATCTCTGGAACCCCGTGATACCAATCACCTGAGGCTTCACGGTCAAAACCAAGGCGCCCCTTTCCCCGTGCCTTGCCCCGGAAGACACAAGGCCACCCGCGAAATGCGGAGAGGGCGGATCGATGGAGATGCGAGGCCCGGCCCATGGGGTAAAACAGCGCCAGACAGCACGAGAATCAGGTGACTATCTGTCGTTCAAACTGCCTTACCGCCTAAACCTCCCGCACCCGTGCACCGCCCTCGAGATCAGGCGCGCACACAATGCATACACAAATACACACACATCCACACAAACCCACACACACAATGGTGACAAAATGGCCAGGTGTGACGTTACTATGAAATGGGTGCATCGTGGGCCCGCCTCCTACACTTACTGGTTTACTCGTTTCCAAGGCAGCCTGGCGCGCCGAGGCCTATCCTGGCATGTTCTGGAACGCACAATGTGGGTCCCCCAAGTGATGCTTTGGCTTGTTTTCTTTTCTTCTTTTCACCGTCTCGTTTTTTGCGACGACCTACCTTCTCCATTTGGAGGGCGAGTGCGAGTAGGACTAATAGTTTGTCTACGCTACGCCACACCGACGATCGCGCTGGGCTCGGTCCGGTGCATCTACGGCCTCTTTGCCTGCTATTAGTGGGTGGGAGACAGTGTACCCACCTCTGTTGTGGGTCCGGACGGAGTCAGAGGCGGCTCTGCAGCGTGGTTTCTCCCCCAGGGGTACCGGCCCGGGTTGAGGCCTGGCGGCTACAGTCGGGCTGGGAAGCTCAGAACTTCCTTTTGTTTTTCTCACATATCTGGAAAGTGAGACAGATCCTTTATTCCTTATGATGAATTGCATCATATGGGGACTTTTTGTCGTGCCTTGCGCCGAAATGATCTTGCGGAGGATGCCATGCAGTTAGGACTGGGTTGGGCTGCAGTGGTGAGGGCTGTCAGGCTGAGCCTCCTGCTGGAGTCATGTTTTCCAGGTCCACCCTATAGGAATGGTTCCAGGCGATGTGACTCTTCAATACCCGTCGGATATCAGACAGGAGCAACTACGAGAAAGAAAACGGTGGCGTATCAGTGGAAGGGCAGCCTGAGATCTGAGCACTTAAGTCTTCGACATCTGTCTCTGAGGACAGTAGGATTTGACTCATGTGTCCACCTATTCCTCTGGCAGTGGGATAGACCGTGTCAGTGACCGGGAAACGATTCCGATCATTTTGGTAGTGGCCATCGTCGTTTGCGCCGGGGAGGCCGTTCCGTGAACGGAACGCCGGCTCCAGGGATTGTTCACCCGAGCGCTCGGCGTCTTCCTGTCATTCTTCGGCGCTCGGCGCTCGGCTCACGGATCAATCGACCTGGTTCGGGAATTCAGACCACAGCGTCGCAGCGAATAGGGACGGTGGGCTTCCTGGAAGGCGTCAATCGTCCTTTGTCCTTGAATTTTCTCGCTATTACTAGACAGAGATGAGTGAATAGTCGTTGACTGAAGAATGCCATGTGCCTGGCCTATCGTCCTTGCTAAATGGTTCACTAGATGCATTTTGAGGAGACGAGGGCATCAATTGGGGCACACGCCTGGGGAGATGGAGGGAGGCTACTTATGCTCTGCTACCTTTTTGATTGTCAGATCTTTTTCACTGTTCCTAAGCGTTTATCACTGTATGAAGGGACTGGATGCATATTGCTTAAGAAGCATATGTGTACAGATTAAAAACGAGACCACTTAACTGTTTCAAGGGCCTTCTTTTTGGCTGCACGTTTATCGGGATCCTATGCAGTGCTAGTCTCGATGTCGCTTGTTTCGATCCGCTGTCTTGGCCAGCCATGATGTGGTTGTATGATGACTGGGAATGCAATATACTCTTCTCCCTCATACCTGATGGAACAATTTCCACTTTTTCACCTGTAACAGTCAATTCTGATGGACATGTCTCGCGTGGCACAAATAGGAGTTGCCTTGAGGTTTCGCGATGGGCTTGTTCTTTCTGACTGTGAAAACAAATGTCACATATTTGAACTTGCATAGAAACGTCTCAAATATGTAATGAGACATTTCTGTCAGCTCTCATTGCTAAAATGACATTTAAAGGTTTATGGTGTAAGTAAAATCATCAAAAGAAGTTGCGCCATTGAGCCCGACATCATACTGCGTGATGAAGGTCAAGGTGTCCAGCCCCTTGAACTGGTCCCCCAATTCCACCAGCTTCATGTTCATGAGCAAATCTATGAGGATCGGCTGGAACCGGACCGTCTTCCTCGTCTTTTCTTGAAAGGCACGCGAGCCGATGATGGTGAGGTTACACGCAGCCGGTGCCGTCAGGACGTACTGCTTCAGGCCGAATTGGCACCCCCACCAGAAGGAGTGCAGGTCCATGGTGGCCGGCTTGGGGGGGAATGTTCTGCGGCTCTCGACGGTGATGGTGCGTGTGATGCTCCCGGTGTTTGTGTCGAGTGACCCGAGGGTGTCATAGCCTGCGGCGTTGGAGCCACTCTCGGGCAGGAGGCCGCCCACGTTCAGGAAGCCCGAAAACAGCCCAGGCTGGATGGTGTCTGGGGATTAGGAGTGTCAGCAAAGTTTCGTATATTCCATTTGATCTTTTGGTAGTGCTTACAGAATCCTTGCCATCGAAGGCCATTGTACGAGCCGATTTCTGGCGCATTCACGAGTTCGGAAAGGACATTCACCGGGTTGAGGTCGTCAAATCTGGCCGTGTACGTTGTACTCGCTCGGGAGGTCAGGCGTAACCCAGAAAGGGGGTTGGCTGTCACTGAAGGAGCCAAGCCGGCCCACAGATACAAGATTTCCGTCAGCATTGTGAAGAAACTCGACAAAAGGTGGTGAGAATAGCTCGAGTGATTGGAATATGTTCCGGAGGCAAAGTGTTCCTATATATCCACTGTCCAACTCGCAACACATTTCATTTTGTGGCTGGATGGTAAAGCCCGTGGGCAATCCCTTACGTCAAAGTCGATCCATTCCAACCAATCTGACCTTGGGTCTTGAAGCCATCTCAGCAGCTTCAACCTCTGCCCCCACGCCATACACTTGGTGAAAGGCTAGTCCCCAACCCACGGTCCAGAAAGATGATTCACACAAAGGAATATCGGAGAGCTCGATTTGCTCACACGAAACCACTGGTGAGCTCTCAACAACCGGATGCTGTCGCCATGACCTGATTCCTTTGTGAGACATATCCACTGATCAGCGGCAAGACTTAGAGTGCGAAGATCATACCAGAACTGGGTCCTAACTAGCCAATGACACATGTCATTAACAGATCTCTTTGTCTGTTTTGGCGATGTTTCGCTGAGGCGGGAGCGGGTGGCTGGTCGCTTCGGCCCGCACGCCAACTATGTACCTAGGTAAAAAATGCTCAAACGCAGTGAGACTTATCTCAATCGGCAAGCTGGCACCGTGACACTCTGCAATCACTGGGTGTGCAAAACGATCTAAATACCAGCCCCCTCGTGTGGTCTACGCTGATGTGGAATGAGCGAGTCCCGAGACCGTTTCACAAGCCACAGGGCAAACCGACACCAGCAACTAGTCATCCTGAGTATTGCAGTGTTCAAAAGGGTCACACCGACTTGTACAACGCATTTCTCGGGCATTGTAAAGTCTGGGGATCTCGAGTCTGGGTAATGCCAGTATTTATGCCTTGGTATTATGTAGATATAGGAAGTTGATCCATCGAAAGGGCGAGAGGTCCTTCTTCGCCTGGTCTTTCCTTCTCCATGAGATATATTAATTAGTATTGCTGCGGCGTCTGTCTCATACCAGCTCAATCGTGTCTTCCCTCGGCGATGCTCTGGCCCAGATCTCCCCAGACAAGCAGAACACGCCCAACCTTCGCCCTCGACCCGGTTCTCTATCGCTTCTATCAACGCCAAGACAAAGCACATGATGGAATTTTCTCAGACCGTCTTCACCCTCCAGCAGCTTGACCTCAACAATTTTGACAAGGTCTATACCGTCGCGTAGGAGCCAAGTGAGAGTTGAGCCGCGGAGAGTTCTTGGAAGTTCGAACATTATACATGGCCAGTGATCATACCAATAGGGGTAATGGTACTGGCAAGCGTTTCCACTCACATCGGCGAGACGTATGCGCTCGAAAGGCGTGCGATATTCGCGATCTAGATCCCAGTCGAGAACAGAAGTCCGAGACTCAAGGCTATCGAAGTTTGATGGCACGCGGTCGGGATTCTCCAACTCTTCCCTATATGTCGGGCTTGATACAATTGCAAAGGAGAAGTGTGCTATGTCCGAGGTAATGGTCAGTGTCTTGGCCTTGACAACAATATGGGCCACGTTCTGTGAACACCGGTTCGCGGGTGTTGGATTCTCTATGCCCCCGTTGAGCAACAGCCCCCCGAGGCTGACTTCCGACGTTGAAACCCTCGCAAGACGTAGCTGTCCTGTGCCATCGTCGCGGAGCTCTCCAGAACTGCCCGTGTCTGGTACGATAGAATATGTTTGTCGCAATGCGTGCCAGCCGGCCCAAGACCAGCTTGGAAACCCAGGCCGGCGACGATCGTACTCGCCTCCCCATAGCAGGGCGTAGTGAAAGTCGACCGAAGGTAGTCCATGCACGAAATGCGTGCCTTTCTGCCGCCCAAGCATGTCGAGACAGCCAGCGATGGCGTTGAGCTTATCGGACTCGTATGTAAGCGTCCTTTCGGAGAATACGCTCAAAGTAGTTTCGAAGTCTCCGAAGCTCCATTCCGAGTCTCTTAACCACTCATTGGCGGCAAGTGTGTAATGACTTCTCGAGCGAAGGTTCAGATCCTTAATATGCGCACTATGCCCGTACTTCCCCGAGTGAAGGCACCCTCTCCAATGGCCGGCGCCGCAAAGGAAGGAAACATCACGCTCTCCAAAGAAGGCAATCCTCTGTGCTAGGGAACCTTCTTGATATGTCCAACCTCTTTGATTCCAGGCCGAGCCCTGTAACTGGGAGGTGATTGAGACGGACGATGTAATATAACTCTTGCCGCGTATGCTTTCGACCAGCTGTTCCTTTTCGAGACTATCTGCTGCGGAATGTAGAAGACGAGATCCTGAGCCTCCTGCTACGAATGTGATTAAAGCTTGCCGATATATCAGGCCCATGTCTTTTATATCTGCTGCTTTTCTGTCTGGATTGTGCTGATCAACACAATACAAATCGACCCATAGAAAAGGTATTCCGAGTCTTCCGCACAAATCGATACCATCTTCAATGATTCCTGGTGCAGAAGAAGGCAGAACCGCAATCTCGTCGCCGCCTTGTTGTATCTCATCGGCGAATTTGAGGTATTCCTCAGTCCTGTGTCCCCAAACATAGCTCAAGGCTGCGTACGAGCAGACCTCCGGGTCGGCATGTACCAGCGTTCTCGCAGCCACATCAATCAGGCGAAGACGATCCAGCCTGTGCTGTTGAGAGCGACCTGAAAGCCCGCACGTGTCTTGATGAGAATGACAGCATGTTTTGATCCAACTGGAGAGTAGAGTCAGACTTTGCGCCAAGCTCGTTGCTCGATATCCGTTCAACAACGGTCGACTTGGGTCCACAGAGTGTGGAGAAAGCAGCCGCAGACCGTTTCCTCGGTGATGACATCTGATGCGGTTTTCCTCTTCGGCGCTGCACCCTTCCACACCCAACAGTGTCACCATAACCAGCGTTGCCACCTGGTCTCTAGTCTCCTTTGCCGTATATTTCGTCTCTTCGTAGTAATCTGCGCGCACTGGGCGCAGGTAACACCGGACTCTGGGGGGATCGGGCTGCTCCTCGGAACCATACCACAGATTGCGCGCAGTGTCCTGAGACAGCGCGCTGTAGAGGTCATGCTTGATTAGGCGGCAGAGTGGACATCTGGTGTTGTCAAGTACCCCGCGCAAGGTGCCGACGTATATGAGAATCCCACCCCTATGACCGGTAGCGTCGTGAGGGAAGTATCGCGGGCCCGTGAAAACCGAGTATAGGTCGATGTTTGAGCACGCTTGGCAGAGCTCGTCGGTTTCGGTTTTCGCCATCCCGCTCTTGCGTTCGGTAGAGATGAGCCGGATCCTCGATATGTGTGGACTCTTTCAGAACCGGACTTGGGCATGAGGCTTGAAAAACTTGCGTAAATCCAGGAGTGAGTGAGTAAGTTTGATTGTTGCTATGGGTTGTACGGCGTTTCCATGTGTTGTTCAGTTCAGATTGGGAAGCACAGTGGATGAAGACACGGCCAACCAAAGGTAGCAGAGCAGCGTGGGATTACTTTACCCGTAGTCAGAAACCCCGCAATGAAGCTGACTGATGGAAAGACTAATAAGACAGCCATGCCGCTGATCTACATATGAGCACTCGTCGCGCAGTGGGGGTGCCTCAGGCATCGAGAGTCCTCAATTGTGGCCGACTTGCACTCACTACCGAACGACCCTCTGCCCTAAGAAATTGCCGACGTTCTGTAGTGAGGATCAGAGAGTGGTTTTATGGCTGGCAGAGACTAAGGATAAGTGCCGAGGCGTCCAAAAATCGCGTTGCTACTCTGGGCTGGTCACCTTGCAACATTTGGGCGTTCAAGATATCTTGTCTCTAAGCGACTGGGACATTCCGTTGGTTGTGGACACAGAATCCACCACAGTCTTGGAACTCTGCTCCCAAGCAATATTGATGAGCTACTTTAGACCCTGCCGGGTGGTCCTACCATCTCCTATTATGGCATCGATGCCGTGGATAACAAACACCATGCTGTAACATGCGAAATTCAGGGGTCGGAGGGTATTCAGCGTGCGGGGCGTGCTTGCCCACGAGCGGTTCAGCCTTGCGAAGTACGTATCGTCCCAAAGCCTCATCCGTCTCGATAACGGACGTGTATGAAGGATATTGCGGCTGATCAACGTATAAAGAGGACATATTACACTAGCCTCGAGATCAAGTTTGTGCAGGTTGGGATGGTTGTGCTGGTCGAAGAACGAAACGCCAGTCATGGTTTCCCCGTTTAGGACAGCTAGCAGACGAATGGCGGCTGGCGAAAGGTCACAGGGTGCTCGACCCATAGGAAGGCAGACATGTGACCTTCAGTCGTTTCTGGAAACTGCTGGTGCCGAGTGAAGTGGTCAGTGTACCGAGTCTTGAGAATTGCTGCCTCCTTCACGCCGTTCTCGATTTATGGCTTGAGTGAGGCTGGGAATCTCTCGGTTTCTGCGCGGGCGTAATGGTTGAGGGGTAGGGCCTGATGAAATTCAGCGCGTATGCTTTCATGCTGACTTTGGATGAATAATACCATTTCACAATGGAGTATGCGTCATAATCTACATTATAAAATTAGATAAATTTATATGATAGAATCGCATAAACCCTCATTCATAAGACCATATATACCAGCGAGCGATATTGAATGCGTCATGGTAACTCATACGATGTGTGACTCTGAGACCGTGGGTCTGGGGATCTCGAGTCTGAGTAGGGTTGATACCCGGGTGACGACGACAGGCTCTGGAGCTCATGGATAGGCTTTCCCTCGCCGCTCAACTCGATCTTTGACTGCCTCACTGGAACATACATCCCCGACGGCGTGTTGGTCCCATCTGTGCGCCCTTCATCCGACCCGGACACATGTGACCCCGACAGATGCGCCCCTGACATTTCCGAGGCTGCCAGATGCGGGTCATGGGATTGTCTCTTCCGCCTCAGGAAGAACCACACACTCCCTCCTGCTACGATTGCAGCGAGTGGGATGCCCAGGCCGATGCCGACGCCGAGGCCAACCTTCGTTCCGGAGTCATCATCATCGTCGGCGGAGGAGCTTGAAGTGGGGGAGGTATCGGTGGCCGATGTGGCAGAGGCAGTCGCCAGTGAAGCGGCCGAGGAGGACGTGATCGAGCTGGAGCTTGTGGATGAGGCAGAAGTTGTGGACGTGGATGGTGTCTCGGTCTTTGGACATGTGCGTTAGTTGAAGTTCCGCGAAAAGAATTTAGACATCTCCAATGCTGCTGTCAAAATCCACACATTTGAAGGCGTGCAAAATCGAAGGGCTGTGAAGCAATTTGAGGGCAGGGGCAAAGAAAAACAGGATAGAGATTCGAGGACGTCTCGAAGTACTTACGAAGCGAGCTAGACCCGTTGACGACACAGGAGGATAGCTAGTTGTGGCTGTTCCTTCGGCGGTGGCAGAGTTTCCGTCCGAGTCAAGGAAGACTCCACGGCCGTTGCTGCAGCACGTTGCGTCGTAGCTGCAACACCAGCTCCCATCACTACACTGTGTCACGCGTGGGAGAAAACCTGAGAGAAGTGTCTCATCTGTGGAAGACCGCCTGTCAGTATTTCAACATTTGCTGAAGGTCAACAGTTGGTCCACTTGCTGTAGAGGCAGACCTGAGCACAGGTCGAGTCCCAGACATCATTGGCACATGGGCCCCTCACGTATGTCCCTTCGGCATCACCAGGATTATGGCAGAGTCGGTTCGAGACGCATGTCGCTTCGTACCCGCAGCAAGCGTTTGAACCGGGACACTTCGTGTTGTTGACATAGCTGGCACCGTTGTAGCCGTAGCAGACGATGCCTACCGTCCCATCGGCCCGGATCTGATGCTCACATAAAATGTTGAACAGCAAGAGACTGAGCAGAAGCGAGAAGGTCGCAGAGACCGTCCCTTTGGCACCCATTGGTCAAGGTATCTCGAACAGAAGTAACGAAACAGCACGAAATGAAATTATCTGGCATATGGGGAAGCGGGTTGTAGTGTAAAGGGACGACTCAAAGCTTTTACCCATCACTCTGCAAAGATATTTGATACCTTCGTCGTGGTTCAGCGGCAGGATTTAAGGCAATGAATATCAACACCGCACAGGGAAAAGCGCTGGACAGGCCTCAGGCTCTGTGGCTCCACGGTCCACTTGAGGCACGTTGCTGCAAGAGTACGGCGCAGTGTCCCATGTTTGTAACAGATCCATTGTAAGGATTCGCGTAAATTCGGTAACCACCAAAAAAGGCCGACCCTCGTCTGCGGCTGATAGACACCCGAGAGGAGCTCGTATGCAGCGGAAAGGAAGAAGCAAAAGCAAACACGATCTTCGTTCATCATGAGAACTGTTGAGGCTACCAGGAGGCTGATGTTCCACAGCAAAAGGTACCGTGCTGCTGGGGAAAATGACTCGCCCCGACCTTGATGAACCCAATCGCACATGGAGATAAGCGCCAGCACACCCCGTCGGTTCTCAACCGAGTCGGTTGTCAACTCCATCGTCGTGGGGCTGAAGGATGATGGAAGAAGGCGCCAAGGTGGGCCTCTGACTGCGCCGCTGGCTCTGCCGCCATGTTTATTACTCGGCACCGTGCCAGCGTTCCAGGGTAGATCGGTTTGCCTCGCTTGGATTTGATATGCTCAGGACCTGTTCAGGCTTCCCAAAATTGCCAAAGAGCCGCCGAGAGAATTTGTCAGCGCGCGTTGATCGCGTGACACTCCTTGTACCTCAAAGCTTGTACCTCCCCCTCGCGTCTCTCCACCGAACCCACAGACACTCGGGCCGTTCCTCTCTTTATCAATGCACCCGACTTCTTGTGTAGCCGGTCCAAAGCAAAATCCTCATTGCAGTCGGCCGAGACGGTTTAAAGGAAAGAAGGCTGTCGTTTTTGATGATCGTGCCCGCGTACCAAAGACGACGCGCACTTCCCATAGTCTTCACTTTCCGACACCGCTCCTCTCATTTCATTCGCGCCACCCATGATACCAAGATCATGCTTCATTGGCTGCAAAATGGCTGTTGGTAGTTGCCTGTTGGTGCTGATTGCAGCAGTTCCCCACCCCGCCCACTCGCGAGCTGAAAAGGATCGGCAACCCAGACACCAACAACGAACCCCTGCGTCGTGGCGCGAAAAAGCCTGACAAAATTAGGCGAGCGTTGCACAGCATCCGTGTGGTTGAGCTTCGGTCTCAAGGGGGGCTGTGGGGCCCGTCTTTGTCGATAGCGACTCGGTGGGCGAGACGCCCTCTATAGAGCGGGTAGTAAGCCCCATGACATGCTCCCTATGGCCCGCCCCAGGTGTGTTTTTCCGTCACCACACACGCCACCATACCAATCCGGAACAATGTGCATTCCCTAAACTTGTCAAGAGACGTAAATTTTCACTCTCTAGTCCATTTTCCATGCCATCCGCCAGACTGTCATAAGCGCGGAGATGGCCTCTCGAAGCCTGAACATGCCGCGGGCTGCCCTCTGCGTCACTGGCTTGGTTTTCCTGTTGGGACTTGTCTATCTGTACCAGCCTCTGCTTGGCTCAAGATCTGACCCGTTCTTGGACACCTCGTCTCCAAACCAAAACCAAGCTCCAACTACAATCGTCACCAACTTTGAGCCCAAATTGACGACAGACCTGGTTCAGTACTTTGAGGATTTCCCGCTGGACCCGCCCTACAAGGAGCGTTTCGGCGAGCTCGGCCGACGTACCAGACTGCTCAGAGACCTGCTGGTGTCAGCAGATAATAACCATGCACCGTCTCAGAGGAACACCCTGCTTGAGATCGTCGACAAGACCGCCCTTATACTATTTCCATTCTTGAAGGCACCGCGAACGGGTCCACCATCGGTAGGCGGACTATCGCATCTTCGCTCGACGATTGTGCCTGGCTCGGTGGGGATAGTGATCCCAGCCGGCAACAACAACGTGCGGTTCGCAGCCCATCTGATATCCTCGCTCCGGAATGTGTTGAACTCCGAACTGCCGATCCAAATCGTCTACGCCGGCGACGGTGACCTGTCCGCGGCCAACAGGCATTTCCTCGCGGAGCTTGTGGCGTCGAGCGGCCAGGCTCTCGATTTCCTGGATATCCTGACAGTCTTCGATGACACGACACTTAAGCTCCGAGAAGGGGGGTGGGCCATCAAGCCATTCGCGGTACTGGGGAGCAGGTTCGAGAAGGTGATCCTCCTCGATTCCGACGCGGTCTTCTTGCAGAAGCCAGAGGCTCTTCTCGACCACCCCGGATTTCAGCGCACTGGGGCCCTCCTCTTCCGAGATCGGTTGCTCTGGCAGCACGCGTTCTCGGACAGGCATCAATGGTGGCACAGCCAGATCAAGCGGCCGAGCGCAGAACTAAACACTTCGCTCGTCTGGACGCAAGAGTACGCCGAGGAGGGGGACTCTGGCGTAGTGGTTGTGGATAAAAGCCGGACCGACGTCTTCATGGGGCTTCTTCACATCTGCTGGCAGAATTCTAACGACGTCCGGGAGGAGATCACGTACAAAATCACGTACGGCGACAAGGAGACCTGGTGGATGGGGTTTGAGCTGGCCGGATCGTCCTATGACATGGAGAAGCACTACGGTGCCATAGTTGGCTGGGAGACTGAGATCGAGCATGAATCGGAAACCCCGGAGGGCGACAAGGAAAAGCGGGCCGACCCCTCGACGAAGAAAGTGTGCAGCTTCGTTATCGCCCATGTGGACGAGGAGGAGAAGCTGATCTGGTATAATGGTGGTCTGCTCAAGAACAAGAAGATTCCCGAGATGAAGCACGAGTACGCCGTCCCCGACAAGTGGATGGTCGACGGCGAGTGGCAGAAGGGTGCCACGAGGGAAGACATGAGCTGTATGGTTGGAGAGACAATGCATGACCTGACCGACGAGGAGATGAGAAGACTGGAAAAGTCCATTGAGGAAGCCAAAAGAATAGACGTTGCCCTACACGTGGACTGAACGACATCGTTCAACCGGGCTTCATATTACTGTACATATTTTACGATATCTCTCCATGGATGAGTTCAAGGCGCAGTGCCAGGCCTCGAGGTCAAAATACTATTTAATGTCCAACAGCCTTGAAAAATGAGTTAGACTTCATTATAATTCCGATGCGCAATTAATCGTGCCCAATAACATGGCTAGGCAGCCTGCTTGTGGTACTTCACACCATTCCGCATGCATACAGTAGGTAAATATGGGCCAACACTTACGAACGAGGAGTGGGGGGAGAAGGCAAGACGAACTTCGAACTAGACCAAGCGAATCTGAGCCCTCTTAGCCAAATTATTAGCCGACTCTGCCATATTACTGGGCGATGAGATTTTCCTACACGTCCTACATTACACCTTATTACTGCCTATACTACTGTTGGTCACATGGGATACAGAAATGGTGGGTACTGCATCACCAAGTTTCGTACGGTGCTTAAATAAGAACAGCAAGACTAAATGTGTGATCGCATTAGTACTCAGTTAGCACGAAACCCCGATGGCCTTCACTACCCGATCATCAATACATCTGTTGGTCTGCAAATTGTAGCTAGTTTATAGACCCTCAGGGGTACCTACTTGTACTGCGGCATATGGACCCTGTCGCCGATCTAGCGACACGCGTTGACTCTATGTCCGTACGCAAGAAACTCTCCGCAAGTTTTCGGCAATGAGCACCCGTCAAGAATGCTGTGGGATATCAGAGGAAGTGTGGGTCATTTCCGAAGTAGCCCTCGTCCCGCCGAGGTCTCATCATGTGTATACAAGTTACCGACAGTTTGACTTCGCAATAGCGCGTCGTCATCGCATCGCCAAGGTGTGCATGCGATGAAGTCCTGGTACACCTTGCAAACGGCATGTGCCTCTAGTGACTTAGGACAATTCCTCTTCAGCTGAAAGATCAGCCAATAAAGTAGATATGTAGACAGTTAGACATCAATCTGAGAGACCGGCAACCACAGGCACGTCTTCTTCAATTCTTGGAGGTTAAGTGGTCTCGTTTTTAATCTGTACACATATCTTTGAGGTTAAAGTGTAATTTACTTCGTGCTCATTGCATCACTATCTGTCAATAGTGTGTCTTCATCTGGCCGTTTCGCAATTCTACAGGGCAGAATGCCTTATTCGCTACCTCAAGCGGCGACTCCTTTCAACGTAAACTTCCCTGACGAAGAATACTCACAACTTCAACAGCTTCTTCGCCTCTCCCGTATTGGACCGGTGACCTGGGAGAACCAACATGAAGATGGTCGCTACGGTGTACCACGCCATTGGCTTCTGTCAACCAAAGACTACTGGTGAACGGAATTCGATTGGCGTGCAGAGGAACGACGTATCAACTCCTTTCCCAACTACAAGCTAAGGGTAGAGGATCAGAAAGGCGACGTCGATCTACACCTCATCGCGCTCCTTTCCACGAGGGAGGATGCGATCCCACTTGTCCTCCTGCACGGGTGGCCTGGAAGCTTTCTCGAGTTCTTACCGACACTTGAGCTTGCCCGTGAGAAATATAGCCTAGACACTCTCCCGTTCCACATTATTGTGCCTTCTCTGCTAGGGTATACCCTGAGTTCCGGTCCGCCTCCTGACCAGGCCTGGGTAGCTGAGGATGCTGCGCGAATCATCTATAGTGGACTGTAAATGCTTAATTTTAGCAAGCAAGTTATACAAGGCGGCGATGTTGGAAGCCTCATTGCTTCTATCCTCGCAACTGAGTACGGGTCTGTGATTGAGATCCACTGTGAGTCCCTGTCATTTTTCCCAATCCTCGGAAGTGCTGACTGATTTTGAAGTGAATCTTCTCCCCTCGCTGGATAGTGTTGAGTCAACTGATCCCAAACTCACTCCTTGGGAAGTCGAAGCTGTTGAGCAAAGCAAGAAACGTTTCGCAACACCCACGTCCGGGGCCGCCATCATGAACAGTACAAGGCCAGCTACTTTGGGAACGATCCTGTAATCAAATCCTATGGCGTATCTTGCTTGGTAAGATTTTTAAAATCTGTACAGAAACCTCGACTAATAGCTCGAAGGATTGGAGAAAAGTTCCTTGAATGGCCTGAAAGCAAGTTAGACACAAACCACATCTTGGCTACTGTCACTCTTTACTGGCTTACGGACACCTTGCCTCGTTGCGTTTACACATATCGCAACACGTTTCTGTGCGACTACATTCCCACGTTCCCGTTCTTTGACAAGCCTTTTGGATATTCCTGGTTCAAGCATGAGCTGGTGGCTGGGCCCAACAATGTTATTGAGAAAAAGGGCCAACTTGTTTTCTACCTACAGCATGAACGCGTAAGTTGGACATCTTTGACAATGATGCTTATCACTGACCATTCGGACAGGGTGGGCATTTTGCAGCGATGGAGCGGCCGCAGGAGTTTCTGGTTGATATGGAGGATTTCATGCAAGTGGTGTTGGGAAAGCTAGGCTCATAAGTTTACAGACAACATATGAAAACTTCTTAGATCTGACCATCGCTTTTGAGAGCCAGCCTTAGGCGACTTGATTGATATCAAGAGAATGACCGTACGAGTGGCCTTCGGAGCAGTCTCTGGAACCCCACCCAACTTGCTCGGCCAACAATAATGGCTTACTTACTCAGTATCTTCGAGGTTGCGCCATCAAAAGAGTCAGGGAAGGATGACATGTACGTATGACTAGTTTCTATGAAATGACATGGTGACACGGCCAACTTGTAGAACAACTGCACATTTCGACTATTCGGAATAGCGGACCCATCATGGAAGAGGCTTAGTTCCAGATCTGAAGTCTTCTCTAACGCTGAGCAGACCCAATAAACTCCGCTCTCCTAAGATGTTTCGGTCAAGTCTTTGCCACTCCTCTATCTACTATGCATGCACCCTTCCCTGGATGGAAACCTCTTATCGTTTGTAGATCTTAAAGACTTTATTGCGAGCATGCTTACGTCGCTTCCACTCAAGGTTACATTTCAGATTGATAGACTTAACTCGCCTACCAACTAGGCGAAGATTGGTTTGTGAGACTCCGAGGTTTTTCACTGTGAGTGGGATTTATGTATGTCACAGCGAGTGGTCTTGAGAACCCATCCCAGCAGAAGACCTGAAAAGCCTCTCCAAGGGTACCTAAATACAGGCGGTCCCACTGATACAGGGCGCGACCGGGTCTTGGCCTTAGGACCGTCGCCGCTCAACCCGGTCCAGCGGTGCATTGTTTGTTGATGACGGCGTCGTCGTCGTCCATTGCTATGCATGAGCGTGTGGAAGTAGGGATGATTGGTCGTCGGATTCGGATTCGGAAGTCCTTTCCACCCCCACATTCCCGTTGACTCACACCGAAGGAGACAAGGGTGGGTATCCTGAAACCCGCCCGATGATCAGTCATGGCCGAAAGCAGTCGCCGAGAAATTTGTCGAGGTTTACCAGTCCTCAGGGGACACTTCACGTTTTTGAGACGAGTAGAAATATCAACATGTACGTGAGGTTGAATGGAAGACATAGTAGCAATAATAGAATCAGACGGATTTCACAACACTACTGTTGGCCTTGCTCTAACTCAAGTGTCGATATTGCCCCTTTGTTTCGTTGCGTTACTTCACTTGGTGCTGCTTCTTGTGACGTTTCCACAAACCATGACTTCGATAGCCTCAGAGTCAGTCGCGACCATACTTTGCACCAGCAAGCAAACGCGGTTTGATATCCAAACGCCAAGTTATCGTGAGGTAATGTCTGGCACGCCGTCGGTGCTCTTCTCCCAACTGATAGGATAGTTCAGTTGGACATTGATGGGCTGGATATCACAGTCACTTCGGGCGGCAAAGCCGGGGCAAAGGGAAAGCTCAAGGCCCGCACCGAGGGCACTGAGATTTTAGCCGACGCGAAGCTGCGGCTTAAAGCTGGCCAGCGGTGTGCTCTTGTGGGCAAGAACGGCTTAGGGAAGTCGACGTTGTTGAAGGCCATCGCCGAAGAACTCATTCCCGGCATCCCAGAGGAGTCTCGCATTGTCATAATGCAGCAGACTGACGCCAGTCCTGGAGGCACTGACGAAACTCTGAGTGAGGCGGTGTTGAAATCGGAAGAGAATGACCATCATGACCTCAGTGTGCTGCAGCATGTGATTGAGAAGGCCACTGGACGGTCTGATGTTGAGCAAGAGATAAACGGTACGCCTCCAGATTATACAGTTACCGGCGTTGCATTGTCGGAGAACCTAACAAGCCATAGCTTTGTCTACAAGTATCGATGGTGCCGATCCCCTGGGCCCTGTGCGGGAGATCCGGACCATCCGTCACCAAAGAAATTTGAAGCGCCTTTTCCAGCTGGACAAAAATGCGAGCTGAGAAGCGGTGCAAGAGGTATGGCGGCCAGAAAGGTACTGATCGCATTTGAAAAAGAAGTTGAGCAGTCAAGTACTCTGTAAGTCATTTCCCGACCTGCCCAGGTTTCGCCACTGAACCGCGCCAGCACCCAACAACCAGGATATGAGATTTCCGCCGACATGTTTCAAAAAGAGACACAGGAGGCAATCAAGCTTCTCGCAGATCTTCAGCTGCAAATCGAACCTACAAATGTTGCAGAGACCGAGTCCAAGGCCAAAAGGATTCTCACTGGTCTTGGTTTTTCGGAGACACACATGGCCAAAACAGTCGCAAGCTTGTCCGGCGGCTGGAAGATGCGCACCGCCTTGTCTGTCGCCTTGCTTCAAGAGACAGGTATTCTCATTCTGGATGAGCCAACCAACTTTCTCGACCTATTAGGCATCATTTGGCTACAGCGATACCTCGAGGCTTTGGATGAAAGCGATCAGGCGCCTACTCTAATCCTCGTCTGCCACGACCGAGACTTCATCACTGTCTGTGGCAACCTTCTTATTCTGAAGGACAAGAAGTTAACCTACTTCGTTGGCGACCTTCCGACATACGAGTCCTCGCAGCTGGAACGAAAGCTCTGGCTGACCAAGATGAGCGAGGCCCAGGATAAGCAAAAGGCGCATTTCCAACAGTGTCAAGGCAGGCAAGGCCAACGATGACCAGAACAGGCTACGTCAAGCCAAGCCTCGACAAAAGAAGCTTGATGAACGCTGGGGTCTCGAGGTGAGCGCCAAGGGAGGCCGCTTCAAGCTGAGTCGAGACCTTGTTGGTTTTCACGCTACAAGAAGGGCTGATATCGACGTCCCACCGGATGAGCGACGTGTAAACTTGGTTCTGCCCGAGCCGCCAGATCTCCGGTTCCCAGGGACCTTGATATCGGTCGAAAAAGCATTCTTCAGGTATCCTACCAGGGTCGAGGGCCAGAGACAGGAAAGCTTCGTACTACAGGGCATTAATCTATCCGCCCATATGGGCGACAGAGTTGGCATTCTCGGTCTAAACGGCGCCGGCAAGTCGACGCTGATCAAACTCCTTGTCGGAGAGTCCAGGCCCTCCTCTGGAACGGTAACGACCCATCCCCGCCTCAAACTAGGGTACTACTCGCAACATGCCATCGACAATTTGCATGCAATGGGCCAAGGGGACCCAACACTGACAGACTTATCGCTGCTCACGAGAGAAGTCGACGGCGCGCTGGATGAGGGCCAGCTTCGCGGCCTCCTTAGCGGCTTGGGCCTGCAGGGCCGCGTGGCCTCCGACACCCCGGTGACGAAGCTCTCTGGAGGACAGCTCGTCCGGTGCGAACTGGCTCGGATCCTGTGGAGTCGTCCACACTGCCTCATACTCGACGAGGTCACCACGCATCTGGATTACGAGACTGTCACAGCCATGCGAGAGGTGTTAAGGGACTGGGAGGGGGCATTGGTCCTCGTGAGCCACGACAGGTGGTTCCTGCGCGGCGTGGTGGAGGGGATGGTGGATGATCCCGAAAATGAGGAAGACCTCGAGGAGGATGAGGGAGAGACGCCAAGGACAAGGGTGGTCTACAAGCTAAGTGCTGGAAAGATGACGCTGCTAGAGCAAGGTGTGACAGAGTTTGAGGAAAGTGTAGAAAAAAGAGTGAGAGCTCTTCTCGAGCAGTAGCAATCTAGATAGGTAGGCAAGCACGGAGAAAAGCAGTACAGCAAGCTACTCGACCTGGAACAACATGTGAGCCATGCTGAAGTCAATGTAAAAGACACGGCAAACGTATTCTTGTTCAAAGGTCTGACTGGATCGCACATCGGCGTAATCCTGGGAACCTAAATCTGTAAATGGCGCTGTGCCGTCCTCATTATTGGACCGGCACGGGAATTCGGAAGATGTTGGAACAGCTTGTATTCATTCCGAACTCCGTTCAGAGATGCCCTGCCTTTCCTTTGACTTGGGTCTGGGCCATTTGTGGACCTTGTGAGAGACTCGGAGGCAACTTCCTCGGATCACAACAGCTAAGATTCTTTTGCTCCTCCAACATCAAGTGCAGCAATTATGACAACGCAGCAGTGTACTATACCCATTATCCAGAACTCCATTCTAGTTCGGTATAACTCAAGAGTTATAATTTTACCGTGTAGCCTAAATCGAGTACCGGCCCTATCTGTGGATATCTTATACCTAATTGCGCAAGCACTCCCGCGGCCGAAATGGGTTTACAACCTAGCACGAGTCAACAAGCAAAGCTGGCACTACCTACAACCCGTCTTGTTCCAATGCGAAGTTACCTATGAGGCCAGGTTGACCGAGCATTTTGGCATGGATGATGAAACTGCGTCGGAGTATACGGATGATGGGATCGATTCAAGAACAAAGGAGAGCTTCATGAAGAGGAAGATCTCGAGCAGTCTGTTCCGGCAATCGAATTCCCGGGTTGCGCGAATGTAGAGAGCGTCAATAGCCAGTATTAACCAGGTAGGCCATGCGGTATGACACGAAGTCACATGGAGACCGATGAGGGTGGCTGTGTAGATTTTCGTGGTATTTGTTAGTCCTCGATCCTACATATACTGCCTGTCCCATTTCCCATCAGGTCTGGTCATGGGCGCTCGTTCTAAAGGTTGCACTTCACCCATCGAAACCCGGAAAGGTCACTTGCCTGTGTCACATCAACCCCACTGGCAACAATGAGACCGATTATTGCTCTGGCATGTCTCTTACCGTGCCTTCCTGCAAAGCCCACTGTAAATCGAAGAGACGCGGTTTCGCCCGTGCAGCCGAGAGACGCGCTCTGCGGAAACAATGGGTAACTTATGACAAAAACAACCCAGTCGCCTTCTATGTCAGCCAAAACCCCACCGATGTGACCTCAAGCGGCTGTTCGAGTCTCTGCAGAAGAGCACAAGGCTGTGCCTCATTCGCATATGGCGTAGGATACTGCCTTTTGTACACCGTCCCTGTCGTCGACAACCTCATCACGAACCCGTCTAGTCCTTATTTGTTCAACGACCTGGCATGTGTTGCCGCAGTGGAGCCGACGTCACTGGCTGCAGTTGGTACCAGCTCGGCTGGGGTCAACATCAGCCCAGTGCCCACAACACCGGGAGGCGCCCAGACATGCGAGGCAGCAACAGTTACAGTGCCAGGCCCTCAGCTACCTGCAGCCACCACAACGGTCACTGGCCCCGGGACCACAGTTACACAGACCCTCTCCGCTGCGCAGGTCACGACAACTACCACTGAAACACCGTCCGCCCTTACAAGAGTCACCCTTGTCACCCTGTCTGGATCCGTGTCGACTTTGACTCTGCCTGCAAGCACAGTGACACAGACCCTACCGGCCATTACGGCAACATCGACGTTGACACTTCCGGCTGTCACGAGATCAGCTACGTTGACACTCCCTGCTGCTACGTCCACCTTGACACTGCCAGCCGCCACTTCTACTGTGACGCTTCCAGCTGTCACCTCAAGGGTAACCGTCAGCGCGACAATCGCCAACACCGCGACAGTTACAATTCGATGTCTAGGTGTCAACATTCTTTGCAGCACAGTCACCTAAAGCCTCGACAGATCTCATTTTTTTTTTCTCGAAAGACACATGCATGATGAACGTGCCGTTGCACGTGGGCGGACACCATCAAGAAGTGAACTTGGACCAAGTTCATGTATCTGATATATTTCAAAACACGGAGACACTGTAATCTTCTTGGAATATTGTGAATTGGGTTTCGTTAAATATTCCTGCCCATTAAAGTTGACACTGAACTCAAAAAGGATAGAAGTCTTACAGACTTGTGGCGGGGTCCGTCAATCCACGCCTTCTGATCGGGTGGAGAGGCAAGAAGAACTAATGCGACGTGGTCAAACTGCCAAGATATCTGATCGATATGCCAAGCTCTATCGGATCTGCCAAGGTTCTTTGTCACAATCTTGGTATGAACAGCGGCTATAGACCCACATAGCCTTAATTTGACATCCGATCAGCGCTGCCACAGGGCTTCAAGCCTTGGCCCGTGAGCGCCTGCAGTTTTCTGTACGAAAACTTGAAAGATATCTGGATTTGAGTGGCACGAAGCATTCGAAACCTGACATTGAATACCATAATGGGATGCACGAGGAAGGGAAGGGGAGTTGGATGAAGTTAGAGCCGCGGCAGACTAATGAACACGAAATTTGATGTTGGCAAGTTTTCTTGATTTGGAACAGCGAAAACATAACAAATAGATCTCACACGGCGATGGTTATTATATTGATCCAGGAAGCCCGTGTTCTCCTCTCTTGACTCTGGGCAAGTGAAACTTGAGTGCTCAATTGATCTCAATCTCTGAAAGCCCAAAAATGTTGCCCCAACCCCAGGAAAGCTACCTGCAACTGTGTACTGTAGATGACGTTGCTCAAGACGCAACTAACGCAGGACGACTGCACCAATGATTGCCTCTCTTTTGCGTGTGTACTATCTTGTCTGGATAGGATACACATGGTTGTTGCCGAAGCCTTCTCGGAGAAAGACATTGTGAACACATTGAAGAGATGTATCAGCACAGCCGTTACGGCCTAGAATAGAGTCCGTGGCGGATCTCACCGTTGGAGAAAGAGAAATCGCTAGGACTAGATCCTTCACACTAGCCAACTTGAAAAGTAGGCTAGAACAAACCCAGTCATGGCACCTAGTCTACCACCGACTGGCAATGGTGACTTGTTTGAACACCTGCACGACGAGAACACCGGAGCCTGGAATCCTTCTGACGGGCGGGTCATCATCATCTCGCTGCGGAGCGACATACCGAGAACACCGACCTATATGCTGAAACGACTAAATGACCATGGCTCCAAACCAAGCTGATTGAAGCAACCCCCACGGTAGTGTCTCGGGTAGCCAAAGAGTCCAAAATTCCGAGTTACACCGACGTGAATAGCATCAATCTTACAGCTTTGCATGTCTAGGCAAGCCACAACATCATTTCTTGGCGTCATTGACTCTTTGCGGATAGATCGCTCCCTGCTGTCACGTTTGTACATAAGGACGGATTGTCTTGGCTATTCACGACAGCTTCAGATATTTATCGCCATCACTCATTGTCTTGTGAGAGTGCCATTTGATCTCGGCATTCTGCAATTGCTCAGTACTGCTCTGCGTTTTCAACTCCAGCGACTCACCGCTATCATGGCTGTTTCAAGCAGTACGACTCTTCCAATCATCATATCCGGAACAGGTCCGTCCGCGCTGCTTCTTGCCCACGCACTACTAAAGGCCACGCCGCCGCTGCCATTCCGGCTGTATGAGCGCGACAAGTCAATGACACATCGCGTTCAAGGCTACCGCTTCGTCGTTAGTGGACGTGGTGTGAAATCATGCCGCGACGTTCTCAGCCCCGAGCATTTCGACCTCCTGCGCGCAACATGTGGTGATATCCAGAGCCCACCCCCTAGGCGGCTCGACGCGCTCTCAGGCACCCTGTTGGGCGGGTTCGACATGAATTTTAGAAGCCGTGATAAGCAAGAAGAGCCGCTGAAAGTCGACCGGACGCTGATGAGGCAGGCCCTCTTCAGAGGTCTGGAAGACTACACCACGTTCGGCAAGGAGATTGTCGGGTATGAAACCTTCACCACCGTCGGGGATGAAACCGGCACGACCAATGGTGACGAAGACGGGTCCGGCGTCCTGGTGCGGTTCTCGGATAATTCGACAGTGCGAGGCTCCCTCCTGGTCGGCGCCGACGGCGGCTTCTCGCGAGTTCGCGCACAGCTCGTACCTGATGTTCAGCTTCTCGACTGCGGGATGCGAATGGTCCTCGGCAAGACGCCGCTCACTCCCGCCTTTTACGAGGCTCTGGGCGCGACAGGTGAAGACGACCCACGCGCGGCCACGCTCCTAGACAGCATAGCGTTCGTGGCAGACCCCGCCCCCCGGAACTCACCCATGTTCTTCATGTTCGACCCAATGCGGTTCGGCGGCCGCGCAAAGGTCGAGGCCAGTGCCCCGGACCTCGGGGCTTCCATCCCGCTCGATTACATCTACTGGGCGCTGTCTCTGCGCAGCGACGAGCCCGAGGCGCAAGGCAAGGAATGGAGAGCCATGGATTCCAATGCAGCCGCCGACTTGGCCGAGGACCTGACCAAGTCCTGGGCTCCGCCTCTGCGCGCCCTTGTGAGGCACCAAGACCGCTCGCAGACCCAGTCCCTCCGCAGTTCCATCATTCCGATTCCACTACGTGACTGGCGCAAGCCCACTGCTGTTGACGGTGCCGAAGGCTCTGGGGACGAAACGGTATCGTCAGTATCGAGCCCTATGGTGACTCTCATCGGCGACGCTGCACATGGCCAGCCGCCGACGGGCGGCATGGGAGCAGCCACCGCGTTGACTGATGCAGCGGTGCTGGGCGCATCGCTGGCCGAGCATGGGACTACGCGGCGTGCACTCGAGGTGTATGAGGCTGAGATGCGTGCTTACGCTGGTCCGGCCATCGAGGGGAGCCTGAAAGGCGGCAGGATATTCACCAATATGCAGGACCTGGAGGAGATGAAACCGATGAGGCATTGAGAACTAGAGCGGGATGCAAGCTCTCGAGGCGTAATTGAGCTGGAAGGATTATGGGTTTTTGTTGAAGCAAATCTGGCGTTGGTGGTTCTGTGAACGTTACGCACATAAACAGAGCCGGACTCATTGTGTTGGTACACAAGGTAGCGACATGAGTTTCTTTGTGTTTTTCTTTTCTTCTCTTTTTTTTTGGTGGCCTCTTTCTTGCCCTTGCCACTCCCCTCCTGCCCAAGTATACATCCCAACCTCACGAAAGCAAAATGCTGGATACAAATGCATATACCTATTTGGAAAACAACGCAATGTTGGCACCGTATTCTGAAGCCGAAGTCGTGCAACCTCAGGTTCAAACGTTCGGCACCTGAACTGAGAAATGTTTCCTAAGTGCATACACGGCTGATATGCATGCTGTCCCGCTCTCGCTTTGGCCTAGTGATCCAACTGTGAGTCTGCATTTGTGTCGACAGTTGAATCTGAGTTACCATGGAGGCTCCTTAACCGTCCGCCGCCTGGAACTTCCGTTTGGCGGACGCGGTACGTGAAACTTCCAATCAGTCGAACCGAAGTGTCGATTTCTCCATGTCCTACGTAGTGGTCAGCCCAGGAATTTCGAAAAGAGTGGTAGGCGCCGACATACCAAGTCAAGTTAGAAGAGGCGACGTGAAACACACGATTTATGTCATCATAGTCCTTGACCTCGACGATTTGCTTCATCCTCCACTTCGGATCTGCGGAAGGGTCCTGATATCCGATTTGGTACTGTGCCGCCTTGAGACCCCTCCAATGATTGTGATCTTGTTCAGAAAAAGTGGTCGGTTGTGGGTCTAGCTCGTGGAACTGGCGCTGGCTTGACCAGAGACAAAAATCGTTCCATAAATCGCGGAAGTTGTTGAAAACAGCTTTTGCACGGCGAATTGGGCGCATGAGGCACCCGCCGGGCTGCCTCGTCGTCAGGCTGTGCCATAGCGCGGGGATGATCGGTGGTATGTGGAAGCCAAAAATTGTCGCTGTCTGCAGCGGAAGATCGGTTTCCCAACAGGTGGTGGGAATTCGGACGACCTCGTTTTCCTGGATCATCACACCCATGGCCTCCTCACCAGGCCCCAGGCGGAATCTTCGACCGAGAATGCGGACTCGGGGTCGAGAATGATGTGGTTCTTGAGGATCCATTTTGGCCAAGATCTCCACTTGAACAGGTTGCCAAATTCAATGTGCGATACTATTTCAAAATAGATATGCACTGAATCTTCTGTGTAGATGACACAACATAATGCAACGTGTAGAAAAGAGAGCTAGAATCAAGTGCAGATAATGGGTTTGTGTTAGATCGTTCAGGGCAAGTCTGCTTTGCAATTCTGATCTATAAGTGAAGGACGCCAATGGTAATGATTCCTGGGACGAAGGCGGCTATTAGAAGCGCTTTTGATTCCTCAATCTATTTGGAGCTAGCTAACGATCTTCGCAGGCAATCACATAATATATCTGGAGCTAGTAAACACCAACGTCACGCTAGGTTTGGAAGGCGGCCGTGGAGGAACTGAAGCCAGCCCCTAGCTTATGTTCTATCTTTCCTAGACTTTCATATCAAGTGTTGCTGAGTTAAGTAGGTACTCTGCTACATGCAGTGCTGGGTGACGGAGGTACCCCAAGACCAGATACATCAGCGCCAACTGCAAGCGTTTCGGACGTGAATGAGCCTCTCCGGAACGATCCGCCAGTGAGGTTTCTTCCGTTGCCATAACAATTGTCATTAGAAAGCCTCCAAGAAGAGTATGAGCGCGTAATGAGGAAATTGATGTTGAGAACATTATCCGTAAGTCTCTGAGTCTGAAGGAGGATATGAGCATGATATCATCTACGTATCGATTTGACGCTGATTGGTGCACTTTAGTCTGAATTTCATGAGGCAAGTGTCTCTACATCAGGTGTGCACAGAGCTGAATTATTTAGGCCATCTCGACCTGGCCTCATTGGCAGTTACATAGCTATGAAGTATTCCTCAAAAGTATATCGGACTGTCTTTGTACGTGCCACTGGAATGGGCGCAGCTAGCTGGCGACTATGGTCTATCTTTTCCCAATGCTGCCTGACCACTCACAGAGCCAAGGTCCAGATCCAACAAGTCGAATTGCAGACTTGAGCGTTATTCTGCCTAATTATACCCAAGGGGGAGTCAAAGAACATTTCCAACCCATGTGCAGATCCTTGACCTGGCCATGCTGCAACTGGGTTTTCGGTTCGGATATGACGGCTCGCTGGGTTCCACGGAGCGCGGTTGCCGCGCGCTTATGGGATAATTACATGCATCAGGAGAAGCCACTATGGGTCTGTTTTGTGACACGTTGCGCCAGTCAAGTAGACAAGTGGCTCATCCTGTTGCCACTAGCTGCCCAAAACCCTCTCACGTCCACTTCTATCACTCCTTCCACACCACAGTCATACCATTGCAAGGAAGCTCAACACCCACAAGGGCATACACCCGCGTAAGAATCTCATATATAGCAATCATGGGGTTCTTCGGCGACGTCATCTCCGAGGTAGTCGGGAACTCGGTCGACGGAGGCAACGGCTCGCCATCCGACCCGCCGTATGTGCGCCCTCCTTGGGTCGCGCGCTGGGACAGCGAAGCCGGCCGCTGGATCTACTTCAACGAGGAGACGGGCGAGCGCAGCTGGGAGAGGCCCGTTCTTGAGGAAGCTGGTGAGTCTTGGTACTTTAACAGACCTCTTTAGAGATGGCCAGCCGTGCCAGGCCGCAAGACTGACACAGTAACCCTTAGCTGAGAGCTGGAACCGCGAGGAGGACCGCATGGAGCGCAGGTTTGACGACGGAGTTGAGCATGTCGAAGAGTTTCCCGAGGACGCAGCCCGTTGGACCGGCGAGGCTGTCGGTGAGGTCGAGGCTGTTCCTGACAGGGTAGAGGAGGGATGGGACAGGGCGGAGGAGAACGTTGAGGAGGGCTTCGACAGGGCCGGAGAGAACATTGAGGAGGGATGGGACAGGACGGAGGAGAATGTTGAGGAAGGGTGGGATCGGGCAGGTGAGAATATAGAGCACGGCTGGGATGAGACCGTAGACGCCGTCGAGGACGCCCCGGAGAACATCGCCGAGGGCATCGGTGAGGGCGTTGGCAAGGTCGAGCGATTTGGGGATAGTGTTGAGGACTACGGTGAGAGCCTGGAAGAAAGCTACGACGAGGGTCGGGATGAGGCCAGATACGACTGAGGAGCTGTTGGTCGTGAAACGATTTACTCATTCGACCTGAGCATGGGACTTCATCGGGCTGAATGAGTTCCTGTGAGGACTGGGCCCCAATATCCCGCATTGTCAGTTGGCCGTTGTATTTGTCTGAGCGTTGTGGGAGCATCGTCCGACAAATTCTGAACATATTGCGGCACATAGGATGAGTTGCGGGACGCTTGCCCTGTCGGCCTTGAAAAGACGAGTTAAGGCTCAGAGGCTGTAGATTTGTGTCATGGCCGTATCCACATGGAGTCAAGAAAATTGGTCAGAGCAGACATCAGTTCACTATGAATCTTTACCAAGCTACAACGATCCAACTCGTTGGGCTCCTTGTTTCTCTATCCTCTAGTACGGAGGATTTCCGTGGCCTTGTTGATGACCATAGTTGGAACCGTCTCCGTATCCTTGATTTTGTCCATAGCTCTGGCTCTGTCCATAGCCCTGGCTGTGACCACCATAGCCTTGTTGCTGGTGCGGTTGGTATTGGTCCAGCCTGTACTCCTGATGAGGCTGGTACTGTGGGGGGTTGTACTCTGGCGCCTGATGCTGATCAGGACGGTACTCCTGCGATGGCTGATGATGCGATGGGTTGTACGGCTGGTGAGAAGGAGGGGCCTGGTGACCACCATACTGGTCATGCGAGGGAGCAGGAGGTGGAGGCGGGTAGTTTCCGTGCGTCGACGGCGGAGGCTGATTTCCGCCACCACTGGACTGATGTCCGCCACCCGGCTGAGAACCAGCAGCAACTGCACCCACGCTGACACCCTCGTTTCCAATATCATCCGGCACGGTGATCTTAACCTTGGGCAGATACTTCTGCACCTTCTGCTCCACCATGTTCTGCACGAAGACCCAGCTCTCGCGCTCGAATTTGCGGTGCCCACCGTTGACGAGGCCCAGGATGCTCTCGCGCAGCGTCTCCTGAACCTTGCGCACCAGCCCGCGGATCTTGTTGACGAGCTTGACCTTGATGTCGTCGCCGAAGCCGCGGTCCGCCCCGGGGTCGGCGTCGCGGTCGAGCTGCGGGTCGAAGGGGTTGCCGCCCAGGATCTTCTCCAGGGGCCGCTGGAACTCGTCGGGCAGAAGCTCGAACAGCTGCTTCTCGATCGCGCCCAACACGCTGCGGAACTCGAGGCGCACCTCGCGGTGGACCTTTGCCAGGCCTGTGCTCAGCTTGTCGCTGATGACCTTGGAGAAGCCGCCGCTGCTTTCTCCGCCTTCGCCATCCCGATCACCGATGCCTCGCGATGCTCCTTCGTCAGAGTGCTTCTTGTTGCCGAAGAGGCCTCCGATGCCCTTGACGATGTCCTTGACCTGATCCTCAAACTCTCCCTTGACACCATCACCAAGATCACGAGTGCTGGTGTTCCCTCTTAGCCAGCGTTTGATGTGGTCCAGCGCGATGCGAGTGAACTGCTCAGCGATGGGTGCATGCTGCTCCTTCAGCTTCGCGCCAACCTTCTCCTTGATCTCGGGGCTGATGGCACGCGCTTTCTCCTCTGGGTTTCGTGCAGCATCCTTGACCGTGTCGCTCAGTACACCTAAAAGTCCATCAAGCTCGAACTTCTTGCCTCCCCCTGGTCCACTGTCGTCCAGGTGGTCCTGGACGGCGTTCATAGCGGCGGAGAGGAAGCCCTTCGCGCCTCCGGAGAATGAATCGGCGTGGCCCACGCCGCGAGACTGAGTCTGTCCCGGGCCTCCTCCTCGGCCCTCGGTCAGGTCGAAAATGTCACGCAGGTCGTCGCCAGCCTCATCGGTGATTTGGGAGAAGCTCCGCGTCAGCTTGGCAATCTCGTCTGCGAAGGGCAGTGACTGGCCGCCGTAGGCATCTGGGGGTGAGTCATCTAGACGCCTTGAGCCGCCCTCAGAGTGGCCCTTGTCTTTATCGAACAGCGAGCGGAAGGCATCGACGACCTGGTCCTCCAGACTGTCGATGGTCTTCTTCTGGAAGATGTCGATCTCAGACGCGATGCGGGGCTGGATCTGCGGCGCCAGCGAGTCGACGTACTCATCAACCCGCTGCATCAACACGTCAGGCAGAGGCATTTTCACAGTGGTGGCCAGGGGCTTGCGATGGAGTGATATGTTGTTTAGAAGCAGGGAGGTTACAACATTTAAGTCGTAGTAAAGTGGAGACCAGCCCCGCTGGCTGAGGCAGTGCAGGCTGGGGGAGACGTGAGCTGAATGGTCACGTGGTTTGGAAGTATACATGCATCTACGTCAGTGCTCAAGTGTGAGACGAAGGAGCTGGGATTGTTATGTCATAGATTTAAACCTGGAAGCAACAGAATACCAGGCGAATATGCTGAACGATCTAATCTTGTGCACAGCCATCAAAGGCAAAGGGTATGAAGTGAGGCTCAAATTCGGGAAACACGCCCTCGGTCGACATATCCGTCTGCTCATGTCTACCAACGGTTATTTGTGTAGTTTTATCCTGCTCCTCGTCTCGTTCAAGTATCCTCTGACCTGTTCCTTGCTGTTCTCACTGAAGAGCTCCTTCAGGTACTCCTTGGGCTGCTTCGCAGGCCCAGCAGGTGTGCATCTGAGCAAGCTGTGTGTCCGGTCTTGGCAACCCGCTCCTCGTATGTAGCATTTACTGCAGACGTCGTAACATCCTTTGTTGCACTTTGAGCAGCCTGTGAAATGCCCGGATTAGGTTCAAAGAACGGGATAATGCCGATAATACGTCGGACTCACAGTAGAAAACGCCACCTCCTAGTTGCTCCTTGCAGAACTGACAGCAGTCCTTTTCTGTAAACTGCTTGGAAATGCTCTTTTCGCCCTTATAGACAACATATCGTGTCAAAACATGTTCTGTGTTTTTACAGGTCTTATCCATCTCATAACAGCGGTCGCAGATGCCGGCGTCATCGCCGCACTTTTCGCAGACTAGAGAACTTGATTAGTCCTGTCGAGCTTCCCAGTCAGTTCATATCCGGTGATGTTGCTTACAGTAGAATGGCCCTTGCTTTATCTTGGTCTCACAGCCTTTGCAAGAAATGCCATCTGTAGCGAAGTCCGGGTGTGGCCTGTCAACGTTGGCTCTTAGGTACACGTAGAGCCTGTGGTCGTCAGGGGAGTGACATGTTTTCCCCTCGCGATAGCAGTCTTGACACATATCGAAATCCGTATCATCACTGCACTCGGGACAATCTGCACCAAACTTGTGAGCACATATTGCCGCTTAAAGATGGATTGACTCACAATAGTATCGACCCTGGGTGATCAGTCTTTGACAGGGAGCGCATCGCAGCTCTGCCACATTTGCAAGCCGTCTCCTCGCGTCTCCCTTCTCAGACGCCAATACGTCGCCAGCAACGGATTTTTGCATCGTCTGCATTTCTTTGTCGGAGCATTCGCACGAGGTGCCTCCCTCGCGGCACTTCAAACAAAGGTCAAAGTCGTCTGCCTCTTGACAACAATCTACCTTGCAGTTAGCACCTTTCAAAAGGAAAGGGTTTCAAGATGGTGACTCACGCGCAAATTTTCCGTGTCTGATGGACTCTCCACAGCCTCGACAAAACTGACCCAGCGGTCCTTGCAACCTAGTACACTTGCCCTTGAGTTTCAGCTCGATCTTGATCTCCGGGTCCAGCAGCTTTTCCATGGCATATGCGAAAACAGTCTCGCCAATACACTCAGCAAGCATTTCCTCCATCTTCTTCGCAGCCATAATGCCAACCGCATAACCAACAGCATGCCCACTGACACCCTCAGTGGCGGTCTCGTTGATGACCTGCTCGGCTCCATGGCCCAGCAACGCCCCGTGCGCAGCCTGGCCAACCGCGTTCGCCTGGTCCGTGAGACCCTGAGCGAACCCATGGGCCGCCGCCTCTGGATCTCCCTGGATATAATGCATGGCCAGGCTGCCCCCGTGAGGACCCGGCACGGGGACATCAGGCGGGGCAATCGCGCCGGCGACGAGATGACTTATGCCGGCGCCAACCCCCAGGCCAACCGCCGCCGTGCCGAGCGGGATGAACGCGTCGCGCTTGCTCATGTCGTGGAGCGGCACGCCGCGCCTGGTGAGCTCCTCGCGGATGATGGCCAGCTTCTCCTTGGCGACGTAGTACCGCCGCAGCGCGAACGCGGACACGCCCAGCGTGAGGCCGGCTGTCGTGACGGCGTGGCTCAGGCCGATGCCCATTGACGCGCTGGCTGCGAAGTGCTGCCGGAGTTTCCTGATCTCCTCTTCCTGCAGCTTTATCGTGGGCCGCTCTGCGCATTTCGCGCGGTAGGCGGCCTCGTCGAAGTCGAAGGTGTCGTGAAGTCCCATTGTCGGTGAGCGCCGCTGAACCTGTTTGCCTCTAGCTTTTGTGTGAGCTTGACTCAATAGAGCAAGCAGCCCAGCAGGATTTCAACGTGAGGTCCTCAATTGTAAATCTGTTGCACGAAGGTAGAGTACTAGATACCGTGCTGCTTTACCCAGCATACATAGCTTGTGATGACATCGCCACGACGGGGTCTTCCAAGATTCTGGCGAGTCCGTCGTCGTCCGTCGACGCCAATGGAGGCCTTCAGGGTTTGCTCCACATAAACCCTGCTTTGGAGGACAGGGGCAGTGGTAGTTTAGAACCCTAGCCCTTTATCGACCTCAGGGAACTGTCCACCAATTGGACCGCATACCGGCTGTGCTGTTCCATCAGTAACATGTTCTCTTATCCGTCTTGAAGAAAACAAGAGAAACAGATATCGAAAGTGCATGATCAAAAAAATCGAAAGAAAAGAGACAAAATCAGAAAGGGAGGAAAGAAGAACTTGAAAATGATAACTCAACCCAAGTGCTCATGTGTCATGGTCGGGCTTAGAGCGTGATTGATTCTAGGTCAGTGTTGCACTGAGCCTTTCTCTTGTTCAATGATTCCTCAATCTGTCGTCACTGATCTCAAATAGAAAGAAATCCTAGGAGCCACTATCGTTAGGATCGACTCTAGGGGTCTTGACACGCTTTCCCCAAGTTGCAACTGGAAATGCTGGACCTACACGTTTCACTGGGAATGGGTCTAGCCTGGCCGTTCGTAAGGAATCAGCGTTATAGGTCTCGCAAAGCATTGACTGAGCACTTACAACAAAAAGTAGAGAATCGGTGATTGTTGTATGGCGTTCCAAACACGGGTTGAAAGAGGAGAAGGAAGCTCAGATCTCCTGCAGAATTGCTCTCTACCCAGGTGTACAATTTTGTTTTACATTTGCCAAACTGTATGCATCAGTCAGAGACCTCCACCAAGCTGCTGTACTTGCTCCCTGTCCCAGATGCATAGTTGAACAAGCCGACGCCACTGTCCCGCCGCGCATCCAGCACATTCTCCTCCTCCACCAGGTACCTCTTTGGCTCGTCAGTGCCTGAGCTTGATGGGAGCTGGTCAAGAGCCAAAGTGATCCGCTCAGCGCCTACCCTCGCACCACCAATATTCGGCGCAGCAGGGCCCAGCCTCAGCGCGGCAAGCCTCCCCGCCATGAACAGCGGCACATCATCCTTCCACATTAGATCCTCGTTCAGACAGGGAAACCCACCGAGGCTCTGTATCGGGTAGTCCCTGAGCATATTCTGCAGGTAGGGTAGGGTAGTGAAATCGGACTGGATGCCTGTTGCGAAGTAGATGTAATCAACGTCCGGCAAGCCCTCGATCGGCGGTTCAGTCTTAATCTTCCAGACGCCACCCTCGCCGTCGACACACTCCTCGAAACGGGCGTCGGTGATGACAGTCTTCTCGAACATCTTCAGCTGCCCGCGCGCCATATGCGGCTTGATGCGCTTCATGAAAGCAGGCGTGATGCTCCCGCCTCCCCGCGCCTCCTTGATGATCTCGAGCCTCTCCTCGTCCGAGTCTGCCTGGTGGAAGTACCCCTGGTGCAGCGTCTTGTACTTGCCCATCCAGTGGAGGTCGACGTCGAAGGCCTTGAGCTTGACGGTGCCGCGCATGAGGTGCCAGACGCGCGTCACCCCGCGGCGGATGGCCAGGTCCGACAGCTGCGCCGACGTGAGGCCGCCGCCCACGACCAGGACGTTGGTGCGCTTCTGGGCTGCCACTCGTGCCTGGACTATGGGGTCGGGGAAGGTGGCGATCTTCATGCTGTGGCACGCTTGTGGCATGCAGGCGGTGTGGTCGCTGCTAGAGTGACCTGGGAAGGAGAGGGATGGGATCTTGGGGAGCACGGGGGAATTTGCGGGACCGACGGCGAGTATCACGGCGCGGGCGTAGCGGATGGTCTTGTCCGTGGTGACGGTGAAGAGCTTGTCCTCGCTGTTTGGGATTTCTTCCACTGCGCTGTACCGGATGTCTGTGACGGGCTCTTTGTGGACGAGACCATCCATGAGGTGATATCGCTCGGCCACACAGTCGCAATGGTCCGTGAAGAGGGATAAGGACGGAGTGTAGTAGTCCCATTGGTCCCGCTGGTTAATGTCGATCGAAGCATCTTGCCTGGAGAAGCGGTCATGTTAGCATAACACAAGTCCGAGGTCACAAACAGCGACAATTGAACAGGCTGAACTCACTTTCCGCCGCTGAACTGGCTCCTCTTTTTCTTCTGATGCTTGCTCATCTCCTTGCCCACGCACCCTCTAATCTCCACCAGCTCGTTCTCCCGCCCGTGGAAATGCGCATGCGACAGCATCGCATCCCTATGTTGAGGGTCGACATGCCACAGCATGGGACTCCTGAGATGGCTGATGTCAAAAGTGGAAAAAAGTCTCCGCCAGCGTCCGAGCCAATTACTGTCGTCCGCGTCTAGCACCGCCATTCTGTACTCTGGCTTTGTACCGGCCTTTGGTTGAGACCCAGGTACCTCCTTTCCGGTCTTGTAGTGTTTTAATGCAACTTTTGTGCCGTGTTTGCGCAGCCAGTGGAACCGGCTGTGCTCTTCATCTGTGAACATGGCAGATGGAGCATCTTCCCGGATGCGAGCGGCGGCAGCAAGTCCACAGGGGCCTGCACCGATGATCAGTACGTCGAAGACCTCGGGGTCAATTTCGAGGTCATCGCGGGTCGACGTGATATCGGCGTCTTCGTTGTCTTGTATCAGAGGCATCTTGTAATTTGATGATGGAACCGAGATATTGCGGCTGAATACTACGTTCAGGGGGGCGTAGACGACACTTGTAAAATGCGGGAAACCTGGATTCAACGACCTGTAGACATGGGTTCTTTAAAAGGCGAGCAATCGCCTTCTCCGCTACTCAGCTATGGGCACCTTGATGGACAGTCTGTCACAGGCAGTAGCCCTGATAAAAGTAGACGACTTCCAGCGAGCCTGCCCTTACTCAGCCTTGCAATATTCTCCACACCAGCGAATGCACTTTCTTGTCTGGTCTTCCACTAAAAAAGGTTGATTTAATCGGCTGCCAGTTCTTTCCATAGCTTACATTGGCAAGCAAACGCCTCTATCACTTCATGACAATATGCTGCTGCTGCATCAACTTGGCTGCGACTCAGGAGGGTGTTTGAGAACCTTGATGGTCAAGATCGCAGCCGACTGGACTGGAGCCGCTTCCGTCATTTTACCCGCTCTGAGACCCTGGATTGGGTCCATTCTGACCAAGTCCTGTCCATAGAGGTTCTCAAACGGCTTTGGTAAGCCCGGCCAGTCAGATGCGCGGGCAAGTTGCCGTTCCCGTTCAGCAAGTATGCACTGAGTGGTGTCTTGCCCTTCGTGCGCGTCAGCCTCAAGTCATACGGTGATTTGCATTTGAGGTGAAAACACATGTGAAAAGACACATAATGGTGTATGAAGCTGGTTCCCTTGACATCAGTCCAAGTCGATTGGAGCTTTGTCAAGTCAATGGGTGTTGAGAGAACCGATGTGCTGCCACAATCACACATTTAGAAGTCTTGGGCCAAAGACTCCTCCAACAAGGAACCTTCTTTGGGGCCTATCCTAAGTAGACAATCCCATTGCTGTGTTGAGACGGCATCCAGGTCTGAACAATTGTTCTACTCGAAGTATGAGGGCTATCGGCCCGGGGTCGCATTGTGTGTGCCGCTCATGCGATGGATCCTACTTTACCTGAAGTGTTCAGACAATAGCCTTTGTCTAGGACGATTATCTTCGAGGAATCAGCATCGGCACTGAAGAGTGAAGCTCGAGGTATAAGTTACCCTGTCTTCGCGATGTAATTGCCATGGATTTGGAAACAACCGCAAGAATCTCAACAGGATCTCTAGCAAGCCCAGACATCTATTTGAGTCAGCAACTACAAAATTCGACGCGAAATATCTCAAGAAGGATTCCTCGAAATGTCTCGCACGCATATCATTCAGAACACTATTCCCACACGTTATGACCCACCAGCGTGTCAGTCCAGCAGAAGGTTCATACCACATTCTGTACCGGTGCCTCGTACAGTCTATTATGAAATTCAAGTTTGAAAAGCGAAACGAGAAGACACCAGGCCACCCACACGCGGCCCACGGTGTCGAGCTCCGGGTGGCTTGGGCCCGGGTTTTCAAGGCTATTATCGACATCACGTGTGAGCCGTCGACTCGTGACAAGCCTCAAAACAAGAAAGCTTTTGAGAGGATGCCCTCGGCTGCATTTGAGGATCTGGTCAAAGTCTGGTCCAAAAGCGATGCGTCTGGCGGGTCCTGCTGCCCGCTGGCTGCTGAGGGCATTGGCAAGCTGCTCCTTTCCACAGGGATCACACCAAGTGATGCAGGTCTGCAGAAATGGAGGACGCTGTGCTCCGGCGAGGACATCGGGGCTAGTGGAAGATAGAGAGAGAAAAGCCAATGGGCATTCTTTTGGTCCGGAATCGACGATGAGAAGCTGGACGTTTTTTAAGGTCTAGGGACATGGCCACATAAATTGTAGTTAGCATGGTACATATCAGTGAAATATGGAGTTGTTCTCTCAGTTCAGGCCAAAGAAATGCCTCTTTCCCAGTACCGCTCCTAGAATATGTTACGGAATATGATCACACAGAAGTTGTGAATCGCGCCACGGTGATTTGATGCTACATTTGTTGTTTCCGAAGGGCTTGCCATATCCTCCACGGCAGTTTCCAGCTGTTTTTGACCTGGAACGGGTCAAAATTGGCCTTCTCAATCCTTTCGAGGTAGTCACCAGCAGGGACAGCCTCTAGTAGCACTCCAAAGCCACGTTTGACATCCCGCTGGGTGGTATCTTCCTCCTCGCCGTATGTGTGCTCCACCTCGCCAGCGTGTTCGTACTCATGCCCAGGGTCCACTCCCTGGCCGATGTTCTTCAACATCTCCCTCGCCGTGATAAGATGGTCGTTGGCACGGGTGGCCACCTTGAAGATGGCGTCCTGCAGGCCTTGTGCGTTCGGGCCGTGGCGGAACACGTCCTCTTCTCGGAGATCGACCTCGGCCATCACGTCGAGGGGCAGCAGGAGAGCCTGGCTCCTGCTGTTACCGGCTTCTACTACACCGGGCGTGTGCACCGGCCGCGGCGGTGCAGCCAGGACCGGTACGCCGCGCAGGGTGGCGACGATGCCGCACGCCTTGCCGATGTGGCTAGCCAGATGGTCCATGTGTACTGAGCGAACGTCCATCGCAGCCAGCGTCATATACATGAGTGTGGCGTATGTGTTCTCGGCATAATCTTCCAGCGCAGCCAGGGTCGAGAATGGCCTGTTGTCCATGTGCTTCTCGCGGGTGTTGATGAAGCGCAGCAGCCAGAACTTGATCGAGCTTGCGCTGCCGGTGAAGCCTGTCCTCTCGGCGAGGTCGGTGATGGCCTTGTGCAGGAGGATGGAGATGGGCTCCTTGGGAGGGTTGCCGGCAAAGGTCTTGTTGATGGAGTCGCGCCAGAACTGCATGCGCATGAGGCCTATGGTAGGGTTCGAGACGGTCTCGGGGAGTCGGGCGAGCTCGAGGTTGAGGGTGCGCAGGGCATCGTAGGCATTTTGGGCAGATCGAGGGACGAATTGGCGGATTAGGTAGGAATCGTAGTCGCCTTGCCTACAGAAGGAAATATGTCAGATCGCGACGCCGGGCGAAGAGCGAGGGCTGAGAGTTGCAGACCTCAGTTGATTTACGCAGTATTTTCGAGCGCTCTCGATGTCTGCTTCTGTCGCGATTCCTCTTGCTCTTGCTGTCCGGACACTGCCCAGTGCCCGGACAATTGGCCTTCCTGGGCCATGTCTGAGGCTGTTGGAGAGATACATGATATTCAAGAAACTTCGGGATCGGACTGCGCCATCTTCAAAATTGTATGCGCCCCTACCAATGCAGACCACCAAGATAGCGAAGCGGCAGAAATGGCCGGAGGCGAAGCTTCATTGCCACTTTCCGTCGCGAATATTTTGAATGACGGCATGCGGGTAGCTGGACCCCTGCCGCCCCACCTTTCTAACAAAGGCCTATGCCTTGAGTGGCTGCAGGCCATGACGCCAAAAGTCGCGCCCTCAAAGGGCAGGCGCGTCTCGCCAGAGCACTCTTCGAACCGAATATCCGGTTGTCGAGGCACCTTGCCTTCGCCACCGACTACGAACATCTCTGTTTCTCGCCATGACAACTCGCGCCATGGAGTCCCATGCGAACGGCGAGCCCCCAGCCAAGAAGAGGCGATTCTTCGCAGATCCAGACGAAGTGATCGCCTCCTCAGACGCGTCCGCCCCAAATGCTGGATCATCTTCGAAGCCACGCTTCTTCAAAGATGCCGTTGCCGGTGCCGATGACGATGCATGCCCTCGCGATATAAATCACATAGAACATGGGAGATCATTGACAGATCACGAACAAGCGTCTACCGACAATGTCTCCTCGGAAGCCGAAGCTGGCCCATCGAATGACGGCGGTGCATCTATGGCCTTTGACCAGGAGACATTCGAAAGCTTTGTCGGGGACAAGGTCCAACCCGATGTCCTCGAGGTGATCCGTGAAAACTGTGGCAACGACATCGAAAGAGCTGTCAACATGTACTTTGATGGCACTTGGAAGAAGTTCAAGAAGAAGGCAAAGCCCACGGGCGTTCAGTCGACGATAGCAAGGAATCCCAAACCGCAGGAACCCAAGCCGCCTGACGCTCAATCAAATGAACCCCTTCGATCCACCCCTGACTTCCGCTATATCGGTTCTTTTGGTGTGGAAGGCTGGGCAACGAGAAGCGGGGCGAACCTTCTGAAATATGGAGATAACCTCAAGATCGAGCGCCAAAAGACCACGCAGCCTCTGAAAAGGCAACGAGTCGATGTCATCGTCAGATTCACAAATGGTCAGGGATCGGAGATTGGACGTCTGGCAAAGGACAGCGCGAACTGGATTTCTACCTTGATGGATCAAAAGTGCTGCAAGTTCGATGCCACATGCGTCTATGCTCCCGATCGGCTGAGAACAAATGACACGGTCTTCATCCAGCTGCGCTGCTCCTTTCTCAAGTCCGCGTTCCACAGACCAGGTTTCAAACTACCCGACAACCGCTCAACTGGGCTCTACGAAGAGAAGGAAACGACCGAGGAGCGGGACCTTCGTCTAAGGCAGGTTGCGCTGGTGAGGCTATTCCAGGAAATTAACTTAAATCCGACCAAGCTCAGCGCTGCTGCTGCTCGCCACTCTCGCGAGGGCCTGCTGGAAGCTGCCGAACTGGCAGAGAAGCAAGAAAAGGAACCAGCCAAGACGAAAAAGCCCGAGAAGGGCGACAAGTCTGGTTCCTCAACCCCATCAGAGGACGAAGATGGCACAGAGCTGGAGCAGGACCAGCTTGATTCCCTTTACAAAAAAGCGCAGTCCTTTGACTTTGACACTCCTGAGGCGGAACCGGCCAAGACTTTTGCCATGACCCTTCGCCCCTACCAGAAACAGGCCCTCCACTGGATGCTCTCGAAAGAGAAGAACGAGAAGGAAAAACGACGGGAGGTATCTATGCATCCGCTGTGGGAAGAATACGCTTGGCCGATCAAGGATGCCGACGACAAGGACCTGCCCCGTGTTGCCGACCAGCCCTGCTTTTACATGAACCCATACTCCGGAGACCTGTCCCTCGAATTCCCAGTGCAAGAGCAGCACTGCCTCGGCGGCATCCTTGCTGATGAAATGGGGTTGGGTAAGACGATCCAGATGTTGAGCTTGGTTCACTCGCACCGGTCGCAAACGGCGGTCGAAGCCAGGAACAGCCACGGCAATGGTACTGGATCCGTCAACAACCTTCCCCGCCTGCCTTCGTCGACGGCGGGGGTTGTACCGGCCCCTTGCACCACTCTGGTTGTGGCTCCCATGTCTTTGCTGGCCCAGTGGCAGAGCGAGGCAGAGAACGCATCCAAGGAGGGCACTTTGAAGTCAATGGTGTACTATGGTAGTGAGAAAGTCGCCGATCTTCGAACTCTTTGCTGTGAAGCCAACGCCCCCACGGCCCCTGATGTGATCATCACAAGTTATGGCATCGTTCTCTCCGAATTCACACAAATAGCGTCGAAGGGTGGCAGTATGGACGGCCACCGCGGGCTGTTTTCTCTGAACTTCTTCCGGGTCATTCTTGACGAGGGACATAACATCAAGAATCGCCAGTCCAAGACCGCCAAGGCATGCTACGACCTCTCTGCGGAACATCGCTGGGTGTTGACTGGCACACCCATCGTGAACAAGCTTGAGGATCTTTTCAGTCTGGTCCGTTTCCTGCGAGTCGAGCCATGGAACAACTTCTCGTTCTGGCGCACATTTATCACCGTGCCATTTGAGGCGGGCAACTTTGTCAAAGCATTAGATGTGGTGCAGACCGTGCTAGAACCGCTAGTGATGCGACGCACAAAGGATATGAAAACACCTGATGGCACACCTCTCGTGGACCTGCCGCCAAAGAGCATTGATGTTGTCGACATTGAACTGTCAGAAACCGAGAGACAGATTTACGACTACGTCTACACACGTGCCAAGAGGACTTTCCAGGAAAATGTTCAAGCAGGCACTGTCATGAAAGCCTTCACCACTATCTTTGCGCAGCTTCTGCGTCTGAGGCAAACATGCTGCCACCCAACCCTTGTTAGAAACCAGGACATTGTAGCAGATGAAGAGGAAGCTGGAGCCGCAGCCGATGCTGCGGCGGGTCTCGCTGACGATATGGACCTCTCGGCGCTGATCGAGCGATTCACTGCCGACACCGATGACGAAAAGGACGCCAATGCTTTCGGGGCGCATGTGCTCAAGCAGATTCGAGACGAGGCTGCCAATGAGTGCCCTGTTTGCTGCGAGGAGCCAATGATTGACCAAACAGTCACCGGCTGCTGGCACTCTGCGTGCAAAAAGTGTCTACTAGACTACATCAACCACCAGACAGACCGCCACGAGGTCCCGAAATGTTTCAACTGCCGCGAGGTCATCAATTCTCGGGATCTTTTCGAAGTTGTCCGCCATGACGATGACCCTGAGCCCAAACTCGGTCAGAACTCCCCTCGCATCAGCCTTCAGCGCGTCGGGGTCAATGCCTCTTCGGCCAAGGTGGTCGCTCTAATCAAGCACCTTCGAGCCTTGCGCAGGGAGAGCCCCAAGATGAAGTCGGTCGTTTTCAGCCAGTTCACATCCTTCATGACGCTCATCGAGCCAGCCTTGGAGAAGGCCAACATGCAGTTCCTCCGGCTGGACGGTTCTATGGCGCAAAAAGCCCGAGCGGCGGTGCTGGACAAGTTCCGGGACAGCAAGAAGTTCACGGTGCTCCTGCTCAGTCTCAAGGCGGGCGGTGTGGGCCTGAACCTGACGAGCGCCAAGAGGGTCTTCATGATGGACCCGTGGTGGAGTTTTGCGGTAGAGGCGCAGGCTATCGATCGAGTGCACCGGATGGGCCAGGAGGATGAGGTCAAGGTGTACCGATTTATCGTGAAGGATAGTGTCGAGGAGAGGATGTTGAAGGTACAAGAGAGGAAGAAGTTCATGTGAGTGCCTATCCGCTCGCTGTCTCAACCCCAAACAATTTGTCAACTTTTGCTAACTCCATTCACCTACAGTGCTACGTCTCTGGGAATGATGAACGATGAAGAGAAGAGGATGCAGCGGATCGAGGACATCAAAGAGCTTTTGAGCTAAATGGGGACAAGCGTTGTTGGCGACATTTTGGGCGGATCTACTGTTACGAACTCGTGGCTTGGAGTCCGGGGGATGAACAAATCTCGAAAAGGCGCACTATAGCATCGACGAACATACTTGCTACATGACATTATCTGTGAAAATCGGATGGAATGGAAGTATATATCATGCATAGGTAAATATGGACTTCCACCGCTTGTCTCTTCTCTACATGACTTAGTCCCCAAGTTGATGCCTGCTTCAACTCTCACAAATTCGTGTCTTGTCATGTGAGTCAAAGTCTTCCGTTCATACGACATTGGTCTCGCGCTGCTGTTGGCTCTCAATGTATAATTACATTCCTCCATATTCGTTGGGCACAGCCAGAGACAATCTCCAAAGATTCCAACGGTGCTCATGAATCAGAGTCGTCACTCTTCCACTCTCACCTTTTAAAATCTGGACCCATTGGCCCCGAAAAGATTCCGGTGGGTGATGAGCAGACATGTTCCTGGAAAAAGAAACGCAATGCTGATTATTACGGCCAATAGGGTATGTTACACCGAAACAGCAGCCTGCAGCTCCCTGGCGTCCTCGGTCACGGCGCCCTTCCCCCCGGCCTTTGCCGGCGCCGCCGGCCCCCCCTCAGCCTCCTCGCCAAAGTTCTCCCTGCCGTCCGCAAAGACCTTCTCGAACTCGTACTCGCTCCAGCGGATGTCCGGGTTGAGGCCGGCGAACTTCCAGACGCCGTCGACCTTGCGGTACCAGTGCATGTTGTAGCTGTGGGCGTGGCCCTTCACCTTGACTTCTTTGAGGGTGGCGTCGGTGTAGACCTGGTGCGGGACGCGCAGCTGGTGGTGGCCGATGACCTCGGTGTCCGAGACCTTTTCCCAGCGGGAGCCGCCGACAAAGTGCTGCGTGCGCAGGAGCGGGTTGCCCAGGACCGCCTCGTCCGAGATCATGGCGACGAACTCCTCGGCCGGCATCGCGGGCCAGAGCTTGTCGAGGAAGGAGCGGTAGTCGATCTGATCGGCCACGATTAGCGAAGTGAGATTGGGTGAGTGACAGTGATGAGTAAGAGTGGCTTTTCTTGGCCATATGGGGGATCTGCGCTGTGGCGGGCGGGAAGGCGCTGTGGGTAGGTGGGTGGGCGTCTTTTCTTACACGGAGGGTCGGGGCAATGCATCTGCTCAGCCGCTTCCAATCCTTGGAGTCGTAGCTGTCTGCCCACTCGAAGAGTGCGGCGTTGAGGCCGAGGTAGTCTGATGGTCGGGGTCGTCAATCAAAAGAATCGTCTGAAAAGAACGACGGTGCCTGCTTGGGCTATGACATACCTGAGAAAGCGATCTCATCTGAAGATGTTGAGTTGGAACCCATGGTGAAGGATATTTGCTTATGCGGGCGTGCTTTGTTCGGACCTGGAAGAAGAAGGTGTGTGTGTGATGTGTATTATCGGTAATACTTTTGCAAGATTCGCGAATACGTGAGTCCCCCCTTCCCACCACCACACCAAGATCGAGAGGATGGAGATCTTGCATTTATGAATCTCAGAAGACAAGCCCCCCTGCGCCACCATCGCTGTGTGATGGTGGTCCGATACGCCGGTGCCCCCCTGTTCCGGCCGTGGGAGCGGACGTCCGGAGGTGGTTGGGGAACTGCGGGCTCGCCGCGCCCGACACCACCCCCTGGCCCGCTAAGGCCGCACCACCCATCACTTATCACTTGCATGCCACCTGTTTGAGCCGCCTGCATTCAACTCCCTGGACGAAGGATCCGCTGGCAGGCAGGCAGGATTGGTATGCATCGTTGGGTGGTGATTAGATGGGGTACATGTGCTGCACTACGCTGCATGGGCAGTACAGTAGTTTATATCGGCACCACCGGGGATGGATGCTCGTGAATTTCATGTGGGTGGTCTCTGACACATCTCCTGCCCCCCGTCCGAACGCCCGCTCGGTCGCCAAGACTCTTTTGTCCAAGACAGAGCGCCGGGCTGCACAGTGTCGGCGCCGAGCCTAGTCTAGCAGATAAAACACACGGTCAGAACTGGTCATTCGGTGGTCATTTCCGTCCTGGCCAAGGCGGCCGTTGTCAGTGGTTCATCCTTCGACCATTTTACAATTGATGGCGCTAAGCACATGAATACAGCCGTGGTGGAGGGGAGCTCCAATGAAGTCAACATGGCAAATCGACAAGATAACCACTGCATCTAATTTTCTAGTTACATTGGATTAAATCCTGGCGAGGAGCTGCCCCATATTTCTCTATTCAACAAACGATAGCGAGCACGTTCCAATCTACACGGCCCCGTTTGATCCGGCCGTCATCCCGGTCCGGGTCGAAGGCGTCGTCGCCGCCGGCGTCGTCACCGTCATCATCGGCAGCGCGCTTCAGGTTGGGCGGGCGCGTCTCGAAGCCCCTCACCAGCCTCCCAAATATCCGGCAGCCGTAGTCCTGCGCCAGGCGCTGTGTGAAGTCGCTCGGCGGGACTTGTTTGCCTTTCCACTGGTCGATCCACGCTCGCATGGGGGCTGGACCGTACTTCCACACGGCTGGTTGTCGGGTTAGCTCAAGTGCTTCTCCTGAGGTGTGAACTGGTGGGGATGCGCGGTGGCACGTTCTGAACACCTACATGTCATATCATAGACTTCACCTCCACAGCTCACCCACGCAGGCCGACGGTAAGGAACCGGGGCTGGCCTTTGTGCGGCGGCGTCACCGTCGTCTCCCCCCTCTGGCGGGACCTCTGAGCCGTCGTTCTCGGCCAGCTCGTCTAGGTACACGTCGACGACGCTCGACAGCTTCGCCACTATCAGGTCCCGCCGGCCGAGCAGCTGCAATAGTCCTCCAGGTGGCCGTGGGACGCGCAGCCTGTGCGAGATGTCCGTGCCGTAGTCGTCGCTGACGCCTTCTGTGAAGATGGGATGGTTCTCAGGCAGGTCCTCCCACTCCCACAGGGCTTTTGGAGCGAGACTCGGTCAGCTATACTCTGCTTGAAAGGGGGCAAGGAACTCACGTCTCAAATCATAGACCATCCCGTTCACCGCGACCTCGTGCTCGGCTAGCTGATCTGGAGTGGTCTCCTCGACCATTCGTCCGATCCGGAGGTAGTCATAGTCCTCGATGCAGCGGTCAGCGTTTCGATGATATCGAGCAAACTCTTCTGTTGATTCCCGGCCCGCCCATTTCTTCAATATATCCCGACCGCCAGGATGAGAGTCCATGAAATCTTGCCCAATGTCAGTTCACATGTTCTTTGGCAGGTGCTTTCTTTTTTTTGACAAAGACCCTTACCTGTCATGTCGTACACGTCGCCCCTTATCATCGTATATATTCCCTCCTCTGGGTAAATGTAACATGCGAATTCCTTTTCTGTAAATAGCATCTCGGCATTGGGCACAGGACCCTGTGCGTGGACAGTCTCGGCCAGCTTCGCACACATGTCTTGAGTGATTCTGTCGAAGACGGCGTCCACATTGACCCCGTCCAGTGCAGCGAGCTCTTGCACGGGAACTCGGCCGCCATTGCATCTAATCAAGTTTCTTATGCGCTCGTCGCCCAGATCTAAAGTACATGTATATTATTAGTACGTTCCGTAATTGGCAATCTCAAATTCTTATCCATACCTGAAATATCATAAACCTTGCCGTCGACAGCGGCCCAGAGCGGTCTACCCTGAAGGCCATCCCGATCTGCAACATGCTGCCACCTCACCGTCGGGAGAACTCTCCCCAGCGGCTCGCCAAGCTTGAGTTGTTGTATAAGCTCGGGCGAAGTAGCCTTCAGACCGGACAAGGTCCTCTCCACCACCTTGTTGAGGAAGCTCCCCGGCGTGCTCTGGTTGTTTGTCGCCGAGACAGCAAGTGAGGCCAGGGCCTGCAAGAAGCCATCGGGTGCTTGCCCAGATCTCATTGCTTCAACGGCGTCTGTGTAGAGCTGTCAGCCATGGGATCATCGAGCTGGGCAAATATCATCCCAAGTCCGCGGCTATGGGCAGCAGTACTTGTGTCGAGCACAGTGTACTCACCTGTTGCGTCGTATACATCATATCCGCCGTCTTCAGCATCGACCAAGAGCCACAGGTCATCCGCCGACCGGTGGTCTCCTACTTCTCCCACCGTGTAGAGTTGCGGCTTCACTTGGTGATGGGTAGCAGGCGCCCGGCCTGCCATGGCCGCGCGCCTGTTTCCGCCCCCGCCAGAACTTCGTCGGCGGCCGCCACCACCCTGTCCAGTGCCCTGTCCTCCTCCACCGCCGCGTCCGCCGCGCCCACGTCCCCCTCCTCCACGTCCACTGCCGCCGCGTCCTCCTCCACCACGGCCCCCGTCCCCTCGTCCTCCCCCGGGCGGCTGGGGGCCTGCTCCCGGAGGCTGAGGGCCTGCTCCGGGGCCCTGAGATCGATTCTGCCAATTGCTGTTCTGCCATCCTTGGCCCTGTCCGCCTCGACCTCGCCATCCGGAATTCCGCCAGTTCTGAGGCTGCCCCCCGCCTGCTTGTCCGCCGCCTTGTTGAGCAGGTGGCTGTTGAGGTGGCCGAACAGGTGGTTGAGCTGGCGGCTGGCCGGACTGGCCGGGCTGGGCTGGTGCTGCTGGAGGGCCAGGAGGCGGCGGCTGTTGGCCACCCGGCATGGTGGCGGAATATGGCTGGATCGGGGAAGACGCGTTGTACTTTTGCGGGTCAGGGTCCCCACGGGGTTGCATGCCCACCTTCTTCTCCCTGAAGGGCGGCGTCCAGGGAGGAAGCTTGAAGTTGAATGGCCCCCATTGCCCCTCGGCATTTCTGTTCTTGTTCGCCCACTGCTTGAGGGTGTCTTCCTGTATCCGGAACTCGCTCAAGATGGACTGGGGGACCACCCGCGAGACCCTGTCCCTGCCGGCCTGGAACTCGCGCCGCAGCGTGTCCAGCAGGGCGATCCGGTTCCCGCGCGCGTTGCCCGGGGGGTGGCGGGTCCTCAGGACCTGGCTGGCGTCGAAGCTCCCGTTCGTTTGGATCGGGAACGGCTGCATCCCCGCCTCCTGCGCCTCCCTGATGTTCTCCCGGCCCGGGGTCCAGGTAGGGCTGGGCCCTACCTCTGTGACCCTCTCCTGACGGCGGCTGGGCAGCGCAGCAAACATCAGGAAGCCCAGCGCGTCCCTGAGCCAGCCGAACCCGTCCCCCGCGTCACCGAGCAGCGAGCCAGACCTGACAGCGTCCGGCCATTGGTTGTGCGCGTTGAGGGATACGTCTTTTATTGCTTCTTGGGCCTCATATTCATCCTCCTGTTGGACCGCGGCGGTGAACCGTGCCAGGGCGTTCCTCGCTGAGGTCAGTGCCCAGAAGCTTGCTTGCCACGCCTCAAAGTTCCGGCGGTGCCACGGCCGGAGCCTTTCCCATTTCTCCCCTCTGGTTTCTATGCCACTTCGCAGGAGTTCCATCGCTTCCCGCCTCTCCTCCACAGGTTCCGCGCCTGAGAACTCCATGTTTCCATAGCCCTTACCGAAACCCATGTCACCAACCCTCAGACTTCTCGGAAGTTGCACAGCTTGGATCCGATATTTGGCGACCGTTTGATTCCAAAAGTTGTCCTTGAAGTAGTCTACGATCAGAGACGCAGGTGTCAAGTAGGAGTGCTACACAGGATTCACAATCAGCTCGCGGCAGGAGAATGGCGAACAGGCAGCTGAACAGGCAGACACCGGATCAGGGGGCCAAGGATGGGAGAGGGAGGAGTGAGTGCTCACGAATGGGTCGTTTTGGTGTTCTGCCACGTTCACACCGCCGCGGCTGTGTGCTATGTGGCGGTTCGGGAAGTCCTCGCAGGCGGTTAGGAAGCCCTGGCGCAAGACGTCGTCTGCCCCGCTCCCTGGCCTGCAGAACCCCCCGAGAACCTGCTTCTCGAACGCCATGCCGAGCTCGGGAACCCACTCCGGCGGTTGGCTGCGGATGGGCCGGTAGAAGGCCTCGTTGAGCATGCGCTGTGGCTTGGGCAGCGCGAACTGCTCCATCCGGTATGCCGCGTGCTGCATCTCGTGCGCCATCCTGCTGCCCATGGCAAAGGCGCAGTGCGCCCTCTGCGCCGGCGTGGCTGCCGAGTCCAGCAGCACCCAGATGAGGCTGGGATTTATCAGCATGACGATGGCACCGGAACCCGAAGGCGCCGGGTAGGTCACGGCCGAGCCCATCTTGGCGTACCCGACCTTGGGGGCCATGAAGCTGATCTGCATCCGCTTAGAATTGTACAACAACCAGTCGTTCTTTTCTTGGGCGGAGGTCTGATGGCCCTCTAAGGGATTGTCAGCGATATGAGGCGGGTCCACCATACCGGTGGGCCGGACGCCTCGCCATAAGTTTTGCCCCCTGCGCACCGATCTTACCGCGTCGTTGAAAGGAAGGTTGAACGATATTGAGAGTATGTCGCTCGCCAGCTGTATGGCAGGCTGCAGGGCCGCCCAGAACACCGGGTCATCCACGTTGTAGGTCGGGTTCGGCAAGAGACCTGGCAGCAGCCGGCCTGGATTCGGGTATTCGTGCTCCAAGGGGAGGTCCATGTTAAACCACCTCGCCTGCAACTGATGTTAGCCACCGCACATCAACACCAGCAGGTGAAGCAGCCAGTGGTTATGGCCGCTGCGGACGGGTCCGGAAGGCTTCGGCTCCTCCTGGCTCCCTTCTCTTACCTTTGCAAAAACAGGATGCCAACTTGACTCATCAACGCGTTCGCGCAGGCCATCTTCGACCGGCATGTTGTCGTTGAACACGACCGCCTGGTACATCGGGAGCCCGCACAGCCTCGACCTCTGATCGGCCTCGTCCAGGAACAGCTTGTCCAGAGCGTCGTCGTCGGGCATCTCGAGGGCCACGATCGGGTCGGCCTCTGCCTCGGGCGGGAGGTCTACATAGTTCTCCGGGCCGATGTTCGGACAGTCCGGGTGGAGGCCCGACGAGTTCTCCGTCTTCCACCGGCCGGCCGAGTGGACCCCAAACCTCGCTGCCCATGGCGTTCGGGGTCTCTCGCCGACCGGACCATCTTGAGGAGGATTCTCTTGAGCCGGTTGTTGTTGAGCCGGGTTCCCTTGAGCCGGGTCACCTCCGGCCGGGTCGGCCGGGCCCGGGGTTGCCATCGATGCTTCGAGAAAAGTACAGGACCCAAATTTAAGAGGTCTTCGCGAGAAGGGCAAAATGGTGAAGCATGGAGGGCAGGGGTAGAGCGTAAAGGTGATAACGCAGCAGTTGGGCTTTGTGATTGATCTCTTGAGAACATCTCCGTTTCCGGTAGCATAGCAACTCAACAAGACTCCATGTGAATAACGTAATTTCCAAAACCTCAGCTGGGATTTTACAACGTGAATACACTATTGTAATTCTCACTTGGCTTGCAAACAAAGCTGCGCCACGTGGAACCACACATGATTTGTCTTGTCGTGTCCGCATCCGTCGCCTTTCCAGACCGGTGGACCCTGTTCCACACCCAGGCCACAAAGAACCCCAGATGCAGGCTAGGTGATCATTAATGAAAGAAAACAATCATTGACTAGAATCCCTCACAATCAACCACAACAGCAGTTGCTGGCATATATGCAGCAATACCCTAGCTGGAGCCCTCCGATGCCCGCACCTTGCGCCGCAGTCGCCTGGAAAGATCCTTCCTGGCTGCTGTGGATGGTTCGATAGCCTGGATGGACGCATCGGCCAGAATCCTGTTGATCTGATTGTTCAAGCTCGCCATCGTGCACAGGGTTGTCACGTGTCGCTGGCGCTGCCTTCTGCGGCCGGTTCTATGGGCGCGCTCGATTCGGTCAACCCGGGTGATCAGGCGTGATATTTGTGCTCGGCTCTCGTGGTCCAGGTTTGGCATGGTCGGGTCGACCCGTCTTGCTTTCCCCTTGTGGGGACTGGGCGCGGCTGGCTCGATGACCGTCGGCTTCGGCGTCCTCTTCTCTCGGAAGCTCGCTGCTGTGGCGACGACTTTGGGGCTAGCGGTCTTTGGTGCTGCTGCTTCTTGCTGCTTCGCCGGCTTTGTTCCGCCCTTTGTCAATTCATCCAGGCTTTTCTTCCGTCTATGTGCACGTCTCGCATTTCTGACGGCAGCGTTCCGCTCGTTTGTGAGATGCCCAGCCATTTTGGAAGCCCTCGGGCTGGCGGCGCTTGTAATGGCTGTCGTCAAGCTGGCAGTCTTTACACTTTTCTTGAGATGTCCGGGGCTGTCTTTCCTTGCCCCCTCCGCTGCCTGTGTGGATTTGATGTTCGCTCTAGCGAGAGACCTTGATGATTTACCGGGCTTCCCACGCATCATCTGTGAATCGCCACCCCAAGCCTTGCGAACCTCTTTTATCTTCTCCTCGACTTGCTTTCTTGCGTCTTCTCGTGGGATGCCATTCCTGAGGAGTGCGTCGTAACCTGTTTCGCAGTGGCGGATGTGCGCCCACACAGCCAAGTGCGCCTTGCGCTGGATGTCGAGCTTCCCCGTCCTGCCGACCTTTCCTTTGCCTTTCTCCAACGCGATCTTCAACACGTTTTGTAGCGCCTTGGAAGGAATCTGAGGGAAAATGTTCATGATCTCCTTCTGGAACCCCTTGGCGATGCCTTCATCTCGTTTGAGGACATTGGCAGCCCTGTCGGCGCGAGTTTCCATCTCCTTGAACTGCACGCCCACGTAGGTTTCGGTTGGAATGCCAAGGCCGATCTGGTGGTTCTTTGCGTCGATGACAATGTAGACGGGGCTGCCACCTGCTTGTGTCAATTTCCGGCAGTTGCTTGTGATGTAGACGTTGCCTTTGGGCACGAAGGAGTACCCAGAGGGTAGGGAGCCTTTCGGCACCTTGGGTTCTGCCATTTTTCCTGGATTGGTGTATTGACGTAATTGACGGCAGCGACTCGATCAGGTTGACAGGTGAGCATCGAAACTGCGAGGGATCCCAAAGCTTGCGATAACTTGGTATGATTGGGGAGCCAACTGTTCGGGGGTGAGATTCATGCCTGGATCAGCAGTGGATGCGGTTTTGGTAAAATCTCTGGGTCACTGGACTTTCGGGGGTGAGATTCTGCTGGCCGTGTTTGTTGATAGAAAACCATCAAGTTGAGGTTAGGGCGACTCGAATGCAATTTGTGGAAGGGTAAAGGTGGGATGATCCTGGAGATAGGTTGGTACTGATTGCAGCAAGCCACAATTCCTAAGCACATTCCGCCAATGGAAACTTTCCAGCCAAACAGGGCGGCCTTCAGAGATGAGTATTTGCGTAGAACAAAGGACTTCTCCTGAAGCGGCAACAATCTCATGCCTGAAGATGACCGGTTAGAAAGGAGAAAACCATAGTTATAGATGCAAAGCCAATTTTGTCATACATTTGGTCAGGATTCAAAGGTGGACATTTTCGACATGACAAGACTTGATAACATCATGTTTGTTTGTCCATGTCACAGATGTTGTTTGCCCTATGCAATCATTTCTGCGAACTGCTAGGGTCTCCCCCTCCCAGGTGCCCTAGAAGACTCAACACTCATTAAGAGAAAACTTTGAGTGGTACTAAGTTCATAAGTCTCATTGTATATAATTATATCTTTCTTTGACAGCACTGTTTCCCCTCCTCTTCAAGTTTCTGATGAGATTGACGGGAGTGACACTTGCAGTGTAGAGTGTTTTGGGATAGGCAAATTTATGTCCACCTGCTACATATGATGTGGCATCCAGCACAGAACACAATCATTGAAAAGTCATGTCTCGAATCCGACATCTCTAAGCATCAGAAGTTGTACTTCTGCCCAGGAGCAGCCAAGCTGATGATCTTCCGCTCAGTGAACTCCTCCACGCCAGCGATACCACCAAACCGCCCATAGCCACTGCTCCCACCAACGCCCCCGTTGGGCAGCGTCGCCTCGATGTAGACCGTCGGCCCATTGACGTGGCAGCTACCAGCCCGCACGCGCCTGGCGACGTCCAGCGCGCGCATGATGTCCCTGCTGAAGACGCTGGCACAGAGCGAGAAGTCGCTGTTGTTCGCCGACGCGATGGCCTCTTCATCCGTGTCGAACTCAAAGAGGCACAGGATGGGCCCGAAAGACTCCTTGTGGAACACGTCCATCTCCGGCGTGACGCCCTCGAGCACATGCGGGCACATGATGGTCTTGTTCGGCCCGGAGATGGCCATGTCCCCCGCGACGACCCTCGCCCCCTTCCCCACAGCCGACTCCAGCAGCCTCAGCACCCCCGCCGCCGACGCCGGGGTGAACAGCCCGGAGATGGAGACATCCGGGTCCTCGAGGTGGTTCCCCGTCCTCAGCCCCGCGACCCTCGCCAGCAGCTTCTCCCTGAACTCGGCCATGATGGACCGGTGCACGATCACGCGCTCCGTGGACATGCACACCTGGCCCGAGTTGCTCAGCGCCCCGAAGACGACCGCCTCGACGGCGTCGGCGACGTCCGCGTCCCCGAGCACGACCACGGGCGCCTTGCCGCCCAGCTCCAGCACGCACCGCTTCAGCACCTGCGACGCCCAGCCCGCGATGACGCGGCCCACGCGGTCGGACCCCGTGAAGTTGACGCGCTGCACCAGCGGGTGCTTCACCGCATGCTCAGTCACGGCGGGCGTCTGGGACGGGCTGCTCGGCAGGAAGTTGAGGCACCCGGGCGGCAGGCCGGCCTCGGTCAGGGCGCGAACGACGAGATGTTGTGATTTTGGGCTGTGCTCTGAGGGCTTGAGGACGATGGTGTTGCCGCAGATCAGGGGGCAGGCTATCGCTCTGGCCGTCAGGTTGATCTTGAGACGTCGTCAGTATAAGCTACCAGGTCCGAAAAGCATATCACAAGGCTTCCATGCTTCCTGTCGTATCAAGAACTGAGATCTTACCGGTGCATTCCACGGCGCAATGGCAAAGTTGACCCCGACAGCCACCCTCTCGACCAGTATCGTCGTCCCAGGCCGGTCAGCAGGCACGATCTCGCCCTTGATGTGCGTCGCGAGGCCGGCGACCTCCCTCAGCACATTCACCGTCGACAGCACGTTGAGCCTGACCCAGCCCCTGGTCGCCGAGACCTCGCTGGACAGCAGCTCCGGCGCGTCCTTTTCCAGGTACGCCTCGAGGATTTCGGCGGCCTTGAGGAGGACCAGCCGCCGCGCCGACGGCCCCGTCCTGGACCACGGCTGGAACGCGGCCTGGGCGGCCTCGATGGCCCGCGTGTAGTCGTCCGTGGTCGCCGAGGCGCAGTCGTAGATCTTGTCGCCTGTCATGGGGTTCGTGACGGGGAACGTGCCCCCGTCTGAGCTCCTTACGTACTTGCCGCCGATGAAGAGGAGCTGGTCGTCCCCGAGGGCCGTGTAGCCGCTCTGGCTGTCACCGCCCGTCCTGTCGTCGGCTGACATGGCGTGGCTGTCCCGTCCGTACTTCTTTTCTCTTCTTTCTGCTGGAGTAGGCTTGTGACTTGTCATTGCGTGAATCGGCACTCCTGTTCGAAGATTACAATACTTTTAACATCATTTGAGTGGATGATGCGGATGTTGAGGAGCCTCGGCACATGTCGTCGTTCCTGGAAAAGAGATTCCCCGCTGGATCAGCGGCTCCAGGGGCCTGCGTAGACGTCATCAGTGGGCAGAAGGCTCCTGTACTACGTTACGTAGGCATCATCGCAGGCACTCCTGAACATCCTCCCCGTGAAAAATGACCTCTGATGTGATAGTTTACTCGTTCCTGTCTCTTTCTCGTCTTATTGTAAATTGGAGTGGGTTATTTTGGCCGGAGCTGCCCCTAATGAAAGCCAGAGGGACTGCTCCGGATTGCGGGGCCGAAGTCTCGGCGCCGGATCGCAACCTCTTCGGCGAAGTGGAGTCATCTCTGCGACTTCAACCGGTGGGAACCAAAAGCTGGGGCAACGGTCCGGGATGTGCCAACGACACAACACGCCCACAATTTGACTAGCATTGTGCACCGGCCGCCTTCGGCGATTTGATGGTTCGATATCGTGGCCATTTCAGTGTCCTACTTGTGCCGTTGCGCATTAAGCATAATACCGTCTTTATCATGGCAGCAGTCTGGCCATTACATTCTCATTTGTTGTATGTCTTTCTGCTAGAAGTTGCGCTCAAACTCAGACTCCAGCAATAGTAGCTATTGTGGACCTGAGCTTTATCGTCACTGACAACAATGCTCCATTCCTAGAGATCTTGCCGTCCTTGCCTGTCCAGAGGCGAAAGAGTGATAATTGTACAGAGGAAGTAAGACGTGCAATAGAGACTTCTACTAGCTGACTGAGCAGAGAACTTTCCAGATACTTTCAATATGCCAAGAAAATGTTGTTGTTCAGTGATACAGGGTGGTATAGCAATAGCGACCAGTGTTCTCTGTAGTTTCTGGCTGTCAGTAGTTGTCAGATGTGATACAGGCCTCACAACCCACACACCAATTCAGAAGCTGAGCTGCTTCTGGCGTCTTCTCCATGCAGAATTCGCCACCGGTACCGGCATGAAACGCGGGTGAAGACTTTGCCTAGATTATCGGCGAGGACGACGATTGGAGCCCCCATCCCTGAGAGTTTGTGATAAAGCTCCTCAACCAGCGTCTTCCTCTAGTTTCCGTTTCTAATGCAAGATGCTCCTCCATATAACCTGGTCCTCGGTGGGCTTTCCAGCCATCGACATCAGTGACTGAATCTGCCTCCATCTCGGTAAGGCGTCGGCCGAGGGCACGTCCAGGTCCGCTGCCTCATCATCACCCTTTTTCAAGACTACTGCATAGAGCGCCTTGTACTGGGAACTGTCTGTGCCATAGAAGGTCGCCGCGCGGTGGAGAAGCATTCTTCGCCATGTGATGCGGTACCAGTCGTTCGGCGAATCCCAGTTAAATGTATGCTCAGCCGGCTCCCTCACATCTCTCAGGAGAGCGTAGCCGAATCCCGCTACCCATGCTGGGTGTGAAGTGTTGAAGGAGTATGCAGTGTCGAGATTTCCGTCCATACATCGCATCCCTTGTTGATCCTTCACTCCAGGCAATTCAATCGCAGCTCCGACGCTCCACCAGGAGTATCCGTCCTGAAGCTTGTTGTTTTTGGCTCCGATATGGATCCCGGATCGAGCGTATCCCTTGAACCAGCTAAATTCACTGGCGATACCAACGGTTATGGTTGGTACCATGGCCGTAAGATAAGACCGAGATACGTGCCACCGTCCGCTATCCCGAAAGTCCGTGTCAGTTGGAAATTCTATCTTTTAACCAGGACTGATCGGTTTCAACGACCTCAAAAACAAACAGCGCAAGTACATGTAATGACAGTAGCGGGAGATGCACTTTACATACGTGACCATCACTACGCCGATCGGTCTCATATCAATGTCGGGGCTCCTATGGGTTTTCGACTGTAGGAACTCTGTCAGCTCAGGTCGACGGGTCAGCGTGACGAGAATTCTACCTTGTTCCCTCTATTGAAATCTGTTACGAAACCGCGTATCAGGTCGATCTCTGTTCGCCATGTCAGTGATTCTCTATGTGGTCTGGTGATGTCGATATGTGGCGTAATCGTCCTCGGCGGCTTCGCAGGTCATGCCACTTCTAAGCACTTGATCACTCCTCAAGGTGAATAAGAGTCGGTGTAGTGCGAATCTAGGTAGGTGCAGGATTGAGAGAAAGCGGCAGGAGGAAGACATACCGTATGGCATCCAACCATCGAAATGACCGCTGCTGTTGAAGACAATGAGAAAACGTCTCCCGTCATGGTCCGTAGTTGGGTAGTGACCCTGGAAGGGGGAAAGAGGAGGAAGGCGCCAGTTGTAGGAATCGAAGCCTTCTTCCATACGTATTGATGTTGCGCCTTCAAGCTTCACGGTCGCATCAAATCTGCTAAGCCACACTGTCAAAATCAGTATCGTGGAAGCCACGTCTAGATCGACATTGTGGACAATTGGACCAGAAAGATAGGTTTTCTTACGTCTTGCCAGAGGCGGCGCATCTTGGGTTTGGGACCGATTTAGACGAACAAAGTTTTGATTGGGCAGCCTGTGGGCGAACTTTCTCCTCACATAGACCACCGCGTCATGGAACTCCTGGGAGTTGTCCATTCGTCGATTGAATTCGCGTGTTTCCTTTGTTGGCTTCCCAAATTTCCAAGGGTTGTCTTTGAAGACAAAGGGACAGGACACGAGGGCGTGCCGCATCTCACAGGCGGGGCAGAGCGTCAAGACCTTGGTCCCAAAACCGCCGCTCTCGAGTCTTTCGAATCGGGCTTCTTGTTCCGGAACAGACATTAAAGGGGCTTTCCACAAGCTCCAGTCAACCTCATGATCGGACGAGTGTCTTGCTCGATTTGCTCGTTCTTCAACGTCCCGCTGCTTCGGGCGCTGCCTGCGGGGGCGCTGCCCTGTGGCGGATGTGGGCGTCGTCGAAATTGTGCAGCGTTGCGCAGAGGCATCACACCACGTTGCGCGGCCACGGGGTGGTACGCATCGCCGCGCCCAGGTTCGCATCATTTGATGAGCACACAAGAGCCCCTGGCGACATGAACCATGAATAAAGAAGGTCCACGTTGAAAATGAAAGTGTTATCAAGAAAGATACGATGACTGAGAACGACTCCAGGGCTTGTGGTCTGGAAGTCTTGACAGTTGGCTGCCGTCCTTTGAAAATTTGATGCCAGGGTTAGGGTGACATTGAACCCAACCTAACCCTTACCCAGCCCCAACCCTGCACCCTGCACCCTGCACCTTCATCCCAGGGCACCCTCACCTTCCCCTGTCCTGAATCCCGCCCGCCCACACCAGGCCGTACGCCTCACAACCCGGTCCCAAATCGCCACTCCGGCTCGAGATATAGAACCCCACCATGGCCGTCAGCCCGCCGCCCCGGACCGTGGGTGCGTCCCAAGCGGGGAGGTCGGCCGCCGCGTAGCGCGACATGACCTGGGCCCGGGTGTCGCTCTGGTTGGCCGCCACGCAGAACTGGTACGCGAAAAGCGATGCGTACAACGGGTACGCGGCGGCGTCGCCGGCCAGGCCGCAGGCGTCTGAGGCGAGCGTTTCTACAGCGCCGGGCGGTGCCTTGTTTCTGTTGCGTGGATGTGGTCCGGTGAGTCAGTCGGTGCTCGGTCTACTGTTCGGTGTTTTTCTTTTCCAAGGGTGACGGGGGCTCACGAAGTCATGTGGGCGTTCACGAAGTACACCTCGGAACTCCCATCCGCGTTACCCAGGGTAAAAGCCCACGTGAAATGCCTGGCGGCGCCGTCCACCACCAAAGCCTCACTGCTAGTATTAGCCAGCCAGCCAGCCATGCCATGCGCCGCAACGCAAGACATGTCCGCGAAGAAAGAAAGGAGTTCCAGCTCACCCCGTCCCGTTCCCCGGATCAAGCCTCCTGGAAACCTCGGAGCTCAGGAAGGAGCAGTACCCCGGCAAATCGCCCACCTGCGTCTTGAACGCCGCGAAGGCCTCCTCGCTCTCGGCGCCCCCGGGGCAGTGGCTCGTGATCTGGCACGCGTGGCCCGGGCCCTCATCCTCGTCCCTTGCGGCGAAGATGTGCCCCTGTGGTGGAGGGTGCGGCGCAACATGGGGGATGGGAACCGTCACGGGCTCGACGACAAGAGCTGTCTGCGAGGTGGCGGGTGAGGCCGGGGCCCGATCCGAGGTCAGCGCCTGGCTCGAGAAGGGGGAGGAGGCGTTGCTCGTCATTGTGTCCGGGGTGGTGATGACGACTCCCACCAGCTGGGTTGCTCCCAAGGCTGCCGCCAGGAGGAAGAGGGTTGTAGACAGCTTCATCATGGGGCTTGGCAGGATTCTGCTTTACCATGATCCTTGGGAGAACGATTTTATTGAGCCAGCCTGTTTTCCTGAGTAGGCTGCCCCTTGGAGACCGACCTCTATATGAATACGCCTGATGCCTGGTCACGTCTGCTCTCGGTCAGATTCAATGTATGGAGTAGTAGACAAGGGGGAGTTGTAAGTCGAGAGAAGAGGCACGGCCAGTGTGCAGAAACGGTTCCGGAGACGGAGCTGTCTGACCAAACAGTGGCATTGACTGTGAAAAAGCCAATGTTTGAAGCTCCAGGGTCACGCCGCGAACCAGAATGACATAGTTGGACTGCTTTTGACTCATTTTTCGTCATTTCTGGGTTGATTGCTGGATGTTTGACCATAAAATATGGAATCTGTATCAGGAGTGCAGTTTCAAGGAGAGCGTGCCCATGTGCTCGCTTCATCCCACGTTGTCAACACCGGCAGCATAACCTCAGCTTCACTGGACCTTCAGGATCCAACCATCGGCCTCCTTCTCACCCTTCGCATTGACACCTCCCCAAAACACGACGCCTTTCCCATCCAGACAGGGCCCCGCACCGAAGAAGCCCCGAGGTCCCGGGTGGACCTTGCCCTCGTGCTCGACCTGCTCCGTCGGGACGATGTCTACCTCGGACCAGCTGAAGGCGCCCGAGTCCACATGGCCGGGGAGGTGATCGCGAATGGCGTCCTTGACGGTGGTCAAGCTGAAGCCCTGAGAAGGGAGCTGCAGGGACCAAATGTCAGAATAATACGGGTGGGCTTCGTCCTCCTTGCTCTTGGTGTCGCTTCTGCCAAGTAGATAGGCCAAGAAGTGGCGTCCGTAGCCCGTCGACAGGGGAATGAGGGCACCACCGACCCTTGGACTCGGTCCTGGAATGAGAGGATTAACCGGAAAGTCGATCTTTTCCCACTTGAGCGCGTCTGGCTTCGCCCTCTCTGTTGCGTTGGGCCCCAGGTTGAGGAAGTGTACGGAACCGCTCACGGCCGAGTCGCTGGTGAGGCTGTACAGAGTAGTGTTCACGAATGCTGAGCTCGAGGGCGGCACGGGAGACGATGGCAGCTGGGTCCAGGCGACGGCATCGAAATCGTATAGCCAAGTCTCCCCAACCTGAACGGAGGATGACGGTGTCCTGCCACCGTGAAGGATGAGGAAGTCCTGCTTGTCATCGACAAATACGCTATGTCCCTCTCTTGGCGCCAGTGCCTTGCCAATCTGTGTGGTCGCGTGTACCTTGGCCCACCTCAACGTCTCCGAGTCCCACAGCCACAGGCAGGCATCTTCGTCGATGGGGTTGCCGGCTTCGTCACTTCCTCCGTGGATGAGGACGTATTTGCCCCGAGCACAAGCCGCATGACCCTTGCGAGGTGACGGGACTAGCAGTTCGCCGGTTGTTGCCTCCTTGAGAGGGAAGGCCGGGTAGCAGGCGTATTCGGAGTCGGGTTTTGCGTCGGACGGGAGAGAAATGGCGTGGACGTCGGTGTTGCAGAGCTTCCCACCAGACTTCTCACCACCGAAGATGTAGGCCTTGTCACCAATGACCGTGACAGTGTGATGAGATCTTGCTAGTGCTAGTCTAGGTAAGAATCAATGTCAGCATTTCCTAGAGCAGCTTGAGTCAAAGAGCGCGGGAATAGCATACGACGTGTCCTCTGCTGGGGATGTAGCGATTCGGTTGAGGGAGGCCTTGAAGGGCTGGGCAGGTTTGGCCACGGCGACGGCTGCCCCAGCCTGGATACCTGTAGAGACGACTTGCTCCACAGCAAGGGCTCCCGCTGCGATCTCAGCCATGGTTTTGCAGACTGATGAGTATCTGGGCCTTGATTGCTTCGGGCGTGGTGCTGGTTGCCCAGGTGAGTGGTAGTTGGTTGGTGTGAGTTTATGGTCAGTAGGGGCTGGTTAGAAGTTCAGCTTGTTGCTCGCGTGATGTATTACCTGTCCGGTCCGTTTTCATGTGAGAGCAACAGAGTTGGATAAATTAATTCAATTGAGAAGAGGAGGACCCTGCATATCCATTTCCATTGCCGTGTGTTTCTGGGATGACGTAGTCTGCTTGGCCCACCAGACGCAGGAACGAAAGGGAAGGTGCTGATCTCATGTGTAACGACGACGTCACTGGGGTCCGGAATGCAGTTACGGTGTAAAGACAACAAACACCACGCAACATCAACAAGGAGAAAACGGCACGCGACCTGCCTTTGTCTTTGAGAAACAACCTTTGAGACACACTGTTAATCGGCTTGCATTTCAGACAGCGTACTTCGAATATGCGCAGTCTATGCACGACAATGGCAAATATTTCAAGGTACCCTGGTGGCACCCTATGAGCTTCCAAGGTTGTGTCTGGCCTTAACAAGTGTAGAATGTTTGAGGCTGTCTTCTACTTCAGCTGCCCAACTCAATTATTTACGTGATATCCCGCATGGCAGAAAGCTTAACATTTCTCTCCTTACCCACAAGACATGGAAGTCGCAAGGAAGCGGACCCAGCTCCGTGACTGCCGGTCAGCTCCGGTCGGGTTCGGATGACGCCTTGCGGGGAACACTCCCCCAACTTGGCCGACACCGGCGCCGACGACAAGGAAAGGGCGAATCAGGCAGAGGATGATCCTTGAGGAATTCTGCCACAGGCCTGCCAGCCCAGGTCGTTGGTTTTGCCGCGAGTGCCAGGAGCGAGTGGGAGAGTGAGTGCAAGGTCATGACCGACCATGGATCGGCCTCCTTCCGACTCGAAGTCCGTCCTCTCCTTCGTTAACCAGCAGCCTTCACCTGTCAGACGAGGACGGTGCCGTCTTTTTATTGACCCACATTCTCCTCCTCCTCCTTCTTCCTCCTCCCTACATTATCATATATCAGTTCCCATCTCACAGCAAGGGCCTCGCTTCCCATGCCGTCTCGGCGGGATTAAACAAGACGATGGTCTCTGTATCAGCATTCCTCAACAAATATGCCTACCACGAGTCCGGCCTCGCCTCGCTGTGGATCACCGGCCGTGACGCCTGGCTCGTCATCTTCGCTCGTTGCTGCCGCATGTTTGCCTACGGCGCCAGCTCGCTGATCCTCGCTCTCTTCTTCAACGAGCTGCACGTTTCCGACTCGCGCATCGGCTTGTTCTTGACCCTCACCCTCGTTGGCGATGTCGTCCTCTCCTTGGCCATCGCCCTCGTCGCTGACCGCATCGGCCGCCGTCGCACTCTGCAGTTCGGCGCCCTGCTCATGATCCTGTCCGGCGTCACCTTCTCCCTCAGCAACAACTACTGGGTCCTCCTGCCAGCTGCTGTCGTTGGCGTTCTCAGCGCCACTGGTGGCGACACGGGGCCCTTCCGGGCCATCGAGGAGTCAACCCTGTCCGAGCTGACCACCCCCGCCACCCGCTCCGATGTCCTGTCGTGGTACATCACCACCGCCGCCGTCGGGTCCGCGTGTGGGGTTGCCGCTGCGGGGAGAATGATCGAGTCGCTCAAGGACAGGGACGGCTGGACTCTGTTGGAAGCCTATCACGCTTGTTTCGGTCTGTACGCGCTAATGGGCGCCATTGCATCCCTCGCCGCCTTTTCGCTCTCCAAAAAGTGCGAGTTGAAGCCTACTGCCATCACCAAGGAGCACGAGACCGGTGAGGCCGCCGAGGGGCTACTGAATAATAACCAAGAGCTCAGCCCTGTCGACGATACTCACCAGGCCCTGGACGGTGTGGGGGAGGAGCCCAAGCCTCCGCCCAGCACCAGCAAGATCGCCCGGATATCCAAGGACACGCGATCAATCATGTACGCCCTGTGGTTTCTGCTCATGGTCGACTCGTTGGCAGATGGCATGGTCAGCATGTCCCTGACCACATACTACGTGGACGAAAAGTTTCACCCGCCAAAGTCCACCCTTGGCGACGTCATCTCAGCCAGCTACTTCTTCGCCGCGCTATCAACCGTCTTCGCAGGGCCGCTGGCACGCCACATTGGCCTGGTCAACACCATGGTCTTCACGCACATCCCCTCCTCGATGGCCGTGCTGCTCTTCCCCGCCGCCCAGAGCCGCTGGCTAACTTTTGTGCTGCTGATCCTGCGCGTCGGGCTCAACAACATGGACCAAGCGCCGCGCGCCGCTTTGATCGCCGCCGTCGTCAGGCCCGAGGAGCGCACTGCTGTTATGGGCATCACCAGCACCCTAAGGACCCTCGCCAACGTCACCGGTCCTAGCTTTACCGGCCTGCTCGCCGACAGCGGCCGCTTCTGGATCGCTTTCGTCGTCGGCGGGGCCCTGCGCCTCTTCTACGATGTCGGCCTTTTCGTGGCCTTCATCAATATCCAGCTGTACAAGCACGAGCCCGGCCAGCAGGCGTCACCCGGGGACTCGATCGGCAGGCTATCAGAGGATGCTTTTGAGGTTAGATTGGATGCCGATGATGACGGCGTCGAGGCGAGGTTGTCTTTCTCGAGCGACGAGGGGGCCGATGCACATCGGACGAGTGGGGAGAGAGAACGGGATCGGGAGACGGTCTAGGTGCCCGTGTCTTACACCGATGCTCATCTCATGGTTTGAATAGACGATTAATGAACACTTTGTATACCTCCGACCTCCTATTCCGAGCTTTTCAATGTGGCTATCACAGCTGACATGGATTTGAGCGCATCTCCGGGTGCATTACAAGTGACAAGTAGCCAGCATTGTCCTGAAGCTTCATGTTCAAGAGCAAGCCGAAGCACGTTTTACGGAATCACTAATGATCATCAAGTTGAAAATTCATTGGTCGGTCGCATCAGTCGCGATACACCTGATTTCAACAGTCCTGACGGCCCCGCTGCAATGGGGTTGGCATAACAGAAGAACACAATACAAGATATACATTGACAGTCATCCTTGAAGAGCCAATACACTTGCCGAAATTTGCCAGAAATCTTTGAATGGCAATTCGAGTACACCATGTTTTCCGAGAGAATGTCCTGTATGTCATTACACTTGGCATACCCCTTATAACCAAGTCCAGCATTGTAAGTGTAAGCTTTGCCGTTACATCGTTCTACATGACTATTCGGTGTACACGCTGATCCTTCTAGGTTTATTGGAGCTCGGGAGTATCGCTGGCTATCTTTACATTGGCCGGCAATCGCCTGGTGCGACACTGATAATGCACAACAACGCCCATTATCGTCCGGAGCTATACTGGGTTGTCCCGCGGCTGCAACCATGTCTTAAAAGTCCCCCCCCCCCATGCAAGGGGTGTCTCTAATATACGCAAGCGTTGTACCGTTGTCAGCATTGTCTCAGCCCCGAGGCCACACAATAGAGGGGGCTTTGATAGACCACGGAGGATTTCGCGCATGATTCATCACCTGCTGTTCTGTCAATGAAGACTGCATCAACTTTACCATTGTACGCGCACGAATCCCTGACACGCAGCGAGAAGAATCATGGATGACAAGAAGCTGGAGGCTCAGGTGAAGTCGTCTGCCGATGGGGACGTGTCGGCCGGGGAGACAAGGGTGCTCTCCAAAGACGAGCAGCACCTCGCGAAGCTGGGGTATAAGCAAGGTTTGTCGACCAGAGACTCCAGACATATGATTAATAGAGGCGCGGTCCCGCTGATGACGCACCGCCAGAATTCTTCCGCCACCTCGGGCTCTTCGAGAGCTGGGCCGCGACGTACATCACGATGAACTTTGTCTCGGGCCTGCCGGTGCTCTTTGGCTTCGCCATGTACACGGGCGGGCCCAAGGCCGCGTTCGCAAATTGGACTATGGTCGGGGGGTACGTACGCGCTATTGAGGCCCCGACTACAGATACCATAATTGAAGCATCACAGGCTCCTCGGTTTTGGATGAAGGGAGCTGTGCTGGGGCTGACCTGTGTCTCAGGCTGTCCTTCTTCGTCTCCCTGGCCATGGCCGAGATCGCGGCAGCCTTTCCGACGGCAGGCGGCATTTATTTCTGGAGTTACCGCCTCGGGGGCAGGAGGTACGGCCGCCTGCTGAGCTGGATGACGGCGTGGTGGAACTGGGTGGGCTGGATCTGCGTCGTCCCCGGCGTGCAGCAGGGGGCGACCAACTTCCTGCTCAGCGCCCTCGAGGTCAAGTACCCGGGCTCCTCCGTCATCAGGCAGGGCTGGTTCTCGTGGCTGGTCACGGCCCTGGGCCTGGTGCTCGCGATGCTGCCCAACATCGTCTCGCCGAGGGTGCTGCAGCTCTACTTCCGCTTCGCCTTGTTCATCTTCTGCGGCCTGTTTGCGTTCTACTGGATCTGGTTCCCGATCAAGGCTGCTGGGAGGTTCCAGTCGGGCAGTGAGGTCTTCAACAAGTTCTATAACGGGATAAATCTTGGCCCGGAGAAGCATGCTTCTGATGCGTATGCTTGGACGGTTGGGATCCTGTTCGGGGCGTGGGATTTCTCCGGGTGAGTTGCAAGCTTTTATAACTGATTCAACCACTCACGGCTCAGCTTACCTAGGTGCTGACCACACGATAGGTACGATGCCTCAGCTCATCTGGCCGAGGAGACGAACCAAGCGACTGATAACGTTGCCACTGGCATGTGGGCAGGGACCCTCTGTACGTGGGTTCTCTCCGTCCCGGTGAGTTACCAGACAAACTTGCACCGCTCCGACAAACTCACTCGCTAAAACCCCCCATCACGGAGACTTTGATCATGATCCTCTTCTGCATGCAAGACTTCGACGGCATAGTCTCGGCAAGCTACCCCAACAACTGGGCCGAGTACCTAGTGCAGCTGATCGGCGCGGACGGCGCCGCGGCCTTCCTGGTCCTCCTGTGGCTCGACTCGACCTGCGCCACGGCCAGCTGCTTCATGTCGGCGCAGCGCGTGACCTTTGCCATCTCGCGCGACGGCGTGCTGCCCTTCTCGCGGTACTTCCGCCGGCTCAGCAGCAGCCGGGTCCCCGTGCACGCCGCGCTGCTCGTCTTCGTCCTCGGCGTCGCCATCACGTGCGCCGTCATCGGGTCCACCGTCGCCTTCAGTGCGATTACTGCTACCGCGACCATCGTGACCAACGTCTCGTACCTGATCCCTATCGCCGCGCGCCACACGATTGGGAGGCGTGACTTCCAGCCCGCCCGGTTCAACCTCGGGAGGTACAGTCCTTTTGTAGGGGCCATCTCGGCGTTCTACATTGTGCTTATTTTCGTGGTGCTTACCCTTCCTCAGCTATATCCAGTCACGGCGGTAAGAACCATCTTGAGAGGATTATATGGCCCAGTAAAGACCATGGCAACGGAAGGCTGACCTGCTGTTGCGTATGTAGCAAACACTCAATTATGCCCCTATCTGCATTGCAATCGTCACCATTATCAGCCTGGCTGGCTGGATACTCCCGTTCGGTCTCGGCGGCAGGCATTGGTTCGAAGGTCCCAGGAGGACGATCGACGACGATTCTTCGGGCGGTGGTGAGCCATTGAGAGAAAGGTGATTGACATGCCATGTCAACTGGGCTGAAGGTGCAAAGTGCCCTGCTGACAGCAAGCAGGGGCATACTCCGTCCTGAGAAGGAACCTCTTCATTGAAAAGAGTTCTAAGAACACAAGTGGCTGGCATGGAGCACGGCACGCTTGAGAAGACTCATCAGACTTGGGACTTGTTCTCATTGTTGAAGTGAGAAAGTTATAAAACTTGAAGCCACTCGAGGGCGTATTACACAAAAGAGCAAGAAGACCAGCCTCCCACAAAATGGTGACCTGGTGGCCTAGAGTCAATCTATGGCAAGGAAGTCCCGTTGGCAAAAGGATATGAACATGCCCATGTTGAAAAGATCGTTAGAAGCCAACGCGGTTAACCATTTCGCACATGTCATTACAGTCTGGCCACTCACCGTTGCATTGGTAGCTTGTCCTGACCGCTCAGAACTTCCTGGGCTGACTCCTTCCATTCCCAAGCATAGACTCCAGGTCCTCCCACCCGTATATTGGCATGTCCGTCCCGTGCTGCGCAGTCTGGTTGCCGCCTATCGCCCACGGGTTCAATCCCGGAAGACAGTCGAACGACGTGAGCCCGTTGACCTGGCCACCGAACGTACTCATGGCCGGCGTCGGCAGCACCCATCCGTGTTCAAGGAACTGCTGTTGTTGGTCCTGGACCATCCCCGCCGGGCCACCACCGTGCACCTGCTGGTCCATACCAACCACGCTCCCGGGAGGCTTCGGGCCATAGCTCGCGTCCATGAGCCCGCGGAACAGCAGGTTGGGGCCGGAGAAGTGGGCGCCAAAATGCTGCTGGGCTGTGAAGGACCGCGGGTCCCTCTCGTTGTCCCCTGGGTCGGCCCTGACCTTGACGTGGTAGGCACTCTCCTCGAAAGTCACCATCGCGCGGGCGAAGCGCTCCATGGTGCTCGACTTGGGCACCCTCAACACCAGCTCCCTCAGCCGTACTACCAGGTTACGGAGGGCCACGAGCAAAGACCTTTCGTCGAGCTCCCATGACCCTGTGTGGTCTGGATTCTGGCCCGTGCTTTCGCTCCTGGCCATGTGCTCTGTTTTCACACCGGAGCCTTGTTGGTATGCATCCAGCCTGAGCGATCGGAGAACTAGAACCATTGCCGCCGAGTAGGCGAAGAACACGTCGAGCCCTGATGCCCCGTGGATGAGGCCGAATGAGTCCAGGAGCAGAAGCAGGCGGGCCATCTGGCAGGCGTGGCGAAAGCATATGTCTGAGAAGTGGCCTACCTTGCTCGGGGTCGTCGTGCTCGAGCCTGGTCCATACTCTGGCGACTTCCCGGCTTTTCCACTCGCCGTGATGCTCCTGAGAAGGAAGGGCCTCGTGACAAGAATATAGATGTAGTGGTGTTGGATGTAGAGCAGGAGTATTGCCCGGATACTGGATAAGTCGCGCCAGCCAAGCAGCGTCTTCAGCTCGCCAAACTCCATCCGTGCGCCGTTGGGCACCGGTAGCTTGTTGTCCTTCTCCGTGATGACGGGCACGTCCAGTCCGTGTTGGGAGGACAGTTCTGTTTTCCAGGCCTTCAGGGACAGGAGGACCTCTTCAACAGACAGCTGGTGCGCTTCGTGTGGGGCCTGCGCAGTCGACGCGGATGCGTAGCGGGGATTCCGGGACGTGGAGAGGATCCTGTTCAGCTTCAAGGACATTATGTTAAGGGGCTTCGTCATTGTCCTGGCGGCCGCTGAGCACTCCCCCATGGGGGTGGACAACTTGCACGTCTATGTCATTGACACCACTTGGTCTGCCGAGACTAGAGGCAAGGAACTGTTCAAAGCCGTAGAGGGTGCAAAACACCCGTCTCCTTATTTCCCTCTCGACCGGGGAGAACAACTCTGACGTATCATTCCTGTGGAGGCCGAGCGCGAAGCAGATCCGGGTGGCCGTGCCGACAAGATTCCAGGCAGCGTTCCGTTCGTTGTCGTTGTGGAGGAACAAGCTGAGGAGCAACAGCGCCCGGACCCCCGACAGCGAGCATTTCGTGACGATGCGCGGGAGAAGCTTCCGCGTGGCATCGACGCAGTGCTTTTGCAGGGCTTTGGATTCCATGTCCTTGTGGTGGGATGCACTCGACAGAGACCCGAAGACGACCATCATGTGTAGACACCCGATCCAGCCGTGGTCCGGCCTAGAGATTCCCGAGGTGAAGGAGTAATTAACAGACTGGCAATGGTCCCCGAAGAAAGACCGGTACTCGTTTTCGAAACTCTCTCTGTGGAAAAGAGGGAAGTCTTCATGGGCATTGGTCCAATAGAGAGGCAGAAGGCTTTCGACAATCTCCCGCTTTGGGATCTGGTCCGTGAGCTCCTGGATCTCATCAGTGGGTGTTAGTCCAGAAGTCGACGAGTGGATAGCCTGAGGCGATAGCGAGTCCTCCACCTGAGAGACTTCTTGACGTTCCACAATGCCGCCCTTCGGTACTTGGGGGCCCTCGTTGAAATGTACTTCGACATCGAGGGCCTGGGGTGCGTTGTCCTGTGTGCCATCAGACGTGAGCTGGCCTGTACTGCCCGCCGATGTCCCTGTTTCTCGGGAGATCAGTAGCCGGCGTAGCTGATCTAGAAACTGCAGACTGCCTGATGGCCCGATATAGTGCTCATGTCCTGAAGTGTCCCGAAGCAGTCCGACCTTCTGATCTTGGAAGGCCGGGTCTTCCTTCTTGCCTGAGGTATCATCATGGTGGCCATCCGTCCCTCCCACCGAGTCGAACCCGGAGTCCACACCTTTGTGATCACCTTGTTGCGTCCCAGAGAATGACAAGTCATCATTGATCTTGGGCTTCTCCCTCAACAGTGTGTCAAACCCGTCGGGGTCGTCCAACGCCAGGTCTGGTATGTCAATCTGCAGGCGCTGGCCAAGCTTGATGAGGTCCGAGGCAGTGGCCACAGGTTGGTTTGGGAATGCTCCGCGGACGATTGCGTCGAGGCACTTGTACCTAACGGACCCAGGAGCTTTGTTAGGCTTCTGTCAAGATGGATTTGAATGAATCAGATGGGGCTCACCTGTCACTCAGATCCTCCAAGGATCCGTAGAAACGCGTCTTCCGTGGAAGGGAGTACGTGCACGAGAGACCCTGCCCCTTGCAAGCGACGCAGTCGACGCCGTTGGGCTCGGTCACACACTTGCAACGGCGCTTCGAGCGAGATGACACTCAGCAAGGTGCACGAATCGGTCGGCGGGCCATCATCATGATTCATCCCCCGGCAAAACAAAGCTTGAAAGTGGCCTGACTCTTCTTACCTTCCTGCAGAGGTCGCAACTCTGGGCGGACCTGGGATCTGGAATCAGCAGATTTTCTGGGCCCGGGAGAATGGCACCGAGGGACTGGGAACTACGGGGCCACACCACCGTACCTTTTCCGAAGCTCGTCTGGTATGCGTCTCGTACGACGTTTTGCTGCAGCTGCTGATTCACCCATGCTCACTACCGATCGCACTCATTCCTACCCATCTATATTCACGGCATGAGGCGTACAAACCCAGGTCGATCGACTTTTGTGCCGAACTGCTGCAGGATCTGGGGGCTGCAATTGGATAGTCACACGAAATATTAGGGTCCGCAGGCTTCAGGATGCAGTGAACCGATAAGACTGCCGGCAGTCGACGCTGAGGTGCGGAGCACCAACATACTTGTTTTAACCGCTGCGTCTCTCCGCCCGCTCAGCCAGTTCCTGGCGCCCGATCCACGCCTCCGGCCACCTCCACTGGGCATCGGAGGCACAGTCGCCTTCATTGGCGAGTGGCAACTTTGGCCCGTCTTCTCTTGCGTGCTGCTGAACTCAAATCGCCTGGGGTACGTACACCCCGGCCACTCACCGGCCGCGCAACCGAGAAATAAACTTTCGCGGTCAAGGCCGCACCTGCGGGGTTGTGTTCGCGGACAGAACTGCACAGGCTGTCTAAACGTGGATCCTTCAAAGTTAACCTGCTTACGAAACAATTCAACCGAGTTTCCACCTCCTGCTGTCCGAGAGCACTACAATGGCCATATATATCCGTGGGCTCCTCGATAATATCAGTCCATTGACATTCACTCTTTGAAAAGTCCCCTCAGCACCATCTTATATGCTCCGCGCCTGTGGAATTAAGGACGGTTGGAACTGGAGTTTGCAGAGACATCTAACTATGGAGTTGTCGTTATTCGTGGAAAGCATTGTACCGAGGTTGAAGATCGATGCTAGATCAATCCACCAAGCACAGCGTATGGCCTTCTCCCAGATACATTCTGGCACGTGACAGCGACGAGTATTTATACTGAACAAATTGGTATGCTCGAGACTCTACATCGATCAAGGGTTCATATTGGCCACAAAACGTAAATTCTCCTCCTGCCTTGAATTGAAAATAATAATAATAATAATAATATAAACCACCTAGGTAGACAGCATTCCTAAATCGCTCTTAATTAGATCACTGCACTTCTCTGCCACAGCATACACCGTGCTTGACGTGTCTCCATTTGTCTGGAATGGGATAATGCTGGCATCCAACACCCTCAAGTTGCTCGTCCCGTATACTTTGCAGTGTGTGTCCGCCACCCCGGCCCTTCTCCCGAGGCAGCATGATTGCCGTGCCTATCCCGTGGTACGCGCTCCGCATATGTTGCTCAGACCAGCGGGCCCACTCGTCACTCGCGTCCTCCGCGACGGCGTCGAACCCCGGGTATCCCTCGAAAGCCACGAGGTCCCTCAGCGGTGCGGTGTGCAGGTACAGCTCGCGCACGTATCGCGATGCGGCGACCTGGAGCGAGGTGTCATGGTCGAACATCCAGTACGCCGAGTCCGCGAGGGGCAAGGGGGCGGCGGCGGTGGCGGTGGCGCGACCGGTGAGAGAGGCTGAAGAGTTAATGTGGACGCTACCCCTCGCAAAGGGCATAGTGCCCCAGAACTCGCAGCTGAGGTTGCCCCCCGCCGCTCAGGTGGCGCAGCTCCATGGCCGGGGTGCCGGCGCTAAAGAGCATGCGCGCCTGGACGCGGAGGAACTCGAGGACGTCGGGCTCGCTGGTTGCGTTGCTATTGCGGGCGGCTATGGCGGCGGCGTAGGATGGGAGTGCGGCCTGGATACTGGCGGTGAAGTCCGAGGCGTTGGAGCCGTAGAGTTCGTCGACTGTGACATAGGCGACAGCGGAGGTGGTGCCGTTATTTGTGTTAATTATTGCCGGAGACGTTGAAGTTCAAGATATTACGGATTTGATCATTTCTGGGTGTGCTGTTAGCGTCGAAACATGTACGATGGGTTGGGGACTTCCTCACAGGTTCTCTCCAACGCCGGGAAGGTCTATCGTCGTGTTGATCCCGAATTTTGATAGTATCCTAATCGCTTGTTAGTATAACCGACCAATCTCCATCATATCAAAGTGAAGGGAGCGTGGCGCTGACCTCGGGTTGCCGACCCCAGTGTTCTAGTAAAGCCGGCGTCCTGTATCTTCCAGCGGCCAAGATAATCTCCTGAGTCGCATTAATTACCAGAGTCTCCCCAGAGTCTATCACGACCTGCACAGCACTAGCCACCACACCGTCGTCTTCTCCGGCCGCCCATAATAGATTCAATGCAGTAGTCCCAGATATCATATGGAGATTCGCCCGGTCCTGATAAGGGTAGTAGTATGATCTGCCAGCATCTGCCCTTACATCTGGATATGTGTCATTGCCTGGTGTTTTCTCCCACGGGTATGTCTGTAATATAGTAGCCACCGTCAGCTTTATCTTGGACACCAGGGAGAACTCAAACTCACACCGAAGCCACCTGTAGCTCCTCCGGCCGGGTCCGCATTCCAAGGAACTCCCAGCTTCGCATAGCTCTCATTGAGTGCCGGAAGATATCTGCTAGCCAGCTCAAATCTCGGCCAGCCTGTGTTTACAGGGCCTTGGAACCCATGGAAAGTAGGTTCGTACGGAACGCCGGCTTCCATGGCTCTCGGTCCTGGTGGAATGACTTCAGGAGGTGCTGATTTTTCTTGTGGTAAGGAAACAGGGTGTGCCAGCGCCATCCTTGGTTCCCACTTTCATCTCAGGCATCTATCTGAGTTCTCTCAGCCCGTGTGTATACCATGCCTAAGCGTCAATCGTCAGCTTCAAAGGCGTTAAGATAATTCCATGAGACAGACCGTTCATGAGGCTAGACCCGCCTATTCCTCTGCCACCAGGTAGTGACTCAATCCTATCATAAGCGTATTTTTGCGGCGCACTTTTATATTGCCAGTCGATCGTCTTCGTCGAGCCGGAGAGCTCCGGGAACGTGGAGTTCTCATTGTCCAGCGCCGAGTAACCTGCTTCAATGACCAGAACCTGCACGTCAGGAGACTCAGACAGTCGATTTGCCACAACAAGCCCAGAGGTGCCGCCGCCGACGACAATGAAGTCGAAGGAGCTGTCTGCCAGAGGACTGCTGGCCGTCACGGCGTTGAAAGCAATGGCAGCTAGTAGGTTTGCGAGCATTTTCATAGAACCGCTCCCGGACAAAATATTTGGTAGATTGATCTTGGGAGCGGACCATCAATCCCTTAAAGATATTGGAGATCTCCTGAAGCATACTTGGCACCTAGACCGCGATTGATGTTAATGGATACATAGAATACGAGCCTTGTTTAAAGTTTTACGGATTTCAAATTCCCTTTCAGGGACACTCGATACGCCAGTGCACAATCTTTAATCTCCGTTCGAACATAAGCGTCTGCAGTAAGGCGAAAGCATCACCGGTATCTAACTTGCTTAAATGCCGATTTTAAAATGAGGTGTGAGGGGTATTTTTATTCCAATGCGACACAGTTAACCGTGTTAGGTTTCTTCGACGCAGCGAGGAAAGGACGGTGACCGGTCAACAACCGGCTGACTACATCCCTCCGCATGCATTACGTTCTATACGGAATACACTATAATAAATAAGCTGAAATAATTATTATGATGCCGCTGTGTCTTCCCCATTGGCTTCTAAGGCTCGGGTGCCGAAACATTGTCTTTTCAGTGGTCCAGGTTGACTGTAATTGTGCTCTATGTTAGCTATTAACCACCAGCCCACGCCCACTAGCTTTAACTTCCAGGATACACAAACTCTTGCTATCTGATTTCCTCTAGCCTGGTTACTGCCAACACCACCAGCAATTTCATCACCGCGTAACCGCAGTCACGGTCTGGCTAGATCTCCTTTTCTTGATTGCAGCCCACAACGTCATGGCGCTAATGAAGACCACAACGGAGCCGAGGCCGAGGCCTAAGCCTAGTGCGACCGGAGAGGGCCCTGCTGCTCCCGATGCAGAACCAGTCTCGGGTAATGCTGAGGCCGTCGTCGGGCCGGATGGCGGCGCCGTTGTTGAGCTCGTGACCGATGTCGAAGTCGTGGCTGGGATACTGCCGAAAATGGACGAGACCATGGCGGAGATCTTCGTCTCGGCGGCGGATTGCACTCCATTACAGAGGCCAAGAAGTGAGGCACCGTACGTCTGCTTTTTCAACGCGGATCAGTAAGTAAAACATACATACAGCCAGCCCTTGGAGCCTAAACAAAGGCAATGTCTGACATACACTTTCCGCCTCTGAGATTTGTTCGCACAGCGCTAACAAAGCAACCAGGTTGGCTGAATTTGACTGAGACATGGCCACAGCTGCTTTCTTGTCGGCTTCCTTTGACAAGTCGATGGCTTCCTTGGACAACCCATTCGCATCATATGCAGCCTGCCACGACAAGGCTCCAAACACGCCGAAGAGTATGGCAGTAACCGCCCCTAGTACTTGCAGAAACCAAAGAAGAATCGCCTCGGGAACACTCCGGTCATCATGCTGGACAGCCATGCTCGAGGCTTTGAGTCAGCGAAGTCAATCATGAGGGAACGACTTACGGGCCTTGCTCATTTCAGCTGGCTGGAAGTTGAGGTGGTGGCATGATTAAATAAGCACAGCGTGTTCAGCTCCGGTAATTAAGGCTCCAGGACGCCAATCTGAAAACCTTTGGTGGCATTGGGGGCCATTCGTGTATGTGTAACTAAAAGGTAATCACATTGATCATGGCCTAGAAATATTTCAATCGATCTTTTCAGTAGACTGACCATTAGTTAATTCTAAACCTGGGTCCTTCAACTCCACACTTTCTTGTTATGGAGGAACTGCGTATAAGACACTTTCTAACTTATGTCTCGAGCTGTCATCGATGTCTGGCTTCCTAGAAGTACTCTCGCAGACCTCTACAGTTATATACACTGTGACCATCGGGCACGGCATGGCGTGGCGTCTGACGTACATGTAGTACACATGCCTCGAGCTGAAAATTTAGGCATCACTCAGCCCAGTCGATCCGGTATCTCTCACTCCGCAACACTTCCTGAGACATTTCGTATCTCCATAACACAAAACTAAGATGTCTTCGTTGTTCCACGCGACCACGGTCATCATTTTGGTCAAAGACGGACACTGTTGAGTGCCTCGCCTATGAGCCCTACTGTACGTTCTGCGTTGACATTAACAGTCGCAACTGAACGTCTGAGGCCAGGAGTACCTTTGACATAATGGGAGGCAAAAAGAGTTGGTGCATATGTCTTCTGTTTTTCTTTCTTCCAATTCTACGTGTAGGATGGTCCAAGTCAAGGGGGAAAAATACGTGTTATGCGTTTCAGGGCATACAAGGATGCGCAGCTCGAGAGAATCATCCGAATATTCATATGATTGCGAAAGGGTCCCCAGCGGCTTGCAACCGCCTCACCTTGCCTCGTCTGGACAGTAAATCGCTTTGATTTCAATGGAAAATAAGAGCAAAGAGAAGCCGTCATGGTCAGAAATCATTGGTTCGAAAGAATCGTGGGACTGGTCTGTCCGTCAGGTTGTCTTCGACAACCACTTTGACATGAGAAAAAGCCATAGTCATTGAGCTCCAGGGAGCATCCAGAGGTCAACAATCTGAACCTGTGGGCTTGATCAAAGAATTTTTACACGTGCCTACATACCAAGCCATTTACACAACACAGAGGCAGGAACACAACCGCTCGTTTCGGACAAAGATACGCCCTGCTCCCTTGATCTTTGTTTGGTTTGTTCAAGAGCAAGGGACACACAAAGAAACATCAATACCGACTGAAATGTGCCACCTTAAAGGGAAGTATATATCTCTTTCGATCCATAGCATCACACAGACTTTCCAGTTCTACCAGCAAAACCCTGTCTGTGGGCATCTTCTCTGGTCCTGACTCTCCCATCCAATACAGATTTATAGAATCGCTAGAAGCTAACACACGCCCAACCATGGACTCAACGCCCGTGAAGCGCAGCGCAAACTGCAACCAAGCCTTCGCAAACCCACACTTCAAGCCCCTCTGGGAGCCAGACACGACCGCAGGCCGCAACGCCATCAGGTACTCGCTAGCCCACCACGCGTACCAGCACCGCATCTCCAACGCCGGGCTGTGCCGCTTCTGCACGGACGAGCTCACCCGCCGCGTCTCCGAGGCCGCGCGCCGCCTTCAGGCGAAGGGCCGCTTCCACGATGACAAGGCGTCCATGGACCTGTTCTGGCAGGACCGGGACAACGGCGACGCGCTGGCGGCGGGCGAGACCATAGTGGCCGCCAACAAGAAGAACGGCGGGAAGATCGCGGTTGTCGACCACCTCGCGGAGCTCTCGCTCGAGCCGGCGAGGGCGGGGCCGTCGTGGTGGAGGGAGCGAGGCGTCGGGTTCGAGGGCGAGCTCGGGGCCGTGCTGAGGCGGCTCCTTCGTCGCGCGGGGCGTCTTGGTTTGGCGGCTGCGATGGCGGTGGCCCTCTCGACGCGACGCCGTGGGAGACCAGGTTCTTGGCCATATGTTGGACGTATTCACTGAGAAATACAACCAGCAAGGTTAGTGTGAGGGCCTTTGTCGACTGGCAGGAAAAATACCTGAATTACACCCACGAGAGCTGTCGTTGCGTTGATATACTGCGTTTGAGGAGCGGAGTGAGTTTCGAGACTGTTCTTATGAAAAGGGTCCTGACTCACATTGACGCCAAAGTCTGGGAGAATATTCCGTTTCCCCCGGAAGACATCTGGCGTAACAAGGGTAGATTCCTGACCTACTTTGAAGAGCAGTCAAGTGGCATACAAAATGAAAAGTCTCTTTGGGATTACGCCCTCTCCCGCGGAGAGGTCATCGCAGGTGACAAGGTAGTCCCTCGACCTCTTCCCCGAGGCTGGCAGCGCCGCTGGGCGTCCAATAGCACTGTATGGTACCATGACTGCCGCGGGCAGCTTATAAGCCGAGACGAGCATCTTAAATGCCTCCCGGATGTGCCTCCGGCCGTCCAGGGTTCCATCATTGATGAAGAGGAAGACTTGATTGAGCTGTAGCTCAACTCGACTCAAACGAGTTTCACTTGTCATGGAGGTAGTCTCTCCCTTCCCAAGAAACAGTTTCCTTTGCTTGGTATTCAATGGGAATAGAATATAATATATTTTCTTACTTCATATCCTCAAGTTTTAGATAATTGTCTAACTAATAGATGAATGCAATTGTTGAGGGTGGGTACACATGTGTATCTTCATAACTACATGTATCTTGATGATATCCCGTTGTATCCACCCAATATCAATTGAAAACAGTCATGTACAACACCACGGAATGTCTCTCTACCGCACCATGCATGCGAGCTCAGTGACTTAACGACAACAAAGTAGTGTGTGGACAAGGACACAGCGAGATGAGGCGAAACCGCGTCAAGGCACGTCCCATCGCCATCACATGCCACACAAAGCTCCACATCCGGCTCCATCCCAAAATCCCACATGCATACACCTTATATCTACTGTTATCCAGCTGCCTGAAGGAAGAGTATCCTCCATTGAGGGGCCAACAGCCGCAGGAACAAGGGGGTCCACATGCGAAACAACGCCGTTGAGCGGGACCCAAAGCACCAGAAATCACACATGCCCTCGACACCGTCCCCCGTTCGAGTCGCACGACATTCCACACTACCTATTTAGGTAGCAGATACAACCCCTTTTGCTACTGCGGTCCTACAACAAAGACCTGGATACGCATCTACTCAGTAGTACATGCGGCGGCGGCGGCGGAGACAGCGCCGGCAGCCACTCACACACACTTACACACGCATGCAGATATTTACCCCTAGATCACCTCGCTGAGGTTACATATAGGGAGATGAGATTCCAAGTAGGTGTGTGTGTGGCTGCCATCTCTCTCACCTTGCTTCTGTGCCTCGACGCAGCTACAAACGACATACAGCGGGCTCTTTGGATCTGGACTTACTTCTACACAAGTCGCCAGGCGATTCTTTTGAGGCATTGGCAGATGTGGGCAACCCAAAGGGCTCGGCCAGTGGAAGCCAGAGGCGCGGTGGTGATTTAGAAGCTACACTTTTCGAGATATCAAAAACATCGACTCGCCCACCTTCACCCCGGAATCCCGCCCTGCGCGGGCCCTCGATCAACATAAGCATTTCCTGCCACCCGGTTGCTAAATCAAGGTACGCGTGGGTAGCACGACGGCACGCACTCGCACGCACACCCTCTGGGAAGAAATGTCTTGGGCACGGGGGAGGGTGTATGGCGGGGAGCGGCGGCGGCGCGGTTGGGCAAGACGCAAGGGACGGGCAATCAATCGTAGGTACTCGGGGATTTAAGGACAAATGACACGCCATGGATCATCAATTCAGGCCTGGGCACACATGTATATCCCCACGCCAGAGAATATGAAAAGGGCTGTGATGTGCGCAGCGTAGGCCCCGAGGCAACAAGAGCAAGGCGCCAGCCGAGGGAAGGGGGATGAAAAGAAATCGACTTTTCTCCATCGGGGCCCTGCACGGCTTGCATCGTCGCACAGCATTGCGTCGCTGACCGGTTGGCCCGCGTGCAGGAGCAGCAGCAGCAGCAGCAGCAGCAGTATGGGAAGCTCCGGGGCCAGGTGAAAGATGTGTGTCAGTTGTACTGGTGATGAATGGTGGTGGTGTACAGGCGCGAGAAAGCTTAGGGCGTCTGCGGCCTAGCTGGCTAGCTAGCCCACTGCGTTTGTGTGTGTGTATGTGTGTGTGTCTTGCAGTGTTGTTGGTGTCTGTCTCCCAATGTCTATTCCATCACCGCTGATCGCCCGGCTCTGCGAGTGAGAATTAAGCCACTAGACTGCAGTCATCCTGTGGCTGCCGCGTGTGTTGGTGAGTCTCAGGCAGGGTAAGTGTCAGCAAGCCATGGATCGCAGATATATCTCTGGGCGAGGAGCGAGTGTGAGGCCGGGAGCTGTAGCAGTCGAATGACGGAGCTGGCCAGCCCTAGGATACGATGCTACCGTACCCGGGCGGCCTGAGTACACTCTCACATCCACAGCCCGTGGGCTTGAACATGCCCGTCGTTACTCGAAACTGTAGCTCGCAGCAGCAGGCAGCTCGCCACCAAGGGCCAACAAGATACCTTTACTATCCGCTCTGTATGTGGGTCTCGCCCGATACATACCGAGCATCCGACATGAACGAACGCGATGCAATTAGAAACCGACCGCCCGAGACGGACCACGTCTGGTCAAGCAGTGAGAGGCCAATGCGTACAACCACATTTTCCAACCGATCCTCGAGCTGTCTTCTCGTCTCTCGTTGGTGAATGAATGAATTGGCCGGCCGATCCGGTGGCCGCATCGAAAAGGCGCAGAAGGGCAGGCAGAGACTAGGGGCAAGGGCAGAGAAAGGCCACCAGCGCTACTGTACGGTGAATGCGGTAGGTTCCAGGTCCCCAATAGCGGGCCAGTCGCCAGCTGCCCCAGTACCACCCATGACGTACGTAGCGTGCGCGAAGCTGTTCTCCCAGGGCTGGGCTGGCCTCCGACCGTTCAGCCGTTGCGGGCCACGACGGCTGCAGGTCTGCAAGACTGCAGAACTAGCTAGCCTTGGGCCTCGGGAGGTTCTTTTCTTCAAGAGGACCCCTGGGCAGGCGAAAAGGCGCCAAGATCGTGTGGGGAAGGTCTAGCAGTGCTGTGCTGTGGTGGAGGTGTGGAGGGGAGGAATATGCAATGCACGCTCTGACTGCAGTCTGCTAGGTATCAATTCAGGTGGTGGGTGGCTGGGGCGGTTGGTCGGGATGGGCACGACCTAGTCTACCCAGATACCTAGGCAGTCAGATACTGTATTCTAGGGAGGAGAGGCACTGGATACTGTGCACATAGGCGAGACGTGGGATAGATGGACGTAGCACGTAGGTCGCAGGACGGACGGATGGGTGGTGTATGCACCCTGAGCTGTCGTGGCGTCACTGTTCTGGCTCGCCGCCCGAAGTGTGCCAGAAAACCTCGCTTGATGGCGAAGACAACTACTGCGTCAAAGTGGTGGTGTCTCAGTAGTGCTGTAGTGCTGCTCCGTAAAATCCGTCATGCATCGTCATCCGCAATGACTGCATAGTGGTCAGATAAACTCCGTGCTTCTGCAAGGCGGCGATCTTGGAAGCCGTCACAGAAGCACTAGAAATTATGTGCCCGCCGTGCCGCCCAACCGCCCAGCCACGCACGCACGCAACCACGATGCGATGCCATGCGATGCGATGTGCCATGCGACGCGATGCGAGCGAGGCCATTGCGATACGAAATGCGCAAGCGGCAATCTACACCCCCCTTCTCATCGCCAACCCATTCCGCCCGTTGCAGGTGGCAGGTGGGGCGCCAAACGTAGAAAGGTTGGGGGATCGTCCTTGGCTCATGGGAAAGGGTTTTTACACCCCTTTCCTTGTGCTTGTGCTTTTGTTCCCTTCCCTTGAAATGTGCCAGAGTCCCTGTTCTATTTTCTGCAATGAATGTCATGTCATCCAACCACTCTGTTGATCGACGTCGCCCCGACGAGCTGGTCCCGGGGGCTCGAGCGTTGACAGCGCAATAATATGTAACGCTCGATCGGAAGTACGAACAGAAACCGCCGGTCACAGCCGTCGGGTAAAATAATTTCAAGCCACTGACTGCTAGTTGCAGTTAACACCATTATTAACCAGTCTTCTGGAAACGGTGCTGATTTGCACTCGATCAATCAAAGACTTGATGAACGTGTGGGACGAGTTGGCCACCATAGCGTCCCTTCGCTAACACGCGTAGGCAGCCCGGCGCTGGCACTAATGTAAGTGCGGTGTCATTTGCCCCCAAGCCTCTCGAGTCCAAGGCCGGGGGCCGGGGACCCAAAAAATAAGGGTCCGCTGGGGCCAGCCGTTGAGTTACTCTGCTGGGCCGTCGTTGAAGACATCGCATTCCATCGGTGCTGGCGGCCAATCAGACCGTTCGCTGGCCTGAAGTGTGATGCATTTTGGTAAGCCGTTGCTAGTCTGGACGGGCACTTTCGATGTGAGTGGTTTTCGATGATCCAGTTTGCACCCACTAGACGCCAACCGCGCAACTAAGGCCTCTGCAGAGCCGCAGTCGCCCGGGCGTGTTGTTGCACTGCACGTTTGGCCTGAGCTTTTGGCACCCAGCTGCCGTGCAAGGCGGTCGATAGCAAACAAGTCAGCCTGCAAGTTTCACGAGCAGACTGTCCAGATCCTCGATCGCGCGGCGTCTCGCCTCGCAGGGCCGCCGGGGTAACACATTCGAGTCGACCGGGCCCGCCTCGTCCCTCCAGAACCGCCCGCGTGCATGCACCATTGTTTCGCCACTGCTGCAAAACGCTCACTTCTGCTGCAGCGTGGAGTGTGTGGCATGTGCAGTGCATCCACTGCGAGCTTTGCTATAGCTTCTGCAAGCTGCTGCCCCAACTCCCCACATCTGTCGGCCATCGTCATATTTCTGTGCTCGTGGGTCCCCCTGCGCCCACAGCCAACATGACGGCGAGGCAATAACATGTCGATACCTACCAGCCAGACCTGCAGCTGCCTTTCATCCATCTCACAGTGCGGCGTCCGACCTGGACACAAAGACCCGGCCTTCTGCCGCCCCCGAGAATCACCCCACGACCGCGCCGGCGGCGACACGGGCTAGCTCCAAGCAGCTGGTAGCGGCAGCAGTCCCAGCGGCACAAGCAGGTAGGCCAAGCCCAGGGGCCCGGCCTAGCCTGGATCCCCGGGCTATCGTCGGAGAGTCCCACAACAAGCGGGCGTTTCTTTGATCCCGCCTGCTTGCCCCAGTGTGCCAGCCCCCGGAGATGGTCCCTCGTGGGCTGCCACTGGCTGGCTCTAAGAACAGAAGACGATGATGCTATTTCTGTTGTCGAGCAGTGTGAGCTGTCAAATTTCTCGTCTTTCTGCAGGCACGGGCGGACTTTCCCAATCACGAATCGTTCCTTGACGATCAATGTCGTCCCAAGACCCTCTCTTCACCCATACATAAACACATCCGTACTGTACGGAAGCCAGGAACGGAAGTGGAAAAGGCCTGGCACCTCACCACACTCCCACCGGATGCAAGAGCATATCACTTTCCTCTCCCGACAGCGACAGCAGCAGTTAGCTTGGGCTGCGGCTCTGCGCAGAATCAAAAAAAGCTCGTCCCATCGCCCTTCCCACTTCCGCCCAAGATCATCGGCGCTCGGTGCAGCTCCGACGCGGAAGGGTTTCCTGACCGGTGCCTGTGCTGGTTGGCTGCTGGGTGGGGGGTCCCGCTCACTCGTTCACCTGATACGTGAACCGCTTTGCCAGCGCCCCAGCCAACCACTGAACAATTTGCACCGTGTGCGTGCTCGAAAAGGAAAGCCGGCGACGGGGCCCGAGCTCGGGCTCACGTAGCGTGAGAGAATCAAGGCACAGAAAGCCCGCCATCTTCTGGACGTTCTCCCGCAGAGAGAGAGGGCTGCATGAAAAAAGGCAAGGGACCGGTGCCGCCTGCCACGCTTCGGCCACGTTGGAAAAAGAAGGCAACGCTTCCGTACCGCCGAAGCTACGGAAATAATGGTGGGTATATCAGATCTCCATGACCATCGGATGAGGTCGACCCCGACCTCCCCAGTCTCGACTCGGTGCTGAGCAGTGGTGCTGCCCGTGAGGGTGTGGCCCCGTGAGGGTGTGTGCCCGCCCAGTTAGTGCCTGGAGACAAACTCCCAAGACGACCACCCTGACGCCCAGAGCCGGTAGTCGGAGGGAATTTGCAAGGGCCAAGCGGAAAGCAGGATATTTCCTGGTTGCCAACGGGCCCAGTTTGCTCTCAATGGCGCCGTGCGTTTCTTAGTATCCGGCACTGGCACAGTAGCATGTTAAGTTGCGACGCATCAGCACTAGCCGCGCAGGAAGGCAGCGGATCATGTCCGATGGGATACCACCTGCTGCGTAATGAGAAAACCCCCTTGGGTTGGGAGTGGTTCGTCGGGTCGTTTAGCAACAATCCCCACATCCCGCATCCTGGACAGACTGGGGAGCCCCCTTTTCTCCGGGGTAAAAGTGCTATAGGCAGGGCCCCGGTACCGAGAAGCACGCAGCTAGTGTGTGTTAGCTCCCCCCCCCACATACATAGACACACCACCTTCTTTTATTTCTCCAGCGGTAGTTAAACAAAATGGGTGGAAGACTGTCCACCTCCATCCCAGGCTGGTGAGCCAATGACGCTGGGGCAATTCTAAAAATGACGTCCTGTGTAATCACTGACAAACGAAGCCGCGGTGTCAGAGAGTTCTTGTTCCCCAAAAGCTTCTTCCCTGCGAGGGTGGCGAAATTGGGGGAGGACCTCCGGAAAAGGCAAGCTCCTCGAGTTACTCGATGTAGCCGTCCGTCGCTGCGCCTTGATCAGGAAGCTTATAGCAGGAGGTATGGCAGGAAGCTTTCTGCTCCACGTCAGCGCAGCATGTCTGCCCTGCACGTGAAAAGCAACGACAATGCCTTGCGGCAAGAAGAATGTTGAGCAAAGTTGGATGAGCATTGACGGTCACGAAGTCGTACTGCAGAGTGTTCCCGTCAGCCTGCGTGGTGATCTTCGTCTGTGGGGTCTTGATCCCAGATCCCAGAAAGGCATCGTGGAGGGAGGGTCCAAGGTCAACACAGACCAAGACGAGACCAGAGCTCCCTCTCGGCTGCCTGATGTCCGTCCCAGGATGAGGGTTGAAGACTGGGGAGGGTTGCAATTCAGGCGATGCTCGACCCAATTCGAGCGAGGACCTGCGCAAAAAATAGACAATGGTGACCAGAATTCCAACCTCTGCGATCGGGTATCACCAACCCTATCATTCATACTGTTACCATGTCTGCCCCCAGATTCTGGAAGCCTCGCCATTGGAGTAGCCTTCCCCTAATTGTGGGTGTCACCATTTGGAGAAATCAATTCCGCGAGACCATTCAAGTCTCGGTGCCGCACAGTCGACCATCGTTACCCTGTTCGGAGATGAAGGCGGGTAAGTTAGGGGGCCCGAAACTTTTCCAAATTCTGTAAAAGTCTGGGGAAGACAGGGGCACAGGGGTTTGCTCTTTCGCTCTGGGGGCTGTTGGGGGTCCACAGGGATTCTCCCATCGTCTCCAAATGAGAACCACATGACGCTCCTTGGCCTGCGTTGGAGACAAAAGGAAGGGAAAGGGAGGGACCATCTCCAAGTGCTCTGGGTATTGGAGTCGGTCCTCGACGCAGATGGTGATTGGGGATCGCCGCCATCCAGGCTTGGGGTACACGTAGACGCAAGAGCGGCCGCCGACTCCGAAAGGAGTAGCATTGTGTGACTGACTGCATCTGCCAACACCGATATCAAGATTCGGAGTATGTTCGGCCAATGTAGATGCAATTTGTGGAGCGCTGTGATTCGGCAAACGCTTTCGTGGTGAGTGTGGGTTCTCTAACATGATGGATATATCACGGCAAGACTGCGGCCGCATACGCCTGACAGTGGGAGACCGTGCGGCGATCTCACGGACTAGCTATGCTGCCACGACCTGGACTCTCGTGCGTGGGCACCCAGAACCCAGAACGGGTCGCACATCAATTGTATGATTCTGCGTGTGACAAGGTGTAGTTCGTGTCGAACGGAAAACATGAGTGCGCTGCCAGTGTTTGCTTCTTCCCTAGCCGAGAACCCGGAAGACTTGCGACGAGAGGAAGGAAATCCTCGGCAATGTCGCGAAGCTGTGGCTTGACGGCCTGCTAAACACGTGAGAATTGCCCGAGTCTGGAGGGCCACAGCTGTTGTGCTCCTTCCGCGGCGTATGACGGTGGCTAACAATGTCGTGTGCTTGCTGACGATGCGTCGGGGATATCGAGAAACCTGTCATGAGCCAGCCGAAGTAAACCTTGACGATCAGGCATGGGCCAGAACGAAGGAACGACAGGGGGGCTGCAGAGATGGCTCGACCTTCCGCACGGGAATAGACGACATCGGCGAATAATGAGGTGGCGTTTGGACGCCGCTGAGGTGGCTTGCAGACAGTTGTGAGACGACTGTGCCGTTCAGGCCGGGCTAACACATGCCTCAGATATGCGCACCTGACCTTCGTCCCGTCTTGGTGGCATGAATTACAGTAGAAGTCGGTCTGTGACCCTCGCCTTTCCCGTGTACTAGGGAAACGAAAGCGATCTGGGTCCATGTCTGATTTTCTACGGCCAAGAAAAGTTTACATTGGCCTGTGCTCCTTTGAAGGACCATGGTGAAGCTTTGTGCAAATTTGAACTCCTGCAGTCGGTCATATCAGAGTCGTCCTGAATGGATATGCCAAGAGTTGCAGAACGACACCATGTTGCAGCGGGCACTATGGGACGACGGTATGGACTGCAGACCGCATGTTTGCAGGTCAGGATCTGGCAGGCGGACAAGATGAAGCGAGTCTGTGTGTCGAAACTTTCGGCGCTCATCTCGCAGGTCTTGGCCCGAACCTCGAGAGACAGGCGCGGTAATAAGGGCCTGTTGGGAGGTTTACTGGCTCGCTGCCTGAGAGACCCTGACAGTATAGTTCACCAACATTGCAGGCTCTGATTGCCCAAATGCTGGCTTGCATGCCGGGGAGGGGGGCGGTTGTTCTTCTTTCGGCAGCAGCAAATTTCTGAGCGAAACCGTCTCATCCATGATTCCATCATCTGGCGTACTGACAGCACGCACTCAGCTCCTGGTTACCACCGTCAACCAGCGATTACTGGCCGGGCTGGCGGGCTGGCGGGCGGGCGGGCTGGCAGGGCCAGTCAGTCTTCCACCAGTCCAGGGAGCCGTGACTGTGTAAACGGGGATTCGCGTCACGGGGCACGCCAACTCTGAAACTGATAGTGATGGACATTGCATTGCCGTGCACACATCGGAGATCTGGCGACTTTGGGAAGTGTCCATCGTCGTTGAGGCTGTGCAAAAGCCGCTTTCCAGGGGAGGTGCGTTAGCGGGAAGTTGAACGAGACCGGCTGGACCTCTCTCTGCGCGATCCTTCAGAAATCAGGTGTGCGCCGTGTGACCAGTGACTTCGACTGACCAGGCGCGGCACGTTCGGAGGCACTGTGCAGACTTCTGCTTCTCACATCTCACTTCCTTGGGGGTGTGTTGCAGGGGTTCCCCCAACAGGCTCTGGGGTCCAGCTGCCAGGCATCAAGGTCTTGGAGGGGCATGGAGGGGTCGAGGTGTTTTCGAAGCTCTCTTATCAGCACCCTGTCAACCTCAGATAGATGGAGGGGCATCTGGTGCCAGCTCCAGATTGGATGGCTGGCCCATCTGGCGTGGATCCGCAGAGCGTGAAATGTCGCATCCTTCGAGCCTCGGAATTGGGATGACCAGCCTGGCCAGCCTGCTCAATTGCTCATAAAGTCGGTGTGTTTCCTTCACCGAGGCGCGCATTGATACTTTTCCATCTCCAGCTCCGAGACTTTCTTCCAAATCAATGCCCGGAAGCTTGTGCTTGGTGTAGCCCGCGCATCCAGGCAACACAGAATTGCCCCTCCATTGGGAGCAAGCTACTCCAAAGCTGCGAAGTGCCCCTCCGGATGGCGGGGCAGAAGGGGCAGATGCAGGTTCCCAGGGCTGCCAGGTGAGCTTTCGACCTCAAAGTACGATAAGCGCCCGCTGTGGATATCCGCATGCTACATTGTCGAGCCCAGGATCCGGATTGGAAGACCAAGGCCTGTCGAGTCTCAGGTCTGCTGATTAGAGGCCGCTATGAGCAATAGTAAATTGGGCCTGTGACGATGATGTGGGCCCAGGAGATGGGAGCGGCCCGAAAATGGCGGGCCAGCTTTGTCTCTTCTGCCTCGAATGCAGAGTGGACACATGAATTTCGAGAGATGTCCATCAGGGAGAATTGTATCATGTCCTGCTTGCTCAGGCTCTCGGCCAGTGAGGCTGGCGCGGCCGCAGTCATCACCTCCCACGGCTGAGGCAGCATCCGACGTGGGTTGCCCATCGACCTCTTCATGATGGCATGTATGCACTAAGTGATGCATATTACAGCTCTGCATCGTGTGCCTCTAGGTTCGATCGTAGGTTTTTTTGAGTGATCTGCTGGTGAACTTTGGCAAAGCTTGTCGTATGCTTCGAAAACATCGACTTGCATCCCTTGTCTTCACCAATCTCGCTACAGAAATATGGTGACGTTCATTGGACGCCTTGGGGGAAAGGAGACGAGGCCTGGCTGTCGCGAGACTTTTAAACCTCTGTAGCGCTTACAAGCAGCTGAAGCGTTGCGAGTTTGCGGAGCCTGGGAGCGTGCATATGCGGTACTAAACTGCTGACATCCCAGTGAGACGGCACATAGCGGGCCTCGCCAGCCTGGAGTCTCGGTAACGAGGCGTGATCGATATTGCTCGTCCGACTTTGAGAACAGCTTACGAGACTTCAATGCTCCTAAGAGCGCCTCGCCTGCTGCATCTCAACAGTACCGGAGGCACCAAACACCGGGTTCTGTGCGTCGTCATACAGAGGAGCGACGTTAGCTGCGTTGATCGCTCAGTCAGGTGTTTGGAATACCTGTCCTGTGTGTAGAACCACGGGACGGTCACTTCATTTTCTTCCGACGTTCGACGGGTTGGCCACGATCCAGAACTTCAGAAACGTTTTCGACGTCATCACACTCGAGCTGCGATTCGGATCAGATCATGCAATCCCAAGCACGGTTTGATAGCCTACCGGCCTGCTCATATAGCAAGTGAGGTAGCAGCAACCGCCCAGCCAACGCCAGCAAGTGTGTGTGCAAGGACCACGGTTGCTGCTGTGCGCACCGTGTGCCTAGACCAGCAGCACGTCTCATCTGTCCAACGGCAGAGTAGCCAATCCGGCGGACCCTTCCAAGCAGCTTACCTTCCGGATGTTACGCTTGTTTATTGAAAGTTGACGAATGCAATTGTAATCCGCAGTTGCAATGATGTTGGCGCTCAGCGCCAGGAACAACGCAAGGCGCACAGCAAGGTCCGAACTCTTTTGACACGGCCCCGATTGCGGTTGTGGATAACCTTAAGCCGCAAAGTCATCACTTGGCCGAAGCTTTTCGCTCTGGTAACTTGCGAGTAAATCCTTCACCAACTGCAAATCCAGAGACGGCTATCCTTCGGGCCCAGTGACTTGGCAGGGTTTGTCGCTGGCGAGGCCGGGGGCTGGATGGGATGCGACACTATGGATTAGCCATTTTCCTGCAGGTGACATTGCAATACCTCGCCTAGCCGAGCTGTAAAGCGCGCACTGTGCTTCCGGTGCTAAGCCATGACCTGCAGCCTGGGAGGCGGCCTAGGGACTCAAGGGACCAAGGGACCAGACTCCGACCGTTTTGCGGCACTAAAACCTGGACAACAGCGAATGGCTGCGCCGCGCGAAGCTCGTCGCCAGTCGAGAGCTGCCCCGTCCGTTGCAGGTCCTGGGTGACGTAGGTTGGCGAGCGACCCCGTACTGCCCTGTCGAGAACCGCCATTGTCTCGAGAGGTTCGAGAGGTGCTGGTTGGGTCAGCGTCAGCAGAGCCGCTAGGGCGGCTTGGAACGAGCGTCATCCTTCACCCCAAACAATGACCGGGTTGCCGAATGAGGCAAGTTAGCAAGCGACGACAGTCGGTGCAATCCAGCTTCCTAGTTACCGGCCCGGCAAAAAGCTCGCTGGATCGGCCCATCGTCAAGCCTGGCTGGCCCTTCTGTCTTGCAGCTGTGCCTGTGTTCGGTTCCTCGAGCATGCCACATGGATATTTGCTGGGCGACCCGTGCCGCGCGGGTCCTGTTTCCTGGGGGCCCTGAAGCTTACATGGCGGCTACTTGTTGGAAGAGGTGGCCGGGTATCATACAGCCGGTGCTTGCGACAATTTCGTGGGCATTGGAGCATTGGGCTCTCTGGAGCCTCGCAGATCAGGCCTCGCTTACCAAAGATTTAGAAAGCTAGTACCACACACAAAACTTGGGATGGTAATACGTCAAGGGTGGGAGCATGCCGCCCAGTGGTCAATGGTCAGGGCCCTGCCGCCGAGCACTGTGCGCCACACCAGAGGCGGCACGATGTGCAGCAGCCAGACGCAGCAGGCTAAGACGAGACGGGCGTCGTGTTGAGTTGATCAATCACCACTGACCGAGCAGTTTGGCGTGTGCCGAAGGTCTCCGGTTCCCGCATGCACTGCGGACACCAAGGAACGAGTGTGCATCGATTGTGGTAGGCATTCTGAGTGATGGTAGTCATTGGTGACGGAAAGCTCGACTAGACTGCAGCTTGAGAAGACTGAGATGGATGACGAGAGGTGCAATAGAGACAATAGCTGAACCCATGAAGGCGTGTTGCCTACTTTTGCATGTACTGTGCATGGGGGAGATGCATCGAGAGAAGACGGCGGCCCTCAAGGCCATTTGCTGTAGAAGATGTGTCGATGCGAACGTCGCATCTGTGCGCACACCAAGATATATTGCCAACAAGCCTTGGGTCGAGCATGGGCACCGAGGCCAGGCGGTGGTCGGCCAGGCGGTGGTCGGCCATGCGGAGGTGTGACTGTGAATTCTTGTCTCGGGCAAGGTCGAGTGCTGCTGCTTCACCGTATGGCGCGGCGGAAAAAAAGGGTCTTTTGACGACGGTCTAATAAGGTTGGGATTGATTGTGCTGGGCCGCTGGTTGCGACGGGGGTGGAGGGATGTTCCAGGCTCGCGAGGCCGTCTGCATAAGAGCGAAACCGTAAATGAGTCTTTTCCTCCTGTCTCTGGGCGGCAACGTTGCAGCTTGCAGGCAGGAACTGCAGTCTAGTCGGCCGACTGCGAAGACAGCAAGCAGCATCTGCCTGAGAAAATACTGTCTGAACGACTGTGCAACTTGAACGAGCGAATCGTCGTCTCTCGTATCCGGACTTTGGCAGGATCCTTCGCTGATGGGCAGACGTGTGATGGCTTTCGTCCGATGGGCAATGTGCGATGGCTGATGGCCCTTGCGTTTTGTTTGTTGGTTTGCGCCTGTGCATGTGCCTGTGCATTCTGTCTGTGGTTCGAGGTGGATCACCCATTCCCTCCCAAGAGGCAGGCACGAGGCTCACAGACTGCGAGTCGTGGCGGCAGTTTCCCACGTCCTCGGTGCGTCATCCGTTGTTTGATCTCCTGGCCTAGTTGCCTGGCAAGCTGGCAAGGCCGCGCCGGGAATTTTATCGAGGGGCAGGACATGGCTCGTTCGTCTCTAGTAGAATCTGGTATTGATGAGTTGGCCGCCTGCGATGAGGCAGACCGCGTCTTTCCCGTCCTGGCTCCAGTTGCAATGCCGTCTCGGTCGAGGGAAGGAACGGAAAGGAAGGAGCCTCCATGTCCCTGCCCATGTCCCTGTCCATGTCTATGCCCAATGGCCCCTGCTCTGTCGGACCTGCTGACCTTTTGGCAGATTATGTAAGCTCAGCCGTGCCCAGGCCAGCCAGCCAGCCAGGCTGCCCAGGGAGAAGGCTCCCAGTCGATCCACTTCCGATGTACCTTGTATCCCGTATCATGTCAAGGGCCATGTATCATGTAGCTTTCCAATCCTCTCACGCCAGCCAGCCAGTCAACCAACCACAGTCTTGTGCCTAGCGCTGAGGCCACACCTGCCCTGTCCTCCGCATGTTGCCTCCATGTGAAGTGAGCATGTACTGTCCTGTATTGCGGTATAAACCGTGTACGGCTGCATGTGTCCATGTGCATGTGCATACACACATCAGTACGTGCTCTTGTTCTTCTTCTTGACGGTGGGCTCCCTTTCTGCTATTTGTTTATCCTTTCATGCCTCTGAGTGAGTTGGTCCTCATTCCCTGTTTGTATAACTGCAGCATCTCAATTGTCGCAAGACAGAGAAACAGAGAGAGACACGGAGAGAGAGGGAACACCGAACTGTCAGCCTCAATCCGCACCCTGCCTAACTCTCTCTCTCACTGCCCTACTGCAGAGTACTCTACTCGACTCTACATGCTCTAGCCCCAACCCATCTTTAATCAAGCTCTCATTCGCCGAGAGCGAAGTTCCGTCTGACTTGGTCGTAGTCGGACTGCTGCAAAAGCCAAGTGCGGCGTGACTTGCAGGGACCAGGGTTCCAGGCCCACCTCTGGTGCGAGAGGACGTTAGCCTAGGGTCAGGTATCTGGGTACAGCGGTACCTGAGCCCACACAGTGCTAGTCCCCACGCACACCCTCGTTCCTCCCCTGGCCGTGGTTGAATGGGGAACTGGGGGATCTGACCTGAGGGAACAGAAGGCTGGCCGGGTATTGCTGGTCTGAGGTCGGCAGGTGGTACCCTGACGGTACGCACTGCCTTCCCAATCGCTCCCCCAAGAACCAGGCCAAAGTGCAGGTTGCAGGCAAGTCACCTCTCGTCCTGTCTTGTCTCCCATGTTGCTGCTACTGCTGCTTGCTGCTCCTACTACCGAATGTCCTGTCCGTGCTTCTTCTTCACCAATTGCCCTCTTCTTCCTCTTCTCACTCCCTCAACCTTACTCACCTCACCTCGCCTCACCTCTCACTCTCCTTACCCGCCTTGTCCAATTGCTCAACTTGTCACAGCACTTCGTTGAGCTGTCTGTACCAACTTCCGAGCAAACCGTCCAGTTGCTCTGCCGAGTTCGCGTCTCCGGAAGAGGACATGAGATAGTCAAACCACGGATCGTTTACTCCTCCCAATCTACTCTCTTCTCTCCTCTCCCATCTTCACCTCGCCTCTCTTCGCCGCCGCCAATTCGCGACTTGCCTGCCTGCCTGCTTGTCTGACTGCCTGTCTTCGCTGCGCCACTCGACTACTCCCCCGTGAACATATCTGCCCAGGGAAGCTCAGTCGATCAAACCAGACCCGCTGGCGCAACTCTTCGCTCGCTCGCTCGCTCGACGCACGTATACTCGAGACTACAAGCAACACTCCCTGTTTGCCTTGCGCCAGCCCTTCCTGTCAAGTCAACCAGCGAACAACTTTAACTCAAGCACTATGGGCAACGACGCTGGGCCGAAGCTCGAGTCCGCTGCCATGTCGACTGCCAACATGTCCAACTCTCCTCCTTCTACCGACCCAGATGTTACTGCTCCCCAGGGCGATGACACTGGTATGCCAAATACCCATCCCCATGCTGCCTTCCCATACTGTCTCGTGCAATGCAATGCAATGCTGCTCCCCTGTTTGTTGGGGCCAACCTTTCCCACGAACCCCACGCAAACATAGCCTTGTACGGTCGGCTAATATGTGACTCCCACACGAGTAGAGGCCTCGACTATCACCGTCAACACCAAGACTCCGACTGCAAATTTCCCTCCTCCGAAGACTGATAAGCCTCGTCCTCATGGCTGCACCACTTGCGGTCGTGCCTTCGCTCGGCTGGAGCATTTGAAGAGACATGAGAGGTCCCACACGAAGGAGAAGCCGTTTGAGTGCCCAGAGTGCAAACGCTGCTTCGCCAGGCGCGACTTGCTTCTGCGCCATCAGCAGAAGTTGCACCAGTCCACGGCCCCCTCTGCCCGTCCTCGCAACCGCCGTGAGAGCGCAAGTGGTGTTACCATTGGTCAGAGTCGCGCTCGCAAGAACAGCGTCGCCGGCCCGGTCCAGAGTGCCCCTCCAAACCCGGCGTCCATGAGACCGAGGGCCAATACCATTAGTGTTGTTGATAGCGCCGCTATACAGATGATGGCCGGCGCTGCCAACGGCCCAGTTGCGCGCATGCCGCCGACACACAGCCGCCACGACAGTCTGATCGGCCTGCCTTTCCATTATCCTCACAACCAGTTCCCGGGCATGTCCTCGGTCATGGGCCACCGGGGCGTGCAGCATGGGCTTCCAAAGCTGGAAACGAACGGGCTGAGCTACGACCAGGGCCTGCGCACTGCACCGCCCCATGCCATTTTCCGCAACGACTTTATGGACAACCTGTTCGCTGCCCCGACCATTGATCCTCAGGCGCTCCATGTGGGGATGGAGTCCCCACAGTCAATCGGCGTCGATCCGCTTTCGCCCGCCTTCCACGGCCTGCCGGACCTATCGACACAGGCTGCCCACTTTGGACTGGAGGACTTTTTGATTACAGATTTTGGCCAACAGTTGACTTTCAACAACCTTAATGACAATGCTGTCGACGGCTCCTCGTCCTCAGCCATCAGCACTGCAAGCCCTGGTGGCATGAGCGACGCCATGATCGACGGTTCCAACAATCCCGTTTCAACGGCCCCAGGCACCTCCTCGGCATGGGCGCCGGGCATGGTCTCTCCTCAGATGGGAAACCCTTTCAACATCGATTTCCCGAGCCATGTCTTCCCTGACCTCATGACCGGGGCGCCGGTCTCGCCACACCCAATGCAGCACGGCATGCTGAACGACGCCTACTTCACACCACCGCCATCGTCGATGAACTCGGGCTCGCCCTCCGTAATGTCGAGTATGAATGCTCAGAACATGAACCAAACGTTGAATTTTGGTCACGGCCCGGAGACGCCGACTTCGATCAATGGTAGTACTCATGGCACCTCACCCGTCTCGACAATCACTGATTCAACAAGAAACGCCATCCTAGGTGCCCTGTCCACAGCCTCGCTGGGCTCGACTCTCGCCAACCGCAGATCCTCGTTCTCGGCCCACCCCTCGACTTCTTCCGCGCATACCAAGGGTTCGCCGGACCCCGCCAGCACTCTGCCCAGCACCCACAGCCTGCAACGATACGTCGCCGCCTATCTGACTTACTTCCATCCGCACTTACCGTTCCTCCACATCGCAACATTGTCCTTCGAGATCCCAGCCCCACCGGCAAAGAATGATTTGGGCAGTATTGGTGGATCCGCGTGCCTGGTGCTCTCCATGGCCGCAATTGGCGCCTTGTACGAGAAAGAGCATGACCGCGCTCGAGAGTTGTTTGAGATGGCCAAGAAGATGATTCAGACTTACTTGGAGCAGCGAAGGAAAGCTAACGTCCGAAAAGCCGGTTTTCGAGGAGCCTCGTCCGAGCAAGAAGCACAAGGGTTCCATGACAATTCTACAGACACTCCTGTGTGGCTCGTCCAGTCAATGCTCCTCAACGTCGTCTACGGCCACAGTTGCGGGGACCAGCTGGTGGGCAAGATCGCTGAGACGCACTGTGCTGCACTGGTCAGCTTGGCCCAGGGGGCTGATCTGCTGCGACAACCACAGAACCATGCCGAGCAAGACACCCAAATGAGCGACGTCTCTGACGAGCGTGCGGAATGGCTCAAATGGAAAGCCCTGGAGGAGCGGAAGCGTACCCTGTACACTATCTTCATCCTTTCCAGTCTGCTGGTCTCTGCTTACAACCACTCCCCTGCGCTCACCAACTCCGAGATTCTACTGGAACTGCCTTGCGATGAAGAGTTCTTCGAAGCTGAGACTAGCACGGTCTTCAATGCTCGCGGAGGTGTTAGCGGGGCGAACCACAATCGCATGACCTTCCATGACGCCCTAGGCGACCTGTTGCGTACAAATGAGAAACAGCGTCGTCTTTCCATGAGCAGCGGACATGCGTTCAGTGCTGGCGACCTTCCGCCTACAACGCTCAAGCCCAGCACATTTGGCTGTCTTGTCTTGATCAACGCTCTGCACAACTACATTTGGGAGACTCGGCAGAGGCATCATAGCAACGTCTGGACGAACGAGGAGACGGAGAAGATGCATCGACACATTGAGCCTGCTCTTAAGGCCTGGCACGCGGCATGGGCTAGCAATCCCCACCATTCTGCCAAACGGCCCAACCCTTTTGGCAAGGGCCCCTTGTCTGCGGATTGCACACCGCTGTTGGATTTGGCTTACGTGCGTCTATTTGTGAATCTCTCCCGCTCCAAAGGTCAGTTCTGGGAGCGTGACTGGGATGGTATGGCAGAGGAGCTGGCTCGTGGGAGTGAGATTGTCCAGCACGCAGAGCAGTCGTTGCCATGCTCGGAGCCTGCCGTAACTGACAGCCTTGATCATATGGATACCACGGGAACCGCCGCTGGCTTGACAAACAATCACTCTGGCCAGTCTCACATGCAGCCTCCACTTGCTAGTCGGACGACGTCAAGACGGGAGAAGCATTTGCGGAAGGCGGCGTACTTTGCGGCTGACTCCCTATCAATGTCTGACAAGATGGACGTCACCTTTGCTGACTTCACTCGTCAGGACCTGCCGCCACAATCTGCGTTGTGCGCTTTCGACTGTGCGCAGGTCTTGGCTGAGTGGGTTGCTACCCTGCAGGACAGAGTTGGTCAATACCTGGGAATTTTGGGCCAAGACGAGGTCGAGCTTTTCCAGGTCCCCGCCATCATGCTCCTGGAAGAGGAAGACGTTCAACTACTACGGAAGGTTCAAGATGTTCTGGACGGCTTGGAAAAGAAAATGGGAATGGAATTCCTTCGGGGCGTTGCAGGTGGTTACGCGGTCAAAATATTGAGAGCTACGGCCCACATAATGGCCAAAAGTACCGCGTGGCCTGGTGAGTCTTCCGCCCGTCAGAGTCTGGGGCCAGGTTTACGAACGTGGAATGCTAACAATTTTTTGCAGTCTCCCGATTAATGATTCAATGTCTCGAAACCCATGCCAGTCACATCAAAGCTCGAGTGGACAGGTCGGTGAGACCGGTCGAGTAGACCTGGACTTGGTGCCTCCTGCGCCGAACACGAGTGGCTACCATCGCCATTGATCGTGTCGGAAGACGATGCAGCGGCCCGAAGCATGGGAGCAGTCAGAAATCGACACATCTGCCAGCTGCTATTCACATCCAGCGTGCCGGCATTGGATTATATATGTTCTCATGCGCTCATGGTGGCATCTAGCCACTCAAGAGTATACTCCGCAAAGCTGCTTTACGACTTCACTTGCCATATCTGGACATCGAGGACCGCCCGAACAACAGCACGTCTCGCTGCTTTCTTTTTTTGAGGGCGCTAGCTGCGAACGAATGACGAATTTTGATTTCTGCGATCATTCAACTTCAACTGCGACGGAGGCCATGTGTGTTCGCATTCAATGTCCATATTTTCCGATTTCAAGCATGCTTGGAGATCGAAACTATACGTTGGGCAAGCAAGCCCTTTTGATACGAAATGGCCACTCCTTGAACAAACGCGTGAACGACACTGCAACGAACTACGAATGTGGAAAAAGCGAACGAATTGACGCAGAAGGTGTTCACTCGAAGGGTCGAGAGGATGAGAGAAAATAAACACGGCCAATTCTTTTACAATATCACCGGCGCAGGATAGGTGGGGCGGGGAAATACCAAACCTCAGGACACAAAGCAGATGAAAAGTACCAAATGGTACCAAAACCGGGTGGGAAATCATTTCAAAGGAGTATATAGCCAATTTGACGGCTCTGGTCGGCGTAAAGTGGACGCCTGTGGAAATTTTAGGGGCCCACGTTGCAAAAAGTTCTGTAAATAGGGCTAGGAATATGGATCGGTTATGGGAAGGTAGGGCTAGGTTTTAAAACTCGTGAAATGCAGACATGCTTTTCTCTGCCCAGGGCTGTTCATGTGGAATTTGATTTGATGTGACATCTGCTGCCTCTGACAGTGAGACATCAAGAATTGCTGGGGCCGTGGCAATAATGGTAGAGCGCATTGAGAGGAGCTGAGGCGAAGTGTTTACATGTGGATGGAGGGAGGGGTCTGGGCTGACAGCTTCATTCACACGAAGAGAGGGATAGGCGGATGCGCACGGTTGGGGTTTTGGCTGCTGTAGGGCGTGTTAGTCGTTGTCTAGGAAGTTTCAACCCTTGCTGCGAATTCCTATTGTGGTGAATCGGGAGGTCAAATGGTTGGCGCAGGGGCCGTCGCGTCTCCTGGCCGGGCGATGGCTGGGACTGATGTCTTATCCCCAGGCTATTGTGGATCTCTTCTCTCCTGTTGATCCGTAGCTGTATTATCTTGTGTGAGATGCGTAAGCCTGTGAAATATTCCCGGCCTTCGACTGGGACCTAATTCACAGATCTCCTCTGACAGTCCTTCTCTGACAAAGATGCCCATGGCCAACTTGTCTGGGAGTTTCTCCAAGCACAAGTCTATTTCCTCTAACAACGTACACGACACACGAGGCGAACTCCATGCTCAGGCACCGTCCAAACTGGGGCGGAATTGCCATGCCTCTGGGACTACAGTTGGCTGTCGGGCGGATGATCTCTCTTGGATCTATACGTTGGAGCCTCGCTTCCATCCAAAAGACAAGGAAAATCACTTTATACCATCGTCACTGCATCAGGAAAGCCCCCAAACGACATTTATTCGGATATGAAGAAGGCATCGGCGCGGCCAACAAGTTCATCCCCTACTCCCACCTCTTGGGGCAGTCGGTCGAATCTAGCTGTTCACAGAGGACGACTGAATTCTAGAAGAACACAACGTGTAGCAGCACTAGATTGTGATTCAATAAGCATGGATGGATGGCCCGTGGCCTGGACTCTGAGGGGAAGCAATACAACCACTGCCATCCAAAAGGCCGGGAGAGAAGTCCTGGCTAGGCAGCGCCGGATACACTCACAATTATATCGGCAAGAAAACTACCAGCCGTGCTGGTGGGGGCAGCAAGTTCGTTGGGGGCAAGTTCGCGTTCTCAATATTGCGATTTCCTGGTCTTCATGACACGCCTTCATCTCAAACAAACTAAATGCTATGAGGCTTTCTAACAAATACGAGGGCGCGCTCCGCCGTCCAAGACGTGGAGAGTTCGCAACCCCCTGGCTCCACGAACTCGAGCTACAAGACCATAAAGTGGGAAAGTCTGAGGAAAAGAGAAGAGTCTAGATCCCATGGGGCTCCCCAGTCAGCGTCTTGCCCGGGAGTAGAACGGTACCAAGTTTGCTGCGAGCAGCAGATTGAAGGACATGAGAAGGGAAGTTCGCATTCTAATTTCAGCATATGCCTAACGTGGAATTCATTTGAGCAATCTCAAGGCTTCGACAAAGTTGACCACCTTGAGAGAAGCGGCACCTTGAATGTCTAGCCCGATCATTCTAGCACTGCTGACTTGCAGATTCTGGGCAGCGGCCAACACAGTCCCCGGGGATCTCTGCAAAACGATCTGATAAGCCGTCACCCTTGAAGGGATCATCAGCCGAAGAGCAAATACCACAAATACTAGGACGTAACATTGCACAAGCGTCTAAGACAAGAGTATGGTCCGTGAATCATGAAAGTGATGAGCTAGAAAATTAACAGGGCGATAAGGTGGACTAATCCCCATCCAACAGCCCGGCATGCCTACATGATCATAACGGCGTAGTCTAGTGAAAGTGACAAGAGGCCCTTTCTCACTCTAAAATAGACGTGGAATCCGCAACAGCCCACCGGATTGCCTCGCAGGCACCGCTGGTGATGACAAGTCCCGACTTAGGACGGGTATTACATCGACCCGATCAGAAATAAATGGGAACCTTACAATGTCTCCCCCTGGAACCGTCAACCCTGGCCTCTAGTAGAGTATAAAGAAGAAGAAGAAGAAGAAGGCTGCGCCGACGCCCCAGCGCGCCTCGACGACTTGGACGACGACCCGACGCGTGCTCTCTACGCCTCGCCGCTCTCGTCCTCGCGCTTCAGCTGCTGGCGGCGGTTATACAGGTCGCGGCTGAGGACGTTCTTGAAGCCGCGGTTCTTGAGCTCCGTCATGATCTTGCTGACCTGCCACCCCTGCCTCAGCCACCCGTCGACCTCGGAGGCGACGGCGGGGGGCAGCTTCCGGCTGCGCGGGTCCTCGCTAGGGTCCGACGGCGGGTGGTTGTGCGTCGTGGTGCCCGGGGTGATGTGGTGGTGGACGACCCACATGTTGGAGTCGCGGAAGGTCTCGACGCACTCGAACTTGAAGGGGCAGTTGCACTTCTTGGAGCTGCGCTCGGGCATGCCGGCGGCCTTGGAGGCCTCGCTGTAGCGGGCCTCGCCCGCGCGGAAGCAGATCCAGCGGATCTTGCGCTTGCCCTTGCCCATGTCGCGGGTGCCGCTCATGCGCATCGAGTAGCCGCGCGGGATGGTGAACTGGTCCAGCTCGAGCTGCATGGTGGCGCGGCTGGAGATGGGGAAGCCCTCGGGCGGGATCTCCATAGCCACGATCGGGGGCATGGCGTGGAGGACTGCGGCTGGCGGCGGGGCCATCTGCGGCTGTTGCTGCTGCTGCCTGTTGCTGCTGCTGCGCCTGTTGTTGCTGCTGTTGTTGCTGCGCCTGTTGTTGTTGCTGCTGCTGCTGCTGCTGCTGATGTGATTGTTGCGGCTGCTGCTGCTGTGGGACAGGCGGCGCAGGGTGGGCAGTCATGGCGGCAGCCTGGTTGGCGCTGGCGAGGGCCAGGACGGGGTCGGTATTGTCGACGACATTCTGGTTGTGATGGGACTGGGGCTGGGGAGGCGGAGGAGGGTTCACGTTCTGTTGGAATTGAGGCTGGTGGTGTTGTTGTTGCTGGTGGTGCTGGACCTGGGCGCGCAGCGGGCTCTGGCGGGGTGGGGCCAGGCGGCCCTCGGCTCTGAGGACAGCCTCGACGTTGTCGAGGCGCTGCTCGATGTCCTGGAAACGCTGGTCGACGATGGCATTGACGCGCTGGTCGATGATGGAGGCGAGGGTGTTGGGCAGGGTTGCCAGCAGGTCGGGAACAAAGAACCCCTGCTGGGTCGGATTCGCCATCTTATCTGATGGAGATGGGGGATGGACCGTCTCCCTGGGTCTGGGGCTGCTTGTAGTGAGGATTGGCAGGCTGTGGGTGTTGCCGACAGACGGACAGACGAGGATGGTTGATTGATGCCGACACAAAACACGTCTGCACAAATAAGGATTTGTGGCCCGTGCGCCTCTCCCGCCCACCTGCCCACCTGCCTTCGGGCCAGCCGTTGCAGTCGGACCACCTGCTCCGCGGGCCTCCAGCCGTGACTAAGCAGAGGGTACATGGGTACGTCCTCGCAGAAGAAGCATTGGATGGTCTGCTCTACAAGTCGGCTGAGTACATAGACCGACCACCTGCTGCCTAGACTACACGGGTAGACACCGCCTCCTGAAGCAGCTTCAAGCATGTCGTGTACCGACACGTGTTTTTCGGTCACCGTATTTCTCACTGCCTCAGTTGCACATGGATAGGCTTGTTAAAATGCCTCTGGATTTGTGCAGCCTCTTTGATCGCCACTGAGGCCTCAGACAGGCGCCAGAAACGGGCACGTTGTCATGCGTTAGAAACACCAGCATGAGGCAGCTGGGATCATTGCATTCCTGCGTTCTGTGTGCAGAAGCGACACATGAAATTCACATTATCCTCATGAGCGGACAGAGCGAATCTAGACATGGTAAATAATCGCTGGACACTGACCTGGACGCCTAGACATTTTAGAATTGAGCAGTGCTACGGCTACAGACTCCAATCGATGGCCAAGTAAATTGGCCTGTTACACTCAACTAAATATGTGAAAACATGATTTCAATTCGAATAGATAAGTCAGAATCCGATTTTCGTTTGAGTCCTGTCAAGTTAGCAGGCTGGAGTGTCTTGTGAACTGGAGGCAACCTGAAAGCGTCGAGCCATCGAACTGCTGCGAGTGACCACCGTCACTGAGAAAGGACAAAGCCGCAAAACATGGCTGTTGCTCAGGATGCATTTCTCAAAGATAGTTTCCAACTGCAATGGAACTCCCTCTCTCCATCGCACTTTTGACAAGGTGGGGAGCATTGCAGTTACAATCACGGCGTGCCTGCGGAACCCAACATGACTCCCATCACCTCTAATCTCGCCACATCGACAATATTCTTTGATAACCCGGTAGAGTTATGATTCCCGTATTCGGTTCTGAACAACGTGTCAATGAATACATGGAAAGAAAGCTACCGGTCTAATCGCCAAGTTCATAATCGGAAATCTAGCACAAGACATGGCAAACTCCCTTTTCCGTTCACCGGAAAGCTCATCTCCCGCGCACAACTCCCGATACCCTTCCAGAAAATGTCTCAGCCATAAACGACATATCGATGAATATCACCGAAAACCTAACGAGATTTGTCTCTGGCAAAAAGTGGCGAAGCAGCCCCGGTGGCTCTTGGCAAACGGCCGCAGTTGTGAATTTTGCCTCTCGCCAGCAGATAACATCACCTGAGGCCTCATTGAAACTAGCGAGCAATCCTGACTGACTTTGTTGTTGTGTGCACGCGGTGGATTACACGGTCCCGGTGGCTGGAGTTTCTGGCATAACGAATACGCGACAACTTTTTAGATTTTCGGTTCGGCTCTGAGGAGCCACTATCTACTTAGTCGTGCCGGGCTGGCATTGACGCGGACGACGGATTGCGCCTGCTCGCGTGCAGCTGAGTCGCAGCAGCTGAGGATCAGTGGCTGAGGATCAGTGGCTGTGTTTTCCTTGAGGATCGCACCAGAGGGGTACTCTGTGTGAGATCGTGACGACGAGACTTGCACTAGTGAAATTTTCGAATCTTGCATACCGATAAGGCTCTCTGCCTACCTAGGCAGCCTGGCCAAGGGTTTGAGGAGGAACTCAAGCGAGGGCGCACACTTGTGAGCCGCCAAGACTTTACAGCCGGTGCGACAGGGACTAATCGCTGACCAAGCAGCACTTTTGCTCCGGTAGCTCTTATGGAATTTTGAACTGCGTCTTGTGTAATATCACATCATCGAGATAGTGTCTACTCATAACAACTGGTCGAATGGCAGTTGCCGAGTGTTGATGTGGCTAGGTAGCCCTCGAGACCGGCGTAGTAACACAACGGCGTTCAACAACATTAACTTTGCAGTCGTAGACATAGTGTAGTCAACTCAGCTCCTGTCAACTGGTGTGTTACGCACCACTTATCAGCCACCCTAGTGACTTTGGGCAGGGTGTGACTTCGATGCATTTCTCAAAAGCACAGCCGAGTATGTACGCACGCACCATAACGCACGTTGACATCCCGCATCTCGCTGCGCCAGAATTCTCCGTGCAACTGAGTTGGCACGCAGCACGGGGGATATCTCGATGCCGATATAACCCCATCGAAGAAGAAGAAAAAAATGCCTTGACCTAACGAAGTTTATGGGCCAAGGCGAGGCAGACTGGCCATATCGTCGGGGAAATGGGCCCGGGACGGTCTCAGATCTTCCCGGCACGCGTGAAGGGATCGCAACACCCCTCATCCAGGCCATGTCAATATCGAGACAATAACTGGAGAACAGTCATGACTGGCCGTGGCAGCGATCGGCGCGGCACACAAATCTCGTGTGTGCAAGATGAGACTGCACAGCCCACAAAGTCTCGGCCATGATGGCCGGTGCACATGTGCCCCCCTTCTGGCAACACCCGGTTGGTGCGCCTGGTGCGGTTCCGTTGGGGGGGGGGGGAGGGGAAGGAAATAGTATGAGTTCGTGATAGCTTCCGACAACTTCTCTCCCCTCCCCCCAGAGCGAGGCACCGCCGCATCTGGGGCTCGGCTTGGCCCTCCCGCACCTCCCGCCAAGGGATGAGAGCTTTCCCGTCCACACACCCGGGGAGAAGGCGATACCTGACTGCCGCGAGCGAGAGGGTGGAAACGGACTCGGGAGTGAACATCAGTGAGGAAAAACCTCCCTGGCCGAGGTGGCTCAGCCTTACTTGGCAAATGCAATGGTAGGTGCAGCGGCGCTCACAAGAGAGCTCCGGCAAAAGATACCAGTCAGTGTTTGATAGCTCGCTCTTGGGATTTGTTTCTAGCCGCCCCCCGGGCGAAGAGAGAAAGAGAGAGAGAGAGAGGCGGGGAAGTGGAGGGTGGGAGCAGGGTAGGGCGGAGGCGCGCAAACAGGATTGAAACATTTCTGGACATTGGATGATCGCCCGCCCGTCCCAGCTTGACGGGCGAGGATGAGGATATTCTGAAACTGTGCCGGGAAGTGGTGGCTTGTGCAAAGTCTTTGCCCAGAAGTCTGCTGGAATTTGCTCGGAGATGAGACATTGGCACGACTCCTGGTTTGCTGGCACAGAGCATCTGCTAGTTCCGAGGCAACTTGTTTTTCTCTTTTCTCTTGATGATCTGCAAACTCGTCGCATCTTCGAACCGACGTGCCTAGCTTACCACATAACCGGCACCATCCATGGCCTCATTGCTCCATTTCTAGATTTGGCATCCTTTCTCTCGTTGCCCTCCTTCGGGCCGCGTGTTGGTGGGTTAGGTTCCCGGGCATTGATAGTGTTGGAAGATTATAACCGGGACCGCATTGTTGCTGCAGACTGTTGCTCTCTATATCACGCTAGTCATTCGGATTATCACAATGCATTGCAGCAATGTATGTCGAGTCATCATAAATTTTACTGAGCCCGCCAAGAAGGAGTCGCGGTGAAGAGGAGAAGCATCTACTGTGTTGCAGTGTGCATTGTGTTGTAGCTTGACCAACAGCACACAAACAAGTTTAAACCGTCCAGTTACATCGAAAAACCTCATTGGCGCGGGATGCACCAAATGACGCAATCAGGGTGCCGACTCGCGATGAATCTGACCCGCCTGTGGGTGATGTTTCGTTGAGCCAAGGGCCTAATGTAATAGTGCCCGATCTCTAGTAAAACGAGCGGCAATCCAGGGGGGGAATTCAAGGTTTGTTAAGTTTTGCCGATGTGGGCGGGTGCAGCAGCTGTTGGTGCAGCAGCGTGGGTGGCAGCGAACGGAGTGGAGGCAAGCACAAGAGCTTGTCGAACATCGAGAAGCATTCGCTCGCGGCAAACGAGCCCCTCTAGCGGCCGTGGGCGGCGGATCGTTACCTGCCCAGTGACTTGGCGGATGGGGATTTTCAGAGCACAGCCTCCCTCTCGTGCACTACGGCCTCCTTGGCGTGCAAGGAGGGCCGAAGTTTGTTTTATGGCGCTGGAAAACAACGCATCTCTCTTCTCCCCTCGGGCTATCTGGGCTTATCAAATGACCGTGATGACCGTGACCTGGATGGTGACCGTGCTGAGGGAAGTGGCCAGCCAGCCCGTCCAGTTGGCCGCTCCGTGGGCTGTGTCTCCCTGTCCGGCGAGATATTGTTGGCTGGTTTGAGTGCTGTTGTCTGAGCTGGCACTCAGTCATTTTGCACGGGGTGCACAATTGTCTGAGTAATGCAAGCGTGGCAGACCCAAAGCCAGGCATCATAGGGGAACAGGTGGGATCTTGGGTCTCATTAGACCGCGTGAGTGCAGACTAGATGATGACCTAGATGGCTTACCGTGAACCATACCTAGCTTACCTAGTTGTGGGGTGGGGTGGCGTCGCTAACAGATGTCAGCCCAAGGATCGTCTCGACTTGCCGTCAGCTGATAGGGACAAGGGCAGAGGGAGAAAAGGGAAGAACGTCAAAACAAAATTGAGAGCGAGTTACCGAGTCACCGAGTGAGTGAGTGAGTGAGACTGAGAAAGTGCACGCATGCATGGGCCCAGCATGGGTGACAAGAGAGCCGACAGAAGGAGACAGTGTTTCGCTTGTATCATGGCAAACACGCGCGACGCAGATCAACCAGGCGGTAAGAGAAAATCAAGAATAAGACTACGCAGAGGGACCGGACCGACCAGCACATGTACACACACGTGCAGAAGGGCAGCTCGCTCGCAAGAGAAAAGGAAGCTTGGAGGGGGAGGAGGGTCTTGGCTGGCAAGGGCCAAACTCACTTATAAGGTGGCCCGTCTCGAAACGGCGCTGGTTGGCGGCTCGGCAGCTCGGCAGGCCTCCTCATGTTGCCCGTCTGGCTGGTTCTGGCAGGCCTGCAGCTTGCACAGCCTCACTGCGAATCTCGCGGCCAAGCTCGCTGGGGCTCTAGGCACGGATCTGACCTACCACTTCGGACCTACAGCGTAACACGCGCCCTCTCTCTCTCGCCTCTCCGTGCCCTCTGCTTTCTACACATTGCCCGGAGGCTGGCAGCTGGGGGGCCAATGGATCGGGAGGGCAACCGCAATATCCCCAAGAGATGAGCCTACGGTCTTTTTTGTATCTTGTAACCATGTACCTGGCGGTATTTTCCAAGACATCTTGCCCCGCCTCTGGGCCAGGCAGACCGCACTCCGCCTCCCCGTTGGGACGCCTACATCTGGCTCGAGTTTGTGCTCGTTCTTCGTCTTCGTACACATTCGTACACCCTTTCCCATTGCCAGGACCCATACCCTCTTTTCAAAACCACCCATACCCATGCTGGCTCCCTCGAGCCCTCATCCTGTCCACCTCGCCATCCACATGCCAACTCCCCATACAGCACAGCACACCTCAGTGGCCTCCCTCTTACTCCTTTTATATACCCAGCTCCCCTCCAGCCACATCCACCTCTCGAATGTCTGCCTACCTTTGTGTAACAGTAGCTGCTCTACACTACAATACGGATCTGGTTTATACAACTTGCTAATCCGCTCCACATCTTTGTCTGACCTAGGGCCTGGTGTGCCCGAAAGTCCTCGCTATTTACCCCTTATCCCGACCGCCTCACCTTAACCCGCGGCCTAAATACATACAGATATACATCTTTTTCACACGTACATACACACATACGCAAATGACAACAGCCGTATAACGTCTGCTCAGACTCCCAAACCAGCCATGGCGAGCAACAACAACAACAACAGCAATACCCTGGCGCCGCCATCTCTTTCGGTGAACACACATGTTCGCCAGGACTCTGCTGGTGCCAGTACGCTTGGAGTCTCTCCCTCAGGAGTTTCCACCACATCAAACCCCTTCCTGACCCCAGCAGGTTCAGAAGACCCCTTCCTCACCCCAAACAACAGAAGCCGGTCCACCAGCGTCACCACTCATGTCGTCGACAGGGAGGAGGCCCTGCGGCCGGATCCCGGCACCGAGGGCGACTTCAAGGTCGACGACAACCCCTTCGCCTTCAGCCCGGGCCAGCTCAACAAGCTGCTCAACCCAAAGTCCCTCGCCGCCTACAGGGCGCTCGGCGGGCTCAAGGGCATCGCCAGGGGCCTCCAGACGGACCTCGACGCGGGCCTGAGCATTGACGAGACCAGTGTGCGGAGGAGTGTCGCGTTCCAGGAGGCGGTTGACGGAACCGAGGCCAAGGCAGAGTCATCTTCAAGACCCGGCGGAGAGGCATTCACCGACCGGACCAGGGTATACGGCCGCAACGTCCTCCCGCCCAAGAAGGCCACGCCGCTGTGGAGGCTCATGTGGAACGCCTACAACGACAAGGTCCTCATCCTGCTGACTGTCGCCGCCGTCATCTCCCTCGCCCTGGGCCTGTACGAGACCCTGGGCGTGGACCACCCGGAAGGAGCCCCGCCGGCCGTGGACTGGATCGAGGGTGTCGCCATCTGTGTTGCCATTATCATCGTCGTCGGTGTCGGCTCGGTCAACGACTGGCAGAAGGAGAAGGCCTTCGTGCGGCTCAACGAGAAGAAGGAGGACCGGGAGATCAAGGTCATCCGCAGCGGCAAGGCCGTCATCATCAACGTGCACGACCTCCTGGTCGGGGACGTCGTCAACCTCGAGCCCGGCGACCTCATCCCCGTGGACGGCATCTTCATCAGCGGCCACGACCTCAAGTGCGACGAGTCCTCGGCCACGGGAGAGTCGGACGCCCTCAAGAAGACGGCCGGCGAGCAGGTCTTCCGGATGCTCGAGAGCGGCGAGAAGGCAAAGTCGGGCGACCTGGACCCCTTCATCATCTCGGGCGCAAAGGTCCTCGAGGGCATGGGCACGTTCGTCTGCACCTCGGTCGGCCCCTACTCCAGCTTCGGCAAGATCATGATGTCCGTCCGGACCGAGGTCGAGGCCACGCCCCTCCAGAAGAAGCTCGAGGGCCTGGCTGGCGCCATCGCCAAGCTCGGTGGAAGCGCCGCCCTGCTTCTGTTCTTCGTTCTTCTCTTCCGCTTCCTGGCCAACCTGCCCAACGACAACCGCGACGGTCCCACGAAGGCATCAACCTTCATGGTGAGTTTACACTGACCCCTCCAACACTGGGGATATTTAGAAGCTAACTTGTCGGATTAGGATATCCTGATTGTCGCCATCACCATCATCGTCGTTGCTGTTCCAGAGGGTCTCCCACTGGCCGTGACACTCGCCCTGGCTTTCGCAACCACCCGCATGCTCAAGGAGAACAACCTCGTGCGAGTCCTCCGCGCCTGTGAGACGATGGGCAACGCCACAACCGTATGCTCCGACAAGACCGGCACCCTCACCACCAACAAGATGACGGTCGTCGCCGGCACATTCGGATCCACCAGCTTCGCCAAGTCCGAGGGCGACAAGTCCGCCGTGACGGTCACCCAGTGGGCGTCCAGCCTGTCCCCCACGGCCAAGGAGGCCATCGTCCAGTCCGTGGCCGTCAACTCCACCGCCTTCGAGGGCGAGGACCAGGGCCAGTTCGCCTTCATCGGCTCCAAGACCGAGACGGCCCTGCTGCAGCTGGCCAAGGACCACCTCGGCATGCAGTCGCTGCCCGAGACGCGCGCCAACGAGCAGGTCGTGCAGATGTTCCCCTTCGACTCGGGCAAGAAGTGCATGGGAGCCGTCATCAAGCTGCGCAACGGCGGGTTCCGGCTCCTGGTCAAGGGCGCCTCCGAGATCCTCCTGGGCTACTGCTCCTCCAAGGCCGACATCACCGACCTCTCCGTCTCCGGCATGGGCCAGTCCGACAAGGACCAGCTCCTCGAGACCATCGACGGCTACGCGCGCCAGTCGCTCCGCACCATCGGCATCGTCTACTGCGACTACCAGCAGTGGCCGCCGCTCGGCGCAAACGTCGAGGACGGCTCCGTCGAGTTCGCGTCCGTCCTGAAGGACCTCGTCTTCCTCGGCGTCGTGGGCATCCAGGACCCCGTCCGCCCGGGCGTGCCCGAGTCGGTCAAGAAGGCCCAGCACGCCGGCGTGGTCATCCGCATGGTCACCGGCGACAACGCGGTGACGGCGCGGGCCATCGCCATCGAGTGCGGCATCCTCACCGAGGGCGGCGTCGTCATGGAGGGCCCCGCCTTCAGGACCCTCAGCGACGCCGACATGGACGCCACCTTACCCAAGCTGCAGGTCCTCGCCCGGTCCTCGCCCGAGGACAAGAGGATCCTGGTCACGCGGCTCAAGCGCCTCGGCGAGACCGTGGCGGTTACCGGGGACGGCACCAACGACGCCCCTGCGCTCAAGGCCGCTGATGTTGGCTTCTCGATGGGTATCTCTGGGACTGAGGTCGCCAAGGAGGCGTCTGCCATCGTGCTGATGGACGACAACTTCTCGTCCATCATCATGGCTCTCAAGTGGGGCCGCGCCGTCAACGACGCGGTCCAGAAGTTCCTTCAGGTATGTTCCTCACTCACCCAGTCATCCAAGCGCCCACCTCACCCATCTCTCAACCTACTAACTGAGCCCCCAGTTCCAAATCACCGTCAACATCACAGCCGTCCTCCTCGCCTTCGTCTCCGCCGTCTCCGACCCGGAGATGCGCTCCGTCCTGACGGCGGTGCAGCTCCTCTGGGTGAACCTGATCATGGACACCTTCGCGGCCCTGGCGCTGGCCACGGACCCGCCGACGGAGAAGATCCTCAACCGGCCCCCGCAGGGCAAGAAGGCGCCCCTGATCACGACCAACATGTGGAAGATGATCATCGGGCAGGCCATCTTCCAGCTGGCCGTGACCTTCACGCTCTACTTCGCCGGCTCGCGCATCTTCCCCTCGTACACCGACAGCGAGCTGCGCACCGTCGTCTTCAACACCTTCGTCTGGATGCAGATCTTCAACGAGTTCAACAACCGCCGCCTCGACAACCGCTTCAACATCTTCGAGGGCCTGCACCGCAACCAGTTCTTCATCGCCATCAACATCCTCATGGTGGGGCTGCAGGTCGCCATCATCTTCGTCGGCGGCCGCGTCTTCTCCGTCGCCGAGGGCGGGCTCGACGGGCCCCAGTGGGCCGTCTCCATCGTCCTCGCCCTGCTGTGCATGCCCTGGGCCGTCGCCGTCCGCCTGTTCCCCGACGCGTGGTTCGCGCGCGTCGCGCACGTCGTCGGGGGCCCCGTGGCGGTCGCCTATCGCGCCCTCGGCCGCTTCTTCAGCAGGATCGGAAGGCTGTTCAGGAAGGGCAACAAGGCCGCCGACGAGGAGGCGACCGGTGGCGAGGACGGCGAGGCGCAGATGCGCCAGAGGACTGACTCTGACCCGGCCGAGTCGCCCGTCGTCGTCGTCTCGGATACTGGTGGGTTCAGCAACAACGATAACATCACCACCGCTCCGGAGATCATGGTTGAGGATCCCGAGGGTAGGAAGGGCCACTAGTGTGTGAGCGTATGTGTGTGTGTGTGTGTGTGCGCGCGCGCGCGTGTGTGTGTGTGGGCATAATTGTACTTTTATATAAATATATGGCGTTCTGGCTGGGGCGGCGTGGGGCAACGGAAGGGGAAAGGGGGTTGGGTGGGCCTTTGGGTTTACGAAGATACCGATGAGATGACGTTAGAATACCTCATGTATATACCAGACACTAGTACATCACGAAGAATATGTTCACATTACCCTTGGGCTCTCATCACCTTGATAACCTGCATGAATTGTTAGTAACTGTTCGTACGATTTACCGTCTCACCCACCTGCTGCAGCAATTACTACTGACCTTGGAAGTCCAAATCGAGAACAGTCGAGAAACAATCTCAATTCAATGATGATGTCCACAATAAGTGGCCATCGAAAGACGCTTTTTGTCCCGCCCACAACCCATCAAACTGATACAGTTCAAGATTTATATTAAATGTGGATAGGCACCGTGGCGCAGCTGGACAAGCATCAGGCTGGCTTTCGCGTAATAACAAGCGCAAAGGCCGTAGGTTTAAATCCCGCTAGTGCCTTAATCTTTTTAAGACCTCTTCTACCTATAAAAGGAAGGTTGCAACTCCTTTAAAGCCCATATAGGATTAATTAATAACGGCTATACTTATTAATTTAATAAGGGTCTTCCTTTAAAGACTTAAGCCTTAAATAGCTAGTTTTTAGCCGCTTCTTTAAGTTTTTCTTAATATATTATTAAAGCTAGTTTTTCTTTAATAAGTAAATAAGTATAAGTATTACTAGCTATATAAAATTGCAAGGTAACTTAAGGTATTAAGGCTTAGCTTCTTATATAATAAAAATAGCAGTTAATACTTTATAAATACACTTTAAGGCATACTTTAAAAACTTAAACCTTAAGGCATTAATTATATCAATAGTGGGACTTAGTAAACCACTTAATAAAAGCACGGTAATCCATTAAATGTGGAAAAGAAAAGGGTCCAGCAGTGTCTCCAGTAGATGCTGCTGGGTATCTCATGATGCATGTGTGTAGTACAGAGCGACATGAGGGATGACAGATGGGGTAAGAGAATTCTGAAGCAATCAATACAAGACTATGACACATCCCCCAATCAGAGCCCCATCGCGTACAGAGCGCCGACGGCAACAGCACCATAGGCAGCAACGCCAGCAACAGCCGTAGGCGCGGCGTTAGCAGCCTAGTAGAGAATAAGAATTGGCGTCAGTCTCGACCTTTATTTTCCACTTGCACAGTAAAACGAAGGGGACAAAGCACGGATAAAAGCTCACCGAGGAAGCAGTGCCAGACGCAGACGCAGCAGACTCAGAGGCCGAAGAAGAAGCCGAAGCGGAGGCAGAAGCAGAAGCACCGGTGGACGACGCGGACGCGGACGGCGACGACGACTCGGAGCCGGCGGCCGCGGCAGCCTCGCACGCCGACGTGCTGTTGCTGGCCACGACGGCCGTGCCGACGGACTCCTGCTGGCCGCCGAGCGGCTCAGTGTCGAGGCCACATGAGGCGGCCGCGGTCTCTATGCTTTCCCCGTAGTACTTCCAGATGTCCTCGTTGTCGGGCCCGGCGCACTGCAGGCAGTTCTTGTAGTTTGTCTGGAAGACCTCGTCGTCGCAGATGGTGGCGTTGCAGTTGCGGACTTCTATTATCGCCTGGCCTGGATTTGGGTGTGTGTCTGTGTGAGTTGGGGAATGTTTTGGTTTAAGGTATTGGGTCGGGATGGTGGAAATGACTTACCGCAGTTGTCATGGCAGTTATAGGATGGGGAGCCGACGGACTCGTTCTGGCGCTTTGCGAGGATGGGGTGGATGAACACTCCGGCGAGGGCGAAGTCATTCGCCAGCGCGGTGGAAGCTGCGAGAGCTGTACCGATGACCCATCTGAAGGCGACCATTTTGATGCACGTGTGGTTTGGAGAGACCAAAGCGGTTAGAATTGGATGATTAGCTACTAAACACGCAGGTGAGATGGGTGGGAAGAAGGATAACAAAGCTGGATCTTGACACGTGAAAAGAGAATTGGCTTTTTTAATGTGGACGGGTCGGTCACACAGGCGACATCATGCCAGCCCAGCTCTTCGCCAGCCAGTTGACCGCTCACGAGTGGAGACTTGGCATGAGTGTAGGTACATTGAACCGGCTGATCCGGAATGGACCGAGTCCCTCCACCGTTCCTAGCCCTGTCGAGTGCAGTGTACAGGATTTTCTCGACATCCCTGGGGAGCCAGATCGACCCACCGGAAAACAGACATTCCGGACAGGAGCCTGGCCTCCAGAAGGAAGAACACTCGGGGATGTATTTCGTATATCCGTGGTGGGCGCTTCCAGTTTGCCCAAATCTGGAAGAAAGCATGAGATTTACGGCCACAGCTTCCTGGACGAGTTAGCATGTCTCCGACAAGCGAGTTTCGCCAAGTGGACAGCTGATAGACGGCCATCGGCACCTTCAACAAGAGTTAGTCTGGGAGTCGGATCCGAGTTCTGCTCGCGGCTCGCTAAGCCAGGGCCAAGGTTGAATGGCTCTTTTGCGGTGGTGGCACTCACCGAAACGACGCCGATTGGACAGGGCCACGGTGAGGGGACCACCGTCGGAGGATCTGATAAGATTAGATCAAAGTTTGGGTCTCCACTATCCTGCATCGAGCTCGGACACCAAAGTCACTAGCGCGATCAGATAAGAAGGAGGAGAGAAAGGCTAAACAGCAAACTGGTTTGACCCTTGTTGATGCTCCACACCCTGTGTCAATCCCCCGACCGTCTCTCCAGATTTTCATCCGCCACGGATGCCAGTGAGGATCATGTGAGCCACAGATTCACTTGAAGAGAGAGTCAGTGTGTGAAGAGAACAATCACGCTTTGTCGACCAGACCGCCAAAAACCCGTGAACATCTCGTCCGATTTGACCGACTTCAAACTCGTAAACGGATTAGAGAAATGATACTTCTGGAAGCCGACGTTACACTTACTTGAGTACCCATTCCAATGGCGCCCAAGAGCTCAAAGATGATCGGCACGTATGGCCGGACCCGGTTTATTGCTGTCCGCCGGGACCCATTCATATGCAAGCAATGACTGTCCAGGTGTAACCCACTTCTTTCCACCGACAATGACTCCTCCGGCTGCGTTGTGACCCGCAACAGACCGCAATGTGATGTGTTCCTCAGATCCAAGGTGCACACCTCACAGTGTACCAGACCAGGGACTGCCTTTCTTTCGGAACCTCGAGACATGACCGGCAAACCACGAACACGTACAGTAAGTAGGTATTGCATCTCCAGACTGCAAGTGCCTAAGCATGATAAAAACGCCATGAAAAAACGGCATCGGGCCAAGGACCAAGATTTACCTAATGGAGCCATGATAAAGCAGGTGACAACGTCCGACTTGGCGGGCGAGCATACCGAATCCGCGGAAAGCGATGTCGGTGGGCCCCATCTGGTGGTCAGGTCAAGGTTCGACAACTTGAAGCGACTTCCCACACCCACTCTGTCGAGAGCCACTCATCGGCCGGGGCCCAGATTCTCTTGGTCCTCGTCTTCGCATGCGATCAGCAACGTCCACCCAAGACGGAGCTTGGCGTGGCCCTTGACAGGCAGCTCGGCCCATTGACTGGCCCAGCCAACTTGTCGTTCGATCCGCCCAATAGGGATCGTTCGTCAGGGTTCTCCCAAGTCTTTTCCATCACACCCTCCACCGCCAGGTAAATCCTTTCTGAGCATGTCCCCCACCCACGACTGCATGTTGTTCTCGGTCTGCTGTTGCAGTATCTCCTGCTCCCGTACCCTTCGGAGCGCCGCTGCTTTTGCCCTCCGCCCTCCGAGTACATATTACTAGTAGTCAAGGGACCCAATTGCTGCTTGCAGCCTCGTATCTAAATATCATCCTGCTCCTCAACTCAGATCGAATAGGTGACAGCCCTTTTATTGTCTCACCTGCGTGCCGTTTGCTTTCATCCAAGGTCAACCTCCTGCATCTCATTGCTCCTCAAGATGCGCTTCACCGCCACGCTCACGACTCTCACCTTTCTGGCCATGGGTGCCAGAGCAGAGGTCCACGGTGCGAGCGCCGAGGGTACCGTAATGGGCCCTGTTGCGTTCCTCTGGCCCGATGACAGGCCTTGGAGTGCTTCGCACGACAACACCGGTCCATGTGGCTCTGCTGATGGTGTTACGAACCGGACAGAATTTCCCCTCAGTATGCGTCGGCTCAGGACTGCTACCATTATTCCCTTCCGCTGACATTATATCCTAGGCCAGGGCCAGGTAGCCTTGTCGATTGCAGATGATGCCTACAAGGTGGCCTTCTACATCGCCTTTGACAACGGTACGTTCAAGTACACCACACAGGACTGCTGTTCACACTGACACCGTGCAATAAAGAGCCCACCACCCAGAGCGAGTTCACGGAGCAGATCGTCCAGAACATCACCGAGGTCGAGCCGGGCCACCAGTGCTACAAGATCGCCTCCCTCCCCAGCTCCGCCTCCGCAGGCACCAACGCCACCATCCAGCTTGCGTACTGGGCTGACGACGAGGGCGAGAACGGCGGCAAAAACGAGACGTTCTATGCCTGCGCCGATGTCGTAAGGCCACCCTCAATTTCCCAACCTCCGCCCCAGTTGCTCTCACATTTTACATCGTCATGACTTGGCTAACCCCGTCCCACCACACCAGACCCTCGTCGAGGCGGCCGACTTCACAGCCCAGGTCCCCTGCTTCAACGTGACAGCCGCCGACTTCGACTCGGGCGACGCCACCGCCACCGAGACCGTGGCCGCCGCGACCGTGACGCCCACGTCCGCATCCTCGTCTTCTGGCTCTGGCGGCGGCCTGAGCAAGGGCGCCATCGCCGGCATCGCCGTGGGCACCATCGTCGGGTCCCTGGCCGTCGTCGGCGCGTTCGCCTTTATGCTGCTCAAGAGGAGGAGGTCTTCTTCTGCTGCCGCGGCTGCCGCGGCTGCCGAGTCTGGGGTGCAGGCGGGCCCGATGAAGCAGAGGGAGGGCGATGTCGCTAGTGTGTCTACTGGGCATTGAGTTCCCGAATTGGGCACCCAATACTGGAGAGAGAGTGCGCGGAAGGGAGCTGAACTTAGGCATGTTGATGTGGGCGGGGAGTCCCTTGTGGTTGTATGAGTTGCGCTATGTGTGATGAGAGACTTTGATACCTCAGTTGATGGTGGAAAGTGTGGTCGCTGGCTACATTAATGATGACGCATCACTGGCATGAAACAAATTAGTCCTTTCATTTGAATTGGTATTTTCCCATTCCCCAAGCACTTAATATAACGGAAACGTGAATATGTAACCTGCTGGTCGGTGGTGAGCATCCCACCTTTCTGCAGCCTGCCTAATAAGTCCTTGGTTATTTAGCGAGTGCCTCGTAACAGAGCATACGGCTGTCGTATGGAGCATTGTGTCCAACCAGACAACAAAGGGACTGGCACCCCGGCACCCGAGGCATCATGTATCGGGCGCGGGAAATGGATGCATGCAGCGGTTTTGGTACCAAGAGGTACAGCAGGTGGTGCCCTCGAACGTGGCCAGGAATAGATCGCCTGTGTCATCTATAATCCATCGAACCCTCTATTGAGGCCTAGCAGGCCAAAGGATAGAGACTGCAAAGGAATAGGCCAGAAGGGGCGGTGGCAGGGGCATTCCTAGTGGATGCCTAAGTACGTCTGCTAAAGACGTCATGACGGCCCGAAACAGGTCGCGGTGCATTGGTATACACGTGCAGATCACTTCAGGGTAACGTTGACAATATACGGATGTGAATTTATTAACCATTCCGTTGTAAAATGAGCCGCAGTGGTTGACATTGAATTAAAGAGCCGTCTAGCCTGCATAAGTCTCGAGTCGGGCTGCAGACTTCTTAGGCCTACGAATGTAGATTCTGGTGTGTTTGATGGCAATAGACGGAGGATCGGTATATAAAGTAAGAAATCCACAATCGCGCAAAGACTTTGCACTAGTGCTTACAACATGTTCCAGCTGTCTCCAGTCTTTCACTGCCGCTAAGCTTACACTAGTCCTGTGTGTTTGGCCACATAATCGACTTGGTCCTCGTTACGGCCCGCAGGATCTCACGAGGCTGTTTATTCTAGCCCCCAACCATTTTTAGAGATGGATGCAGCGATCTGCAAATTTGATACATGCAAACCTGCGTATATGATCGGAAACAGAAGTTTCGTAAATAAATAGAATCTACGTCGCATTTAAAGCTACTTGACTTGGAGGCACATTAACATTAGCATTTCAAGAAACAACATTGAGCTGGACTCAGCCATTTAATCACCCCGGGGTTCTATTTTCTTACTGGTATCTTTGAGCAACAACTTTAATCTCTTTGTATTCCCAGGAAAGCTTTCTGAAATCTGCCAAAATGGGGGTAGACATTAAGCCAGATGACATTGGGCACGGTCGAGACGCCCAGAGTCCGGAAGATGCAATCAAGAAGACCAAGGAGTACCTGGCCAACCCGAAATTGTACCCAAATGGAAGGCTCAAGCTGGACGGGAAGACGGATATAATCAAGCAGCGATTTGAGGATTTCCGCATCAAGGCCAAGGGCATCCCCCCAAAGCCGCACTTCTTCCTCGCTCATCAGATCCATCTCGCTGAAGACAAGAAGTTCTGGCTGATAGGAAGGCGGGACCCGTTCGATCAAGTGCAATACATTAACCCGAAGGGCAAAGAACGGGATGGACATGCCGGCATGTCCATGATTCACATCATGGGCATTCCCAGGAACGACCCAAAGAGAGACGGCTCCCTGAGCCGGGAGCCGATCTACAACGGCGTCTCCCTGCACGCCAAGAACGCCGACGTCCTGCAACACATGAAGAAGACGTTCAAGTACTGGTGGGACGCGGAGCCCAACAGGCGCACGCGCAAGAACATCATCGGCGCGCAGGCGCGGGCGATCGTGTGGAAGTTCAAGGAGGACCTCAAGGCGCTGGGCAAGGCGGACGGGGTCGACGCGCAGACCAAGGCCGAGAATTCCAAAAGGGGCGTGCAGGGCGAGTACCAGGGCGGCGCGGAGCTGCTGGACCAGGTGGAGGAGATCCAGGAGAAGAGCTGCATATCCACGGCCGAGTTCCGCTACGAGGACCTGCACCGCTGGGACAAGTTCCTCGGACTGCTGTGCATGCACGTCCGGGGCCGTGCGCAGGTCAAGAAGAACCCCAAGCTGAGCCCGTCGGTGTTGGGTTGGCAGCACCCGGTCAACCGGCTCCTCAAGGCCCACGAGAGCTACAAGCTGCTGAGAAAGTACGAGGAGGAGGACGTGATCCGGTTCGAGGACTTTGACTTTGCGCTGCACCTCCGGCCCGACAACAGCGTCGACTACCTCCACATGCACATCTTCTGTTGGTAGGTCTCTCGTATGTATGATAATTGTATGGGAAGCAATTATGTATTGGTGTTGTTTTGTCTAAGTTCTGAGAAGCTATGTGCTCCGGAGGGAATAACTAAAGTAGCCTTTTAAGTAATAAGGGTTATATTTACTAATATTTATAGTTTTTCTCTTCTTTTAATGAGTATATATAATCCTTATTATAGTTAGCCCTAAAATTATAATTTATTGCATATTAAATATATATAACCTTTATTATAAAAAAGCATTGCTAAAAAGACTTAAAATTATAATTTATAAGTTTTAAAGTAAGTCCTAGCAACTTTTATTATTATATTACCCTTTAAACTTATAATCTTTATTATTATATTATTTCTTAAATATTATACTTATTATCTTTAATACTTAGCTTTTAAGGTTGCTTTTTTATAAAAATTATTAACTTTTATATAAAGGCCTTAATTTTAAATTTTTTCTTTATAAGGGAAGTTAATGCCTATAAAGCTAATGCTAAATCCTTTAGCTTGCATTTATTTTTATTATATATCTTTATAATGCAAATATTATTATTTTTATCCTTATTCTTATTATTAAAATATATTTAATATTGCTTTAAATTATTTTCTTTTAACTATTTCTTATTTTTTTAAAATTAAGCATTATAAGTAGCCTAATTGTTTATTAAGTTCTTTTCTTGCTTTTTATTATTCTTTTTAATCTTTTTAATAATTATCTTTTGCTTAGGTTGCTTAAGTAATGGCATATATTTCTTAATAAATCCTTTTATATATAAGCTTTACATATATTTATTAATAATTTAGTATAAAAAGTTTTAAAGCTAAGTTAGCATAGCAATTTAATCCTTTAATAGCTAAATCTTTTTAATTTAATATATATAAAAGATACTTAAAATTAAAACTTTTATTAAGTTATTTATTATAAAGATTGTAATAATTTAGTATTTAAAATAATAATTACCTTAGTAATTCTTATTATTAAGAATGCTATATAATCTTGCATTAAGAGTTTTAATGCTTTTAATATAAATATATAGCTTTTTAATTATATTATTAAAAGATATTTATTTATTTTAATATTAAAAGTTATTAATAATTTAAATAATAATTATTATAATAACGTTATTTAAGAAAAGTATCTTAGCTTAAATTATAGCTATAGCCTTTAGCTTATTAATTTTAATAATTTTATAAAAGTTAACCTTAATAAGTAGTTTATTCTTTTTAATATTTAGTATAAAAATAAAGTTAAAAGCGGTTTTTACAATCTTTATTAAGATTTTATTAGCTTAGTTTTAATTATCTTTATTATTAATAATAATTAAATTACCATTAATATTAAGTAAATAAGAGTTATTATTATTAATATTTTTATTAATATTTATTAAATAAGTAAGTAAATAAGAGTTATCATTATTAATATCTTTATTAATATTTATTAAATAAGCATTATTAGCAATAATCTTGCTATAAGAACTAGCAAGATTAATAAGCTTATCTTTATTTTTATTAATTAAGGCGATTTTAGCCCTTTTTATAACCTTAATAATAATTTTAATCTTTATTTTATTACTTAATGGAAATATAATTATAATATTTATTTTATTAATTAAGGTTATAATTATAATATTTATTTTATTAATTAAGGTTATAATTATAAAGCTTATTTTATTAATTAAGGTTATAATTACAATATTTATAAGGGAATCCTAATTTTAATTAAGGGTTGCAATAGGGCTACCTTTAATGCTAGCTATATTAATGATAATTATAATAATAATTATACTAAGTATATCTTTAATGCAAGAAGTAAATATAATATTTGCTAAATAATTTTATTTATTATTATTATCCTTATAAGGTATATTAATAAAAGTATTAAATAACTTTTATAAGTTATTATTAATATTCTTTATTATAATAAAAAAGAAAAAGATTTTATAGAAATTTAATAATTAAAATAAATATTTATAATGCAAAATTTTACTTATTATTATATAATAATTATTAGTTTATTTTTTAATTATAAGAAAAGTTAATAAATTATAAATAAATTTAATAAAAATTAATTTTAATATTTTATTAATAAATAATAATAAAAAGTAATAATAATAATAAGGTTAACTTTAAAATAATAATTATTAATAATATTAATAATTATAAGGTTATCTTTATATATAATAAGGTATTAAAAAGGTTTTAATTAAAATATAAAAGGTTAAAGTTTATATTAAGGGTTTAAGTTTAAGAGGTATAAGGTTTTATAATTAATAGTAATAAAGTTAAAAGGAAAAGGGTATTAGCAATAAGTTGCTTTTTTCTTAGCAAAAAAGGGTTACTTTAGGTTTCTTAATTAACTTATTTATTTATATATAAAGCTTATTATTATTAATAAGTTTTTATAATGCAATATTTAAAGTTAATTTTATTATTATATTAATAAAATTATCTTTCCTATTTATTTACTTTACTTTAATAATTTTTCTTATTTTATATAATTTTTATAATAATATAATATTAATTATAAAGCGCTTTTTCTTTATTATTTTTAGCTTTATAAGGTATTTATATAAGCTATATAAGTTTATATAAATAATTAAGGGTATGTTTAATAATAAAAATTATTTTATAGTTATTTTAATTATTATAGCTAAGGAGATTTTAATATTTACTTTATTTATTATATTATAAATTTTGCTTATTAATATGCTTTAAATAATATATTTATACTTTATTAATAATTAATAAAGAATATTACTTATTATTATAAATCCCTTAGTTTTTTTATAAGTTTTATTTATAAAGATAATAATATATTTAAGTTAAAATATTAAGTCTTAGTTATTTATAAATAATTTATTTATAAATATAAAAAGTTTTATTATTTTAAGATTTAAGGGCATATATTTAATTTCTTACATAATATTATTTATTTACTATAATAATTATATATTTAGGCTCTTATAATTTCTTGCCTTTAGGTTTTATATTTATATAGTTATTAAAAGATTATATAAAGCTTTTAATTAATAAATTAAAGCTATATATGCTTTATAGGCTCTTTATTTAAGGTATTTTTAAAAAGCATCTTTAATTATTATATTAATAAAAGTAAGTTTATTAGCTTATCCTTTTTATTAAGTAATAATTAAGCTAATAGTATTTATAGTTATATAAGCCCCATTATAATTTATTAAGTTTTTAGGTATTAGCTTTTATTTTAGTTTTCCTTATAGTTTCTTAGCTTTTATTTTAATTTCTTCTTTATTTTAGAATTTTAATATAAATAAAATTAATATATTATTTATTTATATGCTTATTATTTTAAAGAATTATATAGGCTTTATAATTATTAAGTAAGAATTATATATAAAGCAATTTATTTTAAGCTTTTATTAATAATATTTTTAATATATATTAAATTAATAAATATTAAATTCTGCTATATTATATAAGGGTTAAATAATATAAATAATTATACTTAAAGAATATTTATTCTTTAATTTCTTTAATAACTTTATAAGGATTATTTTATATAGTTTTAACTTTGCTTAAGGGTAGGCTTAAATAATATTTTAAAGTATAAAAATTATGCCTTTTTCTTAAATTAATAAGGAAGTAAGTATAAGAATTATTTATTAACTTATTCTTTAAATAGTTAGGCTTTGCATTAAAATTAATTCCTTTTTATTATTATTATAACCTTAAATAATAAATTAGGATTTCTTATAAGGTTTTATAATTTTACCTTTTATTTCTTATATTATGCAGGACTTAAAGAAATAATATTTATTATATTACTTTGCTAATTATTTCTTAATTTAAAAGATACTTTTAGCAATAAAGTTATTAATTTTTATTTTATTAAATTTTTTAAATAATAAGCTTAATATTATAATAACTTTATCTTATTTTAATTTAATTACTAAGTTATAATTTTTATTTTCTTTCTTTAAGATATATAATATAATAATATAGTTTTTTATCTTTAATAATAATAATTATATAATAAATTATATTTAAGGTTTTATAGCTAGGTTTTTTACTTATAAGGGTTGCATTTCCTTATTATTATTTTAATAATATAGTTAAATAATTATTAATTTAAACATTATAGTTTTATTTAGCATATTTAAGGTTATATTATAGCTATTTATAATAATAACCTTATATAAACCCTTTTATCTTTTTCTTTCTTTTTATATATAAACTTTACATTATAGCAAATATTTTATATTAAAGATAAATTTAACCTTAATATTTAATGCATTTTATATTTATTATTTAATTATAGTTTTTTATAATATCTTTATAGCTTTTAAAATAATTTTTACTTACTTTTATATTAATAATAATAATAATAATTTATATAATATTTATAAGTAAGCATTAAAGATTAAAAGTATAAGAATTAATTTATTTAATTTAGCAATATTATTAATAATTTTTATAGCTATTTATAAAATAGCATTATTATTTATATTATTATATAGTTTAATATATAAGATTTTATATACTTATTTAAAGGCTTAATAATATTTCTTAACTTTCCTAATAAATTAATATACCTTTATAAAGACTTATTTATATTTAATTTTTATTATTTATGCCTTTAAATGAAATTCCAAAGATATAAATTTTATTCCTATATTATATTTAATAATATTTAATGATTTTTAATATATATTAATTTAAAGCATTTATAGTATTTATTATATAGTTTTTGCAAATATAAATTTTAAGAATTTCACTTTCTAAAAAGCAATAGCTTAGTTTATAATATAAAGAATTAAATATTTACTTAAATATATTATATTAACTAAGATTTTATAATTAAATTTATAATTATTATATAATATAAACTTAAAATGCTTAAACATAAGTTTGCTTATTTAATAATAATAATATATCTTTTTAATCTTTACTATTATTTATTTATTAATATTTAAATTACTAGCTTTTTTAAGTATTTAGTATAATTAATTTATTAATAAGTATTTAAAGCAATAATGAAGTTTCCTTATTTTTATTTTTAAAAAGAAATACATAACATTAATAGTTTAGTTTAAGAAAAACTATAAATAGCCTTATTTTCTAAGTATTAATATAATAATTGCATTATTAAAGGAAATTATTTTATTTATAATATTATTATAATATACTTAAAGCTTATTTATATTTATTAAGTAAAGTAAGAATAAAGTTTATGCTTAAATAATATAAAAGTTAATATAATTAATTAAAATGGAAATTTCCATTATGCTAAGTAAATTAATAATTATTTTATTATTAAATTTAACTTTAGCTTTTCTTATAATAATTATATTAATTTAATACTTTAAGTTTTCTTATTATAATGCAAGAAATTACTTATATTTAACTATAAATATTAATAATGCTCTTATATTTAATAAAATTCCTTAAAAATAAATTTAATTATATTTATTCTTTAAAATAAATTAATTAGCTATAATAATTATCTTTATTTAAAAGACATTATTTCTTATAATTTAATGCATAAATGCTTTATTAGCCAAGAAATTAATATTTATATAATAAACTTTCTTATTAAATCTTACCTTTATAATATAGGTATTACTATTATAATTATTATCTTAATTTTATTTATTTTTATATTTATAAAATTTATCTTTATTATTTATTTTATATTCCTTAAATTCGCTTAAAAAAGTATTAAAATTATTATTATAATTTTTATATTTATATTATATTAAGTAGCTTTTTTTTGCTAAATATTATTTATTAATTAAATATTTAATTAATTAACATCCCTCCTTTTTATAAATATAATATCTTTTCTTTTAAGGTTATTTTCTTCCTTTTTTGCAAGCATTATTACTTTAAGCTTTATAGCTAATGCTATAAGATCTTAATTACCTAAAGCTTAAATAGCTTAAGTTTAATTAATTAAACCTTTAATTTCCTTAAAATACTTAAAACTATAATTATTATCCTTTCCTTAGCTTTTAATTATTATATTTATAATTAATATAATATTAATTTAAGACTTTATTTATAATATAAATTATAATTATATAGCTAAGCTATATTTTTACTATAAATCTTAAGTTTAAAAATAACTCTTTATATAATTAAGCTAATTTAAAAAGAATTATTTTTAGCTTAAGAATTCTTTTATAAGCTTTAATTATTATTATTTTTAAGTTATCTTTCTTAATATAATTTTAACTTAATACCCATTAGCAAAGTTATAGCTTATTAAGTATTAAATATAAAACCTTATATAAATCTTTATTTAAATTTTATGCTTTTATCTTTATAAATATTATTATTATTTAATTTATATAATAATATTAATAATTAAGGTTTATATTAAAATGCATCTTAATTTTAAAGTATGCTATTATAAATATATTAATTTAATTTATAAAATAAAAATAATAAGCCTTAGCTTAATCTTTAAGTATTTAAGGAAAAACTATATAAAATTAACTTAGGTAAATTTTAGCATAATAATAAATATTAAAAAATATCTTTATCTTATTATTTAATAAATTATATAAGTTTTTAATATACTTATAAGAGTTATTAAAGATTTTTATAAATTATGCTAACTTTATTAAATTTAAGCATTTATTAAAAATATATTATAAGGAAAGAGTTTTATATAAGTTATACTTTTTATTTAATAAAAGCATTCTTAAGGCAGCTTAAGATTATGCTAAATATAGTATATATTTCTAATATAAGCTTTATTTTTATCTTTCTGCTAATAATAATAAGCCTTGCTAGCTATATTAGTTTTTAATGGATTGCATTATTAAGTTTAAATTTTATAATTATGCGCTTAAAGCTAGTAATAATAATAAATATTGCCTTAAAAACTATCCTTTTAATAATTATTATTATTTAAAGCTTGCTTATAATGCTTATAAGGGCTATATTTATAATTATTATCTTTAAAGTTATATGCAATATTTATTTATATTTAATTTTAAGGCTAATAAGGCATTATAAAGCTTATTATTAATTTATTTTAATCTTTCCTTAGCTTAAGCTATAATAATTAATTATAGTATTATAAGTTAATTATTGCATTTTATATAAATACCTTGCATTTAAAAGAAGACTTTTAAGCATTATTAATAAGAATTTAATAATACTTTAAATATTACCTATATTTATGCTATATAGTCTTTATAATAAGCAATAAAAAGGTTATTATTATAAAGGTTTTATTGCATATAGCTTATTAAAGTACTTGCTAAGTAGGTAATTAAGTGTTTTATTAGTGCTCTTTATATAAGGGCCGTAAATCATAATTTTAGGTTAATATATCTATAATAGGCTAAGTTGATTAAAGTTTAAGTAAGCATCTTATTAATTATATATTCTTTAATAAGAGCTAGTAGCTCCTTAGCATTATTAGCTATATTTATAGGTTTTCATAATAAATATTATAAAAAGTAAGCTATTAATAAAATAGGTAATGTTTAAAAGTAAGTTAATAATAATAGTTTAATAATAAGCAAGTTATGGTTATTAAAAGGAAAAAGTTATTAATTTTTTTAAGCCTTAAAAGTTAAGGCTTTCTTTTATTATTAAGTCCTTTTATATTAGCCAAAAGCATAATATATAACTTATGCTTACTTATAATATAGCATTGCATTAGCTTTAGCAATTATAATAATTACAAGCTTTATTTATTTAATAATTATAATAATTATAAGCTTTATTTATTTAATAAAACAAAGCTTTATTAAGTTTTGCTAAGTTTTAAAGAAGATTTAAAAATGGGTTTATTTTTAATAAAGTTTTATGCATAATAAACATATATTTCTTAAATAATAATAAATATATATATAGATATTATAGGGAATGCCATTTAGTTTATTTAATCTTTATAATATTTACTTAAGGAGTTTAATAATATAGAAAGGCTTAAAGAAATAATTATTATTATATAGCGCTTATTAATAAGGAGGATATAATTTTTAGGTTAAGAAAATCCTTATAGGGTTGCCTCTTTTATCTTATTAATTTATAATACTTATAATTATTAATTAATGTTAATAGGTCTCTTATATATATGATAATTATATAGGAAGCAATCATATATTGGTGTTGTTCTGTTTAAGTTCTGAGAGGCTACGTGCCCCGGAGGGAATAACTAAAGTAGCCTTCCAAGTGACGAGGGTCGTACTTGCCAACATCTTCCTCTGGCCCGCGCGGTACCGCATTTACAGCTGTGTCATCTGGGACCCTCTTTACAAGGGCATTGATGAGGTCGCCAAGGTCGCTATGCAGTATCCGGGCCCCGTTGGTGAAGCGGCCGGGTCGTCCGGATCATCGGCCGGGTCTAAGCAGCAGCAACAGCCTAGCCAGGCCAAACAATTGCCTTGGGGCTATGAGGAGCCCGACAACAAAGACGCGTAAGCTACAAACCCCTCGAGATTGCTTGATTTGTCTCTCTTGTGCGCCAACTATTGACAGCATGAAAACAGCCAAATCAAGGCACTGCAGCACCGCGTCCAAATCCTGGAGCAGCATTGCAAGGCCAAGGGCATCGGCCTGCCCCAAGAGAAGGTCCAGCCCGCTGCCAAACCACATCAACCCCAGTCTCGGCCAGCGGCCCCTAGCACGGGGAAGACGGCTGTTGGGTCGGGACAGGGCGGCTCCCCAGCCAAGGGGCCGCAGCAGCAGACGGCGGTCAGGTCTGACGCCAAGATGGGAGCGCCGGCGACTAAGACAGCTGGACAGACTCCCGGTTCTACACGGTAGGCGCATAGAGAGTCGTGATAGTGGGTGAGGTGATGAAAGATGTTGTTTCGGGGAATTATTCGGGGGAGTTAAAAGGTTTGCATAGGCAAACAGCCAGCAAGGTGATTCGGGTTGGCACATCATCGAATGTGGGTCATGACAATGAATAGCAATGTGACCGCTTCATCATCAAAACGTTTCAAGTGGCTATGATTTGTCAGAACTAGTGTTGAGTTCGGATACGAAATAGGCAAGATCATTCGGAGATGAGCCCCTGAGCACCCCATGCTACCCTTGACGCATACGATCCGGGCGCCTCACCTCCCACATGACGGAACGGTCCTCCCCGTCCCATACCACAGCATCCAGCCCAGACTCATCCAGCATATAAGGCGCGATGTGTTGCAGTTCACTCTTCAGGTACAGATGGTCCCTGAAGGCCGCCAGGCTCCTTGTAGTCATCATCATCCAGCCAAACCATGTTTGCCGCACCCGCGTGTTCCTCGGCACAGCCTCCTCCGCCCTGTAGTCCGCATCCACGCACTTGACACAGAGCTGATCGTTCTGCTCTGAAGTTGCCGCTGCAACCACCTCCTCATCCACCAGCAGGAAGAGGTGGCTGCCTAACATCGGAGGCCGTAATGCGTTCATCGGCCGGGTCTCTTGCTCGTTGCTACATGCCTGAAGGAAGGTCTCGCGCATCTGCTGCGTTGTGAGGCCTGCCATCTGTTTCTCGTTGGATTGGGGATCCAATCGAAACAGTGAAATGATCTCTTGGGTCTGGGCCTCGGGCTGGCCGCTGGTGAGCTCCTTTACCGAATCTGGAACCTGCGCATTTAAGTCGTCAATAATTGCTTGCCAGTATCGCTCGGACTCGCCACCATAGGCAGTCCGGTAGACGGTGAAGCCCCATTTCTCTTTGAAATAGCATTCGCTGATGTCCTTGCCGGGTGGTGCGTCCTTCTCCTCAGGCCTTTGGCTGAGAGACTGGTAGATCATGTCTGTCATTGTCGCGGTCTTCGTGAGTGCTCATTACCTGACTGAAATAACGGAGCTGATTTGGGTCTTTGGTTAGACGACGTAGGCAGAGGTGGGCTTTTTGTCCTCTTTGAAGTCCAAGGTCGGGGAGGCGAGGTGCCAAGTAAGGACGGTGGCACAGCTAGGCAGCAGACGTTACTTCAATGCTCGAGGTTTGTCTAGACACGAAATTCCGGCGTTGGCCAAGCCTCGATCTCCTGTAAGTGTTATTAGCCGCGACGAACTTAGGGAGACGATCCATGCAAGTGTGCTCGGTGTACGGTCTTGAGCTATCAACCTCGGAGGCCCAGAGAACCTCAGAGAACTGTTGCCTGGGTCACTAGTCACTGGGTGTATGGACGGTTTATGAATAAGAATTTTTCGATGAAGTTTAAACGGGTTTGTGGATTTGGGAGCCAGCTTTGGTATGCAGACAGTATCAAGCTAACAGCTATATGCATTCGTCCACAAGTTGACATCAGGCCTGACATGGACATGGCCGCGCAACATGAGGTTTAACAGATGATGATGGACTGCCTCAGATGTACATGGAACTATTGATGTGCTATTTCGTGTTGAGAACGCCTGATCACGAGTTCAAAAGTGCACAGCTAAATGTGAGTACCACGCGACCAGCCGGCATCTTTCTCTGGTGCGGGCGCGCACGCATCTCCATTGATTGCCGCCTCTGCTTTCGTCCACGTCTTGATTTCGCATGCTAAGTATGTTTTTCTATGTGGCCACTTTGTGTCGCGTTCTAAGAACAAGTCCGGGCGAGGAGATGGCCGGCACGCAAGGTTGAGTGATCCGGGGAGGTCTATCAACCATGCAACCCCGAATGTGGCGCATGGAGTCTTCCAGAGGCCTGATTCTCCGTGGCACCCCGCTCAAGGTCCATGGAAGCCCTCACTTGTGATGAAATAATTAACAAAAGAAATTCGGTCTCGAACAGGTGCCGAATGCACCCGTCAAATTGATGTCTTGCTGAAAAACGCCTGACCCGTATCCATTGGAACCGTTCCTTCCAACCTGTCCAAGTACGTGATCGACCCACACGCGACTGACCTTGCCCTGCCGAAGCCCATACCCGTACTGGATCAGATCTGCGAGTTACACAAGATCGACGAGCGGTTTCAGGGTCAGAAGAACCGATAGTACGTCTTTGGAGTCACAAACAAAGACGCGGTGGACTGGGCGTTTCTGCAATCCAAGTGGGGAGGTAAGAATTCCAGGGGAATTAAAGACCTCTCTCCTCGAAGTCGGCTAACAATACCCACGCAGGCGGATACCCACCTTTCAGTGCCGTCTATATGCTCGACATGGAGACCGGTGAGGTTAAGCTGTGGCCCCTGGGCAACCGCACATTCGCCCAGGAACCGTGCTTCTGCCCGCGTGACCCCGAGGCGCCGGAGGCGGACGGCTACCTGATATTTCTCGTCTGCGACTTCGAGGACATGGTCGGTAAGCTTGTGATACTGGACACGAAGAACATGCAGGAGCCAGAGGCTGTTATCAGATTGCCATTTGCTGCAAGATATGGGGTCCACGGGTGGTGGGTTGACGACTCGGACATCGACATGCACGTTATGCCACTCAAGACACATGGCCCAAAGTAATGGCCAACTATTTGATGCAAGGTTGAAAATGAATATGCAATGAAGGCGATTCCGTGCTTCATGATCAGTAATCGGCTGGTATCTTCCGAACTGAGAAACATAGAAAGAAATGTCTGCCTGTATGTATACTTTGACACTTATGAGTTCCTAATATAATTCTGACTTGCCGACTTGAAATTGGGTGTACGTTGGCTCAGAAACCATTTGTCTTGTCGTATGTGAAATCGCGGAATAGACGAAAGCCGAGGGAGCCAAAAGGATCCATTCCAATGATTGCACCGACGTCGAGTGGAAGATGAAAGTTTTTGGACCAGAGTTTCTCATCTCCGGTCTGGCCAACCTGCATTTCGCATTGTGTTGGTTCTGGGCAAGGAAACTTGAAGACATTTTCCGGTATTATCACTCACTAACAATGATCTTTTTGTGTGATCTTATACTTGTCCTTAATAGAAGACCAAAAAGCACTGGATATTTTGTAGAAAGTACCAGGAATTTCGTGATATCCCCAGTACCCATGGATCTTTCAACTCCTCTGCGGATACACACGAGACTTGATGAACACCTCAATCGCTTGTAGCCGAGGTTGTCGATACTGGTTGTCTCAGGTCTTTGCACAGATACACACGACTGAGTCACACAAGGTCAGCTGATATGCAAACGTCAGGATGAAGCTGGTGTTAGAAATCTAGGCAAAAGTCCGCGTCAGACTAGTGCTTGGAAGCAGAAACAGACCCGCGGACAATACCCGGTTCCTGCGCTAGGTTCCAGAGTTTGAGAGCCGGGAAGATCGTTTATGGTCAAGGCTTTGATGACAAGCTCACTGGTGGTTTGACATTCCGCTAGCCATGAACCCTGGATGCATATTGTCACGTTTTAGGCCGCTATACTATAAGGACAAAAGTGACGCCACTAATGCACAATATACCCGGGTCCTTATATACGCGACACATATGTACCACAACGTCTCGAAGGTTGTTGGACCTCAGAGTTCCGGTCTAAACTATGCGCATCGCTCAAACATGAGCAATTATGGCCCTGCACATAGAGTCACACCTGATCACAATTTGCCTCTAAATGTTACTCTAGTTCAGCTTTTGTCTGTGTGGCAGGAAAGACTGGGTCTGGCAAATATGCGATTGTTTGTATTAAGAGTGGGCGTGTGGCTAGGTTCTGAGTGCAGAAAGGGGCAGAGGGCACCCTTTTTATAGATGTACAGACCCCCCTATTCACGTGACCCCCCCATTCACTGCCATAGTCTGCTTTGGACTAAGGAAGGGCTGAACGTTGGTAATCCTGACGGAACTATAGTGGCGCCCTGGGCAAATATGTAGAGGATTTAATTGATTTCTAGGAGAACCAGTTCAGTCAGAGCTCTTGTGATTGGACGGCTATATGTTCTGAATTACCGAAGGCGGTCTGGGAATCCGAATCTTCTAGTAAACATACTATCCATATTAGTACGGTACTCGTACTAGTAGGCACCGTCTCAGCTCTAAGTCTTACCGTTATGAATACTAAGGTATGAATAGGTCTGTGAGATGGTGGAAGTCACTTACAGAGCTGGGTGACATTCCTAGTACTGTGTTCCTGATGCACTGTGCACTGTGGTAACGGCATCATTTGAGACGTTCAAGTGGCTGGCAAACAAATATGTTTGCCTCAAACATGAGGCCCGTGGTATCCATTTGTACATTGCCTCGAGTGCAATGAGCGCAAGTGTAGTTGTGACAAGTCAATGACGACGCCCTACAAAGCCTTGTCTCGTCAGAAGCAAATCATCCAGTCTGAAGCTGTGTGGCCCTTATGCCCCTGTGTCTGACTGAAACCGTTCCCAAATTCAGTTTGTCGGCTCCAGATCTGCTGCCTTGCTGCTACGCGGTACCTTTGTATCCCCCTTTGGAGATTGTTTGTGGTAACCCAACCCAGGCATTAGGCAACCACGCTAAACAGCCCACCTCAACTGCAGCTCTGCACACACTCACACTCAGACCGACCTGCATTAGCACACGTGCAGTGACACACTTCACCTCGTCTGCGTGAACCTCGACTCCAAATAATTACTCGACCCTCTTGACTCGGCGACTTTTGACTTTGACTTTGACTTTGACTTTGACTTCAACGTTCGACATCAATAATATCCACACTCTTGCAGCACACTTTGTCCCTTGTTTCGTGACAGATCACACCCTGGACAAGCCTGCACCATGTCATTCAACGACGGTAAGCAGCTGCTGGTCTTCGGCCTCAGCTTCGCCCAGCATGACAACCGCAAGATGCAGCAGCTCCTCCGACACTACGACAAGCTGCCCGACAACCCAGGCAACCGAGCCAGCCTGTTTGTCCAGCTCAACAAGGTCGCCAGGGAGCTGATGGCCAACTCGGCTGCCCAGGACCAGATCCAACAGCTGACCGACTGGATGACAAACGGTGGTGACTTCCCCCTCGGCGCCGCACCTGCGCCAGCACCAACACCAGCCAACCCTGATAACGAGGCTCGCCCAGCCCAGGCTACCAACAATCTAGACCAACCAGGCTTTCTCCGTGGTCGTCCACTCCATTTTCGTCCACTCCGTGTCCGTCCATTCGCTACAGGTAGACAAGGCTACTATGGACACGGTCGCACTCTCAGCGGACAACAGAACCTTGCAAACGCACCAATTTCGCCTGGTCCTGCGACTCAACATCCCACTGCAGGCCTGGGTCGCCAGTATGGCCGAGGCCGTACCATCAGTGGCGACTGGGAGGAAAACAACGATGACGATCCAGAGGAACATGAACATGATGGCGAGGAGGAGGGCATTGACGCTTCGACGGAGGAAGAAGATGAGGACATGGACGATCCTATGGACGGATTCCCGTTCATGCCTGGACGACGAGTTCGACTTGGTGGTTCTACACGGGAAACCGCATTCACTGGACCCGGTCGCACCTTGGACGACCCTACGGACGAGGCAGGTGCCGTGATCGCTGACAACGAGGACGGCACAGCTGAATCTATGAATGTCGAGGGACAGGTCGCCGACCGGCCACAGAACCAGACCGACGGACTTGGACCTCGGCAGCTCGGAGCTGCTTTCCGTGACCGTCACGCTCAGCCGGGACTGCCTCCAACCGTGGAATATCACGAGGATGAGACCTTAACTGACCACGAGGAGGATCTTGACCACGATCCCTATGAGACTGGTCCAAACTCGCACCAGGGTGAGCCAGACAATGGCGAAGAAATCGAGTGCCCGATCTGCCTGGAGGACTACCCCCGGTCCCGGTTTCCAAAGCATCCTACCATTACCAAGTTCTGCGATCATCCCGACAAGGCCTGCCTGAACTGCCTCGACTCGTCCATCGCAGCCATCGTCGAGCGCGGCGCCTTGCACCTGCTCGCCTGCCCCATCTGCCCACAGAGGCTGTCTCGCCGGGACGTCAAGGAGTATGCCAACCGGGCTGTCTACGAGCGGTACAAGTACCTGAAGGAGCAGTCCGAGATACCGGGCCACTACATCTCATGCACGAACCCAATCTGCGGTGGCAGCCAGCCACACGAGAGCGAGGACCCCATGATGATTTGCAATCACTGCAAGTTCGCCACCTGCGCCAAGCACAGGCGCCCCTGGCACGACGGCCAGACTTGCGAGGAGTTCGACCTGGATGATGCGCAGATTGAGCGCCTGGAGGAGGAGGAGGCCACGGCGAAGTTGCTTTCCCGCGAGGCCATGAGCATATGCCCCAAGTGCGGCCAGGGCGTGACCAAGTCCGACGGCTGTGACCACATGCGCTGTCAATGCGGACAGGAGTGGTGCTACGTCGTAAGGGAATCCCCCAGAACCCTCCCCCCAAACCTGCCGAGTATTTGAACCGTCCGCTAACATACCGCGCCCATGACACAGTGCTCCTGCTCCTACGAGAACATAATCCGCCTCGGCCCCAGCGCCCACGCGACCTTCTGCACCTACCACCCCAACAAGGTCAACCTGACCAAGTCGCAGCAGGACGCCGCCCGCAGCAGCCGTATCATGGGGCTCGTCCACGGCGGCGAGGTCAGCGCCGAGCTCGCCCGCGCCCGCGAGGACCTGCGCCGCCGCCGCCGCGAGGAGATCCGGCCCAGGCAGCTGAGGCCGCCGAGGCCAGGATGCGGCTCCAGAAGGAGCAGAACAAGGGCCAGGAGGCGCAGACGGACGGACCGCCCGATAAGAAGAAGCGGAAGGTCAAGCTTGTTGCGCCTTGGGAGGAGGGCGGGTGGACCAAGAAGGCTTTGTGAGCGGCGCGAGGTCTGTCTGCTTTGGACCTGCTTTATTTCGAGAGACGGGGCCCTGGAAGCCACTGTCGATGTGTTGGGCTCGAGAAACGCCTAGGAGGGGTCGACGCCCTTAGCATCCTGTGGTACGTGGCGAATTACCGCACGTCTGATTTCATACGACTGCTACTGAAAGCCGCGACGGTGGCCGTCAGCCAAAGACCACACCTGCTCGACGGAAGTGCACCGGAATTAGACGGCTTCTTGCGCAGCATCTTGGACATACTAACAAGGGCGGGTCGTACGGAGAAGATGAGGTCTCCAAGAAGCAAGTCTGACATTTGCTGGTTGACTTGAGGAATTGCTGAAGGATCTTGGCCACGTCCCCTGATTTAATATTCTTGGTCTGTTTTGGAGGGGACTTTCACTTTTCTGATCACCCATCTCGGGAATGAACTGCTTCGGCTATCCGACATGAGTTTATTGAGGCGTGCCCTTGTTTGTAGCGAGTTTTCATTCCGAGTTATCATCCATAAGCCGTGAATCATAATGCTGGAGTAGGGTCTTATAGATTGACATGAACAGAATCCCAGTGGATCAATCGCAAATGCAACCCTTGCGGTCCAACTGAGCCACACCCATGCAGCCGCTCCCACCTCTTGACTTCCTCCGTCTTGTGCCCGGAGAGAGGTTCCGGGATTCCCATTCAACTTGGAGATTCCATACCTCTTCCAAACGAGCGGATGTCGAAGCAGTCACTCCCATCATTTTTGCGGAGAAAACTGAACAAGTCCAAAGACCAGCTCGTAAGGCTCATGGCCACACACAGTCGACCATTCCCTCATCCGGCGTGATCACAGACGAAGCACTGCCGACAGCCATGTCTCCCGACACATCATCACGAGCAGCACCCAAGAACTCCAAACCCATCCTCCTGTCCTTCAACGAGATCCCAGAATGGTACCAGGACAATCCCGACATCCACCACGGCTACCGGCCCGTCTCCGGCTCCGCGGCAGCCTCCCTCGCCAGCGGCATGTCCCCATGGTCACGCCTTTGTTACGGCGTATCCTGCGGTACTCGTCGCTCGGGCACCTGGACTCGGTGGAATATTGGCCTGGCTGCCCGTTGGCCTGTGCCGCCTCGTGGTCGCCGTCACGACACTTGTCGCCACACTTGGTCGTGTAGCACAGGCCCTTGGCCGCTTCGTCTTGGTATATAGACTCGGCCTCAAGGACCTCGTCTCCCGTCATGCCGTCTGGATTCAGAAGACTGGCCGTGCCGGGGTCGGCCTGGTCGAGCGCCCAGACCATCATGCCTCCAAAGGCACCGCGAGTTGGGTCCTCGACACCAACACGGGCGGCACGATCCTCTTCGACCGCATGAAGGAGGTCCCCCGGCGCGCCGGATGACCAGCCCTGGCTGTGGAGGCGGCCGCGACCCGCCGTGCACTCCTTCGACACGCTGTGCGCGAAGCTCATGTCGCTTGACCTCGTGCCTGTCCCGCGTCCTGACATCGAGGAGGAGGCGCAATCGATCTGGGGCGGTATCTCTGATGACTGGGAGGAGACTGGTGGGCTGTTCGACTTGATGGTCGAGGATGCGCGGGATATTTACCGCGCGCATGGGTGGCCTGATGTGGATAGCTTCGAGCGGGAGGAGTGTTATGAGGCTCCGGCTGAGCTGCACGAGAGGTACTGTGATGAGGCCCCTGGATGTGGATAAGACGCCCGAGGACTCAAGCGATGAAGAGTCGGATTAAAATGCGCAGACGTTGATGGGAAGTTGCCATCTGTATCGCTTATTACGTGTCAGATACCAGATCTATCTACGTGCCTGGTTGTACTTTGGCTGACCGTGTCACTACGATTAGGTAGGGCCATAGAAACGCTAGATTGCGACAGCGAGAAAACGTGAATGCTATGAGAATGTTTCCCGAACGTGGAATGACTGCTGATGGTGTCAAAAAGTTTATTAGCAGCAGCCAGTAGGTGAGTGATCTGGGTAGTTTCTGTTCATCAAAATGTATATTAGCTTAGCCAATAATACTTTTGAAAAGTCCAGGGAGGATCTCGGTGTCTTACGATTATCAGATTGTGTTGATAGGCTTGTATGGGTATTTGCGGAAGATAAAGTATGAGCAAAGGTAGATAGCAGCACCAATCGCAAAGAGTGCAGAATATACCGTGAAGCCCATGACGTATGTTGGGGCTTCCGAAGATGTGAAGATGTAGGTCCCGTAGAGTTGAGCTAGGTTGCCCATGCCATTGATAATAGCAACACAAATCGCGCGGACTTCTGGCTCAACCGGTCCAAGAACTGTGCTAGTGTAAGACAGAGACAGAGCATTTGCTGACCAGGATGCAGTGTTGATAAAGCACAGGAAGACGTATCGAGGGGTAGGGGAGGTGATGCCGGCAGAAAGAGCTGAAAAGAGACACCCAAAAAGGAGCAAGACAGCCGAGGTGAACATGGCGCGGTAGGAGGGCAGCTTGTCAGCAATGATGCAAAGCGTAACAGCAATCACAAGAGCAACGCCGTAGAATGGTGCGGTCATGTATCTACTAGTGTCAACTACTTTCTTGAGTAAGATTGCGCAGGTCAACTTACTGGGCATTTGTCTTGTTGTAACCTAATCGCGCGGTAAAAATAGGGTAGAAATAAGCCAGGGAGATGGATCCGATAATGACCATGTAGCCTAGCGTCAACGGGATGAGTCTCCAGTTGATGGTAGCAGCTCTAAAAGCTGCCACATGGCCCAGACGGTGCTCGAGCCCATCATTACGACTGGTGATACCGTCGGCACGAAGACGGGCATAAGCCAACTGACGCTCTTCAGCCTTCAGTCGCTTCGAGGTCAGAGGATAGTCCAGTAGTGTGAACGGAACAACGAAAGCGGCAGCAACAGTAATGACACCCTCGATGATGAATAGCCACCTCCAGGCTGCCATACCCAGCTGACCGTCCAGACCTCTGGTGATGGCGCCGGCAAGGACACTTCCAAAAGCGCCAGACATGATACCAGCGCTGAGGAAGACCACAAATCGTTTCGATTGCTCATGCCTTCTGTACCAACTCGAGATGATGAACACTATTGCAGGCTACAAAGACGTCAGCAAAGCAGTCGAGACGATAGAAAGAGGGCACCGGTACGTACACTAAACCCTGCTTCAGCAATTCCAAGGAGGAATCTAAGACTGACAAGCTGCTTCCAAGTATGTACGGTTGCGATCATGGCGCAGATAGTACCCCAGAAGATCATGAGGGCGGGTATAAAGATGGATGGTCTAGACTTGGCGAGAATCATGTTGGACGGAACTTCGGCGATGACATAGCCGACCTGAAAAAGAACGACGACTAGATAGTAGCGACTATCGGATAACTCAAGCTCATCGCCCATCCCAGCTACTCGAGCATTTCTAATGTTGGATCTGTCCTACATACATTGTCAGCCTCACCATCCAATAATGCGCTTTGATGCATAGACCGACTGACCATGTAGGACAAAAGATAGACGAGCCAAATTGTCGGAAGAAGGCACATGTCTATCTTGCGGAGCAGTTTCTTCTCCGCCCCGGTTTGTTCTTCAAAAGTGGGGTCCTCTATAATAGTAGGATCCTTGTGTGTTGCAGCATCTCCTACCATAGAAAGCATCTCATTGTCCTTAAGCGGAGCGGCGGCCGACCCCGATTGCGTAGCCATAGTTTAAGAATCAGCTTTGGGTGCGAAATGGTATGGGTAGCATGAAGCTTTAGAGAAGAGTTAGAACAATCGAGAACGGCGAAAAAGTAATTCGGGAATGAAGGAAGAGGAGACGTGGTGATCAACAGTTACTGAGATGGCACGCTGACTGCAGACGCTCTCATGCGAAACGAGGGGTGAGGAGAATGTCGCTCCTCTCTCAACAACGTTGAAGATCAGCTGTTCACATGATTACAGGGCTCCGACGTTTAGTCCGTAGAACCAGACGCCCAGACCTTTCCCCTCACTATTCGAATGAGACTTGCCTACGAGCGTCGGCCAAAACGCTGATCTGACCAATATTGGTGATACTGTTGTCGAGATCAATGCCGGAGCCACTTCAGATAGCCAGATGGAGTGTCCCCTTTCATCCATATCTTGAAAATCTAACACCATCCCACTGCACTGTCTCATTTGTATCCATCAATCTCATCCCTTTCAGCTATAACAACCATCATGTGTACAGCAAGCCCTCCTATATCTGAGGTATTTCCCAACTACCCAGACCTTTTGCGGAAAGTTGCACTCATCACCGGCATCGGCCAAGTTGGACCCCAAGACAGTCCCTTCTGGGGAAACGAGGCCGCCACTGCCCGTCTCCTGGCTCGGAATGGTGTAAAGATCTTTGGCTGTGATCTGAACGTCTTTGCTGCTGAGCGAACAAAACAACGTCTTCTCGAGGAATTCCCTGACGCTGTCGTTGACGTCGTCGAGGCTGATTTTATGAAGCCCTCAGACGTCGAGACACTGGTCACTGCTGTGATGTAAAAACATTCCAGAGTTGATATTCTCATCAACAACGTTGGCCAGACATCAGCCGGCAGCCCGGCAACCATGTCGGAGGATATCTGGAACCGTCAAATCGACCTCAATCTTACATCGGTCTACCGCCTGTGTCATCACTTTATTCCCATCATGCAGAAGCAAGGCTCCGGCAAAATCATCAACAACGCCTCCATCACGGCTATGCGCTACATCGCAAAACATCAGATCGCCTACGCATCCGCCAAGGCTTCCGTCATTCGATTCACAAAGGCCATCGGCGTCATGCACGCAAAGGAAAACATCCGATATAATTGCGTTGTGCCCGGTCTCATGTACACGCCACTCGTGGATAACCTTGCACGAAGCAGCGACGTTGGGGACCATGAGGCCGGAAAGAGGATTCTGGACCATAACTGTCCTATGGGCTGGATGGGGACAGGTGCTGATCCCGTGGAGTTGCTTTGGATGTTTGTGTCTCCGGCTTGACATAACATCGTGGCCTCGTCGTTTTCAGTATCCAGAGCGCGGAAGTCCTGGGTGGAATTTTCTATATCCACGTTTGCCGACCATAATCTGAATTTGCCAACATCGAGATTGACTGACAGATAGGCTGCAGAGAAGAATATTGACCCAAATGGTGCCATATCGGTCTCCCTTTCACCTTGTAAAGAGTCAATCAACAGGTCAGGCTCAGTCGTATCTTCTGCAACTATATCCCCTGTATCTTGATCGATATAGTTATGGAGTACAACGTGCATTTCATTGGATATAGTAATTTTAAGGCCCGTTTCTAGTGTAATAAGAAGATCGCCATCATAGCTAGAGATGGTTAGTATTGGAAACCAAAGAAAAGGGCAGATAGCAGGGATCCTTGTGTGTACTGACGGTGGAATATGTGCTGGGTATCTCAGATCCCAGTAGTACAGGCCCGTACTGCGATTCATGGAGTAGATAGAGTTGTTCGCTGCTCTCATGAAGTTGTTGAAATATGGGGTGAGTGGCATTCTCATTACCATAGGTATGTTTGGAATGAGACAGACTGCTAGTGCACTCGATTGTGATGCCCCAAAGATATTAGTTTCTGTGCCATTAGGAAATCTGAGAGCCATGCCTTGGACGGTGATAACCAATTTTGTTGGGCATGGTGAGCTAGGTGGGCTCATAGTATGTTCAGAACCATCACCAGAAACCTTCGATGCATCATAGCCACCAAGCACCAGTTGACCGTTCACTTGGGTTGATACACTCACGATACCATAGAAGAAGGACCAGGAACGTGAGATGATCTTTCCCGAGTTCTTCAAAGCATTTAGTAATGTTGAGTTGGCACCAAGTCCAATAGCCATGTGAGGATAGTATCCTGTTCTCCCCAGTTGTCTTTGGCCATGGCTAGTGGAAAATCAAGTAGAGTGATGTTCTCGTTGATAGTCAAGCTGTCACCGACAAAATCCATTTCTGGGTACTGTGGCACAGTGGTATTCCGCGAGTCGACAGGATGTGACGAGCTCACACTCGATTGAAATGATTACGACGTGATGCTCCCCTTGCTGTCGTGGCACCTGCATTCCCGTGTTGTCGGCCTTTCTACCCTATTAAGTATCTAATTACCCGTAATGCATTCGAGTTTTGTAGTGACTTCGGCACCTAGCTCCTCTTCCCGCCATCTCGCCAGCTCTGCAGCCTTCTCGGTCTCGCCCCACTCGACAAACCACGATTCCAGGTCATCCATGTAAGTCCTCGCTGACGAATCTCTGTAGGCAGCATCTTGGAGCGAGAAGTAAATCAGTTGACGCATATATGCCTCAGCATAGCTCCGTTCCCCGCGTGCCCTGCACGCCCTGGCAAGCCAGCTGAGGGCATCGGCTCTCAGAGCGCCCTGGGGCCCTCGACGCATGATGTCCTCGAATAATCCGATTATCTCCTCGTTGAAATAAGAGTTCCTTCCGTTTGCTCTATCACGGTAGGTGAGGTAGGTCGAGTAAATCAGCAATATGTGTATAGTCCGACGACTGGTGGCTCTTGTCAGCGGACGCTCCAACTTTCTATTCAAGTCTCCAAGGAGGAAAAGCGCCCCAGGAGACGTGAGAGAGCATTGCCGACGGCAACAGCAACGCCACCTGACACCACATAAAAGACTTCGCGCTGCGGAATAGTAAAAGGGAACACTCACTGGTACTCTCCATATATCGCTGCATATTTGATCACCATAAGCTCAAGGATATTTCCGAGGTTCGATGGCATTGCATCAAACCCAACAAACTCGCCGTAACTGACCCAAGCCGCGACGGCACACGTGCTCCTTGGGCGGTCCATGACACCATCCCATGACTGGCAGTTGATTAGCCAAGCCTTCTTCGTCAACTGGTAAATGTCCTGCTCGTCTGCGTTGGCGAGCATGTAAAGCATCTGGTGGATGGGGTGGCTGCTAGGCAGCCCTTGCTCGTTGACAGTAAATACCGCGGCGTATTTGATGAGGCATTTGACAACGACCAAGAGCTGCTCGGCCTGGGGTCGTTCGAGGAGGCCCCCGGAAGTAAAGTACGCCAGAGACATGAAGAGAACCTGCAGTAGGTTGGCCGGTCGCCGCTCGATCAGGTTGGCCAGAATACCTGGGGCCCGGCGCATCAGGACCAGGGCGTCGTCGAGCTTCTTCTGTTCGAGGGCGCACCTGACGCCGCGGGCTAGGGCGTTCCATTCCTCGTTGTCTGCGCACTCCTGCCGTAAAAGGCCGAGACGTTCCGCGGTTGTAACACTCTCTACCCACGGACCGCATATGTAGGTGCGGACCTGGAAGAGCACACCCTCGCATACGTAAATAGTGTCGGGGGATTTGACGGCCCGGATTGTCAATGTCCCGTTGTCGGGGGCCTTTCCTTCTCCCCGACGCCGTAGATATGTGACCAAGCGGTCTTTCGAGACAAGCTGGCCATTGCGCAAGCGGATATCTCGTCTTGTGATCCCGGGTTGTGTAGAATCTTGGGGAGTGTTGTGTAGGAGCTGGATGACGGATTCATCTTCGCCGTTTCTGAGCTTGATGTTCTTTCTACACCCCCATGCCTTGAGTCTGCTTTTGTACATTTTTGCTCTTTGATATTTGTCAGCCTTGTCAGATTGGTTGGGCAAGAATCAGCTCGGCCATGGCACTCACGTTGCATCAAAGCCGAAGTCCCTCTTCATGATTTCCATAACATCGTGGAGGCTCCGGTCTTCATCCATGTATAATTTCTTGATCATCTGCCGATGTCTCGCCCACTGAACCTCACTCGGGAATCTCTGGGTCCTTTCCGAACACCGAGACCTCAACCCGGGCTCTTGGATCGTGGTGGATTGATGCTGTGCGAATTCCATTCTCTCGTTATTGCCTTCAGGCTCTGGGACCATGAGCTTGAGACGTGAAATATCCATCTGGGTCAACCTCGGAACGTTGATATCCTCAGTGACGCGTCTGCCTGTGCGGAGGAACTCCATTGAAGGATCGGATGCATAAAATCCTTCCGAGGGCGGGGAAGCGTCTCTGTCCTGCGCCGACTTGGAAGCCACAGGCAACTCTGATTGCACACTCTCAAACCTCGGATTAAAGTCAGAATTCGATGAAAGACGATTGCAAAATGCAAGCTTGTGTAACCTCCATTCAGCCTTGCAGGACCACGGCTCGTCAAGTTTGGGACGGCGTTCAAAATGTGGCGTAGTAGCATCCCCTTTTTGAGAACTGATCGCGGCTAGATCGCTTGGCACCTGAAACCCTGCGCTATGCTGCAGGGTTCAAAGGATTCAGGCACGGCTGGTGCAGGATGCAACCTCATTTCGGCAGATACTTGTGCCGATAACACTCAACGCGTGTAGCTTGAGTGCACCACCTCCCGCAAAGGACCTCCAGCCGCGTTTCTGGTGGAATAAGCTGGAGATTTCTCAGAAACTGTGGTAATTCCTCATCACGGTGGAAAATATGGGAAACCCTTTATGTCTGTGGTACAATACTGATTCGGCGCTGCACAGGAACTGGAAGTAAGATATACAACAAGTGTGTTCGCTCACATTTGGTATCGAATTTGCCGTATCTACCTGACAGACATGATACACTGCTACCTTCCCCCAACCCATGTGGCCCTTCACAGGCTCTACACCGGTCAAGCCAGGTTTCCAAGGCTCCCCATCCGAAGACAATATTAAGTAACGTCTCGGATTGTAGCTTCATTTTGGACCGACTCATCACACAATTCCCGGGCAATTCTCCATTGGCAACTTAATAGAACCAAACCTGTACTAGGAGGGGCACAGCAACCCAACCTCCCCCCCAAAAGAATTCCGCCCCGTCTGAGATATTCCGGCTCAACTTCAGCTCTCTTATCAGCCCTCATAGGAGAGAACGACCGACCCTTAGAACGTGAACTCTTGCCCAACAAGCTCCTCGCTCAGCTCCCACAGCCTCTCCGCATCAGCCTTGCTAGTCGCCCAAGAATAGACCTCTTCCAAGTTCTGATCCGCAACATGGCAACCAGACAAGAACGAGCCGTTGTGCTTCTTGATACCGGTATCAACCGGAGCGAACACGTGAGTCGCAGCGCCCTGGTCCAAGGTCTTGAATTTCATGTCGGCCATGCCCCACAACGACTTGTTGCCGTGCACATTGTCCATGCTGGTCAGGTCCGCAGCAAAGGAGGCTTGGTCGTCGGGGCCATGGGCTGCTAGGTTGGTCAAGATCACGCCGGGGCACAGCGCGAAGCAGAGAACCCCCTTGGACCCGAGCCTCTCGGCGAGCGCGAGGGCCGTCAGCGCATTGGCCGTCTTCGACTGGCCGTACGACAGCCAGCGCTGGTAATGCTTGCCCTCGTTGAAGTTGTAATCCGTCCAGCGGATATGGCCGATGCGGTGCACGTGGCTGGAGACGAAGACGACGCGTGGGGCCTTTGACGCCAGGATTTTGTCCATGATGAGGTTGGTGAAGAGGAAGTGGCTCAGATGGTTTGTCTGAAACTGGCTTTCGAACCCGTCCTCGGTCAGCTGGTACGGTACAGCCATGATGCCGGCGTTGTTGACCAGGACATCGACATGAGGCACATCAGCCCAGGAGTTGAGTGTCTCAGCGGCTTTGCGGACGTCGGCGAAGGAGAGGAGGTTGAGGGCGAGGGACTTGACGATGACAGTTGGGCACTTATAAGGTGTTTAGCTCCTCAATGAGGCCCTGCATCTTCGAGACCGAGCGGCCGGCTAGAATCAGGACAGCCGGTTTTCCTACAGCGACTTGCTTGACGAAACTCTCTCCAAGGCTACCCGGCGAGGGACCTGTGATCACAATGATCTTTCCCTCAATTTGGGGTGCACAATGTGCCACAAGCTCGCTGGCCTCGGTCTCGAAGTTGAAGGTTGGTGCCATGTTGATGAATCGAGTGGAATTGTTGACAATAATGTCTCAACAAGATTGTTCTTCTGGAAAAGCTCGAGAGCATGATGCCTATTTATATATGGCTTCCAATTGACGCAGGACAGCGATGGATTCGGTAATAGGTACTTGAGCAACCCGACGAATTTAAGTCCGATAAATGCGCGTCTTCACGTTGTGAACATAATTGTTCTAATAGCCCAAATGCGTGCTATATGAGTTTGGGATGTGAGGTGCGGGTGCTACACTGATTCAGTGCGCCTACATGTAAGCAACCGGATCACCACGTCGTCATCGGTGCACGGAACCCAGAAGTCGGTGCTAAAGTCGTGGCAGACCTAGTCGCGGCGGGGCACTCGGCGTCTTCAGTCCAATTAGACCTAACCTTAGATGATTCCATCGCCAAGGCAGTGCAGCATATTCAGGACGCCCACGGCAAACTAGACATCCTTGTCAACAACGCCGGCGGCGGCGTGGACCAGGTCCCGGGCTTGACGACCCGCGAGATCTTCACCCAGGACTTTGATCTCAACGTCACCGGCCCGGCGGTTCTCACAAACTCCCTCCTGCCCCTGTTCAACAAATCCGCCCCGCCCCGTGTGGTTGTCGTGTCGTCGAGCCTCGGCTCCATCACCATGTCGTGCGGCAAGACATCCCCATGGTACAAAACCCAGGTTACGATGCCACGGGGTACGGCAGCAGCAAAGCCGCGCTGAACAGGCTTGTTGGGCACTATTCTTGGCTCCTGTGTGACGCAGGAGGACTGGTCAACGCCGTATGCCCTGGCTTCGTCAAGACCAAGATGACTGCTTTCGCTGAAGGGGGGAGGACACCCGAGCAGGCGGCTAAGAAAATTGTGGAGATGGCTTTGTTGGGTGAGAATGGGCCGACTTCGACTTTCACGAATGAGGATGACCCTTTGCCTTGGTAGTTGAAAGCGGGCATGAGGCATTTTTGGGTATTGTTTGTGATCATTGCGTTCATACATGTATTGTTATAGAGGATGACTACGTACAAGGTCCTAGAGATACAAATTTGCACGGAAGATACTTGGATGGATTTATTCTCTGTATTATTGTTGGCGGGTGCAGGGAATTACGTGAGAAATGGTACCGCGCTGAATTCCGGCTGGCTATAAAAAGCTAGCTTTTATGCTTATTTTAGATATTCTTTTAAGAAATTAACTCTTTTCTTTTTTTATATATTTAGTGCTTTAATTAAGCTTTTCTTATTTTTAAGAATTTTTAAAATATTTATCTTTTTCCTTTCTTTAGCTCCCTTTTATTTATATCTTCCCTCTTTATTATATTAAAGCTCCTCCTTAAGTTATTTTTAAGAGGGTTTAGCAAAACCTATCCTTTATTTATTTAGGTAGCTTGTTTTTACTAGTGATTTGGCCTAGGCGCAATTTTAATTTTATGCATTTTTAATTAATAATAAAAAGAATAGGAAGTTGGTTATAAGCTAATTATTTATTAATTCTATTTCTTTTTTTATTTTTATATTAAATATTGCTAAATTATTTTATATTTTAGCTTAAAGCTTTAATTAAAGCCTATATTTATTTCTAACTTATTATAAAAAAGAGTTAAGAATAATTAAACTTATAATAATATTATAAATGCTTTAGGATTATTTTCTAGTTTTAGGGTACCTTTTATGCTTTTAATATTTAAATAAAATACTACCTTGATCTTATATTAATATGCTATTAAGCTTTAAATTTATTTTAAGTTTCTTGCTAAAGATTATGCTTAAAATATAGCGGTAATATAAACTTAAGACTAAAATAGTAAATTTAAACTTTATAGATATTACTTAATATTAATTAAAGGTGCTTTAAACTCTTAATTAATATCTATTATTATTATTATAACTTTAAGTTTAAAGTAAAGGGGGTTATAATGTGGAATTAAGGTGCTTACCTTGCTTATTTATGAGTTTAATAAATAGCATTATATTATGCATTTTTATATTAATTAAATTATATAAAAGGCTTAAACTTAAAGTATAACCCTACTTAAGCTTTAATTAAACTTAAATTTAAATTATTAAGGGTTTAATATAATATTAATAGGCAAGGCATTAAATATAAATTTAAAAGACTTCTTTTATTATAATCTTATAATACTTATTTCTTAATAAAATATTCTTTTATTAAGTTTATTTTATTTATTATATTTATTAATACCTTTATTTTTTAAATTTTAATTTAAGTATTTTATAATAATATTAAAGATAAATTCCTTAAAAGTAATTGCTTTAATTAAAGATATTATTACTTTTAAATTTCTTTATTTTTCCATTATTTTAATAAAAACCATTATAATATATATGCTATACTTTTAAGCTTAAAGCTTTCCTAAACCTATTTTTATTTTAAAAGTACCTTTAAACCTTAAAAATTATTTATTTTTTTTTATTTAAAGTTAAGAAAGGAATCTTAAGAAACTTATTAAAAAAAAAGGGAAACTTAATCTTACTTATTATTAGCTAAAGCATTAACCTTGCTTTAATTAAACCTTATAATTTACTATTAATAATAAGTTAAGAACTTAAATTAATATTTTAAAAATCTTATTTTTTACTAATATAATAATTTTGCTATAAGTAGCTTTACTTATAATTTATAATTTAAATACTTTAAAGTTTAATAAGATTAATATTATTAAGGTTTTAAATAATCTTAAGATTATTGCTTATTAATTTTCTTACTTAAATAATTAAATCTTAAAATTACTTAAGTAATATTGCATTATTTTAAACTTAATAAAAGTAATTAAAAGCATTATTATTAAATAGTTTATTTAAAAAAACTAAAAGAAAAAGCTTTTTGCCTTTTATAAGTTTAATAATTAAACTTATTATATAAACTTAATTATAATTATTAAAGATATTATTTATAATAACCCTTATAATAACTTAAAAGCATAAAAAGGGAAAATTATAAAATATAATTAAGAACTTAATGATATAAATAATATTTCTTTTATTATAACTTAGCTTTTTTATAAGGCGCTTTTATTATATTTAAAAAAGTAGCTAGTAAGGGAAGGGATTACCTATAAGTTAATAAGGAATATTCTTTAGCCGGACTTTAAGTATGCTTTATTAAAAGTTATTAATTAAAAACTTAAGTATTTTAAGCAAGATAAGTATTTATTTATATAAAATAATTTTAATTAAAATTTACTTAGTTTAAAAAGGCTAAATTTTCTTTAAGAAAGCTAAAATAATTTTAATTTTTTAAATTACCTTTAAAATAAAAACCCATAAGCTTAATGATTTTTATTTAAATTTAATTATATTAATATTATTAAAAGATATAATTAAGATTTGCAAAATATAAATAAACTTATTAAAAGGTTTACAAAGTTAAAACTTAATTTAATTAAGTTTAAAAATAAATTTAAGTTATTTTAATAAGATATTAAAGCTTTTTTTTATAATAAATAGCAAAGTAATTTTAAAATAATTAAGCTAGGAGCTATAAATTTTATTTAGCAGCCTTTAACAGGACTTAATTAAAGTAACCTTAATGATAATGAGATATAAGCTATAGTTTTAACGCTTTTCTTTAAAAAGGATGAGTTATTTAAAGTTTGCTATAGCTATACTTCTTAAGATTATAATGCATATTAATGTAATAAGCTTAGGTAACTTTCCTTAAATAGCTTATTAATAGCTTTTAAGCTAAAGGAATTATTAATATTTCTTAGCTTATTTAAAGATACTTAAGCTAGCCTTTTAAAGTATTTAAATCCTACTTGCATTTAGTTATATTATAATTAAAATAACTATAATTTAAAAAGATATATTTATAGCTAATTAAAATTCTTATTTAAAAAGAAAAGGTTTAATCTACCTTATATAATTAAATATTGCAAGCTTATTAAGGCGGATTCTTTATTTAAAAAAAAGGCCTTATTAAAAACTTTAAAAGTAATTTAAGAGCTTAATAATTAAAAGAAAGTTAGCTTAATTTTAGCATTTATAAATCCCATAAATTATATAATTTATATTAAGGAAGAGCTTATAGTTTTAAGCAGTAATAAGCTTTTTTAAATAAATATCGCTATAATTAAAAGAAAGTATATAATTAAAGATATTGAAAACTAAGATAAAGTTATAAAAATTATAAAGGTTAATTAAACCCAACTTAAAAACTTTAAAAAAATAAAAGATAATTAATCTTAAATTATTAATAATAAATTATAGCTAGGGGATAGGAAAAAGGTAAGGGAAAGGAAAAACTTATTTGCTAATTAAAATTAAACTTAAAAGGAAAACGCTAAGTTTCCTATAATAAGAGCAAGCTTAACAGGTATAATAAACTTAAAACCAAAGAAATATATTTAATAACTCCTATTACCTAAAGAAAAAGCAACTTAAGTAATTTTAATTATAATTATTAAAATAAATATTATAAATATCTTAGCGCTTAGCAATATTAATTTAATTTTAATTAAGCATTTATTAATAATATAATTTAAGGTATATACCTTATTAAAGGTACCTTTTAAATTAATGCATTTTAAGAATTACGCTAAAAACTTATTTCTTAAAGTTAGCATAATTACTTTCTTAAGAAATAATATTAAAGCCGCTACTTTAATTAATTTATTGCAAATTATTTAATATTAAATTAACTTTATTGCTATATTTATTATAAATATAATAAATTAAGGGTATTTTAATTTAGCCTACTTAATAATTTATATAAAAATAAATAATTACTTTTTATAACCTGCTTTCCTAAATATTAAAGCTAAGATAAATCTTTTGCCCTTATTATATTATAAATATAATAAATTTTTATATGCTTTGCTTAATAATATAAACTTAATAATATATAATAAGGATTTCTTATTTTTAATTAAAGTTATAGAAAAATGAATTTATATTAATTTAAATAAAATTAAAGCTATATTCTTTATTATAAATAATAAGGCCCTTAATACCTTATATTATATCCTTTTAAAAATGCTCTTTTTCTTAAATATAAACTTAATATTTAAATAATTAAAAGAATACCTTTATGCTTATCTTATCCTTAGCAATATTAAGGTAATATATAATTTAAAATAAAAGAACTAAAAGCCCTTTAAAGTAGCTTTACTTAAGAAAGCTTAAGTTCCTTAAAAGTACTTATTAGCTTTTAAAAGTATCTCTTTACTTTCTTTAAACCCTAATTAAAGCTTAATATTAATTAATATATTAATTATATTAACCTATCTTAATATTAATTTAAAAAAAGATAAAAAGGTTTTAAGCATCCTTTTAAATAAGAATATAAAAAGTTTAATTTCTGCATTTATAAAAGATTTTTAAGCAAAAGTTTAAAAGATTTATTAAGCTAAAGGAGAAGGTTAATAAATACCAACTTATATTTATAATATTTATTTACAGAAAAAAGCCGCATATATTAGAAAATAAGTTAATAAAATTCCTTTTACTTTAATTGCTGCTAAATTAATTAGCAAAATTATTTAGCTTTTAATTAAAACTTTTTATAAATAAATAAATATTAAAGTCTATCCTATGGATAATTATCTTTTAAATAGTACTATTCCTAAAGGCATAATTAATTAAAAACTTACTTATAAAGAAGGAATAAAATTAACTATAAATAAGAATTATAAAAGCAAATATAATACCTGGATTTAGCTTAAGTTTTCTTTAATTAATAAGGGATTAAGATTAACGCTTAATTAAC